ATCGGCCATTGCTAGACTTCATCGTTGGAGGAGAGTACCCTAAGGCCGAATCTGTGATCCGTCGCATTCAAAATCCAAGGAAAATGGACTTTCCATAAAATCGCCCGAAATCGGTGATGGTACCCCTTTGGAAACTGGCAAAAATTGCCCCGGAATGTTTCCGCCCCAAACCCCGTTTAATAGACTTATTCATCCCTTAAGAATAGCCTCAGGCTGAATCCGTGATCTGCACCCTTCAAAACCCAAGGAAAATGGCATTTCGAAAAAAGCGCCTAAAAATTACGAAAATGCCCTCCGGAAAAATTCGACCAAATTTCCGACCAAATCGGCCATTGCTAGACTTCATCGTTGGTGGAGAGTACCCTAAGGCCGAATCTGTGATCCGTCGCATTCAAAATCCAAGGAAAATGGACTTTCCATAATATCGCCCGAAATCGGTGATGGTACCCCTTTGGAAACTGGCAAAAATTGCCCCGGAATGTTTCCGCCCCAAACCCCGTTTAATAGACTTATTCATCCCTTAAGAATAGCCTCAGGCTGAATCCGTGATCTGCACCCTTCAAAACCCAAGGAAAATGGCCTTTCGAAAAAAGCGCCTAAAAATTACGAAAATGCCCTCCGGAAAAATTCGACCAAATTTCCGACCAAATCGGCCATTGCTAGACTTCATCGTTGGTGGAGAGTACCCTAAGGCCGAATCTGTGATCCGTCGCATTCAAAATCCAAGGAAAATGGACTTTCCATAAAATCGCCCGAAATCGGTGATGGTACCCCTTTGGAAACTGGCAAAAATTGCCCCGGAATGTTTCCGCCCCAAACCCCGTTTAATAGACTTATTCATCCCTTAAGAATAGCCTCAGGCTGAATCCGTGATCTGCACCCTTCAAAACCCAAGGAAAATGGCCTTTCGAAAAAAGCGCCTAAAAATTACGAAAATGCCCTCCGGAAAAATTCGACCAAATTTCCGACCAAATCGGCCATTGCTAGACTTCATCGTTGGTGGAGAGTACCCTAAGGCCGAATCTGTGATCCGTCGCATTCAAAATCCAAGGAAAATGGACTTTCCATAAAATCGCCCGAAATCGGTGATGGTACCCCTTTGGAAACTGGCAAAAATTGCCCCGGAATGTTTCCGCCCCAAACCCCGTTTAATAGACTTATTCATCCCTTAAGAATAGCCTCAGGCTGAATCCGTGATCTGCACCCTTCAAAACCCAAGGAAAATGGCCTTTCGAAAAAAGCGCCTAAAAATTACGAAAATGCCCTCCGGAAAAATTCGACCAAATTTCCGACCAAATCGGCCATTGCTAGACTTCATCGTTGGTGGAGAGTACCCTAAGGCCGAATATGTGATCCGTCGCATTCAAAATCCAAGGAAAATGGACTTTCCATAAAATCGCCCGAAATCGGTGATGGTACCCCTTTGGAAACTGGCAAAAATTGCCCCGGAATGTTTCCGCCCCAAACCCCGTTTAATAGACTTATTCATCCCTTAAGAATAGCCTCAGGCTGAATCCGTGATCTGCACCCTTCAAAACCCAAGGAAAATGGCCTTTCGAAAAAAGCGCCTAAAAATTACGAAAATGCCCTCCGGAAAAATTCGACCAAATTTCCGACCAAATCGGCCATTGCTAGACTTCATCGTTGGAGGAGAGTACCCTAAGGCCGAATCTGTGATCCGTCGCATTCAAAATCCAAGGAAAATGGACTTTCCATAAAATCGCCCGAAATCGGTGATGGTACCCCTTTGGAAACTGGCAAAAATTGCCCCGGAATGTTTCCGCCCCAAACCCCGTTTAATAGACTTATTCATCCCTTAAGAATAGCCTCAGGCTGAATCCGTGATCTGCACCCTTCAAAACCCAAGGAAAATGGCCTTTCGAAAAAAGCGCCTAAAAATTACGAAAATGCCCTCCGGAAAAATTCGACCAAATTTCCGACCAAATCGGCCATTGCTAGACTTCATCGTTGGAGGAGAGTACCCTAAGGCCGAATCTGTGATCCGTCGCATTCAAAATCCAAGGAAAATGGACTTTCCATAAAATCGCCCGAAATCGGTGATGGTACCCCTTTGGAAACTGGCAAAATTTGCCCCGGAATGTTTCCGCCCCAAACCCCGTTTAATAGACTTATTCATCCCTTAAGAATAGCCTCAGGCTGAATCCGTGATCTGCACCCTTCAAAACCCAAGGAAAATGGCCTTTCGAAAAAAGCGCCTAAAAATTACGAAAATGCCCTCCGGAAAAATTCGACCAAATTTCCGACCAAATCGGCCATTGCTAGACTTCATCGTTGGAGGAGAGTACCCTAAGGCCGAATCTGTGATCCGTCGCATTCAAAATCCAAGGAAAATGGACTTTCCATAAAATCGCCCGAAATCGGTGATGGTACCCCTTTGGAAACTGGCAAAATTTGCCCCGGAATGTTTCCGCCCCAAACCCCGTTTAATAGACTTATTCATCCCTTAAGAATAGCCTCAGGCTGAATCCGTGATCTGCACCCTTCAAAACCCAAGGAAAATGGCCTTTCGAAAAAAGCGCCTAAAAATTACGAAAATGCCCTCCGGAAAAATTCGACCAAATTTCCGACCAAATCGGCCATTGCTAGACTTCATCGTTGGAGGAGAGTACCCTAAGGCCGAATCTGTGATCCGTCGCATTCAAAATCCAAGGAAAATGGACTTTCCATAAAATCGCCCGAAATCGGTGATGGTACCCCTTTGGAAACTGGCAAAATTTGCCCCGGAATGTTTCCGCCCCAAACCCCGTTTAATAGACTTATTCATCCCTTAAGAATAGCCTCAGGCTGAATCCGTGATCTGCACCCTTCAAAACCCAAGGAAAATGGCCTTTCGAAAAAAGCGCCTAAAAATTACGAAAATGCCCTCCGGAAAAATTCGACCAAATTTCCGACCAAATCGGCCATTGCTAGACTTCATCGTTGGTGGAGAGTACCCTAAGGCCGAATCTGTGATCCGTCGCATTCAAAATCCAAGGAAAATGGACTTTCCATAAAATCGCCCGAAATCGGTGATGGTACCCATTTGGAAACTGGCAAAAATTGCCCCGGAATGTTTCCGCCCCAAACCCCGTTTAATAGACTTATTCATCCCTTAAGAATAGCCTCAGGCTGAATCCGTGATCTGCACCCTTCAAAACCCAAGGAAAATGCCTATCGACAAACTTTTAAAAACACCACAAACAATATTAATTCAATTTTCCATTCCCTCTTCTGTTCGATTCTATACATTGCAAATTTCATTTGAAGTGCCTATCGACAATTACTACTCGCTGACTCTGCCGCCCGCAGCCTGCCTAGCCGGCGTTATCAATGCAAGCCGCTGGCGCCGGGAGAATCACGAGGAGTGCTAGGGGTTTATTCTCAATCTGGAGCTCGTGAAGCCGTTCTTTTGTGTTGGACTGAAGTTCCCATCACCGTAAAAGTAACAGGCCTCTTTTTTCGGGCCCATAATAAGCATCGGGCCAACTGCTACGAGTAGTATGCATTATTATATATGTTGAACCTCGGTAGTGATCTAGTAGAGTAGTAGTTGTGTTTGGGATTATTGTGTTGGTTTTGCGTTTGTTTATGGGATGAAATTAGTTACTAAGAATAGTAATTGCGTGAATGGATTATTTTGATGGTGAAAACAAAGAAGATAAAGAAAGGCATGTAAATGTAAATGAGGGTGATTTGTGAAGTGGACGTGAAACCAAAACTATAATGGGTCTGGATGTGTATTACTAGTGTGGCAGAATGCAAGGTGGCAGCCAGCCAGCCAGCTTAAAAGAAACTAAATTTCCTTCCGAACGGTTAATATATGTACGTATGCATCAGTATGGATCGACATAATCAGATTGTCCGGTGTGGTTTTAGTTGATCATGTTATTAGTTCGTTGGATGTACGAATTGGTTTCGCGCTGTATGGTTTTATAGATTTATATCAGTAAATAATACTGATATGTGTGTATCCAACCATATTGGAGATTGCATGTTGCACAATCTGACAACATTAATGCTTGCCTCCAATCATATATAGCTATCAAAATTCCTCACCTCAGTTAATTCTCCAAGGAACATATCTTTTCTTACATGATATTGGTCAAAGTGGGAAAGGGTAAAAGAGGGAGGGAGAGGGCAGTAAATAATTCCAGGCTGAAGTAATTTGTTTCAAGTGGGTGGTCAAGTGGGTAGAGGAATAATGATGATACACGATATATATGTGGTTTGAATGCAGATTGCAGAGAGCAGAAAATCTGAGGAGAAATTAAGAAGAAGAAGAAACCCTAGCAAGAATGGGACAGCAAGTCAGCCATTTATGGATTGGCAGTAGCTAGCAGGCTGGCCAGCTTCCTCTTTTTGGAAACTTAGAAATGGACTGTCATGTGTGCTTTCTGACTATTGGTTGCCACACAATGTGGTAACTTTTTTCAACCTTTGTTCTCTAACAACAGCACTCTTAATTAATTAGTTGAAAATGGGGAAGGAAGTTACATGGCAGTTTACTATTAGGCCGCTAAGATATTTTTAGACAATGAAGAAACCAGACTCATAGGTGTAATTTACTGAGTGTTACCAGAAGAAGGGTGATTTGATTTAGTCATTCTGTGTTTTTATCTTCTTAACGTGGTATTGGTTTCACAAGTTATAGCAAGAACATTGATGGGGATCAGGGTAACTTTTTTTCTTTCTTTCTTTGAAATGGATGTATATACAGTATGGTAACTCATTCGGATAGTTTCATGACCTTTTTGGACTTGAAGGCTCAAGAACTTGTTTGTTATGTGCTTGATGACAGGAATTGACAGATCAAGAAATGGGCACAACCAACAAGAATAGACTATTACTGAACCTAAATTGAGAGATACATACTGATGATGAGTTGGAAGGAAGGAAAGCATGCACATTCGTTTCTATTAGATCCAGAAATCGTTGAATACATTGGTTGTACTTTCGTTACGCACGCATTTATATATGTTCTTTTTTAAGTTTTGTTTTAAACTTTCCTATTACTGCTAAAAGTTTGCACGTAAATTTCCTTTACTAGCTAGCAAGTAGCAACATGCATGGTATGCAAAGTGTAGAACGGTATATCTACAGGCGAGTATTAAACGAATACTAGTATCGTGTAAAGTCTAACCAATCCATTTCGTCGTGTCATCCAAACTCGAATACATACATGGTTACCAACTCAGGGAAGTGCGCGAGAGATGTTATGTGTCATCTACATCGATTAAAGAAAGTGATCACCAAATTTGAAGATATAGTCTCCGCCACGAGAGAAACCAAACGACACAAGTTTTAACTGCGGAAATTGGTCCAGGCGACGAGGTGGTAAAAAGAAAGGAAAGGAAAGCAAGCTGGCTTCATGAATCAGCTAGTCATGTGGGTTTGAACAGAGTAAATGATGAGTAGAGGGATCAGGCAGCAGACAGTAGTAGTTCAGATTCTAAAGTCATTATTACTGTAGACTGTTATTCAAGGCTCGACAAAAAGCTTCAGCCAATGGGAAGAAGAGGAGAGGAGAGGAGAGGAGAGGAGAGGAGTGGTGGCCCCATATTTTAAGGATATGACAGTTACCTCTTTGTCTTCTACTCTTCTGTCATGCCCTAAACCCTAGAAGCTGTTGCAGTACTGGCCCTTGTTGTGGGGGCCGGCCCAACCAGTGGCCAAACCCTTTGACCATTCTGGTATATACAGACACAGGTTTGCTAACCAAACCATTGTTAAAATTGTCTGAATTTGGAAAGTTTGAGGTAGAGAGAGGCATATGCAGAAAGCAATTACAGCCCCAGCCAGACAGCAGAGAGAGGAGAGAGAGAAATGGTGGTAGTGGTGGTGGTTGAGACTGAAGAGTTCAGAAATTTATGTAGTAAAGCTTTCATTTTTCATAATTACTTGGGGACAACAAACTAGTGTGTATGTATTATATATGTATAAGTTTCTGTATTTTGTATGATGTTGTTGATAGCTGCTGGGAGGAGGGGTAGGATGAAAAGGAAGAAAGAAAGGAAGAAAGAAAATAGTTTCTACTCATTTGTTCATCTAGTATATAGTCCTTCTGCCCCCTCTCCCAATTGGAAATCAGCTGCAACAATAGAGGAAGAAAGCGCAGAGATAGTAGAAGCTGAGGGTAGGTCTTTTCTTCTTTCTTTCTCTCTTCTGCTATATATACTCATTCCTTAGCTACTGCTACTCCTCTTTTAACCTGTTCTTCCTTTCCTGTTCTGCTGTGCGTGTTTTCCAAGGAAAAGAAGAAAATGGAACTGGGTTTTGGTTGTTTTTGTTTCATTTGAGGTTTCAGAGAGAACCATAGTACTGTACTAGTATATATGAGCCTGATCATGTCTTGTATTCCCAAAATGCATGTGGATCACTAACTGAAAACTGATCTTCCTAAGTAAGTTAGATACCATAGTAGTTTTTTTTTTCCTGAGGTAAAACGCTTTTAACATTTTAGTGCTATTGCATATATGTAGTACCTTTGATCTGCATGGGGAAGAAGCTAGCTAGGGAGATCTTAATTAGCTTCTCGCTTGGTTTGGCTAAGAAGGAACATATATTGTATACCATCACTATGTAAACAAATTAGTCTCTTTGATTTAGTATTTTCAGTTGCACTGAGGAGTTGATTGAAAAGTTAAAGGATCCTGCAGATTTATTGGGTTTCAAGAACAATGGGGAGAGGGAAGATAGCGATAAAGAGGATAGAGAACCAGACGACTCGGCAGGTGACATTCTCGAAGCGCAGGAATGGGTTGCTGAAGAAGACCCACGAGCTGTCTGTGCTTTGTGATGCTCAGATCGGCCTCATCGTCTTCTCCGGCACCGGCAAGCTCTGCCAGTACGCCTCCGACCCCTTCAGGTCATCTTCTCATCAACATTACACACTACTTACAACTAATAAGGGCTTTTTACATTGTGTTGTTTATGCATGTTTCTGCTGCATTAGTATATTAATTAATTTGTAAAAGAGCACTATACATGGAGCTTAACTTAGCTAGGGTTTCAATCTTGAATTCCTCAAACAAATGAAATGATGATGGGTGTGGGTGCAGGATGGAGCAGATCATAGAGAGGTATCTGAAGGCAACGGGGACTCGCATCCCTGAGCACGACAACCGGGTAATTAATTATGATTACATTAAGTTCAGTTTAAGCCCGTAATCTCATTAATTAGTCAAGTACATAATTAGCCAAAGTCATGGCAAATGCACCAGGAGCAAGTGCTGGGCGAGCTGGCGGTGCTGAGGAAAGAGACGAAGCAGCTCCAGCTGAGCATGAGGCGCTACACCGGCGAGGAAATGGCCGCCATCCCTTTCCAAGACCTGGAACAGCTCGAGCAGCAGCTCGAACGCTCCGTTGCCAAGATCCGCGACCGCAAGAATGAGCTGTTGCAGCAGCAGCTGGAGAACCTGCGCAGGAAGGTGATCATCCATCAATGTTCCACCATCATATTGCTTCATTAATCATGGCTACTATATATATGTTACTATTCGGCCTGAAATGGATAAATGTTGTTTGCAGGAGAGGATGTTAGAGGAGCAGAACAGCAATATGTATCGTTGGGTGAGCATATATAGTAACCATATATGATCAAGGACTTTCCTGCTGAGTTAATATAGCCATGATGATGATAAATGAATGAATGATGGATTCATGATATGGTTGGTTTAGATCCAGGAGAATCGGGCAGCGTTGGAGTATCAGCAGCAGCACCAGGCGCAGGTGGCTGCAGCAGAAGCAGAAGCCAAGCCAATGGAGCACCATCAGCAGCAGCAAATTATGCAGCAGCTACAAGAGCAGTTCCCATTCTGCGGCGGCGAGCCCAGCAGTGTCCTCCAACTCTCCACCATTCCTCCCCACTTCAGCCCTTATCATCTGCAGCTCGGCCAGCCCAACCCACTCCATCCTCCTCCTAATTCCGCCGCCGACCTCTAGAGAGGCTTCATCCTGAGTCCTGACCCATCTCATAGTATACATATCTATATCAATCTGTCTGTCTATCAGCTGCTACTATTTATATCAATCTGTCTAGCAATCTGCTACTACTATTTACCATCCATCGATAAACTATGACTGATATTATATATGGTTCCACACGAAATTCAATTGTGTTTGATCTTCTTCATTTTATGTCTACTAATATGTCTATCTATATTTCTATACCATATCTACACAAACATGGATACGAGGTTACAAGACCGACCATGAATCTCAACAAAATCAAACTAAACCACAATACTATACCCACGAGTTTTCTTCACCCCTTTCCTCTCCATCTCTCCTCTCGTGTCCCTACATTCATCCCACCTTCTCACCTCAGCATAAACATTTGCCAATCCGACATACCTCCCGTCGTTATCAGGCTGCATCTCTATCAGCTTCCTCCCAACTATCTCCGCAAGATCGAGCCTTTTGTGGTTCAAGCACCCGTTGAAGAGAGCGCCCAACATAGAAGGAGTTGGCTCGAAAGGCATTCTGCTCACAAACTCATACGCCTCTGCAACCTGACCAGCTCGAGCCAGCATATCCACCAAGCAAGCATAGTGCTCGCTCTTGGCCGCCATGCCATGCTTCTCAAGGCAATCAAAGAAGAACCATGCCTCCTTCACCAACCCTCCATGCGCACAAGCGCTCAACAAGCATAAATACGTGATCTCATCTGGTTTAATCCCGGCTGTTTGCATCTCAGCGAACAAATGCAGAGCTTCTTCGAGCAAACCATGCGCGGAGAGCCCACCAATCATGGCGTTCCAGATCAAGACGTCGGTTTTCAGGACAGGGAACTCACGAAACACCTTCAAAGCTTCGTCCACTGCTCCGCATTTGGCATACATGTCGACGAGAGAAGTTTGCAGGACCAGAGTCTTCGGTAAAGAGTTGCGGGTAATGTAGTCATGCATCGCCCTGCCTTTCTCGAGCTCGCCCAAGTGGGCACATGCGCTAAGAACGCTCACCATGGTTACCTCATTGGCTTTGGTATTGGCAACCCCTTGCATCTTGTCAAACATTACCATGGCTTCTTTGTATTCCCCTGCTTTAACATAGCCATCAATCAATGCGCTCCACGAGACGACATCTCTATCAGGCATTGAATCAAACACCTGACGCGCCAATTCCATATTACCACACTTGGCATACCCATCCACCATCGAATTCCACGAGACCAGGTTCTTCACAGGAATTTCGTCGAACACCATGCGTGCATGAGCTATATCCCTACACGATGCGTACATATGGAGCATGGAATTCGCAATATATCTATCCGAATTGAACCCTTCCTTCGTAGTTCGGGCATGGACTGAGAGGCCGGGTTTCAGATCGAAGAGGCGGGACGAGGCCTTGCAAAGAAAAGGATACGTGAGATGGTCAGGGGAAACCCCAGTTCGCAGCATTTGGACAAAAGCGGAGAGTGCTCTGTTTGGGAATCTGGTTCCGGAGTACCTTCGTATGACTTCATTCCAAGCGAAGGTCGGAGCGGGATTCGGGAGGTTTGAGAGAACCCGGTAGCAGTAGTCCAGGCAATTCGAATTGGAGGGTTCAGAGAAGGACTCGATTTTGGAGACGAATGTATCGGCCTGAGGGAGGCGTAGAGTGATGAGCAAAGCGTGAATCTGCTTGAGCTGTGGCAATGAGCTGCATCTGGCGAGTATGGAGATGAGGGTATCGTTCTGGACGCCATTTTTGCAGAGCAGGGAAGACATGCAACATGGGTCTGTGCTAACAAAGACAGAGCGCCAACGCTCGCAGGAACAAGGAGGACTGGAGGAGCAAGAAATTTTCTTTGCCCTTTAGCAGGCCGAGCTCTCGAATTTATAGGACTGAAATAACGGGCCGGTGGGAATGAGAGAAGAACTCCAGTGGATCTGAGAAGGCCCATAGTATTAGGGACGGGTTAGCATGCTAACCCTTAAGGGTTGGTTTGTTTACACCCCTTTAATTTGTCAGTTTTTCATTAATTATTGACAAGTATTAATGAAAGTAAACATAATAAATGTTCTGTTATTAAATACAAAGTAAGCATTAAATATACCACATTAATTACCACTTTACTGGTATTTGTACCACTGCACTGATACTCAGATATAACATTGCTACCAGTGCACTGATATCGCTACCAGTGCAGTGATATATCTACCAGTACAGTGGTACAACGTATCAGTGCAGTGGTATATTTTTTGGAGGTGGTCGGAGGGAGTCTGCCGATGGATTTTCACCGGAGAAGTGTGGCGGTCGGAGGAAGTCTGGTGGTCGGAGACTGCTGAAAAAGGAAAAATCAAATATAGTGAGAGAATTCCTAATGTGTATTTAATGTGTGTATTTAATTCCTAATGTGTATTTAATAGTGAGAGAATTCCTAATTAATATGGTATATTTAATTCCTAATGTGTATTTAATGTGTGTATTAAATTCTATAGTTGTATTTAATATACTAGGGGTGTCATTTTTCCAACCCCTAGGGGGTTAGCATGCTAACCGACCCCATAGTAATGGAGTAATGGGTCTTTAACTAGATCGGTCCAATTAAAGACTAACTCAGCCTGCCATGTAATATGCAGGGACCATAATTACGACCAAAGCCCATTTTCCCCGATAGTCTCAGCAAGGAGCATGGTTACCAGTTATGGTCTAAACTTTAAAGTTAAACACTAGTGTGTCGTGACTCGTGATTAAGGTGTGCAACCGCTCGGTTTGAATTGAAAAAAATTTATGAGAATTATTGTTCAATAAAGAAATAAATTTTAAGAATAATGACTAGACTAACATTGTACTCGGTACGCTTTGGTCCATTTTTATTGGCATTTATAAAATTCATATTGTATGCCTATTTAGGTGGTGTTGGCATTTATATACGGTTGCTTGTTGAATTTGAAAAGTAAAAGACTTGAACTTTTTAATTTTAAAAATGATAAATATATGAGTGCTCCAAGCCAAAGAAAATTTAGAAGAAAATCTCAAGGGATTGGCCCAGTGATAATGTGAGGATGAGAATATCCACAACTCTAAATTTAAACATTGGAGCCAACAATCAACGAATGATTATTTTGGAAGAAAAATTGTTATTTACTTGTTGAATTTGATGAATTTTAGTGAATTGGGTGTATTCTGAAATGATAAATTGATTATGAGTTTTGGCCAGTGGATTTTTTTTTTTTTTTGAGAGGCCATTGGAAATATAGGGGGGAAATGTAGTTTTTTTTTTCGATGAACAAAATGTAGTTTTCTGGTTGGATATGATGGAGAATTTTGGTGAATTAAATCGATGATAATGAAACACGATAACCTTATTGCCCTTTTATAACAACTTTTCTATTCTTGCTGAACTTTCACATAAAACCAATCCAATCCAATCATTTACTGACAATGTACCCTATTATTATATTGTAGATTATAGATGAAGAATTATAATGATTATAATCAGAACCATTTATCTAATGATTTAAAACCAACCTTTTTTTTGTCAAAAGATAGCATATATTGATCAAAACAGAAGATAGTTTACACTCTGGTAATCAGCCAGGTCTGGAAATCAAAGAAGCGACTCATAGCTGGATACAACAAAGAGAGGGCTTTCCTAACTACCAAGTGAGCTACCCTATTGTTCTCTCGACCTACAAAACGCACACTAAAGCCAGGCTGAGCACGAAAATAATGAACAATCTCTTCCAGAACAGCACCCAACCGGCTATCTCTTGTGTCGACCTGATTAATTTTGTCAATTATCACCTTCGCATCGCCCTCAAATCGGACCTCCGACAAATCTTGTTCCATACACCAAATAATAGCTTCCCTAAACACAAGCATTTCCACCACTGCAGGATCATCCATTTGAGCAAACTGGACCCCTCTAGCCAGAAAGAGTGTCCGTGCTGGGTCAAACAAAACCATCCACCAGCCGAATGATTTAAAACCAACCCTTAAGCATCGGCGTTCGAGAGAATAATCTCACGTCAAGTAACTTGTGAAACGATAAGGGTGAACAAACATGTGTTGGTGGCTTGGTGCCTGGTTGAGGAAAAGAAAAGAAAAGCCGAACAGAGACGTTACTTCCCCGCTTCAGAAATTACGAGAAAGAGAAAACGACGAAACCACCGACAAATTCCCAGAACCAGAAGTGATCTCTTTTCCTCCTTTTGAAACACCAGGTCGGAGAAATAGTCTCATGCGGAAACTTAGGGGTCGTTTGGAAGTTGTCATTGTTAAATAGATGTATTATTGAGAATGCATGTATAATATTATACATGTACTATCGAATTTGATGCATTATAGAATACTAACGTTTGATATGTGTGATTGTGTATGTCCCACAATCATACCCTACAATTACATATACAATGAAATACAGTATTCAAACATCCTAGGCTTCCGCTACCCTGCCCCCTCAACGGAGCTGTCCCTCCAGACATTACCTATCACAAAAGCTAGGACGACTGGCTTCCTCCGGCCACCGTCAAAACCTCTGTACTGCAAACAGGACATACCTGCGCAAAATCACATCACAGTAGCAGCTGTTGTTGTTACACATGGATCTGAGCTCCACACCAACGCGTCTATTGCAAAATCAAAATCACGCACATTTGCAAAGGACCGTATTGAGAAGTTTTCATTTCAACAACTTGATTACCTTGTTTATTTGCAACCAATTGTTGATGCACTCTGCGTGGTACGAATGTTTGCAGGAGAGTACCGTCACGGTCTCTTCATCCTCATAATCCAACCGACATATCACACACCTGAAACATATAGACCACTTCGAATTTCAAATTACAACTCTCGATTATTCGAAGCCACCAGTCAAAATTACACACTTTTAGAACACTTACGAATCGCTAGTTCCACTCTCGTTGCTTCCGGACTTGTAGTTCACGCTGGGGAGGTCGGCAATGGTATCGGCTGACAGCCCTCTGCTTTCAGTTCCAACTACTTCTCCCAGAGCAAGCAGCTCCTGAAATAGTTGAAAGTTAAATCATCGGAAAAGCAAAACGGCCAAAGGGGATCCATTGTAGGTCATTAGTTGGTTAAGTTATAGCTCACCTCATAAGAAAGTTCATCTGGGTCGACTTCCTCCCATGTATCCTGCACATCCAGGGCTTGCCTATTAGCCACAGGAAAATTGTATATGGTAGCCTACACGAGCCTATGAACAGAGGAATAGGGACTCAATTTGAATACAGTAGCAGGTTGATTTATGCCTAAAATCCAACAGACCAAAAGCCGTATTTCAACATTTTTGTTTGCACTTCTATACAACCAAACGCGTACCTCTAGCTGGACTGCAGATGCAACGAATTCACTGTGTTATTACAAACTTACTTCACCACTTATTCATCTAATGTTTGCTCACTGATAACAACCTTGAAATGTTGATGACTGATAATCATCCTCAGCCATGTGACTAACCTTTACCATGCTCAGACGCTTAAGGGAATTACCTAACTACTGGCAATTTGCTCCACCTAGCCACACGTAAACTCAGTACCACTTCTAGGGTAAGGGAACCCAACATAAATGTCTTAACAATGCAACCCAGTGATAACTAGCTCTCCTGGCTAAACCAAAAAAACGAATGACATTAACAGTTCATGCTGGGCTTACAAAGCCATAGTCAGATTAGCTTGAGGGCACACCGGAAATTACTATCATACGCATCAAAGTACCTAAGATACATACCGATGAAATTTCTCAAACTAGGCAAAAACCAAAATGAATAACATACTGATTGCCAATAACCAGTGTGAGGTGGACAAGAACACGATTTTCAACAATTTGTACCTGAGAATGGGCACCATGCTGTTCAACATATTCAACTGCCCCTGAAATCAGAAGAAGAGATAGCAAGTCAGATCATGGTCCCCAAAATATGGCAAAGTGTAGGCACATAAAAAGATCAAGCAAGGTGAAAAGCAAAAAAGAAACATATGCAAAGACTGACTATCATTTATCCCAGCAAGGGCAAACAGTCTTGCAGCCATCTCTCTTTCTTCGTTGTCCTGTAACGCTCTAGCATAAGCCTCATCACTCGAATATGCAGAAGGGTCAATTTCTTCAAGGTTGGGACCATCATCATCAACAACTTCAGCACGAGCATGGACGTCAAAAGCATCGACATCATCCTCACCCAACTCTCCACTTTCACCATACTCATGCTCATTGTACTCATCTCCATCACTGACATCATCAGGGTCATCAAAATCTTCATCGTCTTCATCTTCTCCCAAATAGCTTCCACCTCCTACCCATTCAGTCTCTCCATCTAGGCTCATCGATGCACGACTTAGCATCATGTATGCTCTTTCCTAATTGCACAAGTGACCACATCAAAATAACACTCCAGAAAACAAAAACAATAATAATAATAAAAGCAGAATCACAATAAAGCATATCCTGGCCGCTACCATGTTTCTCTCCCAATCCCATTACTGCAAACCGAATCCATCGAGCACAAAGACCGACTAGTGAGGACGCAAATTTTCTAGGCAGCTAAATCAGGGGGAAACACCTTGTCTCTAATGAACTTATTCTCTCTAATTAACTTATTCATTGCAGTTGAGCTCCCTACATTAAATGCAATAAATAAAAGACGGAACAGGAAAAGAAGGAAGAGAGGCGGGGAACCTGTTCTTGGAGGGTACGAGCGAGAGCGAGGTCAGCATCTTCCTGACTAAGATTAGTGAAAGGAGTCCTTGCGGCAGACTGGCGAGCAGGAGCCGCCTCCTGCTGTCGGTCTTCTTCCTCTTCTACTTCTTCTACCTCGTCGTCCTCCTCCTCGAGGTCGACGACGTCGCTTTCCTCTCCACCTTCTTCCACCGCTGCTGCTGCGGTCGCCGCTTCTCCATTAGTCACCGGAGCTGGGATAATAGGGTCTTTAGGAAGATGGTTTTCTTGTTCCCTAACGGCGGGATCGTTAGGCTTGGGTTCTGCTTCCGAACCCGACTTCGAATTGGCGGTGTTGCTGCCGCTGTAATTGTTCTCCATAGCAATTCGATTTGCCAAAACCTAAAGAACTTCAACAAGGTGGGAGAACTGGAAATTGGGAGGTTTCGTAATCAAAGGGTTCGATCGAATCAAAGAATAAACGAGCAGTATCTCCTCCTCGCTTTTTATATCTTTTGATTTTTGTAACCAAGAGAAAGAGAGGGAGAAAGCCAGAAAGGGAAGGACAAGAATTATTAGAGAGAAGAAAAGAACGAGGGCGATTTGGAACAGGAAGTCGGCGTGCCTAAAAGGGTAAAAAACAAATGTTTAAAGAGGAGTAAATTTAAAAAAATTCATGCAAAATGGTCGCTTAGATCCTTGAAGTTTTATCGTCTTGGTCGATTGATCACTAAACACTTCTCCGTTTACAATTAGGTTTTCGGAGCGGACCCAGCCAGACCAGCACTATGAACCATGGGCCGGTCATGGGCCTGATAAGAAATAGAAAATTTCTACTGGCGGAAGTCACCAGGTATGTTCGGCCCCGACTCTCAGGCCTAGGAAGACGGTCTTTGTTTGTCCAACCCACCACGTGCAATTTTCAACCCATTACGTTTTTGTAATGAATTTTCTGATTGTTATAAAAAAAATTGAATATTATGCTTACGTTTTCACTTTTTTGTGATAATAACAATTTCGACTTCATCCGCATTGCAAAATTATTTGATGGAGATCTGGATCCGCTCTGTTCTATGCATCAAGGTAGTCATTTATCCACTAGGGTGTCTTTTTTAGCAATTTCATCTTTTTCAATCTTCGATATGTTGAACCACCGATTGTTTTCCTGTCCATAGACAAATTAAGAGAATGTGCAAACCCACTGGAAATAATTAAGCTTTGGGAGCCTTATAAAGACCTTCTCCAAACACAAATGGCATGGACATCCTTCACCCCTTGATGAAGCAGTTTTTTTAGTTGCCAAAAAGAGCATTCGTTCATGGCACGTTAACTAAACTTCATGATTTTGTCTAATGTAGATAAGATGCATCTACCCACTTTCTACATAAATTGTTTTGACCATCAGAGACACAACCAGTTTCCAAAGTCTTCTCTTTCAAAACATAGAACTAAACATAACATCACGATCAAACATGTCTTCAATAGCTTTGTTTAATTTTCTCTATAAAAAGTCGCATGTTATAATAATCGAATATTTGTCGCATTCCTCCTTCGATGAGCTAGGAAGGAAGATCCTAATATATATTGTTGGACTCAGGTTCTTATCGAGATTCCAAACTCTAGGATTCTCGTTATTTGGAGTATCAACCCTCTTAGTAGGATAGATGATGTTGATTTGAAGGGATCAATATGTAGATTGAGCTCACTCAGAAATCCACATGTCATTAAGCATTTAAACAATATTCCTTCCATTTTCAATCCTGCCTTCAAGTAGAAAACCTCTCCATTCATAGTCCAAGGCCATGAGCTCAGGCCTAGGTATGATGAGAAAATATAGAATGGTTCAACCCACTGGTAATGTTTGGCCGAAACTCTCCAACTAGAAGGAAATCTTGATTCCTCCCTCCCACCCACCCATTATTAATGTTTAATTGCTGGACGTAAACACGTAACTTGCAACATGTTAGTATCTTATCTATTTGATGAGATATTGAGCGCAGAAATCCCATCACATATATTGCTTTATTCCCAAAAATTGCAACACCACAAACTCTATATACAAAATTACATGACAGGATATGCAATAAGCTACGTCGCAAAATATGAAAGCCTATAACTCGCACAAAACCTCCAAACCACAGCAACAAATTAAACAGAAGAACATGTGCGTATCCAGTGCTACCTAGTAGCCAACCAAGTACTCAAACTTCAAACTAAGCAGCAAGTTCGCGAGTGGACTGGCACCAACGATCATAAGACACTTGCAGGTTAGGCCAGTCCGAGGCCGTAACCGTGTAGTCATGGATCCAGTTGGTGAGGATGACTTCCTGATCCATCCCAGGTAGAGTCACCATCACGTCGTCGATCGCCCTCTCCACTCCCACCTTCTCGATGCTCGTCAGCACCGGGTACGTGAGCCCGTTGTTCGCGTGGCACAACACCGGCAGCCACACTACGAGCAGCCGCGACTTCACCTGCCCCGGCACCTGCACCTTCTCCCCTCGATCCCCACCCATCTCTCCGATCAATATGGCTGCACAGACCATCAGATGAACTTATCAGCCATAATAGCTGTGGACCCCAAGAGCAATACCTATCGTACCCTCTTCAAATTCTACTAATTCACCTGTCACGACTTGAAAATTTTCCAATATTGAACTTCACATATAATTAGCATAGTTCCGAATCGAAACAAAGATATTTTGTCCTTAAAGATCATAAATATGAACAATGCCATCACCTACTTGAAGTAAGGTGCGCGGTGTTTACAATCACGACTTCCTATTATATTGTTCAATATGGTCACGGTCCAAAACCAATTGTGTAACTAATTTAAGTAATGTGATATCACACGTTACCTGTTGTCTTGACAATGAGGCCCTGGACCCTCGCGTCGATGGCCAGGGCCATCGACGCGAGCCCCGACGCGTGGCTCCACTGCACCACGGCCTCCTCGACCAGACCGTAGTTCCGCAGCTTGTTGGTCAGCCACACCAGCTCCTCGGCCAGCTTCTCCGACACCACGTCGTCCCCCGCGTCCCCGCCCTGCAGCAGCAGCTGATTCTTGTTGTTGCCGCCGCGCCAGACGCCGCTGCTGGCTATCTGGAGGACGGTGGTGAGGCAGTAGTTCAGCCCCCTGACGTACGACAGAGCGTAGGACCCGAAGGGCAGCGACCGGATGGCCCGGGTGGTCCACGAGGCCGTCGAGTCCGGGTGGCTCGACGACGATGAGGACCGCCGCTGGAGTGAGCGATACAAGAGAGCCAAAGTCCGCGCGTAGGCCGACGAGAGGGCGAACCGGTTGATCTCCTGGAGCTCCGGGTGGCCGTCCTTGAAGTTCCCGTCCATGATCCTGTCCGCCATTGCCATCGCGAACTGGTACTTCCCGGAGCTCGCCGGGATCTCGTTCAGCAGCGCCAGAATCTGTCCCATGGCAACGAACAAAACTCAGATGAAGTAAAATTCAACAACCACCATTAAGCATAAACGTGCACATTCTTTTTTTTTTTTTTTTACTGTCCTGTTAAATATGACACGTGCTTAATTAAGTAGTCCCATAGAGTAACGGTGGAAGTGTCAGGGGAGTTATTTATTATATGACGTGTCACATTCTATCCATGCAAAAGCAGGGACATATACATATTGCTCCACATGTTTCCACATATACCTACGTGGCAACTTTCCATGCCACCGCAACATAAGCAGACACCTGCCTGCCACGTCACATTCTCACCATTTCCCCATTCAGCTCCCCATGCCCAAATTTCCACTTCCGTTTAGTAGCACGATTTTTATTTTATTTTTTTATATCCAAAATAAATCCTGACCGGACAACAAATTTACAGAAAACGACAGTCATAAAGCTTACGTGGGTGAGGGATCGTCCGAGGGCGTGAAGAGACCCGACGTCGTCCTCATAATCATCCTGCTGCAGGACCAAATCCATCGGCGACGACGAGGCGGCCGCGGCGGGCACGAGCGCTCCGGCCTCCGCCTTCGCGGAGGAGTAAGGGAACGACACGTGGGTGGAGGGAGGGTTGAACGACGTCGTCGTCTTGGAGGAGGAGAACCCGGAAGGCGCGGGGAGGGCGAGCTTGAGAGGCGAAAAGGCGGCGGAAAGGAGGTGGTGAGGCGACCAAGTCATGGGGACGGGGAAGAAGTCCATGAGCACCCTCATGACCCAGACTGTGAGCCACGTCATGAGCATGACCATGAACCTGAGGTGGTCGCCGGGCTTCCACCGCTCGCTGTGCTCCGGCTGGACGTTGGCCGCCACGTTCACCAGCGTCCGCGACGCCACGTTCACCGTCGACATGAAGAGCGTGTTGAGGAGCTGCGACGGCCTGTTGCTCTTGTACGCGTACTCCATCTCCAGCCCCTTCAGCACCCCGGCCGCCATGGAGAATAATAATAATAATCAACTTAATGGTGTGTGATCAGACGATGTTATTGTTATGATTATGGTACAGCTTTTTTCTGCTGCGGAATTGGGATGTATGCGTTGATTTCCTTGAAGTGCGCTATATATAGGGAATGGAGCTGAGTCGGTTATGTGACGTTGTGACAGCTTTGAGCCAAGGAGATAAAGGAGAGTCGGTTTTGGAGGGCTTTTGTCGTTTTACCCGATGGGGCGCGGATAATATGGAAAGAGTGGAAGATTTGACTTAATGGTGGGGGTTTTGTGTGTGTGACGATATTTAGGGTTCTTTGAAGATCATGAGTCACCAATTACAGGCACATCGTGGCGCCTGCTCCTTACTGTGTGTATTTTGGACCAGCGGCGGTTACTTCATCCGGTTGTTCTCGTTGCTCATCGTTGTATATCCATACAAAAAACACTATTAAATACAAACTAAGATATGCGCAATAACGAGAAATCTTGATGTATACGTTAACTATTCGTAATTTATATAATTAGATAATTACTTTTACAGAAATTTTTGGCGTAAGATTCGAATTTTTGGTGTGGTGTGGTTTATGTTTTGATATTATGACTAGATTATCTTTTTTAGATGCCCAAAATACAAGTATGCAATTTTAATGTAATGGAAAGGGTTCTTCTAAACTGATAAATTGGGGAAGTAAAAAAAAAAAACATAAGAGTTGAATGAAGTTGCTCGACTGAAAGGAAGATGAATAAATTTTATTGATAGTCCTCCTCTTTTTCAGAGTCTGATGAATGAGTAGTTTTCATCCCTAATTATCCAAGTCAACCTGTCATTATAAATTGAAGAAGACACATTAATTATCATGGGTTGACTGTATTATGCACCATTCATGTTTTATATACGATTTTCAAATAAATTATCATGTTTGATGCTCGAAGAGCCTTGCAGATTTTTGTAGTTTGTTGTTATGTATCTACGTCATTATAATTGAGGGTGCGTAATGGGTTGTTGTGCTGGGCTAGTCTTCCACTTCCAATAAAATGCAACGTGATCTAGTATGAGTTGGCGATCAGAAGGTATATGGATAGGTATATCAAGGGGTTTTTTCTGGAGATCAGTGGCGTAGCCAGAATTTCATTCAAGGGGGTGCATTAATAAAAATAACATAAACAAATACATTAACATAAATCAATTTTATCTTCTGACTATCGTTGTCATACAAAGTTATTGATTTTCTCTAATAATCCGCACGTCATAACCATCTTAATAAACTGTATTAATATATATATTAGTAGGTTAAATTAATTTATATAATCAATCATGGTTGGATACTAAAAATTTGCGAATTAACAATAAGATTTTGAGTTCATTGTTAGTACTACTATTTTTTGTGGTGCTCCAAATCCAGGGGGTGCAATGAGGCTAGCTCCGCCCCTGCTGGAGATATTGGAGATTCGTTAATGAGAGAGTGATCATGTTTTCTGAGATCGAACAACGAAAAATATTGAATATTATGTTATCGTGAAGACATGGAAGTTGTAAATAGAGTGTCATGTACACATTATTATCAGCTCTACACGTATAATGGATCGACCCCCAAGGTTCACTGAGAAGGCTCGAATAAAACGACCATCGTCACCCCTCAGTACACCTCTTGCTGCCGTACTCGGAGGTGCATGCACAACAGACCCATCCGTGTTCAAGTTCGTTCAACCTTGTTGTGTCCAGCGGCTGATCCGGAACACAGAAGTGCACTGGGCCGCATTTTATTAGAAAAATTAGAATAGTAAAAAAAAATATACTGATTATAATTTCTTTACAATGTAAATTGTACACGACGATATTTTTATTTAGCGAATGCATTAATAATGGAGTCCACATCCATACCAATAGTATACACTGTTTCAAATAAAATACTTGAGCAATCGACTAGAAATCCATCGCTCATTTTATTGTGCAAATCAATTTTCACATGTTTCGTTGTTGATAAGGTTTTATTCGTATTAGCTGTTGAAACGAGCAACATCAACACTAGACAAATCAATCTATTAATCAATTTGCATTGTGTGTCCATCCCTATATCCACCAGCTGCTCTAGTAAATTTTCCAAGGTAACAAACTTCATACATGTTTTAGTCTTTTACGTTTTAAACTTTTTGAATTTTTAGGTTTCATTGTTTTTTAAATGAATAACCTTTGGGGTTAGAATTTATAAGCTAAATTTAGAGTAGTGATTTTGAATATGTTCATTTGAATTATTTTTCTAATTATACCCAATCTTATTTTAAAATAACAACAACCCGAATATCTAAAATCAAAAAATTCATAAGACCTATACTAACTATGGATCCAGAGGAAGACTGGGCCGGGGCCCGGGGTGGCCACCCTCTGGATCCGCCACTAGTTGTGTCTATCGAATTTTAGCTTTCGCTGGTTCTCCCTGCTCCAAATAAATTGCTTTCCTTCTCAAAAGCTAATATAATGTTTTTTCACCTCTTTTCCTTACTGAGTTTTGTTCCAAATTTTTGGGTGAAATTGTGGTACTTTATATATTAACCTTTTCCTACTTATTAAATCTATAAAAAAAAATATAATACGTAAGAATAAGTTCTACCATATCTGGATGGGCCCAATTAGCCTACTACTGTGCTACTACACATCATGAGGGTAAGAAATCAAAGTTTATGGGCCCAACACGATGCAGCCCACGATAACAATACGATAAAGTCCGAAGTTCTGGGCTCTGGGAACTCGCGATTGCGGGAACCGCCCTTAGACGACGGAGGAACTCTGACTCCGATGCGATGAACTGATGAAACTGTCAGAGAAATGATGGCTTTCTGCCTCCTCCGGAACCGATTGAAACCATTCCCTAACAATAACAATGTCTTCCGGAGGTGCTTCTCTCCGCTTCCTATCTACACCAACACCAACCTCGCTCATCAGCTCCATTTCATCTTCACCAAGCGCCCTGCTACTTCCCCCGACGACAATCCGGACCTCCGCGCACTTTCCCCCTTCCTCAACCCCAAGCTCGTCGAAACCGTCTTGTATTCGTTCCAGAAGTGGAACCTTGCTCACTTCTTCTTCACATGGGCATCCAACCAGCAAGGATACCGCCACAATGCCTACACTTTCAATGCCATGGCGTCCATCCTATCACGTGCTCGACAAAATGCCCCACTGAGAGCACTGTCCGAACAAATCCTCCGTTCCCGGTGTCCCATGACCCCTGGGGCTCTGGGTTTCTTCATTCGCTGCTTGGGCTGTGCTGGGCTTGTGGAGGAAGCCAATTCCTTGTTTGACCAAGTTCAAAGCGAGGGTCTTTGCTTCCCCAATGTCTACGCTTACAATTGCTTGCTTGAGGCTGTATCTAAGTCGAACTGTGTGGATTTGGTTGATGCCAGGTTGAAGGAGATGTCCGACCGTGGCTTTGTGTTCGACAAGTATACCCTGACTCCAGTCCTGCAGGTTTATTGTAATGCCGGGAGATTCGATAAGGCATTTGATGTTTTCAACATGATTTCCGATCGTGGATTTCTGGATGGGTACTTGTTCTCCATATTGGCGTTGGCTTTTACAAAGTGGGGTCAGGTGGACAAGGCATTTGAGTTGATTGAGGTTATGGAAGCTCGAAATGTTGGGTTCACTGAGAAGACTTTTATCGTGTTGATTCATGGTTTCCTGAAGCAGTCCAGACTGGACAGGGCTCTCCAGTTATTTGATAAGATGAAGAATTCCGGATTTGTGCCTGATATTTCTCTCTACGATGTTCTAATTGGAGTGTTCAGCACTGCAAAAGAACTGGACAAAGCTTTAGGTTTGTATGCTGAGATGAAGGAGTTCAACGTCCAACCGGATACTGGCATAATCACAAAGCTTATATCTTGTTGCAATGATGAAGGTGAACTAAAGCGCCTTTTTAAAGAAATTGGGAGGGATATGAATCTGGAAGCTTTGACTATGCTCTACAATTCTTTGTTGACTGTTCTTGTTAATAATGATTCGATAGACAAAGCCTACAGCCTTCTTCGAGTGATGCTTGGAGAAAGCTGCAGCGATGATCTCCAGGGGGATGAGTTCTGCTGGGAAAATGACATCGTCCCGTCACCTAATGCTTCTAGTTTTGGAGTTGTTATCGATGGGTTGTGCAAGGCTGGTAAGCTGGACTTGGCAGTTGGCCTCTTTCGAGATATGGGTCAGAATATCGGCTGTAAACCAAACCTATTGATCTACAACAACTTGATCTCCGGCTTGTGCAGTTCTGATAGGATGGAGGATAGTTTAGAGATTCTGAGAGAGATGGAGAAATCAGGATTGGTGCCCTCCCCATTTACTCATAACGTGATATTCGGGTGCCTATGCAAGAGAATGGACGTTGCAGGAGCTCTTGATCTGATAAAAAAGATGCGAGTTCATGGCCATGAGCCTTGGATAAAACACTGTACCTTGATGGTGAAGGAACTCTGCAAGCACAAGAAGGCAGTAGAAGCTTGCAAGTTCCTCGACGACGTGGTTGACGAAGGTTTCATACCTGATATGATCGCTTACTCAGCTGCATTAGACGGATTGATCAGGATTCACGAGGTGGATCTAGCTATGGAGCTGTTTCAATACATTGTTGCTCGAGGTAACTACCCTGATGTGGTTGCTTACAACACGATGATGAAAGGGCTTTGCCAGGCCAAGAGAGTTGCTGAAGCCGAGGAACTTTTGAAGGAGATGGCGACAAAGGGGCTGGTTCCATCAGTGGTTACATACAACTCGCTCATAGATGGGTGGTGCAAGAACGGTTCTCTCGAGGCAGCCATGCGTTGCCTATCTGAAATGTTTGATAAAGGGAGGGAGCCGAACGTGATCACTTATACCACTCTCGTGAATGGACTGTGCAACGCTGGAAGGCCGGAGGAAGCTCTCGCTGTGTGGAACGAAATGGTGGCCGTGAAGGGTTTGGCTCCTGGCGAGATCGCTTTCATGGCTCTCGTTCATGGCCTCTGCAAGTGCGGAAGGCCCAACGAGGCTGTGGTGCATTTGCGAGAGATGAAATCGAGAGAGATGAAACCAGATGGTTATGTATACACGGCGTTGATAAGCGCTTTCCTCGCTGAACTGAACCATCCCTTGGCTCTGGAAATGGTAGAAGAAATGGTTCGTGAGGGAAGGTTCCCGGGTAAGCTCGACAAGAACCACGCAATTGCCAGAGATGCTGTTATCGAGCTGTTGAGGGACAGCAGGACTTCTTCGAGTATTAGAGATCTCATAGCTGAAGGCAATATTCCTTCCATTAGTATGTCAGACGTCCAAAGTGAAAGTTTGGATGGGTGCATTACTTGATCATCTTCATCATATTTGCCTAATTGAAATGTGTATCCATTGTGGTTACGCATGTTAGAGCTATCGACCATTCGGTCGAGGAACTTAGGATATTACTCATACACAGAAGGAACAAGTCTTCTATTGCTTTATGAAATCTCTTGATACTTGATAGCTTTCTTATAGTCACCTCTTGTGGTTTCCTCTCACGGGCAGAGTGCTAGCTCATGTTTCATGATTCGAGCTCCATAGTGGTGGAGACATTTTGTTAGCTCTTGTCTGATTCTTTGTGGCAGGTACCTCTCCCTCATATTATTTACAAAAATGTCGCTGCATTTTTGAGCGACTAGAAATACTTGGTAAGATTATCCACATATTTTCAGGCAAGGAAGAGGTGCGGAGAAACGACCAGGGACAAGGAGGGGTTGAAAAAGACACTGGGGAGGAAAACGGAAACGGGTGACCCGAATCTGACGTGGGAAATGGCTGGCCAGGCAAATCTTATTCCTTTCTTGAACTCCGTTATATTTTAACAGTCGTCTAATCCAACTCACTCTGCATCATCTCTGGTTTTCCTTCTCCAGCTGGTACTTCAATGGAAGCTCTCGCCACTTCCCGCCACCACATCCCTCTTCCTCTCCTTCAATCGCCACCTCAAATATCATCTACCCTTTCTTCTTCGTGTTACCGGAATCTGAGTTTCAGCGCGGCCAACAAGCCGTCGCGATCCTCCTCTTCATTCGGAACCGCTTCGAGCCCCGGACTAGTGCGTCCTTCCACCTCCTATTCCAGCATCAGATGTGGTGCATCTTCTTCGTCTTCCGCAATTACCCAGATTACAGAAGCCGAGTTCCCGTCCGTTGTACTCAGCTCCGACCGGCCCGTCCTCGTCGAGTTCATTGCTAGTTGGTGCGGCCCTTGTCGCCTGATCTCTCCCGCCATGGAGTGGCTAGCCAAGGTCTTCTTCTATTCTATTGCCTCTCCTTAGTCCTTACACAGAACTGTGGAAAATTGGGACCTCTAGTTGATTAGGGTTCAGCAGCGGTCCTAGCCCTAGGGGCTATTGGGAATGTTTCATGAACTGCCGCTAATGCATTCTCTTGCAATAGCGAAAGATATGAAATTGACGATTGTCTTGGTCTTTTATCTTCAGGAATATGCTGACAGATTGACCGTTGTGAAGATCGATCACGATGCCAATCCGAAGCTAATTGAAGAGTACAAAGTATATGGATTGCCCGCATTGATGCTCTTCAAGGATGGACAGGAAGTTTCCGGGAGCCGGAGGGAAGGTGCTATTACGAAGGCGAAGCTCAAAGTGTATGTTGATTCACTCTTGGACTCCATCTCAGTTGCATAGTAACTTACAGCTATTAGCAAGTAGTAGCATATGTTGAAAACCGTCCTTCCCGCCGGTCACCGGTAGGAGGAATTTTTGCTGCATTTGGCTGTGTACTAATGTCATATATGAACACTTAACTCTCCATTGGGGGGATATGCTCTATTATTTGTTGTGGTCTTGTGGATATATAGCTATTGTGGCAAAATACCACTGCAATTGAATGAAGAGGAAACCCCTTGTTGAATGGGTTGTGGCTTCCATCATCTTGAATGTAAAGCTTATTACTTTTCGGCAGTGATATGCTTGACCTCGATGTTCTTTGTTTGGGAAACTTTTCTTGGGAACTTTTCTTTTAAGTTGGTCTGCAGGGCAGTGTCTATGGCGGAACAGAGAGAAAGAGACAGAGGCAGAGTAACAAACTAATGCTTGCTTGGTCTTTGTTAAGAAAGGGGGGAAAACTCAGCTTTCCAAAATCCCCTAACATAATTCAAGGGTTATTGTTGAAACAACAAGTAGCTCCCAACTAAAACAACTCTCACCTACAAATACTACTCCTGCCTTTGCTCTGCTCTGCTCACTCGTCTCTGTTTTGTTTTTCCTTCCTCTATGCCCTTTCTTTTTCCTTCTTTCTTTGGTGTCCTTATTTGAAAACAAAGCCTGAACCTCATAATGTGCTAGTCCTATGTGCTTCATCTTCAAGCCTCCATATCCTTGATCTTGGTACTGCTGGCCGTGCCAACCACAGCATCGTCCGGGATATACTGTCCCCAGAACCAGTGCTTCCTCCATACATTGTTCATCTCTTCAATGGGGACGTTCTTGGTCTCCGGTAGGAAGAAGTAGATGAAGAGCGTCATGACCACCACCCAGCAGGCGAAGAAGAGGAAAAGCCCGAACTTCATGTGGCAGAGCATGGTGAGGAAGAACTGGCCGATGATGAACGTGAAGGCCATGTTCACAGCCACATTAATGGCTTGCCCCGCTGATCGGATCTCCAGTGGGCAGATCTCGCTCGGCACCAGCCACCCCAAAGGCCCCCACGACCACGCAAATGCCGCCACGTAGAAGCAGATCAGGATGAGCACGAGCAGCGAGTCGGCTTTAGACATCACCCCAACTCCTGCAGACCCAAATGCCTTGGCGATCATCACTGCAACAAGCACCTGCAGCACGCACAGACACACATACACACACAAGAAAATTGTCAGAGAGAAACGTCCTAATGGTAAGAGTAGACATTGAAAATGTTCAGATTTTGTCACGCCCTCTTCCAGCCTTACCTGACTAACAATCATTTGAATGCCTCCTTCCAGGAACAGAGCCCTTCTCCCCAACCTATCCACCGCCAAGATCGAAATGAAGGTCGCAAAGACATTGACAAGGCCAGTGATGACAGCAGACATGAGGGAAGCATCGTCACCGAATCCCAGAGTCTTGAACAGGACTGGCGCGTAGAACATGATCACATTGATCCCAGTGAACTGCTGGAAGAAAGGCACAAGGAAGCAGATAGCCAAATGAGGCCTGTACTCCGGCTTCAAGATGGTCGACCACTGGCCATCCACTCTCATTGCAGCATGTGTCGCGTCGATCAGGTCCTGGAACTCCTCGTCGACATTGTCAGTGCCGCGGATCTTCTTCAGCATCTCCCTGGCCTTCTCGGTGTTGCCCCGTGCCAGGATCGAGTTCGGGGTGTCCGGCAGAAAGATGGACCCGACAGTGATCATAATGGCAGGGACGGCAGCGAGCCCCAACGAGGCTCTCCATCCCCAGTCCTTGGATGCAAATGTAAAGTTGATCAAACCTGCGACCAAGATGCCGATGGTGATCGCCATCTGGAACCCGATGTTGAGAGCTCCCCTTAGCTGAGAAGGCGCCATCTCGGACAGATAAAGCGGGACAGACTGGTTGGCGAACCCGACCCCAACACCAAGAAGCAGGCGACCGACGATGAGCATCGCGACGTCGACTGCTACACCGTTGAGGATCGCTCCGGCGAGGAACACGATGCCTCCGAACAGCATCGAGATCTTTCGGCCGAAAACCTTGGTGACATAGGCTGCGACCGCGGAGGCGAACAGGGCGGCGAGGTAGAGGGATGAGGTGAACAATGTGAGGAGATGGCTGTCGAATTTGCAGTACATGCTCTCGTGGTGGCCTTCTTTTTCCTTCTTGTACACGGAAGGGAAGAACTTGCTCAAGAACGAATCCATGGAGGTGACACCGCCCGAGATCCCGATGTCGTACCCGAAGATCAGACCTCCACATGCTGCAACTATGCAGGCGATGAGCACGAACCCGGTGACGCGGCCTTGGAACTGCTTTGTTCCGCTATCGGGGACATAGCCACCTCCAGCCATTTCGGAAACCCACCTCTGTTTTTAAGCTTTCTTTCTGGTTGCTTTACTACTTTCTGGTCTCTGTTAAATCACCTAATTATTTATTCTACGCAGGATGCTAATGATCTACTGCAACAGAACACACAACCAGGAGAGGATGGTCGTGGGGGAGTTGGGGACTTATTACTTATTAACCAAAAGGATGGTTTTTGTGCTGATTAGAGCAGTGAGAGGAGATCGACGTGCTTATATGATGCAGGAAGCCATGAAAGTAGGCAACTGCATGGTGATGATTTAGTATAGCGCTGAAAGTCAGTGAAGGTTTTGGTATTGGTGTTGAGTTTTGTCTTAAATCTGCTGTTGGTCTCCGTTCAAATTGGTCCTAAAATAGTCTTCTTTCTTTGCTATTTTGTCCCTGCAAATTTGGATTTTCTAAATAAATAAATCAATGTATATTTACTAATTAAAAATGTAATGAACAATTAGGATGATATTTTTTTTTTCTGCTGCTTTGTGCTTAATTGGAGAGATTATGCATTTGAAGCATTTCCATTGAGCCAACACAAGGAGCTCTATATTTGGATTTACTTTTACCATATTTAATTCTCTTGTCCTTTGTTGTTAGCTAACTAACTACTATGGTCTATCGATGATGAACTTAAACCACTTGGATTTAAGCTTGAAAAGTTTGACATAGGGGATCGTGTGTGGTCGATTGTGAATATGTTAATATTTGGATGAATGTTCGTAACAAGTGGACGTAAGTGGCGAAGATCATAAGCGATCGTGTACAAAAAGAATATGGAGAGTGAATTGGAGGAGAACAGGCAATCACCTTTTCACTTAAGGAAGTGAAACTCGACTCTCGAGCATGAGAAGTCACAAGCGATCCTCATAGTCGGAGTCACCTACACTGGAGGTTTATGAAATGGAACACACCTTCTTAGCTTAGATCGATGGTTATGGTTGCGTCACAAGTTAGAGGCAACAAACCCACTAGCAAATCGCGGCCCAAATCTACATAGAACATAAGCCTGTCTAGTTGTCTACTCACTAGCGATAAGCAAAACCGACATGTAACAATAAAAAATCTATTATGTAATATTTATAAATGTAGTAAATTTATTATCAAAAAAATAAATGTAGTAATTTCAACTACACGTTTATAACTCTCTGATAATTCGCAATTTCCCCAATTAATCCATTTCATATTCGGCTTATTACGGCCGGCAGTGCAGATAGAGTGAGAAAAGTCTCCCCTTCTTCTTCGTCCTGTCTTCCTCTCTCCCCCGATGTCTTCCGCAGGAACTCCAACCGGCGCCGCTGCCACAGCTCGCCCTCCTCCCGCCTCCGTACCAAAGGCTTTCTTCTGCTACCAATGCAATCGCACGGTCACCATATCCGTCTCTCCGACCTCCGATCCCCTATGCCCTTCCTGCAACGAAGGTTTCTTAGAGGAGGCTGAAAACCCTAACCCCGGTCCAAATCTCTCCTCCGCCGCAGCAGCCGACCCCTTCGGCGATGCCTTCTTCCCTCCCATGAGCCCCTTCTCCCTTCTCCCTCTACTCTTCTCCTCCTCCTCCGCCCACGGTGGCTCCGCGACCTTCGAATTCCAAAACCCTAACAGCTTCGGCGCCCAGCGATCGCCCTCCGATCAGGCCGAGTTCAACCCCCACGATTTCCTCCGCAACTACCTCAACAACCTCCACAACGACGGCGCCAGAATTCAGTTCTTCATGGACAACAATCCTCCCGCTGGCAACCTCGGCGATTACTTCATCGGCCCGGGACTCGAGCAATTGATCCAGCAGCTGGCAGAGAACGACCCCAACCGCTACGGAACTCCTCCTGCTGCGAAATCAGCAATCGACGCCCTCCCTACCGTCAAGATCACCGGCGAGGCCCAGAGTTCTGAGATGAATCAATGTGCTGTATGCAAGGATGAGTTCGAGACGGGTGATGAGGCGAAACAGATGCCTTGTAAGCATGTCTATCATCCTGATTGCATTGTCCCCTGGCTTGAATTGCACAATTCATGCCCAGTTTGCCGCTACGAGTTGCCCACGGATGATTCCGAGTACGAGACCAGGAGGCGCAACGGTGACCAAGGGGGCAACAACCAGAGCCCCGATGCTGGAGGTCGGACGGAGAGAAGGTTTAGCATTCAGTTGCCGTGGCCGTTCGGCAGACAAGGTGGTTCCAGCAGCGATGGGGGAGCTGGTGGCGGCCAAAGTAGTGCCTGATTTCCAATTGGGTTAGTTGTTTATTTTCCTGTTATCTTTTTTTTCATTCATTGTCTAAAGATTGACCATAGCAATATAGCGATTCCTCTGTATAGTTTGAATCTTTGGGAGTTTTATTCTTAATTGTTGAGCTGAATCAATTACCTTAAGCCTGTTCATATTGATATTCGTTACTTAATGAGGTCCCGGAATATGATTTGAGGAGAAGCATCAGCTTTAAAATTGAGGGTATAATGTGCTTAACGTATGTTGCTCTTCAATAGATGGTTCATTGTACTCGAGTGTTCTGAAGATTTTCCATACTAAGTTGCAAAATTGAGATGCTTTGGAATTTTTTGCTATGCCCACCCTCTCGTTAAGGCAAGAATACATGTTTACTCAGGAACCCAACTATTATAACTTTTCTGTCAACTTCTGGGTAGATGTTACTCTTTCATATGCAAGTCTTAGATGTTGTTGAGGTGCCCCGATTTCGTTATTCTATGCCTAGCTTGGCCCATATGTATGTTTCTCGATGACTTTTTGCTTAATGAATATTAAGAATGCTGGTTGATGTAAGTTGAGCAAAGTGGAATTTGTGGAGACATTACCTGGTGACTTTCCAAGCTCTTACTTATAGATAGTTACAGTGGCATTCTATTGGGAGTATGATGTAGCACAGGTAGGTTGCTTATGTTGTTTGGAGTGCTCGTATGATTAGGTTTTTTATATACTTTCGTATTTTATACTTCCCTTGACCAGACATTGGGATTAGTAGTGGCCATTTGTTTCAAATTCTAGGTTTTGAGTAAGTGCATGTTGCAGCTGTGCTCCCTTTTCCTGAGATTTCTGGACTGTGTGTGTGTGTCCATTCTGATCTACTCTTCGTGATATCCCTTTCCACATGCATTAGACAGTACTTTATGGTAGCGGTACATGGTCATTATTTTGTCTCTCCAAATGGGATATTCTGTGAGTCATGGAAGTCGGATGGGGGTTTCTTGTTCTTTGTCGGGAGGAGAGGGGATTTCCGTTTTCAGTCAGCACTTGCCTAGGAAGTACACAAACGCAAGCTGTGTGTATCTTTAGCCTGATGGTGCAGAATTTCCGTCTGAAGTAGCAGGAAGAATACATTGTGTCATTTAATGTCAGCGAATGCAACTCCAGTGAAGAGGATAGGGTTTAAGTGTCTGAGATCAGACTTGTTGTTCTTAGGTTTGTTATACTTTCCTGGCCATTTAATTTGGAGCAATTGATCAAAATGGTCCCACAAGTTTGATCAAGTAACAAAATGGGCACAAACGTTGAAACGTAACCTTACGCAAGTATTATTATGTTATAACAAAACAGCTATTCCATGTATTTTCATTTATATTTCCATCCAAAATGACCAGTTTGCTTAAATAATCGGTAATTTTACATGTTGGTTAGGTGGTTGATAATTTGTTATCAATTTTCCATGGTGTCATCAAAATATTCGATTATTATGGATGAAAACATGTTTAAAAATAGATAAAATGACTGTTTTGTTGTATCATGATACGTATATGATATTTTTGTTACGTTTTAAATGTTTGTGACCATTATATTACTGGTACAAACCTATTTGACAGTTTTGATTAATTACCTATTTAATTTGTTTTGTCTACCAAACTCCTTTTTCAGGTTAATGGAGAATGCTCCTGAGTCCTGAGCAGCAACACAGAGCAGATGAAGGCATGAAGAACAGCTAGAGCTGCTGAATGAAGAACACGAAGACCACTATGATGCTTTGAGAAACGACAACATTCTGCTTTAGTTCTGGAATTAGTAGAAGACCCAGAACGGTGACGTTTCCTTTGGTCGAGTGCAATTAGTTAGTAAATAGACAGATGTCGTTTTGTTAGTGGATAGTTTGATTTGTTAGTTAATAAGCATTGTAGGTTAACCGTTAACTCTGTTTCCTCTGTACATATATATATGGGCAATCCAGAAAATGAAAGAACTCAGTTTTTGAGTCCTCTTCACCAAAAACCCTAGTAGATTTGATTTCTTCTTATGGTATCAGAGCCTGGTTCGCCAGGTCTGACCGTCGCTTCTCTAATTCACTGAACTTCCTTTCTTCTACACCGATTTCTCTACAATGTCTGCTTTTGGGATTCTTGCGGATTATGTAGAAGAGGCGGTCTCAGCAAACAATGAGACTTTACCTCGCATGTCGCAACCCAAATCTCAGTGACTCAACGCCTTTATTCCTCCAGAGGTTCCTCGATATGAAGATTCTTACCTCAATTCCTAATACTTACCAGCACACGATGGGGGTTTGACAACCATCATCAACATGAAACTCACCGACCAAAATTACAATCTATGGAGTCAGGCAATGGAACTGGCTCTTAGCACTAAGAATAAGCTTCAATTCGTGAATGGCATGATTCCAGTCCCAGAGATAGGAGATCCCATTTGGCAGTCATGGCATAGGTGTGATAGCACAGTTAGGTGTTGGATCTACAATTCCCTTTCAGATGACAAAGCCAACAGTGTTGTTCCCTATAAGGTTGCCAAGGATGTTTGGGACAATCTTAAGGATAGGTTCAGTCAAGCATATAATATTAGGGTTTATGAGCTCAAGGAACAGATCTCCAAACTTGTTCAAGGAGATCTAACAATGACTCAATATTATACTTTTTTGACAACCAAATGGCAAAAGTATAAGATGTATAGGCCAGTGTCATGTTGCCCATGTGCAAATAACACTTTCTTCACTATCCAGAGGTATGAGGAGCACGATTTCATCATTAAGTTCATGCAGGGACTTAATGATTCTTATCAGTCAGCAAGAACTCAAGTTGTTATGAATGCTCAGTTGCCCAACATTAAGTCTGTCTTCAAACAGATGGTTCAGCTAGAGAGACAGATGAAGGGACTTGGGACAAGTAAGGGTCGTGTTGATTCCCTTGCTCTTCTAGCATCAGGTCAACCACCTAGACAACCTAGAAAAGGGCAAGGCACCCGCAATCATAGGGACTACACTACTGATGGGAAGAAATAGTGTAGGTACTGCAAGAAGGAGTACCACACTATATAGAATTGCTTGAAACTGAAGAACAAGCTTGCTAAGGAAGGTGGGCAACCCTTTGTTGGTTCAGTGGAAACTGGTTTACATGACACTGGTGATTCTTATGATGGCTCCTCTAGAGCTAGTAGGACTGAGAAGGATTTGGATTTGGATCTGAGTTCACTTCTCACCTCAGACCAATTTGAGAAGCTAAAGGCTATGATCATCAGGTCACCTTCAACATCACCTTCTCCACCTACCTCACCTCACACTGCTAATGTTATAGTTAGGAGTACACCACCACCACATGCTGTCAATCAAGTGCACAGAACCACACCTGCTTCCACCCATCATGTTGCTAGTTCATTAGGTAATTCTTCTTCACCTAAGTCTGTAGTATGGATACTAGATACTGGAGCTACTGATCACATTGCTTGTGATATGAGTTTCTTCCTGAAGTTTAAACCACTTGGACAAGTGTTTGTGAGTTTACCTAATGGTCAGCAAGTGCAAGCAACTCACATTGGAATCATCACTCTTCCTTGTGGATTGTTCCTCACTCAAGTCCTCTTTGTTCCTTCTTTTACTTACAATCTAGTTTTTGTAGTTAAACTCACTCAAAACCAGCCTGTCTCATTAGTTTTCAAATCCATTTTTTGTGTCATTCAGGACCTTATTACTCGGAGGAGGATTGGTTTAGCCCAAGTTGATAGAGGTCTCTACTTGTTTAAGGATCACAAAAGCCAGGAGTTTGCTTACCCTACAGAGTCCAAAGCTTTTGCAGCAGGAGTACACAACCTACAGAGTCAGGATTTTAACATCTGATATGCCAGATTAGGACACCCCTCATTGCCTAGACTAAAAGTAGTAAAACAACATTGTAATAAAGTAGAATTACCTTCTCATTCCCACTGTGAAGTCTGTCATTTGGCTAAACATAAACGATTGCCCTTTCCTATCAGTACTTCTGTTAGTTTGAAGGCTTTTGAGCTCCTTCATGTTGACATTTGGGGTCCCCTCAATACAGTTTCCAGAGATGGTTTTTCCTATTTTCTAACTGTGGTTGATGACTACAGTAGAGCTGTTTGGGTGTTCTTTTAAAATCTAAGGGAGAGGCCAGATCCACCCCCCCCCCCCCCCCCCCCCCACAGTCTTTTTGTTTGATGGTTCATACACCATTCAATCTCCCCATCAGAACAATTCGCACAGACCAAGGCCAGGAGTTCCAGATGACAGATTTTTACAGTGCTCATGGTATTGTTCATGAGATGAGATGTGTCTATACAGCACAGCAAAATGGTCGTGTTGAAAGAAAACATCAACACCTCTTGAATGTAGCTCGTTCCCTAAAGTTCCAATCAGGGCTACTTCTTCTCTACTGGAGTGACTTTGTCCTCCATGCAGCCTACCTAATCAATCGCACAAATACCCCAATTTTGAACCACAAAACACCTTTTGAGATGTTATACAAAGCCCCACCAGATTACATGAGCCTTAGGGTGTTTGACTGTTTAGCCTATGCCACTACAGTAGAAGGTCACAAACACAAGTTTGATCCTAGGGCTAAACAATGTGTTTTTCAAAGCATTCCAACTGGTATTAAGGGTTTTAAGTTGCGGGAACTATAAACTAAACGTGTTTTTGTTAATAAAGATGAAGTGTTCTATGAAGTTATATTGCCCTTTAAGGGCTCTTCTACATCTCCTTCCTTTTCTCAAGTTGATAGTTCACAACACCTGTCAACTACTCCCAATTTCTTTTGTCCTCAGGATTCCTCTTGTTCAGAATCCTGGTCTACCATTGAGCCTGAGTTGGCAACTTCTTCTCCTTCTATTGTCACACCTTCCCTTATTCCACCTGCTCCTTCCCCATTCCCTGTTCCTTCACCATCACCTGTTTCTTCTTATCTCCCTTCCTCCTCCACTGCTCCTACATCTTCTCCTCCTTCACCTACACCAGTAGTACCACTTAGAAAGTCCACAAGGTATAATGTGTTTCCTAAAAAGTTGATGACTTCTATGTGGATTCCTTGCAAGTCGGTTCTGGTCCCACCTGCATTCCCTTTGATCTTGCTCACCCGACTCCTCAACAACAACATTTTGCTATTACTATTGCCACCCATGTGGAACCTACCAGTTATGCTCAAGCAGTCAGGGATCCTGGTTGGAATGCAGCTATGACTGATGAGATTAGAGCTTTACTTGAAAACCACACTTGGGACATAACTGACTTGCCATAGGGGGTCAAGCCAGTAGGGAATAAATGGGTGTACAAGACTAAATTCCATCAGGATGGAAGCATTGAGAGGTTTAAGGCTCGAGTTGTTTCCAAAGGGTATACACAAGTCTATGGCATAGACTATTGTGATACCTTTTCTCCTGTTGCCAAATTGAATTCAATAAAAACTTTGTTAGCCGTTGCTTCCATTAAGAACTGGCTCCTACACCAAATGGATGTAAACAATGCTTTTTTGAATGGAGATTTGGAAGAGGATGTTTACATGGAACTTCCACAAGGGTTGAGGGAAAAGCCAGAGTACAAAGGGAAGGTCTGCAAGTTGAGAAAGTCTCTGTATGGCCTTTAGCAGGCTAGCAGGATGTGGTATGCTAAGCTAACTGAATCCCTATTGGCCAATGGTTTCAGGCAGTCAAAGGCAGACTATTCCATTTTTCTTAGACATTAAAGGTCATATTGTTGTTGTTATTGTCAATGTAGATGACCCCCTTCCAGTGTGAAGCAGGTGTTATCAACTAATGAGGGAGATCCTTAACATTAGCCACTGCAAACATCTACTTGGTCAGTTGCAGAATCTCACCAGTACAAGGCTTGACATTACTTTTGTTGTTCAGCAGTTATGTTAGTTTCAGGACTCACCTACCATTGTGCATTTCAAAGCATTACAGAGAGTATTCAGATACTTAAAAATTGTCCAGGTCAGGGCATCTTCTACTCATCAAGTTCTTCCTTGCAGCTGATTGGTTATAGCGATTCAGACTGGGCTACATGTCCAGATACAAGGAGATCCTTGACTGGTTTTTGTTTCTTCTTAGGCACAGGTTTGATAAGTTGGAAAACAAAGAAGCAGATCACTTTATCTCGGTCTTCTTCTGAGGCTGAGTATAGAGCTTTAGATCTACTCAGTTGTGAGATACAGTGGCTAGTAAGATTACTTGTAGATTTTGGAATTGATCATTCTTTTCCTGCCATGGTTTATTGTGCAGCCAGTCAGCAATTCATATTGACCGCAACCCTCTGTTTCATGAATGCACGAAACACATTGAAGTGGATTGTCATGTGATTAGAGAACGTTTGGTGAATGGTTTGATCAATTTGCATCACATTCTTACTTTGCATCAGTTGGCAGATTTCTTTACTAAAAGTCTTGGGATATATCGCTTCAATTACTTGATTAGCAAGCTTCAATTACTTGATTAGCAAGCTGGGAGTATCAGGTCACACTCGCCAGCTTGTTGGGGGGGGGGGGGCGGGGGGGCGGGGGGGAGGGGGGTAATGGAGAATGCTCCTGAGCAGCAGCATAGAACAGATGAAGGCATGAAGAACAGCTATAGCCGCTGCTGAATGAAGAACACGAAGACCACTATGATGCTTTGAGAAACGGCAGCGTTCTGCTTCACTTCTGGAATTAGTAGAAAACCCAGAACGGTGACGTTTCCTTCGGTCGAGTGCAATTAGTTAGTAAATAGACAGATGTCATTTTGTTAGTGGATAGTTTGATTTGTTAGTTAATAAGCACCGTAGATTAGCCGTTAACTCTGTTTCCTCTGTACATATATATGGGCAATCCAGAAAATGAAGAACTCAGTTTTTGAGTCCTCTTCACCAAAAACGCTAGCTGATTTGATTTCTTCTTACAAGTCATGAAAAGATGGGAGGGAAGGGAAGCAAGTAGAGGTGTCACTTTTTTTTATTTTTATTTTTTGTTACAAGAGGCAAGCAAAGGAAAGGGACAGCCAAAACAAGTGTGTATTACAGAAAGATGGCGAAGAAGGAGAGAGTGAGAGATTAGGTTTTGGAGGGATCGTGTGAGCTAGATTGGTGGTTGTGGTTGTGTCAAAGGTTAGAGTCGAATGGATGGTTGTGATTGCAGAGGTATCTAACAAATAACTCACAAATCACAAATAGTAATGATTTTTGGATATGCAGACAAAGGTGGTGACATATTTAGCCATCAACTATTACTCTTAAGTGGTTAAACTTCAACCAATTAACCAGTAATCAATTAACCAATGACGGACTCATATTCCGAAATCCGAATCGATTTTTTTTTCCCCACTTGATTTTGTGTGGACTTATATATATAGGCAGGGCTTAAATCCCACTCTCAACACTCAAGCAGCTTTTGGACAAAGTGGGGCTGGGTAGCTCGTTGGAGCTCACTGGAAAACCCATTCGACTTATACCCATGGGCTTCTTAGACATTTTTCTTAACAAACCCGCGAATCGCGGCCCAAATCTACGTACAACATAAGCCTGCCCAGTTGTCTATCCACTAACAATAAGGAAAACCGACATGTAACAATTAAAAAATCTATTATTTAATATTTTATAAATATAAGTTAGTTGTATTGTAAATTCAACTGCACGTTTATAATACTCCAATAATTCGCAATTTCCCCAATTAATCCAGTTCATATTCGGCTTATTACGGCCGGCCGCGCAGATAGAGAGAGAAAAGTCTCCCCTTCTTCTTCGTCCTGTCTTCCTCTCTCCCCCGATGTCTTCCGCAGGAAATCCAACCGGCGGAGGTGGCGCCGCCGCCACAGCTCGCCCTCCTCCCGCCTCCGTACCAAAGGCTTTCTTCTGCTACCAATGTAATCGCACGGTCACAATATCCGTCTCTCCGACCTCCGATCCCCTATGCCCTTCCTGCAACGAAGGTTTCTTAGAGGAGGCTGAAAACCCTAACCCCGGTCCAAATCTCTCCTCCGCCGCAGCAGCCGACCCCTTCGGCGATACCTTCTTCCCTCCCATGAGCCCCTTCTCCCTCCTCCCTCTACTCTTCTCCTCCTCCTCCGCCCACGGTGGCTCCGCGACCTTCGAATTCCAAAACCCTAACATCTTCGGCGCCCAGCGATCGCCCTCCGATCAGGCCGAATTCAACCCCCACGATTTCCTCCGCAACTACCTCAACAACCTCCACAACGACGGCGCCAGAATTCAGTTCTTCATGGACAACAATCCTCCCGCTGGCAACCTCGGCGATTACTTCATCGGCCCGGGACTCGAGCAATTGATCCAGCAGCTGGCAGAGAACGACCCCAACCGCTACGGAACTCCTCCTGCTGCGAAATCAGCAATCGACGCCCTCCCTACCGTCAAGATCACCGGCGAGGCCCAGAGTTCTGAGATGAATCAATGTGCTGTATGCAAGGATGAGTTCGAGACGGGTGATGAGGCGAAACAGATGCCTTGTAAGCATGTCTATCATCCTGATTGCATTGTCCCCTGGCTTGAATTGCACAATTCATGCCCAGTTTGCCGCTACGAGTTGCCCACGGATGATTCCGAGTACGAGACCAGGAGGCGCAACGGTGACCAAGGGGGCAACAACCAGAGCCCCGATGCTGGAGGTCGGACGGAGAGAAGGTTTAGCATTCAGTTGCCGTGGCCGTTCGGCAGACAAGGTGGTTCCAGCAGCGATGGGGGAGCTGGTGGCGGCCAAAGTAGTGCCTGATTTCCAATTGGGTTAGTTGTTTATTTTCCTGTTATCTTTTCTTTCATTCATTGTCTAAAGATTGACCATAGAAACATAGCGATTCCTCTGTATAGTTTGAATCTTTGGGATTTTTATTCTTAATTGTTGAGCTGAATCAATTACATTAAGCGTGTTCATCTTGATATTCGTTACTTAATGAGGTCCCGGAGTATGATTGGAGGAGAAGTATCAGCTTTAAAATTGAGGGTATAATGTGGTTAACCTATGTTGCTCTTCAATTGATGATTCATTGTTCTCGAGTGTTCTGAAGATTTTCCATACCAAGTTGCAAAATTGAGATGCTTTGGAATTTGTCATTATGCCCACCCTCCCGTTGAGGCAAGAATACATGTTTTACCTAGGAACCCAACCATTATAACTTTTCTGTCAACTTCTGGGTAGATGTTACTCTTTCATCTGCAAGTCTTAGATGTTGTTGAGGTGCCCTGATTTCGTTATTCTATGGCTAGCTTGGCCCTATATGTATGTTTCTCGACGGCTTTTTGTTGAATGAATATTAAGAATGCTGGTTGATGTAAGTTGAGCAAAGTGGAACTTGTGGAGACATTACCTGGTGACTTTCCAATCTTTTACTTATAGATAGTGACAGTGGCATTCTATTGGGAGTATGATGTAGCACAGGTGGGTTGCTTATGTTGTTTGGAGTGCTCTTATGATTAGGTTTGTTATATACTTTCGTATTTTATACTTCCCTGGACCAGACATTGGGATTAGTAGTGGCCATTTGTTTCAAATTCTAGGTTTTGAGTAAGTGCATGTTGCAGCTGTGCTCCCTTTTCCTGAGATTTCTGGACTGTCTGTGTGTCCATTCTGTTCTACTCTTCGTGATATCCTTTTCCACGTGCATTAGACAGTACTTTATGGTAGCGGTACATGGTCATTATTTGGTCTCTCCAAATGGGAGATTTTGTGAGTCATGGAAGTCGGATGGGGGTTTCTTGTTCTTTGTCGGGAGGAGAGGGGATTTCCGTTTTCAGTCAGCACTTGCCTAGGAAGTACACAAACGCAAGCTGTGTGTATCTTTAGCCTGATGGTGCAGAATTTCCGTCTGAAGTAGCTGGAAAGAATACATTGTGCCATTTAATGTCAGGGAATGCAACTCCAGTGAAGAGGCTAGGGTTTAAGTGTTTGAGATCAGACTTGTTGTTCTTAGGTTTGTTACACTTTGCTGACCATTGAATTTGTTTTGTCTACCGAACTCCTTTTCCAGGTCATGAAAAGATGGAGCGAAGGGGAAGCAAGTAGAGGTGTCACTTTTGTTTTTGTTACAAGGGGCAAGCAAAGGAAGGGGACAGCCAGAACAAGTGTGTATTACAGAAAGAAGGTGAAGAAGAAGATGAGAGTGAGCGATTAGGTTTTGGATGGATCGAATGAATTGAATTCGAAGCAAAGTTAGGGTTGTTTCTCTTTTTCTTGTCTCTTGATTTTTTTGGTTTTAACTTTTATGGTTGGTTTGTTGGTTGGTTGGTTGGGTGAAAATATACATACACAGGACAGATCACATTGATTTTGTGATTCACATACTTAACCGTCTTTATATGATCTTGTACTCTTAGACCCCTACCAACTGGCTACTTTTACAGTCTTTGTGGTGTTGTAGTACTGAGTTATCGTAACATATGCTCAAAGGTGATGCTCCCACGATTCCCAGGTGATCCAATACGCAATTGCACGAGGATCCCTCGCAATTCTTCCCTATGGTTGAACAACTATTCGCGATACGAGGATGAATGTTGTATTGTACTACCACCCATCTGTATTGTTCCAATTTTATTGGATGACGCCGAAGGGGCATATTACCTTGGTTCTCTACGAATTAACTATGGCGGCAACTAGAGATGGCAATGGGCGGGTTTGTGGTAGATTTTGTTAAATCATCCTCATCCCCGCTTTCGAATATTCAAACCCATATCCGCCCCATACCCGTGGGTTTCGGGTACTCATGGATAATACCAGCCCCGTACATCCAACATAATAACACCTAAAATTTTATTTATAAATTTTCAATTATAACACTAAACACACTTACTATATCATGGAGTCGACAAAGAGACAATCATTCTTAACAAAGTTCAAAGCATATTATCCTAAAGCATTTGTTAATCAATAAATTAGAATGCAATGTAATCCAAATCATTATTATCTTACTCTGATACATTTACAAAGTAATAACTAACTAACATAATAATCTTGTTAACAATCGAAACAATGAAAGAGTGAAGGGAGAGTTGCGAAAAAAGAATTAAGTTTTGATTTGGGTACCCACCTAATTACATTTGTACTAAATATTTTCTTGAGTTACCCTAACTATTATAGATAGGCTACAATTTAATCAATGTATTTTTTATATGTGAAGAAATTATCTTAGTGGGGCGGGTATGGGTATGGGCGTGGGGCGGGGCAGGGGAGGCTAAAACCATACCCGCCCCATACCCATCAAACGTTTTTGCGAGTTTTCACCATACCCGATCAAAGCGGGGATTCCCTTCATTGACTAGATCGTAGGCGGGCGGATACCCGCGATTATGGGTTTGATTGCCATTCCTAGCCGCAACAAAGATGTACGGTGGTTGTGTGGGTCATTAGTATGTCCGCATCAGATAGCCCAGCCCAGGAATCAAGATGGGCCGGGCCGGGCCGGTGCTGCGGGATGTAAGAAGTCCGTAGGAAGGAAAGAAAGGGTCTCCTTCGTTTCGTCTTGTTTTCCTCTGGAGCTGGGATACGCCCTACAGAGTCTCTCTGTGATTAGTTGCCACCGGCGGCGGAGACGGGCAGCGACCGTGCGCGTTACTGAGATGACGTCGTAGCCATCGTCCGTTTCGCAATACAAGAACCTAGAAAGTTCCCGGCGCTGAACTGAAACATGGAGCAGTCCCCTCCTCCTACTTCTCAGCAAACTCAATCCGGTAAGCAACTCGTAAACCCTAGCTCGATGGGATCCAGTTCACTTCGCGATTTCATTGTTCACTCCCCAATCGAACTAGGATTCAATTTAATTCTTCAATTCCGGGCCCCAATTCGTTGCTTCTGTTGTTGTTCCTATCAAATTACCGACCCTCACTTTTACTATCCGGACCGATTGCAGCAGATGCAGCGGCGTCCTCGTCCGACGAGGAGATAGACTACAGCGTGAAGCCGGAGTTCTACGACCCGAAGCTCGACGAGAGGGATGAAGCTTGGGTCGGGAAACAGAGACGAGGCAACCGCCGTTCCGACGCCGTTCTGAGCTGCCCTGCCTGTTTCACCACCGTCTCCCTCCAATCCCAGAGGCACGAAAGGTACGTGACACAGTATAGAGCCGTAGCTGTTATGAACTGCAATGTCGAGAGTCGAGGCGATCAGATGGCAGTGGATGGAACAGAAGAAGGAGGAGGAAGCGGTAGAAGAAGCAGCGAAGGAAGCAATTCAAGTTCAGTGGACCGAGTTCGGTGCTCGGTTTGTGATACACAGGTTGGGGTGAGGGACGAGGAGGAGGTGTACCACTTCTTCAACGTCATCCCAAGTGAAACTTAGGGAAGACGACGACTACTCTTGGCCAATTCGTTTGAACGAGAAAACATCATTCTGAACAAGTTTGTTAAGATTTCCCTCTTTTCTTTCATTTGGCTTTGAGTTGTCCTCCATGACTTTACTTGGCTCTGGAGGAATGTTGATTCCCGCTGATGAAATTACTGGTATTGCTAATCCGGAAACCAGAAACTGCTTCTGTGGTCATTTTAGAAATGTGTTTTGATCTTGATTTTGCATCTGATTAGATTATTTACGCAGACGTATGTGTAAAAGAAATACGCAGGACGTGACTACAATCTACAAAACAGCATTATTGAGGGAGATTTTTATTTTCCAGTTTTCATCAAATCGTTCCAAAAACAGGTGAGAGGTTGGAGGTGGGGCCCGCAATCCAGCTGTATATATTTGACAATCTTCTTCTCTGTCTCTCTACAATATTATATCCTTTCTCTCCTCTCGCTATCAAGCTCCTACTACTGCTGCTACGTCGTCTACTTGATTGATTTCTCTCTCTGTTATATTATTTATTTTTCCTCTCCGTTCAATTTACGACAATACCCCTTCTCGAGCAATATTTTTCAAACATATATATATTTGCTGTTCCATTCCGTTCAATTCCGTGGCCTTTTGTTTACTTGTCAATTCATTAATTACCCGCAACACACAATTGTTCAACGATTCACGACTTTTGTAGTGAGAACGGGATGTTTTTTTTTTGTAGCTTCCGTTGAAAACTCCAGAAAGGAGGGGACTTTTCAGTTTTCCCCCCGAACTAAGTCCTTTGTGAGAATAAATTATTGGGCACCACTAGGGCTGCAAACGAGCCGAGTCGAGTCGAGTTTTTGCTTAGCTTGAGCTCGGCTCGTTTATAAATTTTTTAGCTCGAGCTCGGCTCGTACTCGAATTTTGATTATCCAGCTCGAGCTCGACTCGATTAAAAATAATCCAGCTCGAGCTCGGCTCGACAGAGCTCGGTAAATGGTCATTAACACAGCTTGTCAAGCTGAGTACAAGCTCGGCTCAAGATAAGCTCGATTTGAAACCATTCTTGCTGAAAAATGTGTACAAATAAGAACATTAGAAATTAAAAATAATAAAAAGAACACTAGAAACTAAAAATAACATGTAACTTCCATACACATCCTTATTAAAAAGATAATTTTCATGTTCAGAAGAGTAATTAATCCTTCCACAAGCTTTAAACAAGCCAGCTCACGAGCTTAGCTCAACAAGCCACCGAGTCAAGCTAGCTCACGAGCTTATCAAGCCGAGCATGGCCTAGCTCAAGCTTGGCTCGTTTACTAACGAGTCGGCTCGCGAGCTGGCTTGTTAAACAACGAGTCGAGTGTCGAACGAGTTTTTTCCGATTCGAACGCCGAGTTGCTTGCGAGCAGCTTGGCTCATTTGCAGCCCTAGGCACCACCGCACCACATTACTATTAATATGTTTTTAATCTAGCTCTAAGTTTTGTGAAAATTGTTGGGGTGACGACATTGCAAGCGATTTAGTAAGATAACTTGACGATCATGTCATAGATTACTGAGATTTTTATCGTTTTACGTTCGTTGATGTAAATTGGTTTCGGGTAACCTTTGAAGGCTTATAAATTTTACTATTGAGCAAAACAAATCGATTGGGATTTTAGTGATTTTGTAGATTGGGCAAACTATTTGCATTAGTGTTGTATTTACTTTTCATGTTTTTTTTAAAGTAACTTAGCGAGTATTTTGAGAGAAACTCCAAAGTGGGGAAGGTACATATAGGAGTATGTAACGGTCCGGTCCGGATCAATTAAAACTCAAGAGAACCGTGGTTAAATAGTGAAAGACATTGTAGGATCAATGACCGGAACAACAATGCGTCTAGGTCCAGTCCAAATATCTATCCGGTCCAATTTTCTGCAGTATTTACATAATTTACGGAACCAAAGACCAAGCCATATTATATTTGGATTTTCGTGTATTTTATCATTTGGTCCGGTGCAGCCAGTACGGATCAACCCATTGCACACTCCTAGGTATGTACGTATTAATATATTATACATGTTAATCCTAGTTACATAGGAGGTAATTAATGACCGAAGAAGAAAAAAAATTAAAGTGACGATTGCATGTAGCTAACATAGACTGGAGGCAGAAAGAAGTAGTGGTTGAGAAAGTTGGAGTTGAGAATTAAAAAAAAACGTGTCCCTCTCCTCCCCGTCGTGGAGAGTGGGATCGGAAACCTCGCCGTAACTGGCCACTCCGCCTCTGTGCGGCGCCGGAATCGGCCTCACCTCCATGGGGCTTTTAAAATCCCCACCCTGGGGCCCTCGTTTCTCATCGCTTCGCTGGTATTGCGCCCCATTCTTCCCTCCCATTGTGAAGTTTCGCTCCGAAAGTAGTATCGATTTTCCAGCCAAGGCCGCTGTCAACAGAGTCGTCTTTGGAGATGAGGATGTCGCCGCTGGTGCGATTCGCAGAGATCTGTCTCTCCTTGGGCGTGTGATTGGAGAGGCTCCATCGATCGCGCATCTCCAACACACGCTGGGCAGGCTATGGCGTTGCCATGGTGCGCTGTCGATCAGCCCGGTGAGCGACGGCTTGCTACAATTCATCTTCCCCATCGTTGAGGACCGTGATCGAATTCGTAAGCAGTCTCCTAGGTTCCTCCCCAAATTCCTGGTTAATCTAGTGCCGTGGGTGACGGTTACACCAGAAATTGCGGATCAGCTATGGCGTGTCCCGCTAGGGCTTCATTTCTGGGAAGTTCCCTTTGACTGCTGCACTAAGAAGATGACCATTCTCCTGGGTCAGGCTTTGGGGAGAACTTCTTCCCCATCTGTACATCGCATCCCAGAAACGGGGGAGATTTACCTCCGGGCCGAAGTGGGGGTTGATGGTCGTTTCCCTCTTCCGCTCTCAGTGCCTGCCTCCCATGAAAAGCCTGAGCGTGGGGAGTTTGAAGCTGTGGTGAAGTACGAGCGTCTCCCGCAATTCTGCTTCCTCTGTGGCATGTTGGGGCACATCGATCAGGTATGCCCACGCCACGAGGAACTTGCTTATGTAGATCGGATTTATGGGGGGGGGGGGGCACATTCTGGTTCAAATGAAGGGCCCCAAAGTCAATGAACACACTCTTCTGCGCAAGAGATTGTTCACCTGGGTTCGAAAGGCCGAGAGCAAGGCAGAGGTTAAGCAACCATGTCTCCTCCTGGGGGCTGGGCAAGCTTCCAACTGCAAGCAGAGGAGCCGTGACCAAGTGCAGGATGCCCAGATGACTTCCCCGGCATCTAAACGTCCCAGGCAATCCGATATGGCAATTGATTCTCAGGCAGATTCCGGAGCAATGGTGGTGGCTACCAGCCAGAACTGGGCCCAATCGCCCAAATGAGTATATTGGTTTGGAACTGCAGGGGGTTGGGCTCTACCCTTACAGTTCCCTCGTTGGTTGGAGTCGTCCATCGTTTCTCGTCGGCGGTTCTCTTTCTTAGTGAAACCAAGAGAGATGATGAATTTGTAAATAGGAAGCTTATGCGTCTAGGATTCCCTTTTGTACATTGCGTCCCTGCTGTTGGTAGGTCAGGTGGATTAGCAGTAGCCTGTTCTTCTAGTGTCCTTTGTCGTGTCGTAGCCGAGTCCTCTGCGTATATATTTGTTGAATGTCAGCATGTAGTTTGGGGAGTTATGTCCTTTATTTTTGTTCATTTGCACTATGATGTCCAGCTAAGGGCTGCTCAGTTTAATGAAATCCTTTCTTTGGTCTTGTTTTGTGCTTCTCTCATCGTCGTTATAGGTGATTTTAATTGTCTCCTGTTTGCTTCAGAGAAACAGGGAGGGCGAATCCCATCTTTCCAAGCTATGGAGAACTTCTGGTCATTTCTTGAATCTGCGGGCCTCATAGACTTAGGATTCAAGGGATCCCCGTTCACCTGGTCAAATCGACAGGGCTCGAGTACTCATATCCTTGAGAGACTTGATAGGGGTCTTGCTAACGAGAACTTGCTTAATGTTTGGCCTTCTTTGCAGGTGTGTCACCTAACCGACCTAGGCTCGGATCATCGCATGCTGCTTCTTCAATTCATCCCGGGTGCTGGCAAGGGGAAGCCTCGGTTCCACTTTGACCGACGGTGGTGCTGTAATGATGAAGCGAGAGTGATAGTTGCCCAAGAATGGCAGGCGGTGTATGCAGGCACTCCTCAATTCCAGTTGTACTCGGCATTGAAGGCCACTAGACATCAGTTGGTGGCTTGGGCGATGAAGGGCACAACGAACTCAGCTCGTCATATCCGTGAGTTTAGGGCTGCCATCGAAGTTGAACGAGAACAAGAAGTTATTGATTGGGAGACGATCAAGCAGTTAGAAGTTCGGCTCTCCGAGGCCTATCGACAAGAGGAATCCTACTGGATTCAGAAATCACGGGTTGATTGGCTTCAAAAAGCATATGCCAATACCGGATTCTTCCATGCCAAAGTTCGACAGACAAGAAGGTTTAACCGGATTGAGGTTCTTCGAGATGAGAATGGTGGAGTGCACTATGATGAAGTTAGCAAGGGGTCCGTGGTTGTTTCCTTTTACCAGCAGCTCTTCTTGTCCTCTGCAATTCCTCCACACTTCCTCGTCAGCGCGCTCGGGCTCCCCCGTAAGGTCTCGGCTGAGCAGAACTTGCTTCTCACTGCCCAAGTGACACCCGATGAGATCAAAGAGGCTGTCTTCAGTATCGGGCCGAATCAAGCGCCTGGTTCGGATGGTTTTACGGCTGCCTTTTTCCAGTCGTCTTGGGATGTTATTGGGCACTCAACTCTGGCAGCAGCCTTGTCTTTCTTCAGATCAGGTCGGCTACTACATAACGTTAACCACACACTCCTCACGTTGGTTCCTAAGGTGCCGAATGCGGATCTTATGAAGCAAATGCTGCCTATAGGTCTGTGCCAGGTGTTCTACAAGGCCATTGCCAAAGTTTTGGCGGTGAGGCTGAATCGAATCTTGCCGAAGATAATTAGTGAGGCTCAGAATGGTTTCGTGAAAGGCAGGGACATCTCGGATAATATTCTTATTGCCCAAGAAGTCATGCAATTTCTCAAGACTAAGACACAGGGACGGGATAAGTGGATGGCAGTGAAACTCGACATGGAAAAAGCGTATGATCGGGTGGAATGGGGGTTTCTATTTGCAGTAATGGAAGCGTTGGGCTTTGAAAATCAGTGGATTAAGTGGATGAAAGCTTGTGTGACCTCAGTCTCCTTCTCTATTATTATGAATGGGACGGAACATGGCTACTTTAGACCTCAGAGGGGCATTCGGCAGGGTAATCCCTTATCCCCCCTGCTGTTTGCCGTATGTTCCGAAGCCTTTTCCTCGATGATTGATGCTGCCTTATCCTCGAATCAGCTCCACGGGTTGAAAGTTCATCGTTATGCCCCCACCGTTTCGCATTTGCTGTTCGCTGATGACTCATACCTTTTCTTGCGGGCATCATCAACTGAGTGCTCCTCTCTTCTTCATCTCCTCGGGCTGTACGAACAGTCAAGTGGAGCTAAGGTCAATCTTTCTAAATCCTCCGTTTACTTCAGCGCTAATGTCACGGACCAGGAAGCTGTTTTATTGTCTGGGCAGCTAGGGATCTCGGCTGTCGGGCCGTTGGACAAGTATCTCGGACTTCCTGCCCAAGTCCAACGATCCAAGGTTTTAACCTTCCAGTATGTCGAAGATGCTCTTGCAGGTAGGATTCGAAGCTGGAAGTCCAAGGCCTTGTCACTGGATGCAAAAGAAGTGATGATTAAGGCAGTGGGGTCGGCTACTCCGGTGTATACGATGTTATCTTTCAGGCTGCCCTCCACAAGTTGTCGTAGGCTAAATAGCCAGGTGTCCCAGTTTTGGTGGGCAAGGCAAGACAAAGAGAGGGGTATCCCATGGATTTCTTGGCCGGCGGTGTGCACAAGCAAATTCGAGGGAGGACTCGGGTTCAAAGATTTTGATCTGTTTAATATCGCTATGCTAGCCAAGCAGGCGTGGAAACTTGTTCAGGATCCCTCGTCCTCCTTGGCCCGCATTTATAGAGCTCGGTATCATCACAATTCCTCCTTCCTCAAGGCGCCAGTGGGCTCTCGTCCTTCCTGGGCATGGCAGGGAATCCTCGAAGGACGGAAATTGCTGGTCAAGGGTCTCCGATGGCAGGTGGGGTGTGGGACAGCGATTGACATCCTCCAAGATCCATGGCTTCCTTCTTCTCCTCCGTCCGCTCCGAAGCTCCTGGATGGTGTCTCCCTCGCTAATCCATATGTGGCATCCCTTATACATCCTTTGACAAGAAATTGGAACTTTGATCTTTTATGCAGCCTTTTTCACATGGAAAGTGTGAAGTGGATTCTGTCCATTCCACTGCCTTCCTCTCCAATCCCGGACAAGATCATTTGGCATTATTCGTCATCAGGACTTTACACTGTCAAATCAGGTTACCAGCTTCTATCGGCGGTGAGATCAGCCTCTTTTGCACCCGTCTCGCCTCATTTGGACACCAAGGTTTGGAAGTTAATGTGGAATCTTCCCATACCGCCAAAGCTGAAATTCTTTTTGTGGAGGCTTGTTCGCGGGTTCCTCCCGCTGCGTGCTGTGTTAAAACAAAAAACTCTTTGTGATGATGACATTTGTCTTGTTTGTTCGGAGACAGCTGAGTCAATATCCCATTGCTTTTTCAATTGCAGGGTCGCTCGTGGTCTGTGGGAGCTTGCTGGGAAGGATCACATTCGCCAGGCAGTTTGCAGTCTTCCCCCAGATGGTGCTTGGCGGCATATTTGTTTTGGGCTGCAGCTGTCTAAAGTCCAGATTGCGGAGTTAGTCTTTATCGCTTGGAGACTGTGGAAAGCCAGGTGTTTGACGGCGTATGACCAGGTCTAATTTTTGCCGGCTGCGTTGCATCGGCAGCTTTCCTCTCAGATCAGCGAGTGGTCGGCATCAACTGGGAATTTGGCTACCAATAGCACAGCTGGTCGGCAACAAGGCAGGCAGCCTCTGCCGGTTGTCTGTCCCCCGGGTGGTCTCTTGGTACGGTTTGATGGCGCCTACCCCAACGATGTTGGAGGTAGCACAGGTTTCGTGGGATTTGCGGAAGACTCGTCCCTGGTATGTGCATATGGGAAGTTCTATACATGTTTGGCTGATCCTTTCCTTTCTGAACTTCTTGCCCTCCGGGATGCAATGGTATGGTGTTTACTTCATGGGTTCTCTAATGTTTGTTTCTGTGGTGATTCGCAACTGGTGATCCGGCGAGCGACGGCGAATGATGTTCATCATGAGTCTGGTGGGGCGATCCTAGAGGAAGTGAGGCTCCTGAAGTCAAGCTTCCAGTGCATTAAGTTTGTTTTTGCTCCTCGTAGGACTAACAGGGCTGCCCATTTAGTGCAAAAACGGCCCTTGCATCGGTAGCTCGACAATCGATCGACTACCGCTATTTACTTTTTCACCAATTGTAATCACCTGTCTATCTACAATCTATCTATGGGGGAAAAAAACATAGACTGGAGGCGGCCCCCATGTTTTGAGGAAATGTGGCTTGTAAATTGAATGGCTAAAACTGTTGTTAATGGATATACAAAATAAAAATAATTCAATTGGATAATTAACATCTGGTATGACAATAATAAGATCATGATCTATTTTAATATACAAGGCAGGGTCAGTGAAGATTAGTTAAAGAATTAATGGCCCCACCCACTCCTTTCTTTAATATTGGGTTTTTTAGTGGGGACTATATTATATAATCATATATATCATTTATCAAAATTCCAAAGGTGCATGAAGCGGTCTTCCCTTTATGGTCCTTCCCTGATTAATATATATAATCATCATGAATCATGATTAGTACTCTTAATTTTTGCTCCTAAGCTCTAAAAAAAATAGCGTATTTATGTGTACTAATTGATGACACTAACCACGACAAAACAGGGTCTTATAATAGGATCATCGATATGGATTATCGTGTCTGGGCCCTGGGGAGGGAATATTTTATAACAATAATACAATAAAAATATAATGGCGTTTGTGTGTATATATATATATATAGCGTCAAACGCGTTATGTACAGGAAAAGATACGCAGGGGAATATATATATGTGCCAATCCAAATTCAGCTTGTTTCATTTAATTTAATGGCAGCCACCGCACTTGATTTCTCCCATTCATCAATCTCCTAACTACAAAATGTGCAGCAATTTTAGTGATCCAATTTCCTTGATCGTGAGATGTATTGTGTGAGTGTTCATGAAAATCAAAATCAAACCCCATATAGGGGAATATATTGCATATTGTACCAAAAATAAAGTGGGACGGTCTTTTATTTAAATGTGTGTCTGGTTTTGTTTTCTTGTGTAAAATCTACTAAATTATTTCTCCTCTTGTGAGATTCAACGAGAGCTCCAAACTACGACTATGGTTATATTATAGGGAAAAGATAAGAACTTGACGTAGGCGACATCAGTTGTGTTGTTTTGGGAACTTTTAACCCTATTGAGCTCCTCTCTTATTTATAGGAATATGGAGAGCTAACCATCTTGCATAATCGTCTGCTTGATAACAACTACAAATAACTGCTCCCCTCTACTCCAGAGTGGTGGTTGCTCTTTCAACCGCTTAGGTGCACTCTATTGGAAAATGTCATGAATATTGCAATGTATCTTGCCTCGCCTAATCTTTGTCTCCCCTGATCTAATTCCAAACTCGTGCCATGATCTTAACTGACAACCGCATCGTAACCTCGTCGCGAGCCGCGCGATCATATAAAAAACCAAATTCCGACATAGTGCGCGATACTGACATAAATATTGTATCAACAAATAAAATGAGAACAAGTCTTCTATTCAAATATTTATCCGATATCATGATCACACAATACATGTTTTAAGATTTTTAGAGTATTCTAGATTTGAGACACATGCATGATGTGGTATTAAAAACCCACTGACAACAACCTGATGAGTCTCTACCATAATAATATCTGGATTATAACTAACCAACGTGGCAAAAACACAAGCCATACATACAACTAACTCCCTCTTGTCCGGTGTCGGTCCTTCACTTCATTCTAAGCTGGAACTAACTAAAAATGACCACATGGGGTTGGCTATAATGACTTAACCCTAAATCACTTTCACTAGTGTACTTAGTTCCCACGTAATTACGCACATCGATTAGTCAATCAAGCCATTAATTATGACATCACCCCCATCACTTTGGTGGTCAAAGAAAGACATGTTTATGTTTATGTCCATGCAACTTTGGCATCATTACCCGATTAGCAACCAACCCAACACAAACAAACCAAAAAAATTGACCTAACTTAATAAGTCACAGAGGAATCAGCTGTTGCAGAAATGGTGGCCATGGATCCCATGTTTGGTGCTAATGAGGAAAACAATGTAACATATATATAATGGGTCCCCGACTTTGACCCGGACCATAAACCCAACTTAAAACCCGCCCCGGCGGTCCCTTTTTTGTTTAATTAAGAATATGATTTGGGCCGGGTAATTAGGGCATTTGAGACAAATTTGCACTTTTTTCTTGTGATTGTGAATGTGCCCCGGCCCTCGTGGCCTATAGCTATATATATATGGGGTAGTAGTAAGTAGATTAGTAGACCCATGCCACGATCCCCGCCACCATTTCCCTAAACCCACATTAATCCTACAATCTTAATCATATAATAATATTAAGCAAATTGTACTTGTCACACTGGTCAAGTCCCTCCAATATTTGGGGCAACTCGTATGTTTAAGTATAATTGCATGGGTCAGGTGTGTTGTGACGTGATTCTAATTGAGAGGATAATACAGTTGACAACATCGTCCGTCAACTTGCTAATTAATTTTATATATATAGTTCAAGCCAATGGCGGAGGGAGAGGGTAACAGGGTGGGTCCTGATTCGGGAGGAAAATGGTTAAATTAGATACGATAATTAATTGATATCGAAAATTAGGTCACATTTAATTGATAATAGTAGTTTTGTGTTCGAATCTAATACGGTATACATATTTGTGCAAACTTCAATTTCGTATAAGTTGATTTTCTTATGAGCGAGCATGCTAGTAAATGGTATCGTAATGTTATTGAATCTCTTCCAACAACTCGATTTGTTGATACTAAATGTTTTTTTTTTTACAAAGAACATTACTCGAAAGCTAAATCATGAATTATTGATTGGTGTAGGATTTATTATTAAACCTCTATCAACAACTCGATCTATTGATACTAACGGTTCTTGACAAAGAACAACATTTGAAACAGTATAAGTGTACGACTAACTAAATCAATAGGGTATGCAGAATGATATTCTTGATATTTTTTACTACTAATGCATTTTAATTTACCAAAAAATTTCAATTTAAGATTATATTAACAAAAACTATTTCATCATATGTATTTATTTTAGGTGGACCCACCTTATACGAAATCCTGCCTACGCCACTGGTTCAATCTGACGTACGATCTTATCTAATAAACGGAAGAAATGTTGATTAGATTTCAATAGTAAATCAGGAATGAAGGAAGTGAGTTTGTTTTCATTTTCAACTTGTTATCGTTTTTTCTTTTCTTTATATATATGATAATAATAATGCTGGATTTGGTGGAAAGGAATCTAATATAATTAGCTTCTGCTTTATATATAGAGAGAGGGAGAAAGAGGGTTGATTAATTTTGGATTACGGTGGTTGAGCTGAAGGATCCTAAAAACAGATAAAAATCCAAGCAAACGGACAAAACACAGAGGAGATTTTTTATTTCCATTTTCATTTTCAATTTCAATTTAGCCACCTCAGCAGCCACCCACTTGGCCGCCAGTGACTGGCAAGGGCCAACGGCAATTCCCCCAGACATTGATTTGAATTTCAGAGACAAAGAGACGGGGGCTACTTAATCTTAATCCTTTAATTAATGATTGATTTTGAGGACGATAATCATCATCAATAAACACGACTCCCCGACCCCAAATTGGTATCGCTTCTCCTTCATGATAACTAACTAACTAACTAACTTAATCACGTTTTGATTAAATTGTATACATATCACCTGCCTGCCACCGCTGTGAGAATGCTAATTCGTTTTTACCTACTAGTCCTCATATCTATTAATTCATCCCGGCGATAACTCGTGGTTATTATAGTTTGACAATAAGATAAACACCCAAGAAGCCAAGTCCGTCGATAGACTTGGTATAATTTAATGACGTTTACTGGATCTTTAATCAAAATTGTCTGGCCAGATTTTGCTGATACGGCAATGGTTAGTGGTATGTACATGTGGGTTAATTGTTGAATGCACCCGACGAGCATATGTGTTTTAAGAATTATAATTGAGAATTTGAAAGAGAATTTTCAATCCGACGATATATCTAGGGTACGATTCGACAGGTTTTGGGACCTTCAATCAAACCATATGACGAGAGACCTTTGATTTTTTTTATGGAAAGAGGATGAGAGTGTTTTCGATCTTGGAGTGTTGGGAACCGCAAACTCAAACTCTTGAATAAACACATGCTTCTAAGCTCCATGAGTATCACACCAGCGGGGAGGGGAAACATATTTTAGTTATGTTGTCAGATTAGGTTTTTGTTATTATGGAGTATGGTCTTATGTTGGGTTGGGTGTGGTTCGGTTGGGTTTAATTGGTTTGATTATTAGGTTTTTATTAATTTTTTGTGACGTGGCGTGCTGACTTGAGTGAACTACTGGATTTTTTTTAAACCTCGAACTAATGAATTTTCGAATGAAAATGGACGAAATTACCTCTTTATTATTCTTCCAACTATTTTATTAAACCGAATTAGCCAACAAATAACTACCTATTTGATTACTGACAGGATCGAGTTATTAATCGCGAATAATAAAGTTGAAAAAAATGGTATGCAATAAGTGTGTTCAATGTTTAGGATGAAAGGACAATATTGTCCCCAAACCAGGACTACTGGCTCCAGTTGTCCAGCGAAAGGTGGCGGGATGAGACGCGCGCTTTTCTCAAGTTCTTAACAAAGTAGAGAGAGAGGGAGAGCTTTGTTGTCCGTTGGATTCTAATCCAACGGCCACAAGAAAAGGTCTGTTTAGTGGGAGAAACTTGGACGTTGGATCATTATATGCCGCCGATCTGCAAAACAAAGAGAGGGTTTAAGGAGCAAATCGCGTAAATGGAGGAGCGATGCCAGGTGTCATTTCTATCTAATCAGAGACTAACTCCAAATCACTCATTTCAATCCCCACATTTGAATTCAATTAAATAATGATCAATCAACAAAAAAAGCAGGGCTTAGCTTAATCTCCCACCCCCACGCGCCATTTCTTCCTTCCCGCCACCGTACGTACCCGGCGAGATTCACGTTTTCCCTTCTCTTTTCCTAATTCCCCCTTTTGTTCTTGCCACCCGTGCGAAAAACCGGTTGCATGTTTTACACTTTACACACTAAACCTCAACCCGACGTCGTTTTTAGCTCAGTTACTGGCCAAGAATTAAGTCCATCATGAGAGGACTAAGCACATCGACGTGAGGTATCATTTATTGAGGACAGAGAAGAGGATTAAAGTGAAGAAGGTTGGCACCGCGATAATCCTGTTGATATGTTCACGAAGCCGATTCTACATGGCAAGTTCCAACACTACTTGGACTTGCTGAATGTCTTGAGTGGGTGACTCCGCCCTGCGGGGCATCAATGGCGGGAGAGAGATAGAAGGAGCATAGTACATCAGAGATTTCAGAGGAAGAGGATTCAAGTCAGAGTGGAGATTTGTTGATGTGACTCGAATCGGACTATCAGCCGCTACGACTAGTAGTCGGGGGTCCCGCGGTGTATGGCCTCAATGTTTTTGTGTTCGAGTTCTGGGCATGGTCTGTAACCGTTTCCTTTGCCAGATTGGATTAGGTTTTGACCCCGCATGGAGAAGTACTATGAATACTTCTCATACTCCTCTGTAATCTGTAATCTCCTCGATATAGTGAAACTGACTCTCTCTCGCCAGCGGACTAGCTAACACACATCGTGTTAGTGAACCACGTAAATCGTGTGTCTGTGTTTTTCGATTCTCCTTTTCGTATTCTTACTTTATTGATTCCGGCGATTTTTCGATCCGTAGCAGCACGTTTATAACATGACATATATTTATTTACTTGTACAAATCTTGGTTGGATCGTGAAATAAGAGATATGAACGTTAATGCGTAGATGAGCAGTCCAATTAAAATCATAGTTCAACTCTAATCCGCCAGCAAATTAGTGGTACGGTAATAATAGCAACACTGACCCACACCACACTGCTTGCGTAACAGAATGGTTCGAACTCGTTTAATCTCCCAGAAACTAATCCCTGTTTCCCGGAACAAAAGGATAAGGCTCTTTGAAATAGTTATATTATATTATATTATACACGCCTTTTCCTTTATTTTATTAGGGAAAGCCCAACAGGCCAAGCAAAAGAAAGACTGACCTGACTGACTGAAGTGGACTTCAATACAGTAATACCTGGGCCGGGGCAAAGGAGGCAGCGCGTGCCCCCACTCTCGCCAACACGGCAGTGGGCTCGGCTGTAGTAGCAACAGTACGACTGTACAGAGCGAGCGAGTGAGCTGAGCTGTGGGGGTAAGGCTAAGTGGTCCCCACAGCCAGAGGAAAAAAAAAAAAAAAATAGGGACCCACCACCCATGTGCCCTCCCTCCTGTCTCCACCAGCTCCTGCCTCTCAATGATTAGCTCTCTCTCTGTTTCCCTCTTCTTCTTCTTCTTCTTCTTCCCCTAAACCACACCACCATCAAACCCTTCCCTTCTCCTTCAATCAATCACCCACTTCTTCTCCCAACTCCTTTTCTTCCATCAACCATGTCCAATTCCGACGCCGCCGCCGCCATGATCGACCCTCTATTCCACCCTCACCTCCACAGACACCACCACCAGCACTCTCAGCCGCCGCCCTCCCCTGCCTCCTCCGCGCACCCTCCTTCCACCGCCACCACAACTTCCTCCACGGCCATCGTTCCTGGTTCCGCCGGCGGCGGAACCAACGGCACGCTCGCGGTGAAGAAGCCGCCGTCGAAGGACAGGCACAGCAAGGTCGACGGGAGGGGGAGGAGAATCCGGATGCCAATCATCTGCGCCGCCAGAGTTTTCCAGCTGACCCGCGAGCTGGGCCACAAGTCTGACGGCCAGACCATCGAGTGGCTGCTCCGTCAGGCCGAGCCGTCCATCATTGCCGCGACGGGCACCGGGACGACTCCGGCGAGCTTCTCCACCGTCTCCGCCTCCGTTCGCTCCGCCGCAGGGCCTACCCTGGCTGCTCTGTCGTCGCTGTCGAATTCCTCGCCCATGGACCACAAGCCCCTTCTCAGCGCCGCCCCTTTCATACTCGGCAAGCGGGTCCGGGCCGACGACGACCACAACGGCAACAACGGAAACAGTGCCAATGGAGGAGGGCAACATCATAAGGACGACGGCGGTGGGATTCCCGTCTGCCACTCCCTCGTCGCGCCTACTGCCGCCGCCGGGCCGGGAGGGTTTTGGGCCGTTCAGGCCCGGCCCGATTTCTGGGGTTACGCCGCGGCTCCACACGAGATGGTAGCTCAACACTCGAGTCTCTTTGTTCACCAGCAGCAAGCAGCTGCGGCTGCGGCGGCCGCTGCCATGGGGGAAGCCTCAGCAGCTAGGGTTGGGAATTACTTGCCAGGTCACCACCTCAATTTGTTGGCTTCCTTGTCGGGTGGGCCGGGCAATTCCAGCCGGAGAGAGGAGGATCCCCGCTAAATTGGTGGTCGGAAGCTGGAAATTCAGGTGGTATATAGTAGTATGAGTTTATATATATGTATAACCTTATTTGTATGTCAAGATTTGTTGCCGTAGTGTCTTTGGGTCTGTTGTTCTTGTTGTTGTGTGAAGAGGTAGTGGTAGTAGTAGTAGTAGCAGTAAGTGAGGTTAAGCTCTTCTGGGCTTTATCTATCAGTGGATGGTGGTTTTGGTTTTTTCAGAAGGCTCCTCAAATTGGGTATTTGAGAGAGTTCATCTGTGTGGCTCACAGGAAAGAAGTTTGTGAGTGGTTAACTCTTTCTTCATCTTCCTGGCCTCTCCATGATTGGTCTGAACTTATCAGAATGCAGGAAAGTTGGAGGCTTTTCACCCCCTAATACACAGTTTGTAGCTCTCTGCTTGATTCAATTATGGCTGTCCAAGATGCCGGGTTGTTTTGGGCACTCTCTCTCTCCCCCCCAGAATTCATTGCCTTATATCCCAGCGATGCAGAAACCAGAGATGAGGCTGGTGATGATCATTATTTGGCACAGCTGCTGCAGATTTGTCTCTTGCTCGAGCCTTCCTTCTGGGGTTATATTTGATTTCATTTCATTTGGGTGGTCTCAAAGGAGACAAAAGATATACAGACAGGCGTGTGGTGAATTTGGGGAAAGAACTCTGATGCCTTTTCTCTGTAAGACCTTTGTTTTTATTCTTCTCTGAAACTTTTTGTCAGCACTAGTATTCTACTATTCTTAGCCATTTCATTTTAGAGATTAATCAGCGTCCAGAAGAAGAAGAATAATGTGTGTTACTTGTATGTAAGTTGATGATTGAGTTCCTTGATGGAGAGGTGCCCTTTCATGTGAATAAGAACCTGTTTGTTTGGATTAATTCAGTCTATTTAATCCCTCGTTTTCTTTACCCGGTTTGCATCATTTGCTCGATGATGGCTTCTGATCAATGTGCGTAGTATCTTCTGGTTGCGAGTCTCAGTTATAGTGGTAAGGGTTCCACCAAATTGACCAGCTTTAGGCAGGATGATTTGGTTAAGGGCAACCATCTGAAGTTTTCGATGCTGCTTTGCTGCTGTTGCTTGTGGATGGTGCAAACAAAGTGAATGCTGGTTTTAATCAGCAGGTGATGGACTGATAGCTCGTTCTCGAGGCTTTTAGTTTTTGAAGGCAATCAACCATTTGCAGCTATTTATTTGACTCTATGGCTGACTTGTTCACTGATATGCTGTCAACCACTGCCATAGATGCTCTGATAACTTCATGTATAGGCTATAATAATGGGTGGATGCAGTATTACAAAAGCAGAGTGATGGGCAAGCTCTAAACCATGACTGCTTGCCTTTGGTTGGTTGCATGGGGTAATGGGTGCCTGGTGATGTCAAGAAAGATTTTCTGGGTGCTATTTGTAGGGATGATTCTCCCTTCTTATCCACAAAAAAACTAAACCAAATGAGGTTAAGATCCAATAATTGACTAATGGGTCCTATGGGGGATTCAATGTCCTGCAGATCTCTGCTACCCAAAAGAGGGAAAATGGAAAATGAAATATCAGACTTTTCTTACAGTGGACCTTTCCCTGACCTGTGGCTCATTCAATGGTTGAATTCAATCGGGCCACCACCCAACAAACTCAGGCTGTTGCTTGCTGCTAAGAATGAGACAGTCCAAGCCATCCAGCTACACAGTCGGTCCTCTCTCTTCTTTCTACACTCTCCCTTTTTTTCACCATGCCACTGCCGACTTCTGCCAGCGGGTAAACTCCAGCAGCCTCACTGGCTGCTGCCGGTGGCCAAGGTCCAACGGATCATTCCTCCGGCAAGGATCCAAAACAGTCTTAATGCTTAGTAAAAAAAAATAAAAAAAAAATCACTGATACAGATATGTGGACAGAAAAATAGATAGGCAATTGCCCCCACGCAGGATCGAACTACGGACCTTCAGTTTACAAGACTGACGCTCTACCACTGAGCTATAGGGGCATTTGCACGCTTTTCGAGGTCAGAGTCAAAAATCTGTTAGGCTGAGTGAGCAGTGTAAATCGAACGGAGCGTTCAGCTAAACCCTTGACCCAAAGCGCGGCGAGGCCGATTAGCAAAGCAGCATAAGGGGAGGAAGACGATGGCATCTTCGAAAGGTCCAGCTTCGCCGGCGGTGAGAGTGGCGGAGATGGAGAAGATGAGCGTCGAACAACTCAAGGCGGTGAAGGAGCAAACGGATCTCGAAGTCAATCTGTTGCAGGACAGCCTCAACAACATTCGCACCGCCACTACTCGACTCGATCTCGCTTCCGTCGCCCTCCACGATCTCTCCCTCCGTCCCCAAGGTGGGTCATCTCCCTCGCCTTTTCCTCCTTTCCTCCGTCGCTGTTTCAGCTTCGTTCTAATTTGAAATTTGCTTTGTTTATTTCCTTCCAATTGCTTTTCCAGGGAAGAAAATGTTGGTCCCTCTCACTGCATCGCTCTACGTGCCTGGGACGCTCGATGATTCCGAAAAGGTCCTAGTCGATATCGGCACTGGATACTTCGTCGAGGTCAGTTATGGATAGTTATTTGATCTTCAGCTACAAAATTTGTGGGTTTTTTTTTTTTTTTTTTTTCAGTTGTCAAGAACTAGTTAATACCAATAACTCAAGTTGTTGGGAGAGGTTTAATCATGGATCATATACCACAACACTAACACGCCCCCTCAAACGAAAGCCACTTACAAGGGCTGGAAGTTTGCACAGGTCTGAAGACAAGAATACCATATGCTTAACAAATAGGGGCAACCGAGAATCGAACACAAGACCTCTCGGTCACAGAAGGCTCTGATACCATGTCAAGAACAAGTTAATCTCAATAACTCGAGTTGTTGGGAGAGGTTAAATCGTAGATCATGTACCACAACACTAACATCAGTCTCCAGCCTTTGGAATTGAGTTCGTAGGAAATAGCTGCTTAGTAAATTAGCTAAGAAGTAAGAACCATTGAGTTTCTTGTTGGAGAGCTTTTGCTTAATTGGAGAAGAAACACGAGAGACTAGAATGGGTGAAGCTTTGTTGTTCAGATTCTGGTTCAGCCTGTTCATTGGGTCTTTTAAGGTTGTGGGAATGGCTACTCAAATTTTCCTATTTTTCCTCATCTTTTGTTGGTTGGTGTGGACTCATTAGAAAACGACGGTCGAGGGGAAAGATTATTGCGAAAGGAAGATCCACTTGCTGAAATCGAATTATGATCAGCTTCTCGAGGTATGTTCTTTTGTGCACTAACTTCTTTTGCCTTAGGCATTGTGCAGAGCTTTGCAAGTCAATCAATTTCAGTTTAGTTGTGCCGTATTGTATGTATATATATTCAAATAGATCACTGTTTGACTATTCGGAAACTATTGATAGAATTGTTGCTATGGAAATCAATTTCAGTTTAGAATGTTTTTGATTTGCTGTCATTGTGTGTTTTGATGCTTGTTCTTTGTATTTGACAGTGTGATGGTTTAATCCGTGCACATGTCGAACTTCTCGTTCAGCATTGCACTAACATACCATTTCAATCCAAAAATTGCAGCTTGCATCTAAGAAAAAGACAGTTGCAGATGAAGCTGGGGCTGTGTTACAAGCAAAGGTGAAACAGTTAGCACCCCAAACATAGAGGTTCCAGATCACTATGATGGTTTTCTTATGGATAGTTGAACCTCGAGCTATATTCGTGTGAACATAGTTAGACAAACGTGGGCATTGAAGTATCTTTTTATCGGGGGAGTAAAGGAAGATGTTTCATTCCCCGCTAGAATGAGTTTGAGCCGTGGATCAAACTCATCAACTGTATCCTAATGTTTAGAGAGGATACTGTCCTTCATTGCCAGTCAGGTCTGTCGTAGCAAGCTCTTTATTCATCCATTTTGCTGTTGACTTATGTTTTCTTGGAAGCCCGGTTCTTATCGTTCTTTAGCTCGAGGCAATAGAGTTCTGGCCTCTGGGAACTTGCTATGGTGGAGTATGACTCTGGTTCTGTGTATGCGATGATAGGATGTTGGAGAACTCTGAAGTTATAAGTTGTGAGTTACAACATATAACTAACCTTTTGAATCTTCTCCTTCATCAGCAGAGTTCTTCCCCTCGTTGATTCTGTTATGGATTGTGCTAACTGGACCTCTGTTTGCTTCCAGTGTGGCCCATTCCTGCTCTATCGGGTTGGATACCCATCTCTCCTTTTCTGAGCTAGTCCGGTTTAGTCGTTGAGAAGGCAACTGTAATTGGTTGACGAAGGAAAATCCAAATTGAAGGTCAAATCCAGCCTTTACCTCCAAATGTAATAGCATGAGAATTGAAATGATGTGCTTAAATCACTAATCAGGTGTCTTTTCTTACAGGAAAAGTTGCTATGCCATAATTTTGTATAGAAAAACAAAAGTGTAACACACTACTTTGATGATTAAAGTTGCTACGTCATAATACAATTCTTTTAAGTCGTGATCGTATGAGATTGTGCGATTAGTATTATTGAGATTGCAATGATAAATTTGTTGGATTTGTTGACAAGGTTGCGATAATAAAATGTGTTTGTTTATATAAGTTGATTTGATCAGTGTGTGGTTAATTGATAAGATTTGCGTAAAAAAGATTTGCGTAAAAATATTAAGTATTATGTATGTGTTTTTTTTTTTTGTCAGAAGATATGACAAGAAACCTCACTTCTTACTGCTGTTAAAAAATCTCACTAATTGAATAGTGTTTGAAATATTAAAACTAGCAAGAGAACAAGGCCTAGAGTTGGTGTGGAAATGATAAGCCCAAAACTTTTGATTTTTTTTTTTTTTGAAGGAAAATATAACTCTTGATAGACATAGATAAACCAAGTAACAAGATCAAGAAATCTTGAGATATTTCAATGTATATTTTTGTTCCACATAAATTGAAAATGAAATCAGTTGAGGAAAAGTAAAGCCAAAGTTAGGGATAAAGTCTAGTCATCTCTAAATGTCACATCATGATAAGTGAAATGATGTACTTAAATCACAAATAGGAAAAGTTGCTATGCCATAATTTCTATAAAAAAAAATGTAACTCTATTTATATGATTAAAATAATAGATACTTCTTTTTTTTTAGCAAGAATCGCAACATTACCTTAAGCACAATACGAACTCCAAGTTCTTATGACAGAGCACGAGGAGATATATCATCAATATGATATGAGAAATTGAGAATGGAAATCAAAAGCACAACTCGGGTCTTCCTGTCCCAAGATCGCTACAAAAAATAAAAGGTTTAGGGATGACAATAATTATCCCCAGAAATAGGAAAAATCGTCCCTATAGTTATTGCAGACAACTTAATAGTCCCAAATGTGTGTTCCTTGTATTCTTGTCCTCTATTCTTTTGGGGACAACAAAAAACTAGGTCGTCCCCAATATTAGAGATGATAGTCGTTCCTAATACTTAGGAGTCGTAGTCTCGTTTTTATTCCATAAAAGACAACATGTCGTCCTTATAACCAGGACTTTAGCGACAATAAGTCGTCCCCTAAACAATATTTTTAGGTACAAAATGTTGTCCCCTATAATCCATTTCAAGATTGTGTTGTGGATATATGAGATACTATATCGTCCACTTTTCTATTTATAGGGTCAACATGTCATCCCGATATATATATAAAATTGGAGTCTACAAATTGTGTCTAAAATTTTTGTTCAAGGAAAACAAGTCATCCCTTATACTATATCTGTGGAGATGACAAACTGTCACCATTGAGATTTTTAGGGACAAACAATTGTCTTTTAAGTTGTGGCGTGTGGATTGATAAATTGTGAATATTAGGGACAATATTGCAAAGAAAATTATTGATAATTTTGTCGTAGGATTGAAAGATAATTGATCAGGACATATTTTGCGAGTATGCCATATTTCTTTTGTAGAGGCCACTGGTATGATATGAAGCTAAGTATAGACCAACTGAACAAGATTGGCTAAATTGGAGATAAAATTGATTTGATAACGAGATCTATTAAAATAATAAACAAACAGTCGAATTGTTCCTGCAGTAAACAAGAAACACAGATACACAAAAATCATCACCATATACATATAATTTCCGCTGCGTTGTGCTATCATTCTCAACTAGGGATGGCAATGGGTCGGATTGGGGCGGGTTTTGTCAAACCCGAACCCAAACCCATGGGTTTATCCGCCAAAAAAACCCGGGGTAAAACCCGTTGGGTTTGAAAAACTCAAACCCAACCCAACCCGCTGGGTATCCGCGGGTTCATGGGTACCCGTGGGTTTTTGTGGTAAAAAATTTACAATAACAAGTTTTTTAAAAAATAAAAGTTTAACATCAATTTCCTCATACAAATTAATCATACAAAAAAACACCAATCTATAAACAAAAGATTAATTGAAAGCTTCTTCCTCGTTAACTAAGTTTCTTCACTCTCCACTTCATAATATCAACTTCATTCTAAACAATTAGAAAGAACAAATTATACATGTCTCCACAAACATAAAGAATATTAATTGTTTAAGGAAAATATATTATTTAGAATATTAAATATACCGGGAAAGTAATTATATGTGTGTGGGCGGGTACCCATAGGTCGGGTTTACCTAAACCAAAACCCAACCCGACCCGGTGAATAGTGTAGCGGGTTTAAATCAGAACCCGGCCCAAAACCCGTCAACACGGATTTTACCCGCGTTGACCGGCTTGGGTCGGGTGGGTACCCGTGGGTTCGGTTTTTGTTGTCATCCCTATTCTCAACCGTGGTCTCACCTAAACAGCTGAGCAAAGCAACCATGTGCATAGTTACTAATTAAATATTCCATTTAATACACGTATATGCAGTGGCGGAGACAACTCATTAGTGGGTGGGTCCCGGGACCCACCTTCGGCTTGAACATGAACAGTAAAAATGTACACATGTATGTGCTGATTGTGGGCTTTGAGTCTTTGACACTTGGCCCTCTTGAGAATTGAATTGCGTTCTTCCACCGAGCTATACAAAACTATTTATTATTCACCCAATGCATTTATTAGTATGTTTTAATTCAGTTAAAGCATAAACAGGCTCCCAAATCCCAACAAATGAATTATTATTGAATTCTCAATCCCTAATTGCTGCTATCCAAAGACATCTCTGTTGTCCATCGACTTGCCTCTTCAACCAAAGGCAGCCTGCGAACTCTCACCCACCACCACCCGTCCGTCGTACCAGTTTGGAGTTACCAACTGATGGAATCCAAGCTTGGCAGTTTACTTTAGTTTATTGCTTCTTGGTTCAATTATCGTTTATCAACTCCTCTTTCAAGGTAATCCCTATTCCCTAATGGCCTAATCAATTGCATACTTAAGCTAATGAAACGGCTAGCTTGCTAGATAGAGAAATGGTTGTATAAAAAAAATATAGAAGGTTTTCATTGGTGTATCGACTTCTGAAATTTGCGTTGTTGCTATGACTTCTGAAATTTGCGTTGTTGTTACCCGATGCCACTTCAAGTGTTGAAAGAGTATTTTTTGCAATGAACTTCATTAAGAACACACTTCGGAATTGAATGAGTGATTAAATCATGAATAACTTTTTGGTTAGTTAAATTGAGGGTGACATCTTTTAGAGTTTGGATGATGAATGTATATTACATAATTTTCACAATATAAAAACACGTCGTGGGTCATTATAAAACATTAATATAAGTTATTTTATGATTTTGTTTTTATCATTGGATCCACCTTAGGAAAATTCCTGGTTACGCCACTGCGTATATGTACCCGTACGTATTTTATCCGTTTAAAACTTCTGTATCCATACTATTGTCAATCCGTTTCGATTTTTTACCATGCTGTTAGGCTTTTTCATCATAGAAAATTATAGAAAAACTCATTCTTTCTTAATACATCCTCCATTAATATATAGTAGAGTTTTGTAAACTTTTCTCCATTTCAAATTCTTCAGACAAAGATAGCAATCATAACCAATTATACTAAATGTATTTGTTGTTCCTTTTTTAATACAAAACATACATGTATTTAAACGGTGAAAAGCAGAGAACTTTTCCATCATGATTAACAAGTGCACTAAGTCTACTATATGTATTTTCATGGTGCTTAATAATTCAATTTTCATAGAACAGTTTCATTTAATTTTATCAATTTTAGAATTCATGCTCTCTCTTTTATTTTCGCTAAAGGTAAATTGGTAATTGGCTAACATGGAAGAAACTATTTCCTTTACTATGTGTTGTGTCCTTGCATTTTTCAATATAAATTTAAATTTTGTGCCTTTTTTATCTTTGTTCTTATCTCTTTCTAATTTTCTCTGAAATTCCCTCCATCGTGCAATAGTTTGCGTGCTTTCACTTCCCAGTATAAGGAGCATTTGAAAATCAACATTCCGGTATCTTTTGGCACTGCAGTTTTATTCTTGGGGATTTAAGCTGGGCAAGTAGAAGATTTTAACTCTCATATCAATCCATGGCCAATAGAATGGAGTTCAATCAAGTAGTTATGGCATGGTCTTGATTATCTCGCTCGATTCCTCTGCACTGGCATCACCCAATGGTTCTGTCTCTCCCCGATGTACTATCAGAAGAACTATTTTGTTGCTTCTATTGCTGAAGGCAATGTTTGATCAGTTATACCTTTCGCCTTTACTCCTCTTCCTATACCAGCATTGACCTTTAATAGGTTTTCGATTTCCGATCAAGGTTAATCGCTTTACACATGTAAGTTATTCGTTTCTTCTCTATGTCTCATGGTTTTATCTTTCTGATTAATAACAAAGAGACTTTTATTTTCACGTTGTCTCATGAGCACAACATGCATAATATCTATTTATTTTGATCTTATTGCCTGAAACGATGTTTAAAGCTCGGGGGATCTCCTGCGTGATTTCTCCTCTTGCTGTTATTAGGTTTCAACTTCAATGTGTTTCTATCTTCATATTAGGTTCATCGAATTGAACTGGCAGGCTATTATTTCCTTCCCGATTTATCTAAATTTTTTGTTTATGAATGATTTATTAAATATAGAAAATGAATTTGAACGATGGTTTGGGTACTATATTTGTTTGTAAGCAAAAGAGATGTTTGTGTAGAACATGGCAGTTGTACTTTGCTAGAGCCCTGTCCACTTTGTTGTGTGTTTCCTGTACTTTATTTTTGTTCTTTGCTTAGCTATTGAAATAATAAAATAAGATCAAAATGAGAAAAAGGTTTCTTTTCAATTACAATATTTCCGCTCATATTTGATTTTGTGATAACTAATGTTCTCCGCAACCATAATTTTCCTCATTAATTTTTATTCTTATCTCACTAATCAAATTTTGATATTGTTTTAGAATTAGTTAGAAATTGAGCTTTCATGCAACACTCTAGGAGTTTGAGGTGTTGAACTTGGAGTAGAAGAGTTAGGATTGAGTTTGAAAATGAGAGTGGTGGGGGGGGGGGGGGGGGGGGGTGGGGGGGGGGGGAGAAAAATTCAACTGTAGCATGTTAAGGCAGAGAAGAGGGAGTTACCGAGGGTAGTGATCGAATTGAAGAGGGTGTTGAAAGACGCGGAAGCAAAACTGGAGCAGTTAAAGAGAGAGAAGTGAGAGATGATGAGGATATTAATAAAAATGGAGAGGGTATTGAAGGACATGGAAGTGTACTGAAGCATGTGAAGGCATACAAGGGGGGAGATGAGCATATTGATGGAATTGGAGATGAGTTTTGGTTTTAGCGAACTTATTACAACTGGCCTTGAGGAAGATGAGTTGGCAAAACACAGGAAGAGGATTGAGGAGTTGAAGAGCGAGTTGACAAAAACCCTAATTGGAAGAGAAATTGAGGGTCGCAGAGAGAAGGTCCATCAAAGTAGCAGAAATGGAGTTGCAGAAGGAGGATTAGAAAGTGAATGTTTGGTTGAAACATATGCTTCTTGAGATTGAAGATAGAGTAGATAAAAATTTGGTCGTTCAATGGAGAGTGGTCGCTATTGGATCATTAGGTTTATAGTTTTTGCAGCTACCACAACCTATTTCTATCTTAAAACGAGTAATCATTGATTGGTTTAATGAAGTAGGTTGATTCTTTATTCAACCTACTGGAACTGATAGATAAGGACTATCTAATTTTGCGTCATATTACTTTGATCGAGTCTATTAGTATATTGGAGGTAACCCAATTTACTTTGATCGTTTGCTCTCAAGTTTTGATGGTCCACTCTTAGCCGAGTTGTTAGTATATAGTTGACTTGAACCTACAACTATCCATTTCTTTTTTATTAGTGGCATATTGCCCCCAAAATGAGAGCATTGAACCATTTACGTAGGATTGTGAGATTTTAGATTCAGTTTCAAACTATCTATGGGTCGTGTGGGAATTCCAGTGAGCTTTTATAATCTATCTTTCTTAACAATCAACTAACCAATAACATATTAACTGGGCTTAATTATCATTAGGAAAATGAGATCAATCATACATTTTTATGTTTTATTTTCTCAAATGATGATGATATTTCTCTGAATGTTCGACCTATATATTCTTTCTTTATGTATCATCTCGATAGAAAGATTGTCAATAAAATTAAACAGATTGATAGACTTTAACGTAACATAAAAAGTATAAAAAATAAAATATAAACATTCCGGCCAACGGGCCGGATTATAAGCTAGTATGGATAATAGTTGAAGATAGACTCAATAACCCTCGACAAACATAGATAAACGAAGTAACAAAACAAAATAATATAAAACTCTCGAGATATCTCGACGTACATATTTATTCGAAATACTTTCTACTTGGTTGTAATAAGAAAATGGATTTGGGTTTGGATTATATCTAAATTCCTAGAGAATGAAATTTCCTCATTCAATAAATGATCAATGATTGGAGGTTAGAGAGTTATCCAAATCAAGTACCGTATGCAATGTTGGGAAGAGATCGTATTGCTGATTGTGGCGGAGACATACACAGAGAGACAAGTGACAACAGACTTCCAGACTCCAGTTGGTACAGCAAATGCGACTCCCCAAACACACATTCTTCTCACATAATCAGTTCAGTCCTGCATTATAAAACTCCCCTGGCTGGTTGCGGTTCTGTGGCCAGAAATGCCCGAACGTTCATCAAAGAGTTTTGGTTGATCAAGGTAGGGCAAGCAGGGGATGGAGAAAACAGAGCACGAACATGCTTCATGCTCTCTGTTTTTTTGGAAGCTATCTGCCTGCCTACGGTTCATGTTCCTTATAATTGGCAAGTATTAGGCTGGACTTTTGTCGCAAAGATATAGAGACTGATCTCTCTCTCTGAGATTTGTGGGCATTTCAGTAGTTTTCCCCTGGTGGTTTTGCTAATGGAAGCAGTCTAACGTCGATGTTAACAGAGCAGTGAGGGAGGTGTTGGTTCGTAATCAGATACCCAAAATTTTCTTCAGTCTTCGTTGGGAATTTTTGTCAGGGCGCGGAGGTGGGACCTGGGCAGAGGAAAAGATGTGGCGAGATCTCATGCACGAACATGATTTGTGATCTTAATAATGCCCCTGCCATGCCATTCTGTTACTAATTCGACGGAATGAGAAATGTAGAGATTTGACAATAGGTGGGTTGGATTGCGACGTTGGAGGAGTTGGAAGGATAAGGAATGCGTTATAATTCGTGTGTTTAAGTACTTAATAAAAATAGGTAAACCGGTTATGGGGGATTTGTAAATTTGAAAATTCATGGATTTTTATTTTTGTGTTTTGTGTTTGGGACGGTGAACGTAAGTTTGGTGGACCTCTTCTCTCAAGAAGTAGTATTAGATTATGGTTTCAAAGTCTGGATTCAGGATGGTGGACGTAAGTTTGGTGGATACCGATCTCAACAAGCGGTATCGAAGTTCGGTTTCAAAGTGGCGGACCCTCGATTTGTGGTCTTGGGATTTGAGATACGCATCTGTTTGTCGAATCAATAGACATTCGTGTTTGTTTGGTTGATCAAAGGATATATGCCTAAGTGTTGGCGTAATACACAAAGTTCGTGGTTCTTGTGTCAGAAAGAAAGATGTGGCGAGATCTCATGCATGAAGATGATATGTGATCTGAATGCCCCCACCATGACATTTTGTTACTTACTCACTGTTCGTTGGAATGAGAAATGTCTAAGTAAACGGATTGTAATAATGTATAGATTTGACATTGGGTGGAATTGTCATGTTGGGGGAGTTGGAAGGAATTTGTAAAGGTTTGTGTGTTAGTTATTTTAAGTTTAAGTGGGTAAAAGGGTTATTAGGGATTTTGTTAATTTGAAAAATTATGTTGTTCTTGATTTGGAATTGCTAATTGCTTTCTATCAACTGTTTTCTTTTTAACTAGTTTTTCTTCTTTTTTCTTCTTTATTGGAAAATCCGACGGAATGTTATCTTATTTTCGTTCAATCATTTTTATTCACCAGTTGGCCATTACACTAGAGCGCTGACGAGACGAATGAACTTTTTGAATGGGAAGAAGGGCGAAAGAATTGCATTATTACATCGGCATATAACTTCAATTTGTTTTATACTTCACGTTTCTACCGAGACTTGTTTAGTAGGAAGAATGATTTTAAATGTTGATCGAATTCACCTCTCAAACGTCACACTTACATAGTATTAGTTGTATATTTATAATCTACCAAACAAACCCGATTTTCCACTCACTTTATCAACACGGCTATCGGCAAATAATTGGAACTCTAGGGCCTGTTTACTTTCATTTCCGTTTCCTGTTTTTGAGAAAACAAATGTTGAAAACAGATGAAAACAACATTTTGTCGTTTCCGAAAACAGCAGGAAGTTGCCACTTTCTGTTTTCATAGTTGGAAACGAATAGAAAACAGAATGAAAAGTAAACAAGTTTTCTCATTTCGGTTGCCAAATTTATCACATGAAAATAGAAAACAGAAAACGAAAATGGAAGTAAACAGGGCCTATGATTTTGTTCTTTTGCCCAATCCCATACATGCTTAAAGAAAAGTAGATCATCCATTTTTTCTTACATGCACTAGAGGAAAATCATGTCACGAACTATTCAGTGAGATTATAAGAAAGTGACGTGATTGACTCTTATTTGTTTGATCACCTGATCATCAACCAAAGTATACCCAATCTTGAACCAACTAGCACAAGAAGAAAATCTCCCGTAAGATACATGAATGTATTCGGATGTCACATTACACCTCTCTACTTCTACAACGAAATAAACATTAAGTGTCTCTGTCCAGGGTAACAAACATGTTACAGCTTCGATTATCTGATCGCCATGTTCTGGAATGTCTCTTCATTGCCCTACCTCTCCCTCTACATTATATTCATTCACCAGTGCCAAAGACTGCAACTTGAGGAACCACACCATACTTTCAATCCCTCCTCCTTCCCCATTCTGCCCACTCAGTCTTCAACCAGAGCTTCTCCGCCATACATCTCCAAACATTCCCCTGTTACATGCTCTGCAGTACACCTCTGTTTTTTTCTTTTTGGCCTGGACCAGAGAATCACCATATCCACCCATTAAACAAAATCCAACATGGAAAGACCCACAACGATGAGAGCAATCCCAGGACGGCGGGGAGGAGTAGAATCCACCCCATCTCCTTACTTCCCCTTCTCCCAGAAACTTCCACCGGCAGTCCACGACGCTTCTTTCTCCTCCTACCTCCAGCCAGGCAGCAACCCAATCGACGATTCCGCCGAGATCAGCATTTTCGACGCCACCAAGTACTTTAACAGCGAGGCTGAGAATCCCAAACTCAGTATTAACAGAGTATCCCCTGTTGTTGCTAATGGTAATAGCAATAACTCCGGTGTCGTCGTTTCCGAGCCGCCCCGATTTTCGTCCGCTTCCTCGTCGGTGGATGGGTATGGATACGCCAACCGGAACTACCGTACCGGATCGTTCCACGCCACGCCGACGGCTTCGTCGGAGGCCAGCTGGAACAGCCAGACCGGGCTGCTGTCGAACCCGCCGGGGGCCTTGGCTGTGTCGGTGAGGCACCCCCAAGGTTCCGTCGCCGATGATCAGAAGAAGAGAGGGTCGGCGAAGAAATGGATTCTTGGACGGAGGTGCCCTTGCTCCGGCAAGAAGTCTGTTCAGGTAGAGGAGAAGATGTCGGAACCCAGAACTCCGATGTCCCATTTAGCTCCGAATAACAGGGTAACGGTGAGTGCGATGGTGAAGAGGCAGGGGAGTAACAGTAATGATCACAGCAATAATAACATCCCGAAAATCCCTAATTCGTTCCCGGGTCGGGTCGAGAAGAGCGATTGCAGCTCCGCCCCGAGTTCAATTGATTGGATGGAGCGACGGGAGATTGAAATCCCTAATTCTGTACGGAGGATCTCGGCGGAGACTACCAGGTTCGGTAGCCACCACCGCGTTGTCCTGCCGCCGAATTCCACCGAAGGGAATTCGATAGGCGGCGGAGGGGGATTCACTTTCCCGATTCTGAGCCAATCTGCTGCGGCGGCGGCCCCGCCGGTTAAATTGGTGCTGAAGCCGAAGCTGTCGATCCTCGAGGACCCGCCGCGGGAGTCTCTGGAAGTGTTCCGCCCGGCGGAGGAGGTGATTGTCGGCGGCGGCAATTCAGCGGTGAAGCTGGGGCCGGAGCCGCCGAAGCGGCAGAGCTTCACTTTCCCGGCGAGCCCCAGGTCGCGAATGACGGCGGCGGCGACGGACGACGACTTGGCGAGCGACGCGAGCTCGGACCTCTTCGAGATCGAGAGCTTCTCCACGCAGACAACGTCGTACCAGCTCGGGAGCAACCGCCGTGACTCGATGGAGGACGCGTCGACGTTCAACGCGCGGAGATTGAGCGGAATCGGCGGGGGAGGAGGAGGGGGCGCGTATAGGGAGCGCGTGGAAGAGGAAGAGGAGGAGGAGGAAGAGGTGGCGGCGACGGAGTGTTACGAGCCGAGCGAGGCGAGCATCGCGTGGAGCGTGGTGACGGCGGAAGGGTTCGACAGGGCGAGCGTGACGAATTACTCCGTGACGGCGTCGGAGGCGGACGAGGTCAGGTTCATGATGATGAGGCAGGTGGAGGCGGCGAGGAACGGCGGCGGTGGAGGAGGAGGAGGAGGGAAGAAGAGGGGTGGGTTGTTGAGCTGTCGGTGCGAGAAGGCGGTGAGCGTGGGGCCGCAACCGATGAGGACTGGTGGAGGAGGAGAGGGACAGCGGGGTGTTAATATGGCGGCGGGGCATGTGAACGGCCGGGCGGCGGCGATGAATAGTAGCCATAAGAAGCCACCACTTGCGAAGTCTCATTCTGCTCGATTGTCTCTGCCCTTTGCAGCATAAAAGCAAACAGGTTCTTACCTTGTAGTGATGATCATTTAGCTGCAATTTGATTTAGTATATCACGTAACGTTGTACGGCCACAATCATCGAGCAAAGAGTGTTATCACTGTTATGTGTTCATTTCATTTTCAATTCTCGTGTTTGCTTTGTTTTATTATAAATTTTTTTTTTTTGGCATGGGGTTTGGATTTGGATTGTTACCGTTAATTTGTTGCGATGGGTGATCAGGGGAGTTTTTCAATTGAGTTGGTTGGATTGGTTGATTGGGTTACTTGTTTGTTATAGATCGGTTTGATTTGTTGGGTGGTGGGTATATAAATATGATTTGATCGTATGCCATGAATTTCAACGTGTCACTTTCAAATTATGAAGAGACTCAAAGTTGTCTAATCAGGAGGAGGAGGCATTCTACACAGTGAGAGACGGTCATAAATTAGAAATGGTGGAATGTGGCAAAGTTGAGCCCACTAAAGGAGGCTAAAGTTAGCTTATCGATTCGTGGAGCGAGAACGTCAAAGCGTTAATTTGTAAGGAATTCAATATTAAGAACGTGAACAAAGCTTTAATATTACATTATTATTTTTATTTTTATAAATCATGTAATTATAAATGCTAGTTTCTTAACAAACTACAAGCAAGAAAATTATGAATAATAAAAAATATACTGTCTTCCACAACTCAAATGCATTTTTATTTCTTTTGTCTTTTCTTGAAATTTCATTGAAAACCTAGAAAAGTAGAAGGAATTAAGGGCTCGTTTGGAAGTTGGGATTTCAGATGATGTATTTAGCCAATACATGTAATCAGAAGAATTCATTGTTTTTTTGGCTTAAAATGAAACAGAGTGCTTGTATTTGAACAGCAGATGGGCCCACCAGAATCATCCATTATGAATGATTGTCAATCTCAACTTTTAGCAGAGATTGTGTTTGAGGGATTGTTGTCTTACTTTTTGTTCCTTATTCTTTGAGGGACCACCAAAATCATTCAATCTCCAAACAATGTATTTTTCAAATTCATACATTGAAACAATGCATCTAATTATAATACATACATTGATTAAATACATCAATTTAGAGAATCCTAACTTCCAAACATGCCCTAAGTTTCAAATGACAGAATCAAGGAAAGTGTGAAAATTGAAAAGAGAAGAAGCCCTTCTTGGTAGCACAACTAAAGCCCACAATTAAGGTGTAAAACCTAATCCATTGAATCAACACGAGAGGCAGAGTTAAACCTCTGTTCTTCTTCACTAAAAGGACCCAGAAAACAGAGACGGCTTTGAACTTTACCCATCTCCCTGGAACCCCGTCGCCGCTGCATCTCTCTCTGAAACCAGCTTCCGCATCAGTCGTCTCCATCAACGGAATAAATCATAATCGCGGCAAAGTTCCAGCTGTGAAGCTTAGGGGACCCCGAGGAATCGATCATAAGTTTGATCTCTGTTTTCTAAGTACACCAAAACAGAGCAGCGGCAACTCATACCTAAAGCTATCGCCGACGGTTTATTGGCCCTCCTCACCTCTTAAATGGCAGTGCTCCTAGAAATCGTGCTCTCGTGGATCAGATTCGCGCTCCAAGTATAAATAATTCGCGACTTTTTCGTGAATTACCCAAAAAACGCGTTTTCCCGCTTTAGAGCAGGATCGTGAGAGCTAACCCCACGAATTGGGTGACCTAAGGCTAAAGCTGCAGAGAGAGGTCCAAATGTTTGGACTTGAGATTGCAAGATCAGAGAAGAAGAAAACCATTGTGCGTTGGTTCGGTATCATAATGCCCAATAGGGATTGGGCTTTGCAACCTTGTCTATGAACCAGGGGTTTGCAAACTGACGTTTCTACTATATCATTACCAAACCGAATATAATGTCATTCCGTCTTTGATTTCGTTAAATATTGAAAGAAAAAAAAATATATTTTAACTTTTAGGTCCCACCAACCGAACTAAATACAACGATGGCTTGGTCTGTGATCCTAATATTCGAAATTTATCTTTATCTCATACGAGTATTATTACGCAGACCATTACTTTCCACACCAATTTGTGAATCAAAATTTTCACCTTATTCAACTAGCTGAGATATTAGGATTATTCATTTCTTGCCTCAATCAACCTGACGTAGTTGGTTCAAAAGTTTCTCAAACAAAGTCACAAATGTGTCCATCTCATCCTTTCTCAGCACCAACCCGAACTCAAGCCCGCCCCTTTCCTCATCTCTCGCATCGGAGAAGTAAACCGTGTCGGAAGTGTCAATCTGCACCGGCTCCACCTTCCTCGGCCTCCCCCACCCGAAATCCGTCTCGTAGACCCGCATCCTCGGCGACCCGGCAACCGTCACAACTTTCCCAAATTTGAAAGCTTCCCCAAATCCCGTTATCCATTTCTCCGCATCTTCCATCGCCTCCTCTCCGAGCCCCTGAACCCCCGCCGTGATTGCTTTCGCCGCCACCACGAAGCCGTCGTCTCCCAGCAGTTGTCTCCGCTTCACCGACACTATCTTTACCCCGACACAGTTGCCGAAGTAGGTAGCCGGGAGCGGGGGGTCGAGACGGCCGCGGAAATCTGCCACAATCACGTAGCTGTCGATTTTGTCGCCGCCGCCGCCGTCCCCTTCTTTTTCTTCTACGAGATCTAGGGATTTCATCAAATTGGTCCATATCAAAGCGCTCGACACTGCAAATGCCGACGCCGGTGAAAGCTGTTTGCCGTCGCCGAAATTGTCGTGATTCACCACGGCTTTCAGCCTGGATATATCTTCTCTGTCAATCGCGAACGTCGCACGGACCTTACCCGAATGTTGACATAGGATCGAGTCGTCCTGCCAAGCCTCCGCAAAATTCCACACTTGTTCGGTGAAAATGTCCTTCAGATTTCTCGGGTCGTGGATCAACGATCGGTCGAGGCACGGCGGTGAGTTTTCGACCCAGCTCGAGTCCTCGCCCCCGGACCTGCAAATCGAAGCCCAGGATCTCACGAAATGGCTGAAAGCCAACCCGTCGGCTGCCACGTGGAGAAATTCGAACCCGATGCAGACGCCAGAGTTGGGGAACAGAGTGATCTTCACGGCGAGAAGCGGGGCCACGGTTGCGCCATCGTCGTCGGGCTTCGATTCGGCGGGAGGGAGTTTGGGGAGAAGAGTGTGGAGCAAGGCGGCGTCGTTGGGGAGGTCGGTGGAGACTTGGTCGAAGTCGAGAGAGGTCTCGGCGACGGTGAGGGAAACAGAGTCGCCGTCGGAGTAGTGGATGTAGGGCTTTCCGGGTCGGGACGGGGAGACGAGGCGAGCAGCAAAAGGGTAGAAGTAACGGAGGGCGAGGGAGAGGGAGGAAGTTAGATTGGGGAGGATGGTTTGGCGGAAGTGGGGAACGTTGCAGTTTGGGAGATTGTAGAAGAAGACTCGTTGGATGGGTTTAATGCCTAGAAATACAATGTCGAAGAATGTGAGCGGGACGGAAGTGGCGGGAACAGAGCCCGCCGGCGGAGAGATTTGTATTTCGTCAGTGGTTTTGACGATGTGGGAATAAAGGTGGGACCTTTGGATTAGTGGGGAGTGAAGAGCGGTTGTTTGTGTCCTACAGAGAACAGGGGAAGAAGTGGTAGAAAAGCCGGAGGGAGGGAGTAAGGTTGGGTGGGATTGTTTGGCGGGGAGATGGAGCGAGCAACGGCGGGATGGGGAGATTAAACAAGCAGGGAAGCGGCAGAAGTAACGGCGGACGGTGAGGGAGGAGGAGGAAGTAAGATTGCGGAGGATTGTTTGGCGGAGGTGAGACATTTCGATTACTCTGTTTCGTGGCCTGCAGAGAACAGGGGAAGAAGTGGGTTTGCTGAGAAATCTTGCTGCGGTGATGGGGGGAATTATAAGGGTTGGTCCCTGGAGCTATTCCATTCTCATTGATTAACAACAGAACGAAAGGTCCTTTAATCTTGTTCTCCTTTGATGATGTGGGAGAAGTTTTTCATTGAACTATGGCGCTGCCCTTGATGGACTTGGTCTCACTGACCCCAAAATTAAATTTTGCAGACTACTGATCACAAAATATTGTTGCAGCAACGGAAACATCTGAGCTCTGCCCGGAACCAGGCGCTACGTGCAATAGGGAAACCCGGCGACCAGAAAACTGCAGAGAAGGTTGCCAACTGAAACCGAAGCGCGTTTTGGCCACCGCCTGCCCCCGTGCGGCTGGTGCATTTTGGTATCCCAAAATTATGATTTATGTCCATGTTATTTGTTTTTTTTCTTTCCAAGATTGAAATAGCTTGTACGAAAGAAAAAAAAAATTAGCGGTAATGGTATTTTATATCAAAATCGTAGTTCATTCGTTTCATCCTACTAAATATAGATTTTTCTGATCGAATTGTCGATAAGTTACCGTTTCAATCCTTTTTGTAATATTGTCCAGGTTAACAAATTTTTCGTCTTAATTAATTATTACGATCCATATAAAAATAATGAACGAATTAAATAAATAAAATAAGAAAATCTATGCTGAACTATATATCATGTAAAAAAAAGGCTCTTTATCATTCTATCAGTGCCTATTAGATCAGAACTTCATTTTGAAGAGAAATGGTCCACAGTTGAACGCAGTATCATGGTCGTGTTGGTGACGAAGTCGCACAAGGAAGGAAGAATTCTTGGAGTCCGATATTTTGTAGTTCTCCACTATCCCATGCCGACGGCCCAGTCCACACCGGAGGAACTTCTTTCAAGTTACGTTGCGAATCATATTTATTATATTGTTCTTTATGCTTGGTGAGGAAGAGGTTTCAGCAGGACGCCGGATTCCACTCATGTTATCCGGTGGTTTGTCCACATCCGTCGCCATAACAACGAAGCCCTAGCTAGCTCGCGTCTCACGATTAGGGGTTCAGAGTTTCTCTCCAAAAATTAAGGAGAAAATCTGTCAATGTTCTTTCTATAGGACAACCGATCTGATTCTTGATTTCATAAATTTTATTAATATTGAAGAAAAATAATTTGCATTGATATTTGGTGTCGATTGCAAATCGAACTTTTTTGTAATAATGGTCTGGTTCTTGGTTTTAAAATTTCTTTCACTATTGAATCGAGTCATGAGTATTGAGTTTGGTATGGTTGTAGCCTGTAGGGTATCAAGCCAAGTGTCCCAATCCATTACCGGATGACCTAATTTTATCTCGTGTAGATATCTTCCCGTTAAATCCATGGTTGCATGTAGGTGGCATACCGATCGATACAACTAGGTCTAGCCAGTGTTGGTTACAAAATCGACTAGAATTCTTCTGATATAAGTATATTAGCGACATGCTCAATTCCCAGCCTTTAAATAAAATGACGCACTTTGGTAGATTTAATTAACAAAAAAAAAAAAAATTGTTCACTTGTTTTTTGAATTTGAAAGTTAAATGTTTACGTTATTTGTTGGATCAATGTATGAATATTTAGATGTTATGTTTATTAATGGATTCATGTATAAATGTTTGGATGTTGGCATTAAATGTTGTATAAATATTGATGCTTTTCATTTTGTTGTAAATTTTGTACTTTATTTAAATATTGATGTGATTTTAGATAGATTGTATTCAAATATGTTATATATGACTAAATTCATTAAATGTTAATAGTTTCAAACCCTACATTTTTTGCTAAATCGGCATGAACTGGAATAAATTGTGTTTACCACCGGTCGGACTATACCACTTGTCATATACTGGCATAACGACATAATAAACCGGTTTGACAATCTTGGTTTAATCACAATCTCTATGCTAACGTTGTATTACTATTATCAAATGTAAATAAAATTTTTTAGATTAAATATTAAATTGACAGTTGAAATCACCAATCATTCAACCAATGCCGTTTGGAGAATACGAGTCTAAATCTATAAATTGTCAACAATCTATACGAGTTTGATCAATTATGATTCACTTGATTTCACTAATTGATTTTACATATGCCACATGAGTACATCAACCAATTATATTTGATAAATTGTGGTTATGTTAATTTGACTAATTGATTTGCCATACCGAAAAATTATCCATTTGACTCGATGAACTAAATAGACTTCAGTTGACCTAATCATGTGAATTTCGCAATAACACATCAATGCAATATGAAATAGAGGGGATGCGCAAATCATATGAAGTTTCGTAGCTCTTATAAAAAGTAATAAAATGCTTAACAACTATTGAGTTTTCACTAATCAAATTAAGTTCATTAGCCAGCAGGCCGAACCTTAACTAGTAAAACACAACTTATCACGAATACAGACTAACTTCCTTTTTAAAATATTTTATACTTATTCTTGCTATTTATTATTACTAGATCAAACCAATTGATATGCATTTCAAAAAACAAATTCGAAATGTATCTTTACAGCAAAAGTGGTACATAACTTTCCTAACCAATCTTCTGAATCAAAATTCACCTTACTCGACTTCCTAGACCAATTTGCGTCGCATCCCCTAGAGACGTAGTTGGTTCAGCTGCTGCTCAAACAAAGCCACAAACGCATCCATCTCAGCCTTTCTCAGCACCAACCCGAACTCAAGCCCGCCCCTTTCCTCATCTCTCGCATCGGAGAAGTAAACCGCGCCGGAGGAGTCAATATGCACCGGCTCCGACTTCCTCGGCCGCCCCCACCCGAAATCCGTCTCGTAGACCCGCAGCCTCGGCGACCCGGCAACCGTCACAACTTTCCCAGATTTGAAAGCTTCCCCAAATCCAGTTACCCATTTCTCCGCTTCTTTTAGCGCCCCTCCAAGCCCCCGAATCCCCGCCGCGATCGCCTTCGCCGCCACCGCGAAGCCGTCGTCTCCCAGCAGGTGCCTCCGCTCCACCGACACTATCTTGATCCCGATGCAGTTGCCGAAGTAGGTCGCGGGGAGCTGCGGATCGAGACGGCCGCGTAGATCTGCCGGAATTACGTAGCTGTCGATTTTCCCGCCACTGACGTCATCCCCTGCATTTTCCTCTTCCAGATGTAGGGATTTGATCAAATTGGTCCATACCAAGGCGCTCGCCACCGCAAATGCTGACGCCGCCGGAAGCTGTTTGCCGTCTTCAACATTGTCCCGATTCCCCATCGATTTCAGCCTGGATATATCTTCCCTGTCAATGACGAAAGTCGCACGGACCTTATCTGAATGTCTGTATCGGGGCGGCGACTCGTCGTCGTCCTGCCAAGCCTCGGCGAAATTCCACACTTGTTCCATGATAACATCCTTCAGATTTCTCGGGTCGTGGACCAACGATCGGTCGAGGCACGGCGGCGATTTCTCGACCCAACTCAAGTCCTCGCCCCCGGACCTGCAAATCGAAGCCCAGGATTTCACGAAATGGTTGAAAGCCGACCCGTCGGCCGCCACGTGGAGGAATTCGAACCCGATGCAGACGCCAGAGTTGGGGAACAGAGTGATCTTCACGACGAGAATCGGGGAGGCGGTTGTGCCGCTGCCGCCGCCGTAGGGTTTCGATTCGGCGGGAGGGAGTTCGGGGAGAAGAGGGTGGAGCAAGCCGGCGTCATTGGGGAGGTCGGTGGAGACTTGGTCGAATTCGAGAGAGGTCTCTGCGACGGTGAGGGAAACAGAGTCGCCGTCGGAGTAGAGGATGTATGGCTTTCCGGGTCGAGGCGGGGAGACGAGGCGAGCAGCAAAAGGGTAGAAGTAACGGAGGGCGAGGGAGAGGGAGGAAGTTAGATTGGGGAGGATGGTTTGGCGCAATTGGGAGACGTTGCAGTTTGGGAGACCGTAGAAGAAGACCCGTTGGATGGGATTGACGATTAGCCAGACTATGTCGCAGAACGGCAGCGGGATGGAAGTAGCGGGAAGTGAGCCCGCCGGCGGAGAGATTTGTAGTTCGTCGGTGGTTTTGACTGTGTCAGAATATGGTCGAGACATTTCGATTACCAGGGGAGTTAGGAGATCGTTTGTTTTTTTGGCCTGCAGAGTGTGGAGATATGAATTCTATTGATGGAATATATCTAATACATACACTTGAAAGTAAAATGATGTGGGTGATTACAAGTAGTTGGTTGTAGATGTGAGTAGATAGAAAAGAGTAAAGGCTATCACATGAGTCTCTGAATATGATATAGTTGGCGGGAGAAGAATAGTGATGGAGGGAAATAATGGTGATGGTTGGATGTCAATTGGAGGAGTGATCAATAAGAGGTATTGTCTTTTGTAAAATGGTATGGTTTCCAAGTATATGTTGCAATTAACTTTTCTGAATTATATCTCTATCACGCCCCCGCAAGACGGAGGCGAGTACGACACCAGTCTTGGACCGAAGTAGAAGATAACGTGAAGTGGGAAGAGGCTTAGTGAGTGCATCGGCCAGCTGGTGAACGGTGGAGACATGGCAAACGCGCAGTTTAAGAGATTGCACAAGTTCTCTCACAAAGTGGAAATCTAATGCCAAATGCTTCATCCTGGAGTGGAAGACTGGATTAGCAGAGAAGTTTACTGCACCAAGATTATCACAATATAGGATAGGAGGATTGGGAGGGCGATGATGCAGCTCAATTAATAGGTTTTGCAACCATTCAAGTTCAGCAGAGGCATGCGCAAGAGCTCGATATTCAGCCTCGGTACTAGAGCGGGCAACAGAGCGTTGTTTCTTCGACTTCCATGAAACAAGATTACCGCCAAGATAAATAAGGTAGCCCATGGTGGATGTGCGATCATTAGGATCCCCCGCCCAATCAGAGTCGGCAAAAGCTTCAATGGAAAGAGAATATGAGTGTCTAAGTTGTAAGCCAAGATGACGAGTACCTTGTAGATATCGCAGGAGACGCTTGACAGACTGCCAATGAAGTTGGGATGGTGCATGCATGAACTGAGATAATTTATTGACGGCAAATGCGATATCAGGACGCGTGCAAAGTAAGTACTGAAGGGCACCGAGCACTTGTCTGTAAAGCATGGAATCAATAGGGTGGGAGCCATCATGAAGCATAAGTTTGGCTGACGTGGAAAGTGGAGTTGGAGAAGGCTTAGCATCAACCATATGAAATCGATCAAGAACATCAGAGATATACTTCTGTTGTGATAGAAGAAAACCTGAGGGATTGGGTAAGATTTCGATACCCAAAAAATAATTCACCCCGCCTAGCTATTTTAGTGAGAACCGGGAGGCAAGATGCTCCTGAAACTGAGTGAGCAAAGTAGAGTCGTTTCCAGGAAGTAGAGCAAAGCCCCATCATGATTATAGACAAACAAGGATGCATCGGACTGCGTTTTGATGAAGCCTTTACTTTCCAGGAAACTACACAATGACAAATACCAGGAGCGAGGAGCTTGTCGAAGTCTGTAGATAGGACGATTTAGACGGCATACAAAGGTAGGGGTCGTGGAATTGCGGAAGCCTGGTGGTTGAGCCATGAAGACTTACTCTTCTAAAGAACCTTGGAGAAAGGCATTATTGACGTCAAATTGGAGGATAGGCCAGTGGTGTGAGAGAGCGATGTGGAACACTGTCCGAACTGTAACAGGCTTAAGGACTGGGCTGCAAGTAGCATGAAAGTCAATGCCCAGACGTTGAGTGAAGCCTTAAGCCACTAAGCGAGCCTTATATCGATCAATCATTCCATTTGCCTTGTACTTTATTAGAAAAACCCAGCGACAACCAACAAGGTTTTGAGTGGAAGCCGAAGGGACTAAGGACCAAGTACCATTAGAGTAGTGGGCAGCCAACTCCTGTAGCATGGCAGTACGCCAAAGAGGATCGACAAGAGCCTGCTTAACAGAGGAAGGCTCAAAAGGAGAAGATACCTGAGAAGTAAACATCCGTTTAGGCTTGAAAATACCATGTTGACTGCGAGTTACCATCCGATGAGGTGGAGCTGGTGGAGGGGAGAGGACAACATGTGAAGGTGGTGGCGTTGGCGTTGGTGTTGGCGGTGAAGGAGCTGACCGTGGGGAGGCAGACTTTTCTGAGGCAGAAGAAGGGGATGGCGATGCAAGTTGTGTACGAGCAGGAGATGTTGATGAAGAGGATACAATTTTAGTAGTGGGATGATTGTGATGCCGCTGCGTTGTAGATGTGGAGAGAGGTACAAGTTCCACAGTCGGAGTGGTGGAGGCAAGCCACTTTAAAGAAGACATGGAGGATTCAGAATAAGGGGAAAGGCCAGGAAAAGTAGTTTCGACAAACTGAACATGTCGAGAAACAAAGACACGACAATCAACTGGATCATAGCATTTGTATGCACTCTGGTTCGTGGAATAGCCAAGAAAAATGCAGGGTCGAGAACGAGGGGCTAACTTATGAGCACTTTACGGGCGGAGCCACGGATAGCAAAGACACCCAAAACTCTTTAGTTTAAAATAATTTGGAGACTCATTAAAAAGAGTGAAATACGGTGTCTGATTATGGAGGGATGTAGAAGGGAGACGGTTGATAAGACACACGGCTGACTGAAAGGCATGAGACCAGAAAGAACTAGGGAGATGTGCGCAATGCATGAGTGTGAGACCTGTTTCAACAACATGACGATGTTTGCGTTCGGATAAACCATTATGCTATGGGGTGTGAGGAGGAGTAAGAAGGTGAGATATACCACGATTTTGAAAAAAAGATCGTAGTTTCTGAAATTCACCCCCACCATCAGTAAAAACACGACGAACAGAAGTGTGAAAATAGTTTCCAACCAAACGTGTGAATGTGATAAAAGTGTCAGAGACATCAGACTTGTATTGGAGAGGATAAAGCCAAGTGTAGCGGGAAAAGTGATCAACGATGACCAAGTAATATGAAAAATTATCAATGGAGCAAATGGGCGAAGGTCCCCAAACATCCATGTATAACAAATCAAAGGGTCTTGAACTAGTCAAAGTAGACACTGAAAAGGGAAGTTTATGAGTTTTGTTCACCAAACAAGAATCACAAGAAAAGGAAGTGGAGGAATTGGAAACTGGAAGAGCTTGAGAGCGCAAAACACGGGGAGCAGCCTAGAATGTGGATGTCCTAGTCGATTGTGCCAGACAGCCGATGAAGTTGTGGTAGTGGCAAGTGCTAGGCGAACGATCTTTACATCCGACGACAACTCGTACACATCCCCTCTATTCTAGCCTCGGAGTAGTTGCGCCCCCGTGGACAAGTCCTTCACAACAAAATAATAAGAGAAAAACTCTACTGAGACTGGATTAGCTTTACATAATTTAGCAACGGATAGTAAATGTTGCTTGATGGCAGGAATACAAAGAACATCCTTTAATTGCAAAGAAGCAGCAGAAGCATAAACCATAGAGTTGCCAATGCGTGTTATTTGCAAACCTGTCCCATCACCAACAAGAACCTCATCCGGGCCATTATAGTCTGCGTAAAGAGAAAGATTGCCAAGGTCTGGGGTGATATGGTTGGTTGCTGCGGAGTCCATTAACCAGCCAGAATTAGAGGGACCAGCAGAGGTATGGTAAGCTAGAGTAGGAGGGCGCCCATGAAGACTGTAGCATTCCTTTGCAGTGTGTCCGGGTTTGTCACATAACTGACAAACGACCCTCACTCTTCCACCACGACCAACACTCTGTTGATGACCTGAAAGTTAATGAGATTGCCTCGAGAAGGTGGCTGGTGTTGGTGAAGCGGTTGAAGTGAAGAGTGTGGTTGCTCCTGATAAAATTGGCGATTGACAGCCTGTTGGGGTGCTGAAAGTAGCGTTGATGAGAAGGATGTTGCGAGTGAGAGTGGCCACGACCACGCGCTACTTGGCCTCGAACACCACCACATCCACGTTGAATAGAAAAGGCCGTCGTGGGTGAGTGGCGGCTGGCAGCAAGATCATATTCGAACTCCACCAATCTGTCATGGAGATCTTCGACATCAATCGGGTTCTCACGAGCACGAAGGTCAGCCGCAAGAGGGCCAAATTCTGAGTTCATCCCTCGTAGAATTTTAAGAACAAGATCTTCATCTGCAACCGGTGCTTGGACAAGAGCTAGCTCGGTGTAGATGGTTCGCATCTCCTGTAGAAAAGCAGACACAGAACGGTTGCCTTGTCTCTCTTGCGCAAGACGGGTCTTCAAACCAATGACCCGAGAGCGAGAATTTCCTGCATACATCCTCTCAAGGATGGAATATGCTTGACGAGCAGTGATTGCTGCCAAAATATAGGGAGACACCACATCAGAGACAGAGGACAGTATAGCATGTAGGATCAATTGATCTTGGCGATACCATCGATTGCGTCCCGGTGATCCTTCTGCCGGCTGCGTGTTGGTGCCGTCAACAAATGACAACAAATCCAGCCCACGAAGAAGAGTTAACAGCTGCGCACGCCATTGAGGAAAGTTATTTTTGTTTAACTTTGTGGGGAGCTGTGAAGCCGGATTTTGAGAGATGACATGATTGTCATCGCCGGTGAGTGGGAGCACCACGGATCCGTCGCCGCCTGTAGGGGAGTCAGACAGGATGATAATAGAAAGTGATGTGCGGCCGAGGGAAGTGAATAATAGTTCTGAAAAAGAAAGAATAAAATTGGCGGAGAGTGATATGCAGCTAGCTTGAGTTGGTGATTTTGGGGATTTTTTTTTTGGTTTTTGGAAGTTGTTGTTGTCGAAGAAGGCGGGAGTGATGTGCAGTTGGATTGGGTTGGTGATTTTGGGAATTTTTTGTTTTTGGAAGTTGTTGTACGTTGTCGAGAAGAAGCAAGAAAGGAGGAGGGTGTAGCTTGGAGAATGGTGGATTGGTTAAGGGATCGAGTATTTGTGCTTTTTGTGCTCTGATACCATGTGGAGATATGAATTCTATTGATGGAATATATCTCTATTACATTGATACAGGAGGCTCGTTGTTTATATACATACACTTGACAGTAAAATGATGTGGGTGATTACAAATAGTTGGTTGTAGATGTGAGTAGATGGAGGGAAATAATGGTGGTGGTGGTGTGATGTCAATTGGAGGAGTGATTAATAAGAGGTATTGTCTTATGCAAAATGGTATGGTTTCCAAGTATAGGTTGCAATTAACTTTTCTGAAGATGGAATTAGTGGGACCCATTAATACTTTTTATTAATTTATTGACACTATCATTTTACTCTCTTTCTCTTTCAATCATATTTCATTTCCCAAAATAAAACAAACATAATACATTATTTATTATGATTAAAAGTGCAATTTATTTCGATAGTTATAGGAATTATACCAAACACTAGAATTGGAAATGAAATTCTATAAAAATAAAAAAAATGAATTTCATTTCCATTTCCATTTCTTCCAGAATTGTATCCAAACATGCTGATAATATATTAATCCTTCAGGTTATGATTGAATGCTCAAACCAAGAAGGTGTCTCCTCCTCTTCTAGCATTTCCGTGAAGTTCCTTACCACTAACCAGGAGGTTATACAGCTGGAATGGGCCAAACCATAGCAACACTAAAGCTTGATCAACATGAAGCAAAATCAATGAAAGTATAATATATTCGGATGGCAATAGTCGGGTTGGGTCGAGTTTTGAAAAATCCAAATCCATGAGTTTATCCATGAAAAAAACTCGAGGTAAAATTCATTGGGTTTGAAAAATTCAAACCCAACCCAACTCGTTGGGTATATGCGGGTTTATGGGTACCCATGGATTTTGTCATAAAAAATTTACAATAACAAGTTTCTATAAAAATAAAAGTCAAATATCAATCTCTCAATACAAATTATCCACATATATAAAACACTATTCTAGAAAATTCAAGCAAATCACAAATTAATCATACAAACTTTTCAACACCAATCTAGAACACTCAAGAAAATTGAAGCAAATCACAAATTATCTATAAACAACATGATAAATTAAAAGCATCTTCCTCCTTGTCAATTAAGCTTCTTCACATTCTACTCGATATATCAACTTCATTCTACACAATTAGAAAGAAAAAATTAGACATGTCTCTACAAACATAAAGAGGACTAGCTATTTAGAATATTAAATATACCGGAAAAATTAATTATATGGGTGTGGGCGGGTACCCATGGGGCGGTTTACCTAAACCCAAACCCAACCCAACCCGGTAAATAGTGAACGGGTTTAAACCCGAACCTGGCCCAAAACAAGTCAACACGGGTTTTACCCGCATTGACCGGGTTGGGTCGGGTAGGGTACCCGTGGGTTTAGGTTTTGTTGTCATCCCTAATAACATTGAAATACAAACAGAACAACGTCTAACTTAGAAGAGAAGCGAGAAAATGATCGATCTCTAGCTGGCGTGAGAATTTGAAGACAACCATATTGGATATGAATTTTTTCCACATCTAGTTTGACCCTGCTGCAGTTTTTTACAGAAGCAACTTCTAGTTTGAGTTTATAAATAAGTAATTTTTCAAAAAATTAGTTGAGTGTTAGGCTGAATAACTATTAAAAGTACATTTTAATATAAGAGACCATGTAAAATGAATTAAAATGGATTTTCAGTATAAAATACGAATAAAATTCTAAATATTTAAAAAGTACTCAAAATAAAGTTTGTTAGATTTTTATATTAAATAATATTTTTTATAATTTATTTTATTTCTAAAATTACATTAATGAAAAAAATTATTTATCTGGAAAAATATGCTTATGCTCTTATGTTATGTAAAAGTCAAAAAATACTTTTGAAAGTCAAAATCTAAACTTTTTAAGGTGTTTGACTCTGCTTAAACAATTACAAAAATATTGCATATATAACATGCCTAATTTTTAACTATTAAGTAAGTACTAAGTAGTAGCTATTATCCTTCTATATATAAAAAAAGTAGTAGCTATTATCCTACGAGGCTACGACCCTCCTTATTATGCATTGAATACTTTCCCATCCCAGTTAGGCAACCTTTACATAAATTAGCAAGGAGTAATAAGTGTACGCAATAGATATTAGGGATATAGGTATAATATGCCCCTCTACTATGACGTTTTATTAAACATGCACCTCTACTATTTTTTACGTCAAACATGTCCTTGTACTTTGTAAAAATGATCAAACATGTCATTTTGTTAAAATTTTCATCTAAAAAGCGTTAACCAAGGCCGAACTTTAGTTTGGCCGACACAAATAAGTAAAATATCTCTAATAAATTCACTTTAGAATTTTTTGGTTATTTTGTATAATCAAATCATTCAAATAATTTCACTTTGAAAAGACCCAGAGAAATAAAACAGGGGACAAAACTGACATTTTCCCTCCAATTTGTCGATCTCGGGTCGTCTAAATCTCAATTCAACCATGATTGACGATTTTTTCAATCGAAATTTTAACAGAAGGGCATTTTTGATAATTTTTCCAAAGTACAGGGGTATATTTGATGTAAAAAATAGTAGAGGGGCATGTTTGATAAAACGTCATAGTAGAGGGGCATATTATACCTATAACCCTAGATATTATTAAGCACAATAATTAAATAATCAAAAAGGAAAGATTAAAAAACGCCACAAAATGTTTAATCTTGACACATGTGTTAAACCATTTTCTTCACACTCTAGAATTCAGTTTTGATTAATCAAAAACCATCTTACTCCTGGCGTGTGTTCGTTTCAAACGTCTTTCATCTAATTCAAACCAAACTACAACATTGGTTGGGAAAAAATGAAACGACGGAAACGCCGAAGGCGTGAAGTCCAAGTGACCGACTTGTTTATATTTGCTCTGCTTTGCTACAGAATACCCAAAAAACCACCGGCGTTAGAAAACAGGGGAGTTTCCGTCCGTCCCTGGTTTCCCGCTTTCCCCTTCATCGATGAAACAGCAGAAAGCAATCACTCCCCTGAATTGAATGCCCTCTACCATCACGCCGTCAATCTACTGGCCGTCGTAAACAAAAACCAGCAGCAAACCGGCTCTGTTATAAGAGGGAAGTCAGCTAGCTAAGATTTCCATTCATCCATCCTCTTATCAATCAACGAGATCGAACCCACCTTCCATTTCCCCCTTACTCTCCTTCCTACACTCTAAAGTTGCATTCTTTTTGTTGGTTATGGCTTCACTTGTGCTCCTGTTGTCCCAGATTGTTCGGCCGCAGAACCCCAACCTAGTCTTCGTAGCTGCCACACGGCCTCGTTTCTCTTTTAGCACCTCTGCTGCTACCGCTGCCACTTCCGCCGTCTCTTCTTCTGCTTCTTCATCCTCTTCCGCTCCCACTTCCGCCGTCGCCAGCGTCGAGGACTCGGAGATGGTAGCTGAGATCATCGAGGAGCCTCTGTTTTGTGTCGACATGGTTTGGCCATAGAATGTTCTTTTGATTCTCTTCTTGTAGTAGCTGTATGTATGAACTATAAAAAATGACAACCGGCAAAAGCCGGGGTACTCTTCTCCGTTTCAACTTCTCTTTTTAGTTACTGGGTTGTCACTTTAATTCTTCGTCTCCCCTTAATCAGTCATTCCAGTTACAATTTGGGCGCCACGCCTGTTATCACTAGGCAAGCAAATATGGCTCTGTGAGAAGAATTCCTTTTCGCTTCCTTAAGAAGATGTACTACGGAGGAATTGGTTACTCTACTTTCACAAGTTTGAGAGTTAACATTCTCTACATTGCCATCGTCCTGCTACGGAATAAATAATGAAGATCCTCCCTACCACTTAAAAAACTTTGCAGTCTCAACTCTCAATGACACTTGCATCCGAATTCCGGACACGTACAAAGAGATCAGGATGAAGTTTCCTAACTAAGGGTTGCAGAACTGGCGAATGGCGATGCAATCAGTCTTTAATAATGCGATCCGCCAATTTTGCTCCCAACAGAACCTAGAAAGGAAGAGACTTTTCTAGTGGGCTAATCAACCAAGATTCTTTGGGTTTTTAAGGCTTTTTGGGCCAGATGGAGCCCAAGAGGAGCCCATAATACTTCCTTCCTTTGAATCAACCTATACCCACCGGCCACTGCTCCCGGGGATCGCCGGAGGAACAGAGGAAAGAAGACTCCTGGCGGCGCCACTTCAATCTCAAAGACTCAAACCATGCTTCCTTCTCAGTTCGCTGGTTAGTCCTTTCTTTCTTGCTTCCCTCCTTGCCTCTCCCTCGAGTTCGAAACTGAAATCCGGCCTGTTTAATTCTTGATTTTGTACGGATGGCCTTGGGGTTTCCGGACCAAGAAGCAGAAGCCGCAGTTCTAGGTACTGGCGGAAACCTTTCAGAGTGGTAACTTGTAGCTTATTTTGCAAAACCCATGTTGAATATTATTCCATGGTTTCCTGAATATTATTCCATGGTTTCCTAAAAGAAGTTGTGCTGAAAGCTTTTGCTCCACAACCAGAATCGTGATGTGCTTCTCATTTGGGTACAGTCTGACTTCATAACTTCATTTGTGTCTACCAAATTACCAATAAACCAAGCCTCTCTTTTATTAATATCAAGCATCAGCACAATCTCTGCACATTTCTCCAGCCTTCTCTTCTCCAGTTTGTTTGTGGTGAGAGGCTCTACTGCCATAGCCGAAGCACCGTGTTTCTCTGTGAACTCTTGATCATTACCTCTGAGGACTCATATTCATGGTTATGTTATCGAACTTGGTTTAAGTAACGATGTTTTCACCCAAAAAAATCTGATCAGAATGTACTCAAAAGGTGGCCGCTTGCCTGATGAATGTAAGGTGTTTGATGACATGCCTCAGAGAAATATGGTTTCTTGGGCTTTGCTCATATCTGGTGCTGTTCAGGGGTGCGAAACTGAATTGGGATTAGAGACGTGATTGGATATGGCAAGATGAGTTTGTTCTTGGTAGTGTTATGAAGAGGTGTACTTCTATGGAAGCTGGAATTTTTGGTGTGTCTATTCATTGTTGGGACTTGGGTGCTAGTTCGGCAATTCAACTTTGAGTTTCTCTGTAAAATGGAGGAAACTGAAGCTGCAGATAGAGTTTTCAAGTATATGGAGAAAGTAGATGTCGGTTGTTGGAATTCTATCCTCGGTGGATATGCCCACGTGGGGTTTGACGTTGAAGCTCTGAGCATTGCATCCTCAATGTGATGTCAAGGACTAAAGTTTGACAAATATACCTTTGTCAGCTCTCTTCAAGGAAGTTAAGTGGAGTCAGATTTGCATTTTTGGAGGCAGATTCATGGACTGATTCTCAGAACTGAAGAAGTTATAGTATGTCTGTAAGAATGCTCTTATGGACATGTACACCAAGAATGCCAGGGTAGATTGTGCAATGGAAGTTTTTGGGAAAATGGTTGATAGGTATATTTTCACATGGAATACTGCATTTGGTTGCCTTACTCATACCAAGGGTTCGAAGAAAGTCGTGAACTTCTTTCCCAATTTTATGTTAAGCAGCATAAGTCCCAATCATATTACATTCTCATTGCTATTTAGGCTATGTGGGGAGCTAGTGGATGATGTGATTCTTGGTCTTCAGTTTTGTCCTCTTGCAGTCCACTTTAGATTCTTTCATGAAGTAAACGTAACATCTTCTCTTGTTAAGCAGCATAAGTCCCACATGTCTGTCAGAAAATAGTTCAACTTATTCATGGAGATCAAATCTGGATTTGCTTCTCATGGGAACTGTTGCAGCTCTCTAGTCTAAGGCTGTGCTAAACTGCGTATGTTTCCTGATTCTTCCTTCTTCTTTTTACGCAGTGGCAGAAGAATTGATTTAGCTTCTTGGGGTACCATGTTATTCGCATTGTTAAATCAAGGCCATGAACAATAAGCCGTCAGATTTTGAAATCTCTACTAGAAACTGGTGGGAGACCTGATGAATTTATTCTGGGTAGTATTCTTGGCAGTTGGTGGCAGTAGCGGCGGTTATTTTAGGATCAAAGCTGGCCAACCTGTTGTCACCAAATTAAGTTACGATGAAGACACATTTGTTGCTAGTGCAATGCTAGACGGCAATGCAAAATGTGGAGACATCACAAGTGCAAGAACTGTTTTTTATCAATCACCAAGATTCCATGATGTCGTCCTATACAATGCTATGATCATATGTTATGCCCATCATGGTCTAGGCTTAGAAGCTCTAGATATGTTTGGGGAGATGAAGGAAGTCGATCTCCAGCCCAACCAAGCTAAGTTCGTGTCGATCATATCCGCAGTGGTCATTTGGTGGTATAGTCTACGAAGGATGCCTTTTGTTTGAATCAATGATGTCAGAACAGGGTCTGGAACCTTCCCTGATAATTATGGTTGCTTGGTGGACATGATTTTCCAAAATGGGCACCTTGAAGATGCTAAGAGGATATTCGAACCAATGCAGTTTCCTCCATGGCCTCCTATCTTGGGATCTCTGCTGAGGGGTTGCAGGACATACGGACACAAGGTGGTGGTATAATGGGCAGCTGCAAAGTTGATTCGTTTGGTTCCCATGAATGATGCTTACTTATGCGCTGAGGTTTAAGGTTCATTCTGAGAGTGGTAACTGGGAAGTTGTAGTGAGTATCAGCGGACCTATCTCTGAGATGGACCTCGGAAAGACTGCGTGACAGAGTTGGATTGAGGTCAACCAAGGGTAGCTGCTGATGCAAGTAAAACTATGGGGAACTTGGAAATGGTCATTGATTAATAGATTACTGAGCGGTTTATGGTGCAGTGGAAGAGTCACTTTGAACCTCTACGCTGAAGATTTTCTTTAGCTCTGCAGCGATGTTGTGGTCCATAAACCGTTTTGAAACTATTGGCAACAGGAATGGACTAGCACTTTCCAAGTACAGGGCTAGAGGGAAAGCGGAGAGTAGTTTGGTCTGTGCTACTTTTCTATGTCACTGGAGATTACTTACATGAGAAGGTGTTCAAACAGTTGATTGACAAAGATACAAGGTTAGTGGTTGAGCTTTTCCTTTTCTTGATGAAAAGTGCTTTTCCTTGAATAAACAAATAAATAATCATCCAAACGTGAGCAAAGAAGCTTTATTTCCCCTTCATCCTTTATTTAATGTGGAGGAATAATTAGGACAATTTTACTCAATAAACCACTTAAATATTCTGACTCACCTTCGTCAAGGTCGACAATATATCAAAAAGTAAACGGTATTCTCCGAACCATTGTCTCAGATTTGGAGATTCTACAGTCAAGAGTGAGTGAAACCATCCTTTTCTTTTCTTCTTCACTCATCAGTTTGTATATTTTTCTTCGAAGTTTGATTTCTTTGTTAAGGATCAATTGATTTCTCTTCCTGCCTGACTGAATACTCCATCGTTTCTGTGGTTTTCAGAAGCCCATCTCGGGAGCCATGATTGGTTCAGCTATTAAGCTCATTGGGGGTGTCTTCATTTCCTACTACCTTGGGCGGGCTCTGGTTCGCCATCTGGCTGCTGCTTTTGATCCAAATGTGGATGATGATAATGATGATCATCATTATGGATCTAATACCCGGCGGCAAGGGGAGTCACCAAGCCGGTCTCATCTTTACGGGGTTACTGACAACAACACCACTAATAAATTCTACCGACCCTGTAATCCACAGTCAACATCTTCTAAAGCATCTTCGTTTCCCTCTAAGGTGGCGGAGTCCCCAACTTCGAAGTCAACTCTGCGCCTTGCTCCCCCAAGCTCAAGTTCAACTAGTGAGGGGACAGAAGACAAGTACTTCTTCGTCCAGAAAGGCAAGTCACCAGTTTATGAGATTCCAGAGAATGTTGACTGTTTGATCAGGCAAAATAAGGTGCCTCCAGTACTGCTGCGGAAGCCTTTATCCGCTTCCACATACAGAGAGTTTTTTGCTGCTCTTCTGTATGCAGAGGACCACTATCACAAGGTACTAGTGATAACAATTCATTATTCGGGCATTTTCTATACTTAATTCACTTGTGGACTCCGTCGTATGTGTTTCCTGGTCTGAATCAGAAATGGAGTGACTTCAAGTTGTTCAACGTGGATTTGGAGCTGAAGCAAGCAGCAGTTTATGGCAAGACTCGGTCCACTGATACCACGCGTAATCCGAAACATGACAAGACCTTGGCATCATTTGTGATTGATGCAGTTAGTGAGAAGCGCCCCGTACTTCTATCCAGAGACTTTGTCATCGCACGTCCTTCAAATGTACCGAGCAGCTGTACATTTCAGGTTTAGCCTTGTGGACAAGTGTTTGACGCTTAACTTTTTTTTTTTTTTTATCGATTTTCTGATTGTTGCTAACTGGTCAGGGGCTGATCTGTCATGTGGAGAGGACGAGTAACATCATCTTAGTTGAATTCCGCCAAGATTTCTTCTCGCAGCATCGGCCAACTTCCAAGTACGATGTGAGCTTCTCATTCAACCGAGTGTGCCTTAAGAGGTGTCATCAGGCGATCGAAGTCGCTTCCACTCGTTCATGTCTAAGAGGTTTCATTTTCCCGGATTCCCTCTCCAGTACTCGGACACGCATGGCTACTTCAGTATCTACCCATATAGACAAGCGACAAAGGGTTGCAGTTGATCAGATCCTGAGCCTCCAAGGACCTCCATCATACCTCATAGAGGGTGAGCTAGCCGTGAAAACCGGCACGTCAAGAACAATTACAAAGCAACAACTATCAAGGACTGGATTGACAGTGAAAGAGGCCGTGGCCCAACTGTATCGAATCAGTGTGGATCATCGGATTCTTGTTTGTGCACATGCTAACAGAACCTGCGATATGCTGGTGGAACATCTGAAGGAGGACATCATGGACGGAAACATGTTTCGAGCTAATGCAGCTTTGAGGGAGATTGATGGGGTCCCCAGTGAGATCCTCAGCTGGTCCGCATACAAAGGGGAATGCTTCACATACCCTCCGCTCCAAGAGCTCCAGAGGTTTAGAGTCATAGTGTCTACTTATATGACGAGCTTCCGTCTGCATGGGCAGGGTATTGCCAAAGGACATTTTAGCCATATCTTCTTGGTGGATGCCTCGGACGCAACCGAACCGGAAGTGATGGTAGCAATGGCTAACTTGGTGGGTGAGCAGACTGCTGTGATAGTTTCGGGTTCAAAAGGCGGGAGTCCAGGTTATGTTCGATCCGACATTGCTAGAAAGTATGGACTTATGACCTCCTACTTTGAAAGACTTAAAAATTGCAGCAATCTGTACCATGGGTCTTCTGCTTCTTCAATGTTCATCAGCTTGTTGGATGAGGATTCAACAAAAGGTTCGATCCAACGCCAGGTCTCATGGATCAAACCTCGTGCAGGATGGGTGAAGTTGAATGTAGATGGAAGTAAACGTTTCGATCCACCATCGTCTGCGATTGGTGGTGTTCTCAGGGATTCGTCCGGTGAGTGGATTGTTGGATTCTCCAATTATGTTGGCCAGGCATCCGTTCTGGAAGCTGAACTTCAAGCCTTGAGAGATGGTCTCAACTTAACCTGGTCCCTTGGTTTCCGAAAGGTTGAGGTCAACTCGGATTCTCAAACTGTGGTTGATCTTCTCAAAGCTGCGGAGTTTCATTTTCATCCATTTGTTACCATTCTTGATGCTTGTTACTCGTTAATCAATCGAGATTGGGAAGTTTCATTGCATCACTCTCTCAGGGAAGCTAACCAAGTAGCCGATGCTCTTGCGAAGGAAGGACATGGATGTGATCCAGGTGAACGACTTTGGCGATCTCCCCCGATGCACATCGCAATGATGGTGGACCAAGACAAAAGAGGTGTGCAATTTGTTAGACGGTGATCGACTGGACTCGTACCAAGTGCTTCTTTTTCTATTTCTGATGTAAAATATGTGTGTTATATTTCTCAGGCACAAAGTTGTGAACTTACTTTCGTTAGCTGGCTTTCTATGAGTAGAAATTGAAACTTTTAGATTATTGGTTAAGCAATGAGACCATCAGCAATTACGCATTTATGCTATACCTTGGTTCTAAAGCTCTTAATCTTGTACAGAAGCATTGTGGCTTTGTTTTGGGAAGAACTGAGGAGTGGGCCTTTCGTCCATGAAGGAAAACTTTTTTAGTGGACTACAGGCCCAAAGCATACTTAAGGTTCTCGGTTACTTTGGGCTCACTATAGCCCAGAAACTAGCCCACAATGCTTTCGTCCTTTGAATCCTCCCGTTCTTCTCCCACTGCTCCCGATTGCCGGCAAAAACAGAGAATAGGGAAAAGCAAACAGCGGCACTGGATAGATAGGTACACACACTGACACACAGAGAGCGCGAGAGAGGCTGGAAGGAGGAAGGAGATGAGTAGCTGCAATGTTTTCGCACCCAGTTGCCACCTTCAGGTTTTTTTGGCAAACGATTCCTGCCATGGCCTCTACAATCTCAAAGCTCCTCCCTTTATGCTTCCTTCACCGGTTCGCTCCATCTCTCTTGCTTTCCTTTTTTGTGATTCTGCTTCAGGTTCCACCAAATGTGCAAAGTTCTTTCGTCAGTGGTTCTAGTTTCTAATTCTGCTAGGGAAATTCTTGTTTTCTGGATGGATTGCCTTCGATTTCCAGGCTAAGAAGCAGTCGTCGCCATTTGATAGGCGCCGGAGAGCTTCCAAAGCGGTGGCTTATTTTGGCTTGAAGCCTCCTCCTTATCAACTTGTAAGCTCCTCCTCCATCTTGTTGCTTTCTGTCTATTTCTTCTCTTTGATTCTGTATGTATTGATTGAAAGGTGAAAACTATTGCTGACATACACCTTCAGAGTTTGCATAAAAGCTAATCACTTTGCGTCTAAAAGGTTGAAAAATGTCTGGTGGGATAGAGAGAAAAAATGGAAGGTGCTTTTTCTCTCTCTAGGAATGAGCTGAAATGAGAGTTGATTGAGGTGTTGGGTGTTTGAATTGGCGGGGTTGTTAGGATGCGTTAGAGCCACATATGAGTAAGAAGACGGTGGAGTTGCACTGGGGAGGTCATCATCGTGGTTATCTGGAGAACTTGAACAAAGCTTTGGCGAAAGACGATGTTCTGTACAGCTACACCATGGATGAACTCATCACAGTTACCTATAACCGAGGCAACCCTCTACCTGTTTTCAACAATGCTGCTCAGGTTGGGAAGCTCTTCACATTTGAAAGTTGGGCTTCAAAAGTTTTGATTATAATGCCGATACTTGTTGGTAGTTTACTAGACCTGCGATAAAACGTCATTGAAGTCTATTCCGACTTTTGATTCCAGGTCTGGAATCACGACTTCTTTTGGGAATCCATGCAACCAGGAGGCGGCGGGATACCTGAACTTGGTTTGCTCGATCAGATCGAAAAGGATTTCGGGTCCTTCACAAATTTCAGAGAGAAGTTTGTGGAAGCAGCCTTGACATCTTTTGGTTCTGGCTGGGTTTGGCTTGTCTGTGAGTGCTTTAAAAACTTTTAAATCGTGGATGATGTTAGTCTGTTAGTCTTATCTGAAGTTGGCGATAAATGCTTAATTGTAGTGAAGAGAGAAGAAAAACATCTTGCTATAGTGAAGACATCAAATGCTTTCACTCCACTTATTTGGGATGACATCGTAAGCAAATATTGCCTCTCACATTGATTGATCAACTAAGATTCATCTTAACGAGTGCACTGATCAATACCTCTCTCCTTCCATGTGTTTTTTCCAGCCTATAATCAATCTAGATGTGTGGGAGGTAAGAAATTATTGTCTGTCTATGTCCAGTTCAGCAACAAAGCATTTCCAACATCTTTTTTCCTTCTATGCTACTTGGATCATGAGTAGTAAACATCTACCATCTTTGTTTTTCGCAGCATGCTTACTATTTGGATTACAAGGTATGACTCATGTTTTATTCCTTTCCACTTTATGGCAATCTTCTTGCACGGGTTTGCTATGGTTTCTTGTTATAGCTAAAAAGTGATGTTCAACAGAACGAGAGAGCAAAGTACGTGAACGCCTTCATGGACCACCTCGTATCCTGGAATACAGCAATGGGAAGGTTGGCTAGGGCAGAGGCCTTTGTAAATTTGGGGGAACCTAATATCCCAGTTGCATAGAAGGCAGCACAGTCGGGCACCAGAAAGTCCGTGGTGGAGTGCAGGCATCATGACCTAGCCCTTCCAAATGAGAGGTTATGTACCTAATAATGGAAGACCATTTGGTGACAAAGGAGCCGATCTTTGTTGTGTAATGCTGAATGAATCACTGTCGTGGTTTGGAGTGAGGCTCAGCACAAGTTACATGTTGAAAGAGAGAAGGCAACGATGGGAAAAGAGAGGTGAAGGGCTTATGGAGCCATAAACTGAGGGCCCTTGTCCTAGTAGGTAACTAACTAGGAAGGTAGAAACTAGAGAAGCTGAAGCAACTCACCTCTAACATTTTCCATCCCAATTTTGAAGAGGTTGTTTGCTTGGTTCCCCAGTTTTGTAGTTTATAGCCTTTGCTAGAACAAACTCTAGTGTGTTAGTGAATTCTGTCCCCGAAACCCTGCTTCGAATGGATGGTTTCCTTCTGTCTGCACGAGACTCATGCTGCTTGATTAATGTTATCATGCTTCTTCTGGCCTCTGTTGCTTTTCTTCTTCTTCTGGAAAGTCACCAATTGATGTCCACTATACACAGAAAACCTATTGCTGTGTGCAAGGCTGCAAGCAGGTTGAAGAGCCATTGATGCTCTGTCTAATAAATAAAAGTCTCAAGTCAGACTTTTCTTTAAATCTCTCTATGAATCTAAAAGGAACCTAACTACTGCTCCTTGAAGATCCAAAAGGAAGTACCAAAAAAGGAAGGAGAGCCCTCTTTAATAATTGATGAGTGAATGTGAATGGACTGGAGGGTGGTGGTGGTGGTCTCCTGGTCTGGTGGTTATGTTATGTATTTGCTGTAGCACACTAAGAAGCATAAGATCACAGTCACACAACTTCAACAATCTCCTCCCCATCTCTCCTTTTTCTAGCTTCCCCATATCATCCCCTTTCTCACCTTTTTGCTCATTATGCCTTTTATATGTGTGCCCTTTTACACCATTGATGGAGCTCGGAATTACAGATCAGGATCAGCCTGATAACGATATTACATGATTATATGCAGATATACAGTAAGGAGTGTATGCCACATGTGTAGGTATATGGCAGAGTCCTCCTAAAAAGTTGACAGCAGAGGCTGCTGCTGCAGCACATGGAGATGCCCTCCACTTTTAGCTAGTCTGGGTCTCTTGTTCTTGTGGACAATTAATGGTAATGTGATTAGGATTGTTAGTTATCTATTAATTACGTGATTAATTGTCGCCTTACCTTCGTCGCCGTTCCCATGCAAGTTCGCAACTGTTCATCTATCCATCTACACATGGCGGCATATTGGGAGAACCTAAACAGCTTATGAAAAGGAAGGAAGGATTAGTTCCTAAGTAATATCTAATCAAATGTTCCAATCTTTTAGCCTTTGTGGACCAATTGGTGGCAACCTAGCAAAAGCATATATTATATTATGTGACGCTGCACCTACCTACATATATATAATTGACCCATGACGGTGTCAATTTATTATTAGTTAGTGACTTGGTGTATATAATGTAAGGCTTCCTCCTTTGTCTTTCTTGGTGTACATAATGATTAATGAGGATGGAAATTTATTTATTAACACCCAGCTTGGGATGGAAAATGGGTGAGTTGGACGAAGATTTTCGGGATAAATTTCACTCGCAGAACGAGTTTTGGTGGGGAAAAGGTACTCATATTCACTCATTTGTACATTATGGGTGGGCGATAGCGCGGACGGGGATGGGTTTGGCGGTTTGGTGATAAGATATTTATGGATCATAACAGATTACGGTAAGCTAATTAAATATCAGAACTGTAAAATTCAAGAGAATCAATAGCTATTAAGTGTAGTTTATTGCATAAACTAACATCAATCATCTCATTCTCAAACACACAAAAAAAAGGTGTATAACCATAATATTTTTTAAACAAGTGAAGTTTAATTTATTTTGTAATTCAAGAAAAAATTAAAAGAATTATCGTTTAATTGAATCAATCACGATTAAGATTTTCAGTTACAAAATAAATAAATGCATACTTGATTTTTATTTACTATTATTATTATTATAGGCATCTTATATACCCAATCATTATGATTATTATGCCTATGAATATGATAATCATCATTGTATGTATGCTGATATTATAATCAAATTCAAGCGCACGCTCATCAGACCCATACCACCAACATACTCATTATTTTATGCACAAATTCAGTCTTTTATAGGAAGTAACAATTAATATTTTACTATGTTGCTAATGACGGGAAGAAAATGATAATTATAGACATATGCTCTTCTTTTTTTTTTTTATAACCCTCACACATATGCTCTGGATGTACATGTTAAAACTCTGTGATAGTTTAGATATACTGTTGAGATAAAAATATGTCGACAATCAACTTGTATTGATAATTCTAACTATGAAAAAATAAAACCTACAAATTTAATATCTTTTTGTTACACATCGACGTTTCTTCGATCTTTCGAAAGGATGAATTGAATTACTAGACTAAACTAAATAAGTATAGCCGGTGAAAAGCAAAATTGAAGTGCCATTTGATCTGTTCATGAAACCCACCATGAAAACATCAAAATATGGTCCCATTGTTGCATGATATATATGATTTGCTTCAAAGTCAACAGCTAGTAATAATAAAGGAAAAGTGTGCTTCTTTTGTGTTTGTTGACGATGCACATATTTTATGTTGTAGATTGGGGGCATTGGGGCTAATTTATGGTACAAGCATATTGAAGAAGTTGGGAGATCCATCGAAAATACATAATCTGTGAGTCGCGCGCAAGTCATATAATTTGATGGCAATACTTTGTATAAGCTGGTGTATTCCATCATGACTACAACGACACAGTTTAATTAATGATTCCCTTGCTGAAGTCAATATACGTATAATACTATCCATGTTAGGTAGCATTCTGATGAGCTTATTCCATATTCATAAACGAATTGGTATTTTGAATATGAACATGATTTCATTGACCAGTATATCTTATGAATCACTCACAATTACTGTATATTGGGTTTTCCATAAAAGGACAACATAAAATTCATGTTTGAACATACATGGTTTAGCAAATTTGTGAATATACTAAATCAAGGAGTCTCTATATTAGGCCATATCAACACATGATAAGATTTATATTCTACACAACCCCTAATATCCATCAATAAAATTTTCAAAAAGCCAACAAAATAGTGAAAATGAGAGAAAATGAAAGCAAGAATAAGCAAAGCCAAGGGATGATATATAAAGGATTCGCCACTAAAACAAAACACAACATGTGGGGTGGGATGGGATGTCTACAAGGGAATATCCCCACAAGTGTTTTGAGTATGAAACATTCTTCATCTTTAATCATATATTTTTATTTCAAAGTCACAAACTGCCCACCATATTGAGCTCCATTAAATGTAAAATACCATTATTGAATGAACAAATTCATAATTAGAGAGAAACGAACCACACGCCTAAAGTGTTTATCAATCGATTTCCGAATAATTGATAATGGCATTCAAATTTATAGTTTATCAGCTTAACAATGACCCTTACATATGAAGTAACTGGTGCTCGAGTACTTAGTATTGGCTCTGACATACGTGCTAATGAGTCCAAATTCTTTCTAAAAACCTGATTCATAAGATGCGTGCATATAATTATTGTACTAATTATTGATTTTGTTGTTACAAGGCACCATGCGACTACTAACCACCACCGCTACCATAATAAGTCAACCACAAACGTGATGACGATAGGACTGCATTGATTTTTACATTGCGGAGTCGAAGCTCTAAATATCTAAGTATTTATTCAATATCATCAATTTAATCATTAATTTTTTCTTGAAATAACCCAGTGTTAATATCTCGTCTGATCCCATCTGTATGTTGTTCTCTTTATAATTTCAAACTGTCAATTTTTTTTTTGGTTAATTTGGACCAAAATTGTTTGAATGCATTGTGTAGTGGTATCATTTTGACTAAGCACTAACTTCTTTATGATTTAGGTGATTAGTGTATTGTGATTTACTACTCTTTCCTCACCAACATATTTATTTCTCCACTTGGCCCATCACCTTCACCTGAAATAAATTCGATCCTAAAACAATTTTTTTTTAAAAAAGAGAAACATATATTTGCTATTTTTTATGGTTATAGTTGCTATTTTTCCTTGCTGCCGGCTGAATTTCGGTGAACAATATATTTTGTGGAACTGAATCCGGTGCTCCCACTTCCACGTTTCTTCCATCTACGGCCGTTGCCTTCTTCCATCATCCGACGGTCCCGATTCAGAATTTAATAGATTGCATTACGCCACCTGTCATTTCGTCCTCGCTGTCCGACATTTTAGAGCTTCGAACCACGCCCAAACTCTCTGGTCTCAACACCGACTTTTGACTTTGGTGCTCCTCCTTCATTGCAACTGCCAACAGTTAAACCTTACCCCCGATTTGACCAAACTACCCTCTTACAGACCTCAAAGAGACAGTTGGAATAACCGGGGCAAATTTGTCTTTCCCTACTAACCGTTAAAACCACTCACGGTTTTCCTACATTGTCCGGTCCAACATCATCCAACCCTTTATGGTTCGAATTTAAAGTAACTAATTACCGAAAAAAACCACACCCAGGAAATTCAAAATCTCTTGTCCGATTCCAACTTTTTTCCTAATTTCCCCTTTTTTTTCTTCTGTTCAGAGTGATGTGAAGTTACGTCAGAAAAAAAAGCTGCTTCTTCTCCTTCACCCTTAGACCACCACCACATCTCCTCTCTTGAGGTTTTTTCATTTTCAATTTCCATTTCCCGATTCCAAAGATTTTTTCTTTTCTCTCTCTCTCTCTCCCCTCCATTCTTCACTTTCTCGGAAACCAATCATCCCCAGCTCTGCCTCCTGGTTCCTCCACGGCTCCACTTGCTGCTCTTCCCAGGCGCTTTCTTCCTTTCTCTCTCGAAATTTTTATTTCCTTCTTCCGGAGAAGGGTGAAAGGAGAAGGCTTTGGCTGGCTGCCTTTTGTTTTCCCGCCTCAGTTTCATCATCTGAACTTGGCCGGTGTACTGCAGTCAGTCTAGGGTTTTCGCCACGCCGATCTGGCTGCTTTTGAGGCTTGCATTCTCAATTCCGATTCCTCATCTTTGACTTCGTCAAAGGTATGTGCTTTTTTGCTTTCTGGGTTTTCTCCATTTACCTGCTACTGTCTGTCTGTCAGTCATAATTCCGCCATTACTAGCATTCTGCTGCTCGATCGATCGATTGAAGCTCTCCCACCAGCAGCCCGCATTTCTCTGGTCGTCTTTGTTGGGCTGTTGCTCTGTTTGGTTGCGGCATTAAAAATGGAGCGAAGAATTCGACTTTGTCGTTATTGTTGTGTTGTAATACTGCAGTCTGCTGCCGTTTCCCTTCTCTCGTGTCATGTTGGCTGGCGTTTTCCATTTTCTTTGTAATGGAATCAAATTTTCTCTCTAGAAACCGGATTGCTTTTGTTTCTTATTTACGGTTGGAGATGCTTAAGGTTAGCGGAGGATTGAGTTATGCTAACCTTGCGTCAAAGAAACATCTTTTGGACAATCTTAAGAATTGAAGGACTTTAAGCTGGGAATGGGGTAAGGGATTTGGGATAATTGATTCAATTTCCCGGCTATGGAGGTGTCGTCTCCTTCATATATCTACTAGTTTCATAGTTGGAAGAAGTTTACTGGTTAGCGTAAGATTTTGGTTCTGCCATCTTCAGTGTGGTACTTGTCAATGGTGACTTCATATCTATAATGGTAGCAAGTTCATTTTCAAGAGTAGCGGTCCCCTCCACTAGTTGGTCACATAAGTTTCCATGTGGGGTATCGTCTAAAGGTTCTCTAACTGCTCTTTTGGGCTATGAAAGCAAAATGTGAGCTTTCGTGTTTATATCTGCCCAATTTGCACCTATGGGGAAATCAGCTCTTCAAAAATTTCAAATAGCAAGACAGGGTTCTAGCTTCTGAGAAACGTTTCTTCTTGTCAACTCACTGAGTGGGATTTGATTATAGGGTCATGGGATCACCAGCCTCTGGTGGTGGTCAGTTGGAGAAGTCGAGCAATATGAATGGAGAAAGCAAATCGAGCCATCCTGGGAATAATTTACATAACGGGATTGATGGGGGAGGTGATGATGGTGTTGATTCACCATATGGTGGGAGCATGGCATTAACTGAAGAGAGGCCTTCTGTGTCTGATATGAACCAGGATGCTGTGGCTTCACCTTCTCCTTCAGTTTCTGTATTCGGTAGCGAACGTAGGTGGGCTGACACCACATCCTACAACACAAAAAAGGTACTATCGAGATTAGATTCAGCTTCTCTGATAGGCTGTGTTTCTAGGTCTTCTTCTTCTTCTTCTTCTTCTTCTTCTATATATGTGTACAGCTGGTTTTACTTTGCCTGTTCGTTGTATCAGAAGCTCCAAGCCTGGTTTCAACTTGCAAATGGAGACTGGGAGTTGGGGAAGATTATATCAACTTCAGGGAATGAATCGGTTATTACATCTGATGGAAAAGTAGGTGGACATTCACAAGAAATTAATAATCTGGTTCCTACTGTGTGTAGATGTTTTAATCAGTGTCATATATTGTATCTTTTGCAGGTGCTAACGGTGAAATCTGATAGTCTTGTACCAGCAAATCCTGATATTCTTGATGGTGTTGAGGACCTGATGCAGCTTAGTTATTTAAATGAGCCATCAGTTCTATACGATCTTCAGTACAGATACAATCAAGACATGATATATGTTAGTGTTGATATTACTGTTTCTTTTCCTAACTGTGTCCCAGCTTGCTATGTTTCTGACTAACCATTTGTAAGCGTGATTTTTGTCATCTAGACAAAAGCAGGACCAGTGTTGGTAGCGATCAATCCATTTAAAAAAGTTCCATTGTATGGGAATGATTTCATTGAGGCATATAGGAACAAGGCTACTGAAAACCCACATGTGTATGCCATTGCAGACACAGCTATCAGAGAAATGATACGAGGTGGTTAACTTTCCTTATTTTGTCTTTGTTCTGCTATTATTAATTTCTCGGAATTCTTATTGTTCCTTTTTCTTTCGTGCTTTTTTGGCCCGCCTTCTCACCCTCCAGACGAAGTAAATCAATCTATCATCATAAGGTTAGTAATGTGCAGTTAACTTGTCCCTTTTCACTTTCTACTTGCAAACTTGGACACATTTTTCACTGACACATGGATGGTCCAGTTTTACTTTTTGGCTTTGTTTAGATCCGTATACAGTGGGATTTGGTTGAAAAACTGTTAGGATATAGGTCGGGTACTTGATAAAATAGCATCAATACCTGTTCCTCTCAGTAGTCGAAGAGTAGTGAAATTTTATTGATTCTGTTCGTTCTACTTAGCAATAAATTGTGTGGCTGTTATCGTTATGCATGCTGTGCAATTAGATTTTTATGATGTCTCTTTATGTTTTTCCTTTTATTGTGAGTAAAATGGGCAATAATTGACCTGCAAATTGGGTTTCTTTGTTGACAACTGGTGGCCCTTCTTTGCAATTTTTTGAGTAGGCTTTCTTTGGTGCTTTCATTTTGTGATTGTGATTTGGTCTGTGTTTTGCTTTGGTATTCCGTATTGGAGGTTGTAATTTTGTACTCAAGGAACTCTTCTGACACCATAGGTATCCTGTCCCATTTGCTTTTCAAATGCACTTGCTTTCAAGATACATGTCTTAACCATGTCTGTTCTGTTTTCACAGCGGTGAGAGTGGAGCAGGAAAAACTGAGACTGCCAAGATAGCAATGCAGTATTTGGCTGCTCTTGGTGGTGGCAGTGGAATAGAGTATGAGATACTGAAGACTAATCCAATTTTAGAAGCATTTGGTAATGCAAAGACTTTGAGGAATGACAACTCAAGTCGCTTTGTAAGCTCCATGTTCTTTCTGTTAGCCATCTGAAGTTTAGCTTATCCTTCTTGGTTGTCATTTATAATTGTATCTTAAAGTTATGCCCTTTCTGAAGGGAGGATTGATTTTTTTGCTGAATGTCTCAGGGAAAGCTGATTGAGATAAACTTTAGTGAAACTGGGAAAATATCGGGTGCCAGAATTCAAACTTGTAAGACTCCTTGAATCCTGGCGATATTGAAATGCTTTTGTATCCATTTACTGTATTAAGCTTTTGGAAACATATCACTGAAAAACGCTTCTTTGATGCTGCTTTTGATCTGTGGATGTGGGGCAGTCTTACTTGAAAAGGTAATTTGCGTTACTCACTTGTATATTCAAGTTGTATCTCATTTTTTCACTATCATTTTTGTAACTCATATTCATTGTGGAGCAGTCTAGAGTGGTCCAATGCATGGAAGGAGAAAGGTCATATCACATATTCTATCAGCTTTGTGCTGGTGCTCCATCAAAGCTTAGAGGTATACATTCACAACCCTATATGCTCCAAAAATTAATTTACACTCTTGAGTTTGATCTTGCACTCATGTGGATATTTTCATGATAGTTGTCTACATGATAATGGGTTCTTAAGTATGAATCTTTGTGGTCTAATTAGAATGATTGAAACTCCAGGACTAGAGTCCTCAAGTATGGCCTGACTATAATTCTTGATGCAATTCCTCCCTCTAAAATTAAAAATTTCTGTCTGTTTTATTATATAAATTCAGCTGTAAAACATCTGTGTATCTGGATATTGACGGATTATCTATTTTCTGAATCGACATGGAATCCTAACATTAGTAATCTGAAAGATGTAGTGTAGGTCCTTAACATACTTTTTTCTTATAATGGTTTAAACATAATTGTTTATACAAACACCCATGTACCAATATCTTGTCATGTACCTCTGACCTCTCTGCTTATCTTACTTACATTAGCATGCAGCTTTTGTTTTAAACTAACATATCCCTATTTCCATTTTCTTTTGTGCATGAAAGATAAGTTACATTTGAAGAGTGTGAATGATTATAAGTATCTGAGGCAGAGTGACTGCTGCTCAATTGACGGGGTAGATGATGCTGTTAACTTTCACATTGTCAAGGTATACTTTTGCTTCTCATATCATCAATCCTTTCATTTTTTTATTTTTTTTTATTCATGCATTTTGGGCTAGAGCGTAGTCACTGATGGGATCAGCTGTGTCATGGCTATTTTTCAGGAAGCTCTGGATATTGTGCATGTTAGTATGGAAGATCAAGAAAGTGTCTTTGCCATGCTTGCTGCTGTACTGTGGCTGGGAAATGTCTCATTTACTGTCATTGATAGTGAGAATCACGTTGAACCTGTGGCAGATGAATGTGAGACAGCTAGACAGCTTTTGTTCTTGTACATTTCCTAAAAATCTTAACATGATGTTGTAACCATTTGCTTTCTCTGTATGTTTAAACCTCAAATCTGACCACAAGTTTGTGTGTGGCTTTCAGGTCTGGTGACTGTTGCAGAATTAATTGGTTGCAAAGTTGAGGAGCTAAAGCTGCCATTGTCAACTCGAAAAATGAGAGTTGGCAATGATACTATTATCCAAAAGCTGACTTTATCACAGGTAAGGGAACGGAGTACGGGTTCTTTCTGCGCCTTTTGGCAAAGATATGCAGTGATAGTGCAAGTTGATTGAATATGGAAAAAGTTGTTTCCCTTCAGTGCATTTCGAGTAACATTTGATGATGTTGGACTAGTTTGTCATTTAGTTCTCAGAGAATTTGCTATAAGTTCCCTTTTGAGAGCATACCATCTCTCTTGCCAGGGAAAATCTGTTTGGCAACAACGGTGGTTATAGATGTAATTGGATAGTCTTCTGTCATTTGGTTCCTCCTGAATTCTCCCTCAACTTCCCTGCTTCCTTTTCTGATCTCAATCCATCCCTGCTTTATCTGTTGATTATTCTATTGACCAGCACACCACACAAGCAGTGTTAGCGGAACCTAAGTTTTCTTTTAGTCTGAGATATGACAATAGAATACAAGAAACAACCTAAGCTGCTGGAGTGAAATTATTTTGCTCAAGATGTCTTGGGCACGCTTCCATGAATTTGCATTTCATGTTGCACTTTGATGGATTCACCCATTTCTGTATATTTAAGACACGATCTTTGAGATTTCCTTCCGTTTTATTATTTCTAACATGCACTGACTTTCCCCCCCAACTTTTCAGGCCATGGATACAAGAGATGCTTTGGCAAAGTCTATTTATGCTTGTCTCTTTGAATGGTTGGTTGAGCAAATTAATAAGTCTCTGGCTGTTGGGAAAAGGAGAACCGGAAGATCTATCAGCATCTTGGATATCTACGGATTTGAATCGTTTGAAGTATGTAAACTGATGCTTCTTGTCTTTTCCTTTTCATTTAGTCAATGTTCTTCTCATCTGTCTTTCGCTTATGCAGAGGAATAGCTTTGAGCAATTCTGCATTAATTATGCAAATGAGAGACTACAACAACACTTCAACCGACATCTATTCAAGTTAGAACAAGAGGTAGCTATAAGATCTGTATTTGAACTTCCTCTCCTACTTGGGATTGAACTTTTGTTGATTGTACAATATTGGTGTTTGTTATAATGTGAAATGGGTGAGTTGTCTATGAGTTCTCTTTTGGTTAGAACATCTGTGCAAGAGTAACACTGGAAAATCTTCTTAGAAGTTGAATGTAAGCTTCAATAGGATATCTCCAGCTACTCATATTCTGAAAATCCGTACATAGCACAGCAACCGTACTGATAAATGTTGTCAGTAAATTCACATAAGTTTAGATGTCTTACAAAGTTGGTTTTGCATCCTGGAAATTAGACTTCAAGGAATACTCGCTTAATCCTAATTCATAAAATTCCGTGCTTGTTTCCAGGAATATATCCAAGATGGCATTGATTGGACAAAGGTTGATTTTGAAGACAATCAGGACTGTCTCAATCTTTTTGAAAAGGTATGGAAAGGGTTGCTTGATAATATTTCAAGTTGGAAATATATTCGACAATATCAATGTAGTTAAGTGAAGAAAGGAGGAAATTGCTTAATGCGATTGAGGTTATCTTGATCAATTGATGATCAGGTGATACATATCTCAAACATGGAGTATAAGTGATGATAAATCTTTTCATATTGAGTTGTTTTATAGAATGTCAAAATAGTTGGATGATTATAAAGAGAGTCCCACGACTTTGGTCATGTATTCAATTTGACATGTGACGATTTTATGTTTTTGTTGTTTTAGAAACCGTTGGGGCTGCTATCATTGTTAGATGAAGAATCCACTTTCCCAAATGGCACAGATTTGACTTTTGCCAATAAGCTTAAGCAGCATCTGCAATCTAATTCTTGTTTCAGAGGAGACCGAGGCAAAGCTTTTACAGTGTCCCATTATGCTGGGGAGGTATGATCAGTCATCTTCTTTACTAGTCAATGCATAATTGTACAATCTGTCTGGTGTCAAATGTTGCCAGGACACGATTTCTCTCGTTTCCTTTAATGGTGCACCCATATTCTTAGATGCTTAATCATTTTACTTGATCAACATGTAGGTTACCTATGATACAACTGCATTTCTGGAGAAGAATAGGGACTTACTGCACATGGACTCCATTCAGCTTCTGTCTTCTTGCTCATGCCACCTTCCCCAGATATTTGCATCAAATATGCTAGCTCAGTCTGAAAAGTCTGTCGTTGGTCCTTTGCATAAAGCTGGCGGAGCAGATTCCCAAAAGCTGAGTGTAGCAACAAAATTCAAGGTACTTATTATGAGTATGCCCTTTGATATCATAGTATGATCACAAACTTGTGCATTCTTGGGTAGGCTAGCAGTGGTTGTCTTACCCTTATTAGCTGATTTTTTTAGTCAATTTGGTGTCACTATGCGGTTGATTGCTAATGCTTGATAATGCACACAATCCAAAAGGATGTGTCCCCTCTACTGATGCTCATCAGAGTATATTGCTAGATATGTTGCCACCCAAACATTGACACACCTGGTGGTTGATAAATATTTTTCATGCTAATTTTTCTTGAGCTTGGGTTCTTTTATGTTCTAGGGTCAACTCTTTCAATTGATGAAACGCCTTGAAAGTACGACACCACATTTCATACGCTGCATAAAGCCAAACAACAATCAATCCCCTAGATCATACAACCAGGGGCTTGTATTACAACAGCTGAGATGCTGTGGAGTCCTAGAAGTTGTCAGAATATCCAGGTCTGGATTTCCCACTAGAATGACCCATCAGAAGTTTGCCAGAAGGTAATGAGAATCACTAGTATCATCTTCCCTCAGTGTTTCGAGACTTTTTATCTTGAGTATGATTTAGGAATATTTGTAAACAGGTACGGCTTCCTGCTACTGGAAAATACCATCTCGCAGGACCCACTCGGCGTTTCTGTGGCCATTCTTCACCAGTTTGGTATCTTACCTGAGATGTATCAAGTTGGCTATACAAAGTTATTCTTCCGGACAGGACAGGTGAAAATTTAAGCACCCTTTATATGGAATCATGTGAAGCTAGCTTTGGCTTTGTGATTCCCACTATTAAAAAGATCTGAAAACCTATTATGCTCTGCACAGAGGCTTGAATTTAATATCTTCAGCATTCAAATTTTCTACAAATTCAAGCTTAGAAGTGATTATGATCTAGAATCTTCATAAAGTGCATGGCTCTGAACAATTTATAGTTTCTTTTCTGCATATGCTGGCCTGCTCTGAAGCACCCTGCATTTGTTGATAGTATGGTTTGGTTTACATCTGCATAATTATGCAGATTGGGATGCTTGAAGATACAAGAAACCGCACCCTGCATGGCGTTTTACGTGTTCAAAGCTGCTTCAGGGGTCACCAAGCTCGCTGCTACCTGAGAGAGCTTAGGAGAGGAATATCCACTCTTCAGTCATGTAATGGTCTTCTCTTGTGTTGCAGTGTTTTACTTGCAAGGGGCTGTGTAACTTCTTTTGAAAAGGAATAACATTTTTTGTATCTCCCTACAGTTATTCGAGGGGCAAAGATCCGGAAGGAATACTCGGTCCTACGAGAAAGACATAGAGCTGCTGTTATTATCCAAAGGCAGGCGAAGAGCATGATTTGGAGGAATAAGTATAACAACATCCATCAAGCATCAATCTTGATACAATCTGGTAAAGCTTCATGAGTTTTCCTGTACTTATTGAAGCACATTATGGTTCACATGTTATTCCTGCATAATAATCTGATCTTTTAATGTTCCTTTCACAGTTATTCGTGGGTGGTTGGTTAGACGTTGCTCGGGTGACGTTGGGCTATTACTGTCCAGGGTCAAGGTAGTTCCCTTTTTCTTGTTATTCAACTCCGCTAGAACTCCTGGATCATATATAAACATCAACGTTCATTCCCCTGCATTTTAGTCCTTTTTGTAACCGTTCTTTTAATCATGGGTTATTCAAACAGGGGAATGAGACAGAGGAAGTGCTGGTAAAAGCTTCATTCCTAGCCGAACTACAACGACGAGTGCTCAAGGCAGAGGCTGGCCAGAGACAGAAAGAAGAAGAGAACGACATCCTCCACCAGCGCATACAACAATACGAGAGCCGCTGGTCTGAATACGAACTGAAAATGAAGTCGATGGAGGAAGTGTGGCAGAAGCAGATGAGATCACTGCAATCATCCCTCTCGATCGCCAAAAAGAGTCTCGCCATCGATGATTCCGAGAGGAACTCCGATGCATCGGTCAATGCAAGCGATGAGAGGGACTCCACTTGGGACAGTGGCAGCAACTACCGAAGCCAGGAGGGTGGTAATGGGCTCAGACCCATGAGCGCAGGGCTGAGCGTCATAAGCAGGCTGGCCGAGGAGTTCGAGCAGAGGAGTCAGGTGTTTGGGGACGACGCTAAGTTCTTGGTTGAGGTGAAATCAGGCCAGGTGGAAGCGAGCTTGAACCCTGACCGGGAGCTCCGGAGACTGAAGCAGATGTTTGAGAGTTGGAAGAAGGACTACAGTTCGAGGTTGAGGGAGACGAAGGTGATATTGAATAAGCTTGGGAGTGAAGATACTAGTGGTGGGGCGCTTGATAAAGCGAAGAAGAAATGGTGGGGAAGAAGGAACAGCACTAGGCATATTTGATTGATTGTTGCTCTCTGCTCAAGTAGTTTTGTATCAGCTGAAAGTACTGCAATGGCTGCTCGTGATTGTGATGCGGAGTAAGCTTGCTGTATAAGAAAAGAGTTTTCGATTCGTGAATCCCTTCATCGGCCATCGCCATATTAGACTGGCTAAGTAATGTATTGACCACTTCAGAGAATCACTACTATCAGCTATGTATGTATATCATTCTTTTTCCATCGTTGATAACAAGCACAAAACATGTGTGTTTCTCTAGTTTTCCTGTAAATTCTTTCTATAATCATGCGTTATTATTGTTTATCGGTTCATATCTAAAATGGTAAATTTTATCTAAGCACCATTAACATCAACCATCATTTTACAGTCATTAGTAATTTTTCGAATGTTTGAAAAACAATTCGCTCGAAAGTAAGCTCTAAGCGCAGCACAAGTGAAATTCGATCATAGTGTTCGAACAATAGAGAAATTTACAGGAAATTATATGAAAAGACACAAAAATGTTAATAAATTAAATATTGTGGTCTAGTATGAAAAAAAACAACGTAGAACCAACACCAGATGCACTGCAGTTTTCGTTTGCAGCATGAATTCACCCCCATCATCTGAACACAGCATTTTGCTATGTATGTAGTAACCCCTTGTACAAGTATACCTAGTTTAGAAATAAAAAATGAATTTGAGAGATAGGGAAGGGATCCTATTATCCTCTTGCCCTCCCTTCATTTAACATGTTAATCATAGATCAATCAAGAATGGTTGCAGCATCTAATCACACAATCGTCGATGAAGTGGGTGAGCTGACCAGTATACAATTTGGGGTCACTCCTGAAATGATCAACATGAGGCGTCGACACAAAGTTGCAAGCCCTAACCTCGTGCCCAGCCTTCTTCTGCTTCTCTATGAACGATTCCACCGATCCAGCAGGGATCACTCTGTCGGCCGAGCTGTAAATGTATAGCTGTGGACACCTTGGTTGGTCCGAAGATAGCACACTCAGTATATCAGAGAGTCTCCTGCAACAATCATACCAATTGCAGAACCAAGTTTAGCTTCTTGGTTAACAAACGCAGTGAAAAAAACTAGCTTAAGAAATTTCGGACTCACTTGTTCACTGTAGGAAGATTCAGCACAACACCAAAGAACTTCTCCAGAACCACTTGCAGAGCTACTTCAGTTAGTGCAGGCTTTGGTGGCTGGTTGAGCGATTTTGCACTGCCAACTCTAAGCTCCACATTCGAAATAGCATGTCCTTTCGTAGCCACACTATTCTTCTTCAGAAATGCAGCACAGAATCCCGAAGCCCAGACCTAAAACACAGATGATGATGCAATCATCATTTGCTCATCAGAATCCTAAATAACAGAAGAACATAACATTCAATTTGTAAGCAGAAAGCAAGCATCTTCTTACCTGTGGGTCAGGAGCTGCAACTGGTGCAGAATCCACAACACATGCCTTAATCCTTTCCACTAAGCTAGGATCTTGCTCTCGAAACTTCTCCAATATAACTCCATACGTCAACCATCCAGTATTGCTGAAAGTGTGGAAAACCACGTTCTTCTTCCCTGGCTCATCGTCTAACCAATCGACGAGATGGTTCACGAGCATTTCCACATCCTGCTCAGCTTTACCCCCTACCTGATAGCTGAGAACCTCAGCCATGGGGAATGTGAATGTAATGGCATGGAATCCCATTGATGTATACCACTCAGCATACTTCTTCAGATGCCTCTGCTTCGACCCCAACCATCCCAGCAAAACTACAACAGTCCTAGACTTCGCCGACGAGCAATCAGACGAGCCATTGACATAAACGGCATTAGGGTTTGGCAGGTGCCACCTGTACAAAACATCCGGAGTCGAAGAAGCCAGGGTGATCAGAGGCGCAGAATGTGAAGGTCCTTTCGCCAGCTGCGCCGAGTTGTACACATCAACCAAGAGAGGCGAACCAGCGACCGAAGAAGCTGCTGATGTGGCTGCATTGATGGGAGGCAACACTTGGGTGGAAACAGGGGCGAGGATGTTGGCATTAGGGATTGGAACACGAATTCTGCTAACGAAGTTGAAATCGGCCAGCTTGGAGACGGAGGCGCGAGAAGAAGCCCACGAGAAGCTGGAATCCGGAAGCCGTGAAGAATGAGATGCTGCAGAAGAATCATGGGTTGGTTTGAGAGAAGGCAGTCTGTCGGAGATGTCGGTGGAAACAGATGCAACGGCGACGGCGGCTGCTGCTACTATCGGCCGCTGGAAGAATCCAGACAAGGAACTCATATTGGTGGAAGCCGAAAGCCGGCAACTTTCACAAGAAAACACCAATACTGGCGGAATCTGAGCGGTACCCAGAAGGGAACGAATGGAGGGTCTGCAAAGAAACAGGGGATGGAGATTTTTGTTGTCAACAATCGAGGAAACCGAATTAAGAAGGTTTCTGGAAAAAAGGATATTCGAATGGGGATATTGAATCTTTACCTGAGAAGGAAAAGGAAACGCGGCAATGGCAAATCGGGCTGTCAATGTTAGACAGCCCGATTCAGAGGAAGCTTCGTAATTTGGGAGGCCAAGCGAATTGACCTCCCACCTCGCCGCCGCCGCCGCCCTCCTTATTCAGCCGCGTTGCAGCAGATGCAGATCCTCGGCTTGACCTCTTCCTTCTACCCCGGTGGCCGGTGGTGGGACCCGCGGCTAGCCTGCAGATTGTTAAAGAAAAGCGCACGCTCGTCATTACTCATTATTAACCACAAACAAATTAAAAACAGAGCAATTAACATGAGGTTTAATATTTAATCAATCAATTTACGTGGTGGAGGACAAGAGATGAGAAACAATAAAGAATCGGCCGTGGCGTAAGAACCCTACGTAATTGAGAGCGACCCTGGACCTGGAGAGGGTTTCTTTCTCCAACGAATTGGGAGAGACGAGTGAGAGATCCCTTTCCAAAAACGTCGCTTCTGGGGAAGAAAGAAGAAGTAGCTGCCGAACCCAGGCAAAAAAGTGGGAAAGACGGTTTAGTCCCTCCCCAACCACATCGTAACCGCTCTACGTAAAGGATAAACCGAGGGAAAGGAGAATGCTTACTTCACGAGCGAAAAGAAAGAAGAAAACCCCACGACTCTGTTTCCAATTTCTGGAATCCATAACCAACCCGTAACTCCAGAATTTCATATCTCTTCAAATTGGCGAGAAAGTTTCAAACTTTTTTGAGAAGAAACAGGGGAGAGAGAGCTCACCAGGTACCACCAGAGGAGGAAGATCAGGATCCTTCGAGCTTCAAAGTAGGGGAGGGGAAATGCAGCAAACGCAAAGCAATGAGGGTTGGGGAAGACGAAAGACTTATCGGCAGGCAAGAGCCAACAATTGTGGATTGCAAGGGAATGGAATAGGTCTCCTCACCTTTTCAGAAGGCCTATCCCACACCTTCCCCTGTTTTTTATTCCCAAGAAATCAAAATAAAGACTGAATAGAATAAACGAGTTAGAGAGGAAAAGGGAAGAAGGGTTCTAATTATATCCCACCGTAATATTCGGACTCCTCCCCTGTCCTCATACCAAGGCCAAAGAACAAATGAATTTTCCAGAGCCAAAATTAGAGAGAAGCCAAACAAGATTCTTTCGCCTCCACTCTCTGTAGATTTGACTTTTGTCTTTGAGTGACACAAAACAAAATTGATGTGTATGGGAACATACGGTTAAACAGGATTGGATGGTACATGTCATTCCTTGCCCAGTTATCTCTCTCTTCTTCTAACCCAGTCAACCATAGCCACATATGTGAAATCATGGTCATGGCCTCATGGGCAGAGGAAAATATATTAAATTATCAAAGAGCTGTATTGCATTCCACACAGAAGACCATCACTGCAATGGAAAGGGTAGCAGAAGCAAACCCATACAGTGAGACAAAAAAGGATGATGAATTTAGATGTAATATATTGACTTGAAGAAGTACAAACAGCTTTGTAAAAACCTTTTTATTTGCCTGAATCAATCTAGTATTACTCACCCAAAAACATACAATTTTTTACAAAATGCATGCTTGCATTGTTGTATTACACTGGTAGTAACTTACTCATAGTCATCCCCCTTCAAAGTTCATTTAATTCTCAGAAAGCCAACCTCTCCAGCACTTCCTTCACTTGCTTCTCGACTCCCTTGCGTAAGTACGAATGAGGCAGGCGATCAACTACTTCCTTCCCAAACGAGAACACAAGGGACTTCCTCGCCGTATTCAAGTCCACCCCTCGTGCCCTCATGTAGAACAGTTGCGCTTCTTCCAGGTCGCTGATCGCAGCTCCATGGGAGCACTTCACGTCGTCAGCGATGATTTGGAGGTTGGGTTTTACGTTCACTGTTGCCCGCGGCTCTAACAGCAGGCTCCTTGTCAATTGCCCTGCATCCGTCTGCTGTGCATACCTGCCAGCGAAAATGCAGACATGACTTGAATAAGACTGAATGCAACGACTCAAATGGACACATCAAACATCAACACAAACTCAACTGAATTTGGACTTACCTGTTAACCCTTACATTCCCATCAAACACAGCTTGTCCCGACGAGTGAGCAATGATGCACTTGTGAAGCTGCCGAGAATAAGCTCTCGGATGGTCAAAGATCAGCCTACTGTGGAGATCCTGAGTTTGATCCCCTGCAGACAAATGAAAGGTCGAAACTTCTGTCTCTGTGTCGGGACCTAACTGCTGAATGTGGAGATTGTGTCTGCTTAATTTCCCGCCACTGCTTGCTTCCACAAGCTCGTACCTGCTAGTTGATTCCTGCAATTGGGAGGGTCACCTTTCGTGTCAAATCGTATTGCAGCCAAATCTTGTTCATTCTCTATTAAAGAATTGGCAGGTCTGGTAAGAAACAGAAGCACAGAATGCATTGACTGTCTTATTATAAGCATGAAAATGCAGAATCGAAGCTTCAAAAAGAGATCACTTTATCTTATCCTTTATTGCTTGATTTCCAGCATTGGCTTAGTTTCCTCCTTTGAGACATAGGCTAATGCCATAATAGGGTAGGCTAAGCAATTTCCCACATCTCAAACGCTAATGATAGAAACGCACAAATTTCCCAAGACACACCATCCTCACTGCCTAGCGTATGTTGGAGGATCTAGATTTTGAAGCTGAGCAAAGCAATAATTAAGGCTTCAATATTAGATGCTGAAGCCACTAATCAATTATGAAAATTAAAAGCTGCTGGCTGCCTATATCATCAAGAAGAAAGCAACTTTCAGCTCAACATGCAATGGTAGTGATTCTAAACCAAAGGTTAAGAAAACTAGCTCGGTGACAATTTGATCCTGATGCTTCCTATGCATAGCATTCATAGGATCATCAATAAGGTTAGTCAAACTGTGAGCTAATGAAAAGCTTCTCGAGAAGGCACACAAGAGAAAATGGTGAAGAACAAGTACTTCACCTGCTTCACTGAAGTCCACTTGATGTGTGCAGAGTTGAACGACTGATTCTGCACATAAGAATGTTTAACCTGTGCACCTTTGCCAATGACCACCTCCAAAACTGAATTAGTCCAATAACACTTGTTTTCATTCCCCTCACTGCTCACAAACTCTTCTATGATCCCAATCTCCCCTCCATCTTCCACCACCACAACCACCCTAGGATTGGAGAGGGGCAAAACTTTAGACCCACTCTCTCTCGCTTCAACGGATATATACTTCAAATGGATTGGAGTCTCTACTCTAACCCCTGCAGGAACATAAATAACAGCAACATCCGGTGCCCCCAGCCCATTGAGAGACCAAAACATATCACCCCACTGAAAATCACTAATGAAAGAAGAAAGCTTGTCTCGAATCCCAAGTGAAGAGTCACTCAATAAGCTGCCAATGAAAACTCCATCAGGCAAACTGGATGCATTGGGGATGGAATTCGTCAGAAACCCATCAGCGATAAAGAGATGGGAGAAGTTGGTATCTTCGGACCCGATTGCCAACTTGCCAACGTGAGGAGGTTGAGTAACTGGAAGGATTTGGGACTGCCTAATGAGTGAAGTATCCGTGAAGCGAAATGCCTCATCTCTGCGTGAAGGCCAAGGAGTAGAGAGTAGAGATTCAGACGAGGCGTCCCGGAGATTCTGGATAGAAGTGAGTGGGGAAGGAGAGAGGGAGTCTTCAAGCGTCTCGGCTAATTGGAGCACAAAAGGGTCGGAGAAGCCGATTTGGGTAGCCGGGGCTGCGGCGAGGGAGACGCTGGTCCTGTAGTTGGGCCGTGGTTGGCAGGGGAAGGAGGATTTTACAGTTGTCGGAGTGCGAAGAACTACCGGTGTACAAGCTAACGCAGACATTGGCGCTTCCCGCCTGACAAACAATTCTCCCCCACCAGCGAATTGGCCGCAGTTCGATAGCTTCCTTGCTTGCTGTGTTTCCCCGGCGAAGGACCTCGAAATTCCAACCTCCAGGAATACGATGGCTGGACGAATCCACCTGCAGCGGTCAAATAAGATTACCCCGATTCATTTCGTGGCTGCCGCCTGCCGCTTGATGGTCAACAGTCAACACCTCAACAACCAAAGGATTTGCCTGGCCCGTTTTGTGCTTTGACGATAGCTATGGGTGGATTGGGCTTGTCGAGTTTGAAGCCCTAAAGGATTTCCAAAAAGGACCCATTAGCGGGTCCAACAAAGCATCATCAACAACAGCCCGAAAACAGTGCGTTGCTTCCATTTCACCCTTCGATTTCCTTTTTACATCGCTTTTGTCTGGTTGTTGGCGTCGATGTTTAGCTAATTCCCTCATTAAACCACAACTCTTCACTGGCAGAGGCTGACAGCTCACTCGCTCAGGGTTTCTGCCTGTTTCATCTTCCTAACGCAACCGCATTCGGGAAACTAAAGGAAACAGGGGAGGTAGATAGAGAGAGACAGAGAGAAAAGGAACGCCTTTCGGTTTCGGTGAGCTGAATATAATTGATTTCAGATTCTTTGAGGAGAGGAGCTGCTGGAAAATTTTCTCTCTCCTCCATCCATGGCGTCTTCTTCCTCTCCGACGAGCATAAACGAGGCGTTGACGGACGACGAGCTGCGGTCGATTCTGGGCAAGCTGGAGGATGACAAGGACAAGGAGATATTTGGGTTGGTGTGCAAAAGATGGCTGATATTGCAGAGCACAGAGAGGAGGAAGCTTGCTGCTCGAGCTGGCCCTCACATGCTTCAGAAGATGGCCGCCAGATTCTCCAGGCTGCTTGAGCTGGACCTCTCTCAGTCCGTCTCCAGGTCATTTTACCCTGGCGTCACCGACTCCGATCTCGCAGTTATCGCCGATGGCTTCAAGTCCCTCCGACTCCTCAATCTGCACAACTGCAAAGGTAAAAAAGAAAAACTCAGTTGTAAGTCAATTTAATCTACTCTTTCGATTTCCCCTATATATTTCCAGCTTCATTTCAGAAACAGAATCATGGGTATTGCTCTGTATTGGAGAAAGTCGAAGCCTTTATCTTTCCCTAGAGCTTGCAATTGTTTGGTTGCCGTTTCTGAAATCCTCTGTGTTCTGGGGGCAATGATATGAAGAACAGGTATTACTGATCGTGGGGTGACGTCAATCGGGCAAGGGCTGCCTGCCCTACAATCATTGGACGTGTCCTATTGTAGGAAGCTAACGGACAAGGGGCTAACGGCAGTGGCCGAGGGCTGTCCCAATTTGAAAAGCCTCCATCTTGCTGGCTGCAGATTCATCACGGACGAAATCCTCAAATCACTCTCCACTTACTGCGCCAATCTAGAGGAACTCGGCCTCCAAGGATGCTCCAACATAACAGATTCCGGACTTGAAGATCTCGTCGCAGGCTGCCGCAGAATCCAGTTCCTGGACATCAACAAATGCAGCAATGTAGGAGATTCAGGAATCTCCAGTGTTTCTAAAGCATGTTCTGCTTCCTTAAGGACACTAAAGTTGCTGGATTGTTACAAAGTAGGGGATGAGTCCATATTTTCATTGGCAAGACATTGTGTGAATCTCGAGACGCTTATAATTGGTGGCTGTCGTGACATCTCCGATGAGAGTATGAAGTCTTTGGCCAATTCGTGTGGCCGCAGCTTGAGGAATTTGAGGATGGACTGGTGTCTGAATGTGTCGGATTCTTCGCTGGGCTGTATACTCTCAGAGTGCAGGAAGCTGGAGGCATTAGATATCGGGTGCTGCGAAGTGATAACTGATGCTGCATTTGAAGGGTTTGGAATGGGGGATGAAAATGGAATGAAGCTCAAGGTTTTGAAGGTGAGTAACTGCCCAAAGATCACGGTGAGTGGAATAAGCTTGGTTTTGGGGAAATGTAGGTCCTTGGAGTATCTGGATGTGAGGTCATGCCCATTCGTGACTAAGTTGGGGTGCGACGAGGCTGGGTTGAAGTTCCCTGATTCTTGTAAAGTGAACTTCAACGGAAGCTTGAACGAACCTGATGTTCTCGTCTGAGATGACCAGCGTGTCGGTTAATGTGTATGTAAAATTTGGGGAGGGTGTTGTACAATACTGGAGATTGGTGGGTTTCATGTCATGATAAGTCTCTGCAGCATATGTGAATGCTGATTGTATCCTTATAGTTTATCTGTGGAAGGATTCTGATACTTTCATTTGTATTTACGTGTTCCATCATAATGGATAAGAACCTGTGGCTGAATTGATCTTCCAAAATGTCCAAGCTGTGGTTGAATAGACATGGCTGGCTGCATGAACTGTGACTGCCATGCTTGATGGGATGATGGGGAAGATAAATTATTAAATTGTATGAGATCCATGGTTGGTGCAATTCTTTTCCTTCCAGTGGGATGTGGGGCGGAGTTTCTCTGGCGATCGTGATGCATTGACAAGTAACCAACTTTGCTTATCTTCAAGGTCTACTCGCTGTATAGGTTTGTTGTTAGTGTCCTGTACTTCTGTTGTGTAATGGGTTTCACTTGCAAGTGATGGTTTTGGCTTGGGCATTTGGCACGTGTGAAACAAATTGGACTTGCTCTTTTTCTGCAAAATGTGACTGCAAAATAACACCTTTTGTTGTGTTTAATGAACTAATCTTGGAATAAACCCCAAGTTGGTTGGGTCAAGTTGAATGTCGATGGAAGTAGACGTTAAGATTTGCTTTTGTTAACAATTGACAGTGTCTCGAGGATTTAGAAGATGCCGTTCAATCAAACCGTGTTAATCTAATTTACATCTTAAACTCTCTTTACATTTTGTGGGCTCTAATTTCCTCACCAACTAATTAGATTTAAGTTGGCAGTTGCAGCAGCCATTTCTAGCTATGTCCTCTTCATTACATATCAACATGAGACCAAGACTACTACTTGCTGTATATACCTTCAGCAACTGGCAAAATCATGTCGATGCAGTGGTAGTCATCCTGCAGCTTGAAAGCTTTCTTGAAATTCAAGAAACCCATGAACCAGAAATCGAATCCGTCCACCGTCACTATTTCCATGTACTTCTGCGAGGGCTTTTTCGTGTTCTCGCTCTGGTTGGCACCTTGTATCTTCTCAAGTGGGATCACAACCTTGTAGTGAACCCAGATCGATTTGCCCTCGGGTGATGACAGCTGAATCGATCTCTCGCTGCAGAATGCGAGCTTGTCAGTTGAAATGAAGAGGAGCCCAGCAATAGGGCCAGATGTAGTTGACAAATAGCACTGGCATGCCTTCAACAGCCTCTCCCCTTCACTCACACTGAAGAACTGCCTGAACACTTTCTTCACACCGCCTACTTGCAGAATCCGCGCCCCCAAGGTTAACTTTCCTTTCAAGGTCTCGCTGATCTTGTTCCCAAGTTTCACTGCAACCATTGAAATTAAACACAGTAAGTACAAACTGTCTGAGGTATGTGCAGTACTCTATGTAGATGCTATATATTTGGTCAAACTGTCTGAGGTATGTGCAGTACTCTATGTAGATGCTATATATTTGGTCACTCTAAGTCTAGTTTTGTCCCTAATAATGTTAGCATTAAGTAAATAAAGGAACTTACCATGTTCGCGGATTCCGTGTGCGAATTTGTCAGCCTTCTTCCCCAGCTTATTCATCCTTTTGAGCATGGAATTTGATCTGTCTGCATTAGTATTTGCAACCATACCATTAGTAACCACGTACAACAATCAAACAATTAAGAAGCAAGCTTTTCCCATTCAATAGATTGATGGGTTTATGTTGATGATTAGTCAATTACTTTGTTTGAGCATGAGAGATTGGTGAGCTGGAGTAGGCATGTAGCGGTTAGTTGCATCATCAAGGAGCAGTAAGGGCCTCGGGGCCATTCTTGCAGCAGTTGATGCTGATGATGAGGTGATTGGGAACCCCATGACTTGTCCCTGATGGAGATATGATGCCTTCATTTTTGTGGGATGAGGGTTTGGAACTGAAGCTTTCTTCTTCTATCTGTTGATGATGAGAGGATTGTGCTGGTGGAAGAAGAACGAAGGAGGGGGGAAGATATATAAAGGGAAGGTAGAAGGAATGACATCAGCTCTAGCTTTCAGACTTTACAGTCAGCAATGAATCACTGACTCAGAAAGTTGGATTTCTTGGCTCTCATCACGTAATTGCTGACCAATCTAGCTATTGTTCTTTCTAAGATAAGGCTGTGGGAAAGAGGGAGTAGTACCTAGAAAAGTCGGCATCCACCTCATACAGCACTATTGGTATGTCCAGAAATGAAATATCTGTTAACTAACTGTCATTTTTGTTTCTAGGTGACTATATGTTGTGGCTGGATTTCATTCTCAATTCCAGTTAGCCTGATTTAAACAAATATGAAATGGAAGTGTTCATAAGGTTGTATTTGCCTTCAACTCTAGTTAATCCATGGCAATTTATATAGAGGCATTGTTCATAGTCAAGGGGCTTTTCTGTCAAATTGGGAGGTGAGACCATTACTCAGATGGATTTCAGAGTTTTAATTCAAGCATCTATAAGGAAACTAGATTGTGAACTTCTGTAACAAGACAATGTGTCTTGCTTCTGGAAACAAAGCTTAGGGTAATACGAGTTAGATCTCTCTCTAGCATTGATTTGTGATTTTCAGAAGGTGATTAGGAACTTGGATTTACAAGTTTCATGCTTCTCTCATCGACAGGTTGGATTTATCACGTCATTGAGGTCATCATGCAAGATTGTCATTTATTCATCCATCGTGAACTGGAATTGTCTATATATCTCATACCCTTGGAGAATGAGTTCGGGTAGATGATTCACCAGTCGAATGAAAACATAGTTGTGCAAAATGCGAGTGACATTATGTGAGCCTACCCTCCATTTGATGTAGAAACGTTAATCCATGAAGATTGTGAGAAAATAATTTGTACCATGTCTTGATATTCATAATAGACTCTTTATATTTGTTGCTTTCCGTTTCAAATGTACTAAAAAACTCGCAGTTCGATTTCCAACAACTTGAACAAATACCATAAGATGTTGCCACAACATAAGATGAGAAAAACCTTTTTGTTGTCGTTCAATCAAACCGTGTTGGCTTAATTCAATCATCATCCCCGCGCAAGGGATGTTAAATCTAATTTACAGCTTAAACTCTTTACATTTGTGGGCTCTAATCCCCTCACTAACTATGTCCTCTTCAATCTTCATTGCATATCAACATGAAACAAAGTCTACACTAAGCTTCAACGAGTGGAGAAATCATGTTGAAGTAGCCGTCATTGCCTGCTCAACACACTTGAAAGCTTTCTTGTAACTCAAGAAACCCATGAACCAGAAATCGAACCCATCCACCGTCACCACCTCCATATACTTTTGCGACGGCTTCTTCGCGTTCTCGCTTTGATTGACCCGCTCTATCTTCTCCAATGGGATAACAACCTTGTAGTGAACCCGAATCGATTTCCCCTCTGGCGACGACAGCTGAATCGATCTCTCGCTGCAGAAGGCGAGCTTGTGCGTTGAAATGAACAAGAGTCCAGCAATTGGACCTGATGTTGTCGACAAATAGCACTGGCATGCCTTCAATAGCCTTTCCCCTTCACTCACACTGAAGAATTGCCTGAAAACTTTCTTCACACCACCTACTTGCAGAATCCTTGCCCCCAAAGTTAACTTGCCTTTCAAGGTCTCGCTGATCTTGTTCCCAAGTTTCACTGCAACCATTGAAATTAAGTACATTAAGCACAACACAGTCTGTGGCAGCCTGGCAGGCCCTATTTGGTCACTATATATCCTGGTTTCGAAGCTAATGATGTTTGATTAGGATTAAGGAAATTACCATGTTCGCGGATTCCATGTGCGAATTTGTCAGCCTTCTTCCCCAGCTTGTTCATCCTTTTGAGCATGGAATCTACTCTGTCTGCAATAGTAGTATTTGCAACCATACATTTAGTGACAACTCATACAGATCAAGAAACAAGCTTTTCCCCTCTTTTTTGTGATGGAAATGTGTTTATGATGGTGAGTTAATTACTTTGTTTGAGCATGAGAGATTGATGAGCTGGAGTAGGCATGTAACGGTGAGGCGCGTCTTCAAGAAGTAAAGGCCTAGGAGCCATTCTTGCAGCAGTTGATGCTGATGAAGATGAGGTGATTGGGAGCCCCATAACTTGTCCCTGCTGCAGATATGATGCCTTCATTTTTGCTGGTTTGGAGCTGAACTTAGCTTGCTTCTTCTGTATGTTGATGATGAGGATGATGAGTTTGTGCTGGTGGAAGAAGAATGAAGGAGGGAGGAGATATATAAAGGGAGGGAAGAAGGTGATGACATCAGCTCTTGCTTTCAGACTTTACAGTCAGCAATGAATCATTGACAAGAACCAACATGGGGGGGAGAAGGGCATATAGACACTGACTCAGAAAGTTGAGTTTTTTTTCTTTTGGCTCTCATCACGTAATTGCTGACCAATCTAGCTATTGTTTTTCTAAGATAAGATTGTGGACAAAGAGGGACTAGGTCCACCATCGTCGACCTCCACCTCATACATCACTATTGGTATGTCCAGAAATGAATCTGTTAGAGCTAACTGCCATGTTGTTTGCCATTTAAAAAAAAAAACATCAGTTAGGTGAGTTACATATTGAGGCTGGATTTGATTCTCAAAAATATTCCAATTGGATTAATTTAAACCAAAATGAAATATAAGTGTTCTTAAGGATGCCTCTTTGTTCCTCTCTTTTTGGTCTGTGATAATTGGAGTTGTTGGCAGAGATCCATGTATAGATCTTAATCACTTACGAACATTCAAATGAACCAATTCATATAAGGGTTTGACGTTCGCACATGTCCAAATTTCATGTGCTTAACAAATGGGATCTACGAAATTCGAACAAAATACATCTCAATCACACAAGACTCTAATACCATATACCAAGAACCCGTTGATCCACTCACAATAGCTAATATTATTCAGAGAGGTTCATATATGGATTTTTAACGACTTCCTTATAGCATGTTAATCTTCTGTGTGTCTATGATGGTTGAATTCACTGTAACTTATTATCCATCCCTTGGTAGGTAGGTTGGTTGGTTGGGGCGGTTTCCACTTTTGCTTTTGTTTGATTAAAAGTTTTTCCCTGAGCTGGCTTCTTAGCTTTCTGATGCAAGCAAAGCAGGAACAATCTCCTCCTGCTCCTCCATTCTCTTTTGCTTTTTTTTTCAAAAAATTCTGATCCCTTAATGAGAAAGCAAAGGGCATAACACCCTTTTGAGGAGCTGAATCAATCTAGTGGGCAGGTGGTCGGTCTGGTCATTTTTGTATATCCCAGAAAATGGGTTTGTGTAGATTAAGGTGGTAACATGCAAGCCAGACTGCCAGTTTTAGGTAGTAGATAGATTGCATCCAACTGCACAAAACCGACCAACACCTGCAATTCCAATTGCATTGGACACCATATATGATATGCAGCCACTCATCCCAGCACTGCATGTGGGCTGTGGGATGCTGCTTATCAGCTTTCCTTGTCATCCTAGGCAAGGTTGATGTGTTACTGACTGGGCTCTAGCTCCCTTTCTCTCACATTCCTCAATCAAACATTAAATATAATACTCTGGATGGTCCTCCAAGAACCTAAACAAAGACTGGTCTGGTCTTGGGTTGGCTTTGGATATTGACTTTCATCATGTTATGTTTGTTTGCTGTCCTTCTCATATCCGCATCATCACCATCTTAATTATCCTTTTGCACGTTTCATTAAAGAATTCTTTTTCCCCAGAGGAACATGAAATAGGATGACTGTTAAGAAGTAAGAAAAAACCAGCTGACTGTGTTTCTAAGTTGCTTTTGGGTCTGACTGCAAGTAAATGTGAATGGGATTCATTTGGTGGTGGTGCTCCTTTTCTTCATTAACACAAAGCTATCTGTATTATATACTGCTTATTGACTTTTGTTGGTGATAGCAGCTCTTACTTATCAAGTTTAGAAATACATAATGATGATCATGGTGTGGGCAAGGATAGAGAGAGACTGATGCCAAACAAGCTAAGCAACAGCAATGATCATTGCTGTATATATATAGTCAGTCTCAGCACTGGTTTTCTGCCTTTTGGATGACTAGGAAATGAGATTGTAACTCAAGTGACTGAAATAAGCAGTGGTCGATCATTAGAATTTGAGATAAACGAGAACTAGGGAAGTGTTTTAAGTTCATTGGGGAATTCCATTCTGCTGTAGCATGGCTTACTGTAGTCATGCATCAAAAAGTTGTATACTTGCTTAATGCAGAAAGTAAGCAGTAGAGAAGAATCAGTGGCAAGAAGACCAGTGGGGATCAGATAACTCTTCCAAGATTTTCCATTGAGTTCGAGAGGATCGATAATGAAAATAGCTACACAATAATTTCCTACAATAAATGTTTATTACTTCTCCTTTCTTTCTTCCTTCATATTCACATTAATCACTCTCCACCTAGCTTACTGTAACTAGAATCCGACTCTCTGGTTCATCGAGATGGCCTGTTCAAGGTGTTTGAGAGCTTTCTGATGATTCAGGAACCCCATGAACCAGAAATCAAAATTGTCCACAGTCACCACTTCCACATACTTCTGAGAAGGTCTCTTTGCATTCTCACTCTCTCTGATTCTTTCAATCTTGCTGAGTGGGATCAACACCTGCAGAAGCATAATCAGAGCAAAATAGGTAAGACACTTTTTAGCAATCAAGAATGGAATAAGCAGATGGTTTATAGTCATGTTGTGATGTAAACAATTCAAGTATAGCTATATACCTTGTATCGTACTCTGATAGATTCCCCATTTGGTGACGAGAACTTGATTGATCTCTCGCTGCAGAAGGCGAGCTTGCAGCTCGAGATGAACAAAAGGCCTGCAATTGGACCAGCTGTGGTAGAAAGGTAGCATTGTGATGCCTTCAACAACTTCTCATCCACATCAACACTGAACAACTGCCTGAAAATTCTCTCCACTCCTCCACCTTGAAGAATCTTAGCCCCCAAGCTCAACTTCCCTTTCACTGTCTCACTGATCTTGGGTCCCAATCTCACTGCAAATTTATCAAAATCAATGCTTTGAACTTCAGGTAATGAAAGCTCAATCCAATTCAATATCTTTTGTGGTTCTTTAATCTTTATGGGTATCTTACCATGCTCCTTAACACTGTTGGCAAAGGTGTCAGCTTTCTTTCCCAAACTGTTGATCCTTGTGAGCATCCCTTCTCTCCTTCTGCCATGCCCTTGCTTCAAAGGCTGAGAATCCATGGCAGTACAAGGTCTGTTATTGGGGAATTGTGCCTGATCGGCTATTGCAGGTAAGTATCCTGCTGCAGAATGTGGCTTCTTGACAATGTGCGAAAGCGAGCTGACACGAATTCCAACACCGAGCTGAAATGGGTTCTTCATCTTGCTTGGGGATTACAAATGCAGTGGCTAGCTATATGGTTTGATTGAGTTGGGGAGCACTGCTGCAGATGAAATTCAAAGGAGATGGCTATATATACATCCCATGTTACAATGTGAATGGAGGAGGTCCAAGAGGTTAAGTAAGACACAAGGAGTGGAGTTGAATCATGTATAGCTCAGCAACAGTGGGAATAAAGGCAGAATAATAGAGAAGTCTGCATCATGCATGGCAGCATGGGATCAAAAGAAGGATGGAAATTAAAAGGAGAATGATGCTGATGATCTGCCTCACACGGTTTGGTCTCTTTAAGCAAAAGGTGATGCCATTGAGGAGGTCCTGTTTACTGTTAGAAAAGGGCATAAAGTAGGCTTTTTTATGTTGCTGCAAACTGTAAAATGTTGAGATAAGGAAATTGGGTGGAGCTCAAATGATAAGATGATGGTACTTTTTGGAGCCTTCTTCCTATACTCCAACATCATTTACTGCCTACTGGAAATGTACCACTACGGATTGGACTATTATGCTGGCAAACATTCAATAAGTACTGAAATTATTGAATCGCGAAGTGATAGTGGTTTCGTGAAACAATACCGACACATTCGATCTGGCTACTAAAAACGTTCAGAAATAGTCAAACAACGTCAACACGTGCTGAACGTCGTGGATCGCTGCTACAGAGAGAATGAAACAGTTAAAAGTACAAGACCATCATCCAAAGGTAAGTAAGCCAAAGGTGGTGGACACAAAAGAAAAAGAAGGGACTGTAAAATCCCAGGTGGTGGGGGTGGAATGGGATTGATGCTCTATGGTTTCTTTTTCAGTTTTTCTTCTTCCTTTCTTTCTTTCTTTCTTTCTTGGCTTTGGGGTTAGAGCTGGCAACTTTACTTTCTGATGCAAACAATACCCCATCAAGAGAGGAAAAAGCTACTCAAGATAACAAATAAAAAATGAACCTACATAGATTGCATATGCATGATCATGCAACATAGCCTTGACGGCAGAGCATTGGGATTGTTTCAATTAAGTTGGCAGTTTGTGTGCTAAGATCTCCTTCCTGTATATGTCGCACTGAAATCAAGTCGTGAATTCGCGCGAACCCAGAAAGAAACGACCTACTTGCAGAGAGTTGATCGATCAAAGCAACCCAATCTGCTTTCCTACTGTGTTTAAGGGGCTGGTCCAGACAGAATGATGACCTTTTGGTTACTACTCTGTATTTCAGTCTTTGAACCTAGTCTGTATTTCCATAGTGCAGTAGCGGAAGTCGGCAGGAAGAGCAGAGGGTTTCAAATGTCAAAACAGAGCAATGTACTGTCATGTCATGAGTTGCGAGAGGCAAAAAAAAGGGGTTGCATTACAAGATGAAGATGAGACGAGATGAGGTTTGACTGACTGGAACACAGCAAGCAGACATAGGAATCCCCAAATCAAAAGGCGTAATCTTCTTATTTTACTCTTTTTGCTTGATTTCAGAGACCTGTAGGCCATGGATGATGACCGAGGTGACAGAGGAAGCCGAGTTAAAAGAGAGGGAAAAGGGCGATCGGAGGCGTTGGCTTAACGGGAAAGGAAAGTGCGATAAAAAGCAAAGCAAATTGAAAAGAGGGCTAATAAGTTTCCACATCAGCAGCTGCTGCCGCCATTCCTCATGCAGTAGTAACCTGCCGCTGGTGGATGGCATATGGGAAGGAGGAAGGGTTGTTGTTGTTGGGGTTTGGCTTTTCTGGTTTGCGTCGTTGGCATCCTTTTTCACGGTTGGTTGGGGGAGAAGAAATCAAAGCCAAAGGGGAATCAGAATGGGGTCTTCAGTCTTGGACTCTTTGCTTTGCCTTATGCGGAACAGCTGAAGCGAGTGAATTAACTACCTCCGATCTCCCTTAACCTTAATTTACCGGGAAATGGCAGGTCAGAAAGAAGCAATTGGCGGTACCGGACTTGCGGGGAGTAAACTGAACAAAACCGGGGATATTTGCAAACTCTTTCCGACCTCCATTAGACAATTTATCTTCCTTAATTTACCAGGAAATTGCAGGAGGCGAGGCGAGGAAGAAGCAGTTGCAACTTAGAATCACTACACTCAAATCTGCAGCTCCTTCTTCCACCCTCAGCCTTTTGTCGTCACCTCTCCCACCTTCGTTTTAAGAATCCTTCCTTTCTTTTGTCGCCGCATGCTCTGTTTTCGATATAACTAAGCATTACAGTCGACAGAAAACCAACAACAACAGCTGCAGCTTACATCAAAAGGGAACCCACCAAACCCTGCTCTGGGGAAAGCTCAGCTATGGACTCCCCATCTTTCTCCAACAACATCATCACCGTCCTCTGCCTTTTCTTGCTCTGCAATCTCCCCTGTTTTCCTTCCTCCTCAGTAACCTTCCCAAAAGAAGCTCTCCCCACCAAGTCCGGATATCTCCCCGTCGACCCGGCAAAACCCGGCTCCGCCATCTTCTACACTTTCTACGAAGCCCAGCAACCGTCTTCCCCCTCACTCTCCATCACCCCGCTCGTCTTCTGGCTACAAGGCGGGCCCGGTTGCTCCTCCATGATCGGTAACTTCTTCGAGCTGGGTCCTTACCTCGTCACGCCTGAACTCGGCCTTACTAAGAACCCGGGTAGCTGGAATCGAATCTTCGGCCTCGTCTTCCTCGACAACCCAATCGGCACCGGATTCAGCACCGCAGCTTCTCCTCTCGACATCCCCAGGGACCAAAACGCCGTCGCGTCGCACCTATTCTCCGCCATCTCCGTCTTCCTCCGCGGGTTGGGTCCGGATTCCAAGACCCGCCCGCTTTACATCACCGGCGAGAGCTACGCTGGTAAGTACGTCCCGGCAATTGGGTCCTACATCGTCCGCCACAACGCCAATTTACCGGCGGCGGGGAGCTCAGATTCAGAATCGAGATTGAACCTAAAGGGGGTCGCGATTGGAGACGGGTTGACCGACCCGGTGACCCAAGTCCAGACCCATGCTCTAAACGCCTACTTCTCCGGCCTAATCAACGACCTCCAGAGGGAAGAATTGGAGCGAGCCCAGTCGGAGGCGGTTCGATTCGTTGGGATGGAGAAGTGGAAGGAAGCTACCGAGGCTAGGAACAGAGTATTGAACATGCTGCAGAACATGACGGGTCTCGCGACTCTGTACGATTTCACCAAGACGGAACCCTACAAGACGGAGCTGGTGGTGGCGCTGCTGGCGTCGCCGGAAGTCAAAGCCGCGCTGAACGCCAACACCTCGATCGTGTTCGAGGAGTGCGGCAAGGCGGCGGCGGCGGCGCTCCACGAGGACGTGATGAAGAGCACGAAAGGTATGGTGGAGGAGCTGCTGCTGTCGCCGCAGCCGCTAAGGGTGTTGCTGTACCAAGGGCAGCACGACCTGAGGGACGGGGTGGTGTCGGTGGAGGCGTGGATGAAGACGATCCGGCGATGGGGAGGGTTGTCGGAGTTTCTGGCGGCGAGGAGGGAAGTTTGGAGAGTGGATGGGTTGCTTGCTGGGTATGTTCAGCGGTCGGAGACAGGGAGACTGACCCACGCGGTGGTTCTGGGAGCTGGACACCTTGTTCCGACGGATCAGCCGGTGAATGCTCAGGCGATGATGGAAGGGTGGATTCTGGAGACGGGGCCTTTTGCTGCTGGTAAAGGTCGACAGCAGCAGCGGGTGATTCCTGATCATTATAGGTGGCAATACTGATGAAATTCTATACCCAATCCATCCAATGTAGCCGCTATGATGAAATAAAATCTATTGACGTTACAACATAATGTTCAAATGTTACTCCCTTCCTCAAATCCATGCTATCAAAATTGAAGGATAATGGCTTCAAAAATCGTTAAGAACAAGGCAACGACTACTAAATAAAGAGGGCAAATGAAGTAGAAGGGAAATGATTTGATTGATCAAGGGCTAGAAGAGTTGTAGTAATATAAATGCACAATATGTGCCTGCCAGCCACTGCCACCAGCCTATGCTGCTCAGAATACTAAAAATGGCTTCTTTACAACTCCCTTCTTTCCATCCCAAGGAATAATACAGACAGATCTATTTCACTACTCCTGCACCTGCTGCTTCTAAAATGGTTGGTCTGTCTCTGTCTGATACCCACTAACTATAAGTTTACCCCAAAGCAAGGATTGGGAAAGAAAAAGAAAAAACAAGAACAAAAATAAAACCACAACAGAATTGCTTGCTACCACTGCTGCCCTCTCTCCCTAACCAGCTTCCCAGAATTTGTCAGCATCATCGCCTTCTAAAAGCTGCTGCAGCTCCACACCTGTATACGATGCATGAAGCACAATCCCCCCCTACCATCGACGAATCAAACGAAACTGAGTAAAATCACAGCATTCTGCTTGCTTCCACTATAAGATAAGAGGTCTTATTCAACCCCTACAATGGACAACTTCCCCTCCATCTAACTTAACGAAAACCATAATAAACTCATCTGTGCTAACATCCTCGCTCTGTGTTTGTATTGTACATCACCTATGAGCACTCGTCGGCGGCATCGGATAAGCCATCCCACCCATGTTCATCGGTGCCCCAGGGACCACCGTCCCAGGCACCGGCGCTCTAACTCCATATGCCATGTGTGCTGGCGCAGGTAAATTCACTGGTGTCCCAACTGCCGATACCAATGGCCCTCCGATGGGCTGTCCTATTGTTGGAGGACCATAGATCCCTACTCCTGGAGGCCCCCCACCAGGGTGATGCTGAGATGGTTGTTTACCGGCTTTCCCGGAAGGCCCTACTCCGCCGCTGCCACCAGCAGGAGTGCCATTTGCTTGCCCGGTTATCGGTCCTTGGGCTGCTGCGATCTCGCCATTGTTCACGCTCGTGATGTCATGAATGCTCGAACGCCTTCTGTCCTTATTTATCGAGTTTAGCCGGATGAAGTACTTCTGAGCATGGCTGGCCACTTGGGTAGGCGTCCTTGTTACCACGAAGTTCCGGGATATGCTTCTCCAGTCTCCTTTCCCATATTTTTCCAACCCGAGAAGGAATAACCTGTTGTCATAAGAGAGACAGATGTTCAGTAACAAACAGATGCCCCAGCTGCTTTGTTAAGTAACAATCTTAACTGGCGTAGAGCATGCTCCTATATCTAGACAATGCTGTCATGATTTTAGCACAAGTTCTGATGGGGTTGACTATGCCTAAGCTCCAATACTACAAATTCTTACATGGGAAGTACAAATTCCAGCTGGCCAACTCATGAAACTTTGTACTAGTAGGGTGGAAGTGCCAGAAACTGAATACACATCCCCATAAACAAGAAGTCATCTAAAACTACAACACAATGGCAAGTGTCAACATAACATGTGATTCTCACCCTTTCTGGATATTTTGGAAGAAGTGAAAGGAACAGATGAGCTCCTTTCAAACAAGAGAGAAGCCCTTCATCAGTCATGATAGATGTAAAAGCACGAGACCTAATAACTTGGGTTTGAGATTGTTAAAGAAAACCATTATAAAGTTTTGTTCCAACAATGCAGCATATGGTACAGCAAAGAATCCTACTTTCATCATTCTGATGGCTTATCTACAAGGACATTTTAATTTCTACAAAATCCTGTATAATGCAAGGCTTCTCCACCGAATTGATGCTGTGTATGGTAAAATGCAGACAGAAATCTGCACGTTTTTCTTGTACCATCACAAGGGTTTAGAAACTCCTAATCCTAGACAAATGACAAACTTTCAGTAGACTGTAAATCAAGACTAAAGAGTATATAGCCTTCATCGCCTCAGTAGTCCTATTTCTTCATCAATATGCTATCACAGGCTAATTACTCAGCAAATACAAATTCTCGAGCTAACATATCCACAACAGTTCATAGCTATTATACAACATAGTGAACTCTAATCCTCAACCTAATTCGTCTAAGCTAATTTTGCAGAACACTGGGGTGAATGAAACAAACAGAACAAGACTTCTCAGTAAAATATCCGCTGAAGAAGACACATAATAGCAGAGAGAGAAACAATTAGGAACCAGAAAACATACCTATGCTCATCTTCTGTCCAAGCAATTCCCTTACGGCGTTCCTGATCTGACCTTGAACCCTTGTTCCCTTGACTGGACTCACTGTTGTTATGCCCTCCATGGCCACCTTTCTTCCCAGTTCCTTCATCACCAGCCTGGCTCGAACCCTCAGAGGAAGAATTATAGTTGGGTAAAGGCACACAACCAGATTCAATCTGTTCAACATCCTCGACCAGAATCTCGTAGTGATGTTTAACCTCTTCCAGTGTTTTCCCAGGGACTTCTGCAGCAATCTTCTCAAATCGATCTGCTTCATCCTCTACATAAGTTGCCACAGCATTCTCAAATGCCTTATCTTGCTCAAAAGTCCACGAGGAGCTGCTACCAACTTCATCCACAGTCATCTAGCTCTCTTCCGGAATCTCACAACCTCCAAGAACAAAAACCTTCCAAGATAAATCTTTTTCACGAAGCGGTGCAGTTTGGATACCCACCCTAGCACAGCCCCGGTTCTTGATTTTCTAGAACAATTCTCAGTAGTTGGATCTGGAAAATTCCTAAATTTGGGGCATCCAGCAAGAAAGTGGAGTGAGTGATGGCAGAATAACAATTGTATCGCAGAACAGAGGGTGTATGTCAGGCTGCTGCAGCAGTAAGCAAGAAGAGGATAGTAACAAACTCTCTCTCTCTCTCTCTCCCACCCAGAAAAGGCCAAGGGAAGCTGAAGCAGGAGATAAGCTCCAATAAAAATCACACAAAGAAGGCAAGGGGCAAGGGCAGTGAAGAATTTCAATGGTGATTTGCTCCACAATTCAAAAAATTGGACTCTTGTGAATTGCTGACCTATTATGGAATGCAAAAGGCAACAGCAAAGTTGAAGTTAGACCATGAGAAATATCTGAAAACCATTAAACCAAAAGATGCAATAAATGGATTGTTCAAAGCATATGAATAAAGAAAAGAAAAGAAAAGAAGAAAAATTCAAGAGGATAAAAAATATGCAACAATTAAATGCAACGGTGATTCTGATGGAGAATAGTAATTTTAGGGTTCTATGAGATGGTGAGAGATTTGAAAGAGACAATGGAAAGGAAGCAACCAAACAAAGGAAGGAAGAAAAACCCAGAAGCCTACAAACCCATCTCATAAATATCCATAATTCAAAAGGCAACCCAAAAAAGAAATCCCCTTCTCTGATAGTTGATAACAACATTTTTGACAGCAGCAGAGGCCCACCGCCAAAAATTCACCATTCCCCCTCTTTCATTTCCCTGATGGAGGTTTCGTTTTCCACTTGCAATCATACAGCATGGCGTACAGTGCCCACCTCTTTTTTTGTTTGCTTCTGGTGCTACTAGTCTTCTTCTTACAAAGACAGCGAATTTTACCCTAAATTACCGCAGCAGGAAAGCTAACAACGCAGAAGCACCCAATGCCCAAAAAGGGGAAACAACCAAAACTTTGAGATGTAGCAATGGTGTGTAATTAATAACAGGGGAAGACAGAGTAATCCATGCATCACAAATTCAATTCCCAGTCCAGAAAATTTGCAGGTGAAACCCCCAATTGAAGGAAGTGGCAAGTCAGAGAGCAGATTTAGGAGAGCCAGCTGTTGGCAGGTTGCAGACAAACATGCATTGTATATAGACATAGACAGGAAAAAAAACTCGGAACCCAGCCAAAAAGAAGGAAACTGAAGATTACTGCCTTGGGGTAATTGAAGAAGTTCATCTCCCCCTATGGAATTGGCAATTGGAAACGGAAGGGAGCTCAACAAGGGGAAAGAAGAAATTTTACCTTATCTGAAAAACATATTATTATTCTATAAGAGCGGGCACCATCAACACAATTGAAACTTCAACTAACCAAAACAGTGGACAAAAGGGCAAAACCCAGACCAGACCCAGCTAAGCAGTACAAGTGAAGGAAGGTGAAATGAAAGAAGAGGGCCGGTGAGGGGGAAAAAACTTACCTTTTTTTCTGGGTTTTTCCCCTTTATGGGTTCACAGTGAAAACTGAAACCTCACTCTGCCCCCTCTCTGGCGGTGAATAATTGGGGATACTGATGGGTTTTGACGGAATTCGATTCTACGAGGGAAAAGATAAACCCTAACCCAGACCAGAGGGGATTTTGCGTACGGAATCACTCCATTTCTTTCTCCAGCAACCAGTAGGCAACCGGATTCTGCTGATTTTGTTTTCTTATTCTGATTATGGATTCGGATAGAGAGTAAGCCGTAAGCTAGTAGGGAAGATGGCGATACTCAAGGTGAATGGAGAACAATGGATTTTACGGACCCGATTCCTTCTCTTCCGATTTACAGATTTGCAAGAGACCGCAGCAGGGAGACCAACCAGAAAGATAAACCCCTTTACCGGCGGAAAATGACTGTTTAGTTGTTAATTCTCTCCTTTTATCATCACTGCTGTAAAATGGAAAATGAGGAGAGTAGAAACTAGAGAAACATTTCAGAAGGTTTTTTTAAAAATGAAATATAGATTTGTAGGAAAAATGGATAAAATTTCCAAATGTGAAAGAAAGATTCTGGATGATACAACAAACGCGGAAGTAATATTATATAATAAATATCTTATCCAGAAAATCATAAAATTGTGAAGGCAAATATTTTAAGTTCGTTGTATCTCGATTATAAAACTATATTTTTTAAGTTGTAACTCCACCCGTGCAAATTTAAAGGAAAGGACAGGTTCAAGGAATTTTTTCTTTCTTTTTGTTTTGCTTGGGTGTGCAGCAGCTTCAAACCATACGGCGTCGGATTAAATCGAGATAGAATTTGAGTGAGAATGAAAGAAATTTGAAAAACATAATCATAATCAAATTATAAGTGTCGTTTTGCTTCTTTTTTTTTTAATCGTGAAGAGGTATGTGAGATTTAAATTGAAAAATCATTCATATTTCGATCTAAATGTTGATTTGGATCGGTTTGGTCTAGTATGTACCAAATTGATGTGCACTCCTAAAGTACAAATAATAGTCAAGTTAATTAGTGTGACGATATGCTATGCTAACTATTATAATACAACCAACCAACATATTCAAAGTTAATCTTTCTCAATTATAGCGGCTAGATGGGCAATGATGCATAAATCAATCAACCTAGTATTTTGGTTTTAAAATATGAAATATGAAGGGAAGGGAAAGCGATTCCTACCAAAAAAAATAGACGGCCCTTATCAGACAACAACGTATATTTTCAAAACTCCTCAAATTATGAGAATAGACCGGATCATTACGGTTCACATTTTGGCATAAACCACCATCATATAATTGGATTATGGTGGGCCGTAACATCAACGGACCATTTTTTCAGAAGCATTTCGAGTTAAGTCTTTTTATTTCTCGGATTATGGGTTTTATTTACCCTTTTACTACACCATGTCTTCATGTACATACGTGTATACACAAGGTAAACTGCATTGTACCTTGCTCTCCGAATGATTTTGTGGGAGTTTGGTACGTTAGAGATGTATTTTTGACTAATCGAAGTCATCAACAATTTTGTTTTCTGAATGAAATTGCTGTTAAATTCTTACTGTCCAATTATTAATTCATTATTTTTATCATTAATTAATTATGTTATTAATTATGATGATATGACAACACAACAGAAAAGCCCCCAGAAAAAAAACCAGGGGCCGGCCGGAGAGGCGGCACCGCCGGATTGAATAGTACTCGCAAAATAAATAAATAACAGCTCTGCGTGCATGCATGAATCAAAATTGCAGTCAGAAAAATTAAATCAAACCAACTATTAAAAAGAAAACAATTTCATAATGAAAAGTCGTGAAAGAAAGATGTAAACCTTTTCTATGATTGGTTGGTACGGTCAAGCCGCTAGCTTGCTGCTGCCGCCTGCGTTCTTCATCTCTTCTTTCTGGGAAACAGAACAGACGATTAAGAAATGAAGAATAGGTGCACAGACCAGACAGCAGGGCCATGCAATTTATAATGGGATTCCGGGGGGCAATTTTTGGCAAGCAATAGAATATTTTAATCCACGTCACCTCATGATTAGGCTGCCAAATTCATTGTTTAAGAAAAATGGAATGTTCGGTTTTGTTTTTTCTTCTTCTTCTTATTTTTGTACGTGTGAATGAATATCCGGATTAGTGTTACCATCCGTATGGCCTCTCGACGCGGTGCGATAGATTATATATATGGAAGGTGGATTAATTACTTACTAGCAAATTGGATTTTTTTTTTTCCTTTTCTTCTTTCTTCTCAAGTGATGGTATGTAATCTATGGGGGTGTATTGAAGACTAGATTGTGTTCGCACTTTGGTGTTGTTTTGCGTGGATTGAGTTAGACGGTACTGAAGATGCGTGGAATGAGTTGACGCAGTAGAGGTTTAGTTTCATGGTTCGTAGTTATGAGATAGAATTTCACGAGAGAAAGTGTGTTGTTTGCAAGATGGGTTGTATTTTTTTTTTCCGATCGCTGGCTCTTATTATTGGTTCGAGTTAAGTGAGGTTATGTACTGATGCTACATGTACGATCGATTTTGACCTCTACGTTAATGAACGATCGATTTTGGACATGTATAGCAAATGCTATATTAGTTTTGTTTAAATAGACGACACGCCTTTTCAGCAAAAAGAAAAATAACGAATGATAGAAGACTAAGTACTCTGTAAACGATCGATTATTGCTTTTTTATACAATTTCTTATCCTTCCTTTTTGTTTGTACGAGTTTCATTGACTTAAAAGTATTGGTTCGACTTTGTTCCTAACTTAGAAGACAAATCGGAAAAAGGAGCAAATATGAATGCAATTGAGACCGTATTTCATCGACCACTCTGAGCTCGTGTTAGTTAGATTATGTACTGATGTTATACGAACTATTTTGATATAATATTATAAATATATACATCAAATGCTATATGATTTTAGTTTTAAAACAAAATGCTTTTTGCGAGAGTAGAGATCGGGTGCCAACGAAGGTGTGTTTTGGCACTTCCGAAATAGGGGTACACATGCGATCGATTTTTGATTCGTATAGCTAATGTTGTAAGTTTTTTGTTTTAATAGATGACACGCTTTTTTGAAGAAAAAAGTTAAAGGATAACCGACTAAGTACTCTCTGCATGTAAACAATCGATTATTGCTTTTTTCTACATTTTCTTATCCTTCCTTTTTTTTTTTGTACGAGCTTCATTGACTTAGAGTATTCGTCTTGATTCGTTCCTAACTTAATTAGAAGACAAACCAGAAAAGGAGGGTATTTGGTTGTAATTAAGATCATGTCTCATCGATCACTCGTAGTTTATTTTTAGTCATGATATATAATTAATGGGCAGCTGCCAACAAAGGAGTAGAGATTAGGTGCCAACGAAGGTGTGTTTTGGCACTTTCAAAATAGGGGGTACACGTGCAATCGATTTTGATCCGTATAGCTAACCCTGTGAGTTTTTTGTTTTAATATATGACATGCTTTTTTGAAGAAAAAAGTTAAATGATAACAGACTGAGTACTATTTGTATGTAAAATATTCGATTGTTCCTTTTCTATACTTTTTCTTATCCTTCCTTTTTTTATACGAGTTGCATTGACTTAAAAAAAATTCCTCTTGGTTCGTTCATAACTTAGAAGACAAATCAGAAAATAAGGGAATTTGGTTGTAATCAAGATCGTGCCTCATCGATCACTCTTAGGTTTTTTAGTCATGATATGTAATCAATAGGCAAGAGCCAACGAAGGAGTAGAGATCAAGTGCCAACAAAGGTATGTTTTGGCACTTCCGAAATAGGGGTACACGTGCAATTGATTTTGATATGTATAGCTGACGTTGTAAGTTTTTTGTTTTAATAGATGACATACTTTTTTGACGAAAATAGTAAAAGAATAACAGAATAAGTACTCTTTGTACATAAACGGTTGATTGTTCATTTTCTATACTCTTCTTATCCTTCCTTTTTTTATACGAGTTGCATTGACTTCTTAAAGAATTCGTCTTGATTCACTCCTAACTTAGAAGACAAACCAGAAAAGGAGGGAGTTTGGTTGTAATTAAGATCGTATCTCATCGATCACTCTTAGTTTCTTTAATCATGATATATAATCAATGGGCATATTAAAGACTAGATGCGTTCTCACGTGGTGTTGTTTACGTGGATTGAGTTTGACGGTATTGAAGATGCAACATCGAATGAGTTAACGCATTAGGGTTTTAAATTCATGATCCATAATAATTAGATAAGCTCGAGAAAGGGGATGTGATTGCAAGATCGATCATTTTTATCGATCACTCTCATTATTGGCTACATGTACGATCGATTTTGACATATTTGTAAATTTACGAACGATTTTGACATGCATAGCAAATTCTATAAGAATTTTGCTCTAATAGATGACATACTTTTTGGAAGAAAAAAACTGAAGGATGGAGCGAATTCAGTCATAATTTAGAAGACAAACTTGAAATGGAGCGAATTCGGTTGCAATTAAGATCGTATCTCATCGATCACTCTTAATGTCAGCTACGATTAGTTAGATTGTATACCAATGTTATACAATCGATATTGATCTATATAATTATATTATAGAATTTATACACAAATGCTATACAACTTTTGTTCAATATATGACACGCTTTCTTTTATAAAAACTAAAATTAAGATGAAAGACTATGATTTCTACAGAAATAAAGATCAAGTGACAAAAGAAGGTGTGTTTTGGTAGCTTCTGGAATAAGGGTATAATCGGAAAATAAAAGTTTTATCATAAATATTAAAATAATAAATCAAACCCTACATGTCTATATCCCTTCTTTGTATAGTCCACCGACGCTCTCCTTTCCATGGTTGGCACATCGGTGGAATGCCGGTCAGTTTAACTTGGTTCAATTAGTTTCCGTCACGAAACTGACATGATCACATGAATACTACCAATATGATCTAGAAGATTTGGCCTATTATCATTTAAAATTATAAAAAGGATAATGCAATGAATGATTCATAAATGATTATCTAATATGATATAATGTAGTTGATTGGTGGATTATCCAATTTCATTTAAGGTACTTTCTTTTTAGTATTATTCTCATTAAAGATTGGTCAATATCTATAGAATTCAAGTGATTGGTACTTAAAGATGACAATGAGGCGGGTTGGGTCAGATTTCTCGACACTCAAACCCAACTCAGTGGGATCCATTAAAAAACCGATAAAGTACCCACTAGGTCTTAGAGAAGAAAACCCAACCCAACTCAATAGTTACCCACATATGCATGAGGACCCATGGATTTACGAATATAATTATACATGATTTCTTGAAATACTCAAATCATAATATTATTGAGAATTTTTCCTATAATATATCTCTAAGAAAGCTAATAAGATCCATAAATTATTCATATTATTAGATTTATATTGACATAAGAATTAATGACATCCATAAATTATCCAACCCAACCAACCGACCGATTTTAAAGAAAGTGAAACCTACACCTGATACAAAATCCTTCAACACCGAGATTTACCCACTTTAATTGGGTTGTATCGTGTTGGTACCCAAGAATTTGAGTTCAACTGCCATACCCGAGAATTTGAGTTCAACTACTTAATGGATTTGGATCATGGATTTGGTACCCAAATCCCAAATCCAATCCATCATGGATTTAGCAAAAATCCATTGTTTGCTTGCACTTTTTTTGGAGACCAAATCCGTGGGGCCCACGGATTTTAAGGGTCCAAATTCGTGGACCCCACGGGCTTATAAATCCCACATGTTGATGTGGGATTTGGAACATGACATAAATCCTTGATGGGATTTTATCTATATACCCTCATGCACTTTTAATATTCAAAGGTTGTCCTCAAATTTAATTATTATACATTATAATTAATCAAGTAATTAACAATAAATGAATAATATAAACATTCAATTAATGTGCAAACATGAGTTAGATTTTTTATATCATTTCTTGTGTTCTAGTTTTCTTTGACCTTTTCATGGAACGTGTAATTCTTTGTTCTCACGATTCTAATATATGTTGTTATATGTTACTTTTGAAAAAGAGGACAAAGAATTGGTAATTGATTATGTTACGTTAAAAGTTAAACGGAATTTTCTCGTTTATTATTATTGTCCATGTGGCATCATTATGCTTATTAGTATGTAATGTCCTTGTTTTGTGTACATATCATAAACATGTCAAACATATAGAAAATGATAGTAAGGTAATTTTGAAGTTTTGTCCTTGTTTTGTGTACATATCATAAACATGTCAAACATATAGAAAAGGATAGTAATGTAATTTTGGACTTCAGGTAGTAAATCCCACACCATTAAATCCATGATAAAAACATCTCAACAAACAAAGGATTGTTACAAATCCATGATGCCTCAAATCCTTGATAAATCCTTAAGTTTTTAAATTACAAAACCCTCGTTTTTAAATCCATGACACTAACTAATTCGGGTCAATTACCAGAACTAGTCATTTAGAAGTTCCGTGCTGTAGTAGTAGGTTAAGCTAGGGATGACAATTTGAACCCGCCCCGCCGGGTAATACCCGCCCCATCGCGGATCAGGGCGGGTATTACCCGACCCGCATTAGCGTGGGGCGGGACATGGGTATCAACTTCCGACCCGCCCTGCCCTGCCCCGCCTTGCCCTGCCCCGCCCCGCCTCATTCTTACCCCGTTCTATGTCAAATTTTTACCCCATCCATTCATATATCTCCTATTTTGACTTTTATTCGACTATTTAGATTTGATCTTTCAACTAAATAGACTCAATTACTTATTATATTATCACTATTATTCATTCATCAAGTATTTTTCCCTTCGTTTTATCATAAAAAGTAAAATTGTCCGTGTATTTTTCTCAAATAGCATGTAAGAGTGGGTCGACCCGCCCCGCTCCATTCCCATGCAGGTATTACCCGCCCCGACCTGTACTAGCGTGGGACGGGGTATGGATATTGAGGTACCCGCCCAACCCATTGCCATCACTAGGAAGTAGTTTAGTGTCTTAATGACTAGTTCTGGTAATTGACCCGAATTTACCTCCTCTGTAAATCTGTTATTATTTCTTGCCTTTTAGTTTTTTCTTCTTTTTTCATTCTTATTAATATTTTATTCGTTTTCAGCTGGGAGCGGAGAAGAATAAGGGGGGCACGGCTTCCCCAATCTTTACCGCCGGCGTCTTCCCCATTCTCGTCCTCCTCCTCTTCCCGACCCTCTGTAATCTCAACCAATTTCATCACCCGTTCCAATTCAATCCCGTCTCCGGTGTCCTAATCGCACTATTACTCTTTGAACCAACAAGAAACCGGCAACTCAGTCCTAGTCATCTACTCATCTTCATCCTCTTGTCACTCCGCCAATTACCAGATCTGTTCTTCCTCTGGTTTTCCCCAATCCCATCTGCTCTTTTGCTTCTTTTGAAGCCTTCAGTGCACTGGGTTTGTCGCGGAAGGACTAAATTGGTTTTTACCAATTTTAGATCTCTGTTTTTTCTCGTATTCGGGCGATGGGGAAAACTTCGGCGATCCTCTACGTATCCCTGTTTCTCATATTCCTAATGCTGCTCTCCCATTCTCCGAAGAAGCCTTCTACCCACCGCCGGCTCAAGCTCCGGACCAACTTCAATTTCAACAATCCCCACCACCACGACCCAATCCCCTTTGACCCCGTCGTGACCCAGATGGAGCGCCGCCTCGAGGATCGCCGGTGGGAGCATCACTATATCACCCATTCCCATCCCGACGCTGCAAATGATACCCTCTCCGCGCAGGCAGCGCCTGGCCACGAGTCACAGCCCGAGTGGGAGGATTTTGTGGAAGCCGAGGACTACTTGAACGATGAGGAGAAATTCAATGTCACCAGCAGGTAAGGGTTGATTCGTACAATGCCAGCCGAAAATTGGAATTGGAAGTGAATTGATTCCCCTTGGTAAAGAATGAAATGGGTGTGCGTGGCAGGTTGCTGCAGCTTTTCCCCAAGATTGACGTGGCACCTGTTGATGGTTTCGTGACTGAGAATGAGCTGACGGACTGGAACTTAAACCAGGCCGAGAAGGAAGTCATGCACCGTACAGAAAGAGAGATGGATGTTCATGACAAGAATCATGATGGCTTTATTTCCTTTTCAGAGTATGATCCCCCTAGTTGGGCTGTCAGTTCAGGTCATTCTTCCTTCTTTCCCCTCTTTCAGTTTGTTCCCCAAGTTTAAAGATCGCAACTTGCACAGTTGCAGTATCCCCTGATGCTTCCACTCTGCTCACTTCCTGCAAATCGTTTCTTTCTATTGCATACTGAAGCAGTAGAACTGAAGTTCTGTAGTGATCGTATCAAAATCCTTGCCACTCTCTGGTTTTCTGGGTATACTTGTTTGTTGTGGAATATTTCATAATGCCATGTACTAAGGCCTCTTGCTGATATGCGTTTGTCTGCCCCAGATTCTAGTTCTTTTGCGCATGACATGGGTTGGTGGAAGGAAGAACATTTCAATGCATCAGATGCAGATGGAGATGGTCTTCTGAACATCACAGAGTTTAATGAGTAAGCTTCCTCTTCATTTTTATTCTTGAATGTAAATTAGTTTCCTTCGCCTATTCGGTTCTGATTCTGCTTCTAATTATTCTATTGCTATATTCTAGCTTCTTGCATCCAGCGGACAGTAAAAACCCAGAGCTACTAAAGTGGCTGTGCAAGGAGGAAGTGAGGTGACTTACGTTTCAATGCTTTTCAAATTTTCCTAATACATGTATACCTCAGCGTTAGGACTTTCTCATAAAGATTGGTCGACTTTTAAAAGTCAAGTTTGGGCTGCAGTGGCTTTTATGGTAGAACTTTAGTCCTGTAGTTTGTCTCGTGTAATTATAGAAAGTGATTTATCCATCTTTCCATTTGGTATCAGTTTATGAAGCAGGGTTTTTCAGAGTGTTCTAACTGATTGTAGAAATTTGTCCAAGGCCATTGCTGACTGTTTCCAGAGATCTGGTGTTTGTGAACTATATTTTGAATATACATATTTTGGAAAGAATCTTAGATGTTTAGATTTAGCCGTGTACTTTTACATTGTCCTATTGATGTGTAAGGTGTTGTGGTTAATAAGGGAGGCTTCTAGAATTGGACCGGTTTAGTGGTGAAATATGGAATGAGGATGTGTTGGATAATGGTGCATGAGCATATCGTGTATAAGTTTGATGGTTAAACGTCTTGTTCTATCGTACTGTATGTTGCTTTAGAACCTCAACCCAAATGTGTCAAGAGAGGAATGTGTGTATAGGCTGGTATTGTCCAATTATGCATGAAATCTGTAGATTAGCCTTTACAGGCTTCCTGGATTGTTAAGTGTCTGTTCTCATCATGTAATTTTGGGTTTGTTGCTTGGGTTTCAACGAGAGATGACTACATATATTAGGATAAAGATTACACATGTTATTTTTCCCGGGTTCTGAGTGCTTGAGCTTATTTTTGTTGTGTTCATGGTATTTCCTTCCATATTTGCTTTGTCGTTATTCTTGATCGTGTGATCCCTACATGATTCATTCAACTAATTAAAGCCTTTTCCTTTTCAGGGAAAGAGATACAGACAAGGATGAGAAAGTCAATTTTAAGGAATTTTTTCATGGACTTTTTGATCTGGTAAGGAACTACGACGAAGAAGCACATAATACCTCCCATTCATCTGAAGATTCAATGGAGGCTCCTGCTAAGGTCCTGTTTGCGCAGCTAGACAAGAACAACGATGGGTAATCTTGCACAACTATATAAATCTTCTTCCCTTAATTTTTCTCTATTACAATGGGTTTTTTCTGTATTCCATGAGCTAAACTCTTCATCGTTATCATAATTCATAGCTGATTAGCTCCTGGTCATTTTAACACAGGTTTCTGTCAGATGAAGAACTGTTGCCCATCATCGAGAAACTTCATCCATCTGAACATTACTACGCCAAGCAACAAGCAGATTATATAATATCACAGGTATTTATTCAGCCTCCTAATGAGGGACATGCTATCCAGAGCAATCAGAGATTCTTTTTGTTCGACAGTTGCCGCTTCTTTAGTCGCTCTGTAAGCTGTAGCTGTTATGTATTTGATGATTTGGTTTTAACTTATCGCCAGGCTGACGGGGATAAGGATGGGAAACTGTCACTGGCAGAGATGTTGGAGAACCCGTATGTATTCTACAGTGCGATCTTCACCGAAGAGGAAGAAGAAGAATACGATCACGATGAGTTCCGGTAATTGTAGTTGCAGAAATAGAGCTCACACTGGATTTTTGTTGTTCTTGGGAGAGAAGGGGGGAAATGGGTAGAGCAGAAATTGGAGATGATGGTGGTGGGGATCCTCGTCGGCTGGTGTCAGACATCAGTTTATTGTTGCAGGGAATGGAGGGATAGAGCGAGTAGAATGGGTTTTAGTATGGAGGGATGCTCGTTGTGGAGATCCCACTGGAATCTTGAGATACACGTAACCATATATTTATGTTTCTTGGGGAGGAAAAAATTGTTACACTTTTTGGGTAGGGGTTTGACACACACGTGTATCTACTAGTTCTTACCTACATTATATCTCGAAAGGGAATGAAGAATGGTTTGCTACTTGGTTTTGACTTATAACTGGGTTTATGCTTTCATTAGGAGCATTTCTAGCACAAACGACTGCTACCTCCAAGTGCCTAACTACAACGAATGTTGGAGCGAAAGGTTTTATGTTTGAATCCACTTTTCTTAAAATTACTGCGATCAAGGTTGGACCTAAAGATTTCAGGTTCGAATTTACTCTTCGTTGGAATCATGTTATAGGCATTCTCTCTGGCTTCTAACGAAGAAAATAACCTGAACTAAATGGAACATCGTGATCCATATAGCCAAATTATCAATTTTTACGAAATGTGAAACACCAAACATTTTACACCCAATTGCACATTTGTAACTATTTTTTTCATGGAATTTCACCATTAATAAACCAACTTAAAAAAAAAAAGTAGCGTATTCCAATGAAAATTGAAATAGACAGATGATGATTATTCAGTTACATCCCCGTCATCGTCATCATCGCTGTGGCAGTCGTCATCGTCGTCGGACGGCGGAGAAGGATCCAGACGGGCAGCATCCTTGGCCCACCTAATAATCTTCTCCACCTCATCCTCCTCGTCGTCTTCGTCTACGGTACGGAATCCTCCGCTTCCGGTGAGATCAGGGGAAGGAAGAACAGGAGCAGCTCCACTGCCGCTTCTGCCTTTGACCTTGAGAGCATCGAATCTGGCCATGAGCTCGTCCTGCGATTGCCCAGCGGATGCAACGGCGGACGAGGAAGCAGAAGCCGATTTGAGGGCGGCGGAGGATGTGGAGGCAGTAACTGATTTTAGGGCGTCAAGTCGACGGCGGAGATCGGAAGGCAGGGAATCGCTGCCGTTGGGAGTCTTCGAGATGTGAGAATCTACGGAAAGCTTCAGCATAATCTCGTCCTGAGCAGATCGAAGCATCTCCTCCACCGCAGCGTCGTCATCTGTTCCCGCTCTTCTGCTACTCTCTCTCCTGGCCGGCGCCGCCATCTCTTCCTTCTCCCTCCCCTTTCCGCCGCTGCCGCGGTGGTCGTGATTCTTCATACAGTGAACGAAGTCGATCCCCTCTAGATTGCGTCGTTTGCAGGTTATCTACCATACTAATCCGGAGATGGGAAAAGATTATTCCAATTTCCAACACAGCCCAGCCCACTCATTCTACATATAGAGCCCAGCCCAAAATGAAATGGCCCAATACACATTTCCTTTGATAAATTGGTTGATCCAATGAAAATAACAAGAAATCATAACCAGAAAGACAGAAACAGCTTCTTTACGATATCGATAAACCAAAAATTACAGCACTAACATCCCCAGGTGGATTTTTTCAGCAACAATGACAATGAGCTAATACTCAATTATTGCTCAGAGAAAGAGTAATGTGGGGAGGTCGGTCGCAAGTTAAATATTTAACTCACGCAAATCCTACTCTTAATCACTACGGAGTTTGTTTATAGCTTCCTAACCTCTCCGTTTTTCCAAAAAAAAAAAATTGAGGAAAAAAAAAAAACAATACAGAAACAGAATTAAACATTCCAGCTCCCCTCCTTTCATCCATTTTCTCCCACCGTAGAAGGGACCGGGGGGAACAGAACACAAGCCCGGTGGCCGCCGGTGACTCCATCTCCTTGAACTCGTCCTCCCCCTCAACTCATACAACAAAACCGGGCTACTTACCCTACTGTCAGCCCGAATCCAAATTTGTAGTCACTCTTCTTATGATCAATCTGCACCAAATGAGAAGTATCAGCTAGGTTTCAGAGCTTACAGGAGAAAACCATAACCGAAATGAAAGGTTCAAGAGAGCGAAAACTACTCCCATACCTCGGCCGATAGGACAAAGTTGAGACCCATGTTCAACCGCTCCTCCAAGAATGCAGAAGCACACCCATTGGAGTCTAGCTTCCCTCTCAGACGAGCCTGCACCAGTCCAAAACTTAGCTCTACTCCCCACCAAAACAAGGTATCTATATAACTGTGTATGGTTTTCTCAGAATGCTTACTTGTCTGAGGATGTAATCGTATCCAACACTGGCAGTCACATCTCGCGAAAGGTAATTGTACATGAAATCTGTTGCCAATGAAACCTACACGACGGAACAGCATGATTAGTTGAAGAGGTTTGTCTTACAAATTGACAAAACAACGATACACTTGGTTCCCTCGAGAAATCTAGGCTACCTTCTCTGAGACCTTCTGGACGTAGCTCATGGCAACCATACCGGTGCTAGCAACTTGCCCTGTCGCAACCTGAAAACCAAACAAGCACAAATAAGTAACGAATGAGGCTGCAGAAACATAAGAAATCAAGTGTATGGTATGGACCATATTTACCCACAGCAAAGCAAAAGGAACATGCTAGAAACCTTTAAGGACGCAAAAGGAAGCCACTATACCATTTTATCGTTCTCATACCGAGCAGCATAACCAACACCAGACTTTAGATGCTGACCGGCCCAAAATACTTCACCACCCATGGATAAATGTGGGGTAATACTCTGTATAGAAACAATGGAAATGTTAAAGGAGAGGCCACTGCATTTGGAACATGCCTCTGATAGAGAAGAGGTTCAGAACGTGCATGGATAGATAAAGTGTAAGATAGCTGGCACAAAACCAGCGCTTGAATTGGGTAAAGTACCTGAATGTAACTAGCTCCAAACAAAGAACCATCTCCTAATTGAAGTTGAGTTCTGTAATCTTTGCCCTGCAAGAGAAGAGAGCACCAGCACAAGGGAAAAGAGGCAGCATTAGGATTTAACAGTGTGGTGCTTCCACACTGCTAAGCATGGATAACATATAATGGCAAAGCAATAAAAGAGGTTCTTGATATAGCCAAAAAGTGTGCAATGCATGAAGTGATATCACTAACAAACGAAAGAATGAGGTGAAAGATGCATTTCCCATTGTGTGTAGTGTAGCTAAAACGAAAGGCCAGTACTTATCCTTTTCCTCCGGAAACTAACAATTACTGAATGCTACGATGCATTCTCAGATGTTATCTAAAAAAACTTGGCTTCTAGTGACTATGTCCATCCTGAAGCCGGAATAGACAAATATGTTTCCTTCTAGTCACCTTGCAGAGGATATGCGCAATTGCAACACTTATGTCACCCAAAAAAACTACCGATTGGGCAGGCGAATGAGCATGCGGTCGTTTAATCATTCAAAGTAGAAGCAGAGAAAGAACGGAGGCCTGACCTTGTAATCAAAGTTGACCATGCCATGAGACATATTTGGCTCATTTGACAGCTGGATGGCAAAAAGGAGCAACAGTTAAGCAGCAAAGAGCACAAGTTCCTCACTTACAAACACTCAAAAGAACAACGGACTATAAACAGTTAACATGGCAAGTAATTCACCTGAGCATTAGCTTTTAAACTAAGATCATCAGTTAAGTCACACTTCACCCTTGCCGTTAGTCTCCCGTCAGTCAAGACCCTTCCAATGAGCATCAACTGAAAACGCCATATGTCAATCATAATATTTCAGGAGTTCAATTACCTAACAAAGCAAGGGAATCTCAACATGGCAACTGTCACCTACCTTTGGGTCGATGAAATTAGCACCAAATTCGTAATGAGCAGTGGGAATTTTAAGGGTTTCAGCACCTTGAGAAGGTAGTTCCATGGGACCCATGAAAACGCTGATGCACGGAGAGAAAAATCATTATCGTCCAGAGTTCATAAGAAAAAAGTTCAGAGAAACAGAAGTGACATTCACAAGAAGCAAAAGCTACCTGTGACTGAGCGAAAACTTGGGGTTAAGCCCTTTCGTGAAATCAAAACGCATCCCTTCAAAAAGCTCAGGCTTTAAAGACACTGCCAATAGATATAAGAAATCAGTTCTACTAGACTAGTTAGCTCGTAGAACCAGCAGCACAGGAATTACTACCAAATTAAAACTGCATCATCAATACAAGCAAGCATAACCATTTGGTTCAGATGTTTCAAAAGCTAGATGCTTGAGAATTTCTAGCATTGAGCCCCGAAACCTAAGAACCAACATCCAATTCCTGATTCCCATGACACTAACAGCCACCAAAGCAATACACTAATTCAGCTGTGCTGCAACTGACAAGCTAGAACATATGGATCAAGCATCAACAATTAACGAGCTAAGAGTATGAAAACAGATCCAGAAGGGGCAAAAGGGGCGAGTCTGTGCATAGAAACCAATACGCTCACAAGGCAAAAAGCTAGGGGAAAAAAGAAGACCAGGGGATGCAGGGGAGATAGGTAAAAATATCAAGATTGGGAACTATACTGATAGCTTCGCGTTGAAGTTCCTCGAAGGGAATGGGGCAAGGGAGGTTGAAGTAATCGACTTTCTTCTTCCCGACTTCATCGATCTTCTTCCCAGCGGCAGCATCGCCGAGGATTGTGGCACCGGGAGGTGGAAAGCCTGCCATTGCTAATGCTAACTCGGATTTGAATTCGCAAAGGAGACGCAGGCAGAGGCACCGAGAGGAGAGCGGCGCGGCGGAGGGACGGGTAACGAACTAGTCTACTGAAGAAAAAGAGTACAGACTATAGAGGCGAGAGTGGGGTTTGGGGTTTTGGAGAGGAAAGGGTTTTTATTTACGGGATATAAAATAAAAAATCACCCTTTACTTCCGGCAGGGTTCACTGACATCATACTTGGTTGTTTTTCAGTTTAGGTAAAGTAGGGTCACATTCATAGTATAACCGTAATAACGTTTTAAAATGTTACAAAAATTAGGGTTATAGATAGGGGATTGCTATTCATAGTATATCCTCTAATATGACGTTTTATCAAACATGCCCCTCTACTATTTTTTATATCAAAAATGTCCCTGTACTTTGACAAAATTATCAAACATACCCTTCTGCTAAAATTTCCATAGAAAAAATCGTCAATCATGGTTGAACCGATATTTAGACGACCCGACATCGACAAATGGGAGGAAAAATATCAGTTTTGTCCCCCGTTTTATTTCTCTGGGTCTCTTCAAAGTGAAATTATTTGAATTATTTGGCTATACAAAAAAACCAAAATATTCTAAAGTGAAATTATAGGAATATTTTAGACATTTGTATCGCCCAAACCAAAGTTCGGCATTGGTTAACGGTTTTTGGATGAAAATTTTAACAAAAGTGCATGTTTGATAATTTTTACAAAGTATAAGGGCATGTTTGATGTAAAAAATAGTAAAGGAGCATGTTTGATAAAACGTCATAGTAGAGGGGTATATTATACCTATAACCCATAATATTATTTGAGTATGGCGATAAAATATAGTGAACACTCATTTTCGTTAATGTCATAACTATTTCGATATTCTTTCTCCTTACTGACGGAATTAGATGAGAGAGGAGTTGCCAATGTCTAATAGGGCATGCTTGTTTAGATTAATTATATTAACCACATACCAAAAAGTCATGTTTAGTGATATAGCATACTAACTAGACCAAATTAACCAAAATTCGGCCAAAATTAAGGGGAGCGATCGTTTTGTTAGGAGTTGAGAAATTTATGCAGCCAATTCGGAGCATTTTAAAACTCAGGGATGATGTTGTTTCTTTGAACATAGTTTAGTGACCATTTAGGAATTAAGCCTCCAGCATCCATTAAAGATGTGGAAACGATGTCGCTTCGACTCTTTTCAATTTCTGCGTTCCACGCGCGGCGCGAGGTCACGAAGGTTGAAGCCGCTGCCGAGTGAGTGAGTCCGAGTCGGACAGCCGTTCCCTCTCTCTGGTTTAGTTTCCGGGGAAGGGGAAAGCACATCGCTCGCAGCGGCGGGGCAAGGTGGAGCCATGTATCCAAGTTCAGGTCACACTAACGGCTACCACGACCAGCAGCCAGAGCAGCAGCGATTCGTGACGACGACTCAACGGCCACGAGTCAGAAGAGGGCCCCGCGGTGGCGTTGGCGGAGTTAGGTCGCGTGATTACGGCGATGGGTTTAGGGTTTCTGGCGAGGATAATAGTCAACTGCCGTCGCAGCAGGCGGAGCAGCAGAATCTCGCTCCGTGTACCGACTTCGATAAGGCCTACTTCCATTCTTACGCTCATGTTGGCATTCACGAAGAGATGATCAAGGTTTACATTTTCTTCTTAGCTTTGTTTCAGAGCTTCCTTGATTAATATTGGATATGCAGTCCGAATGTGGAGCTGAAGTGAGTGTATGCTGTTATCTTTCCTGCAACATATGCGATTCTTTTGCTGCAATGCCCATATGATCCTGATTGCAAACAGGCGAGGTTATCTTTGTCTACAGTTCAGAATGAATTCCGAACGTTTGGCCTTCTAATTGTGCGTTTAGCATAAACATTGGAAATGGCGACCATTTTGCTTCATAGTCTATGCTGCTTTGGAGTATTTTATTGACTTGCAGCCGTTGGAAGTCTGGTTCTTTACACTTATTTCTATGTTTTTTTATTTTATTATTACAGGACAGAGTAAGAACAGATACTTACCGAAGTGCAATCTTGCAGCATCAGCGCCATATTGAAGGCAAAGTAAGTGGTGAATGTCAAAGTTTTATTATCTGGAGTGTGTTTGGTTTCTTTTTCCTTTAAGTATCAGCATGGCGACTACTGAATGCTGTATCTGGCTGAATGGGGATATTCTTGGATTAACATTTTTTTGAATCTCCTGAATGCACAATGTGGGCATATAACAGGTTGTGATGGATGTTGGTTGTGGCACTGGAATTCTAGCTATATTTTGTGCACAGGCTGGTGCGAAGCGGGTAAGTCATCTTGGAGCTAATATATTCAAGGCTTCTTTCTTGCATTGAGCAGTGTTGATTTTCTGGTCAATTGAAGGACAAACAAAGAAATATGAACTGCACAAAAGCAGCTAGTTGAAGTTGGAATTTGAATTAATCTTAACCATTATGTTTGTGTATTTTCTTTTGGCAGGTATATGCTGTGGATGCTAGTGATATTGCTGTGCAGGTATTTCATCTTCTCAGTCATTTTGCTTTTTCCTCTTCGTTCCCCTCCTTTCAACCCAACAAGCTGTCCCATATTTATGCTGTCAGTGAAACCTTGTTAACCTATTTTGTATAGCTTTCGCTTGCGGTGTTGGGATGACACATTTGGTTAAAAGGTGTTAGCTATCACTTCTAAGGGATTTCTTATTGTTCTTGATTCAGGCTAATGAAGTTGTGAAGGCAAACAATTTATCTGACAGAATTATTGTATTGCATGGGAGAGTTGAGGTATTTTCTGGTTATTAAGTGCTCTTTTGCTCATTGGCCAACTATTTGGCTGCTATTCCCAACATTTGAGTTCCTATTATATTTTACTAATTGCAAGTTCATATTAAGACTTATATAATGCATGGTACGAGGAATGGGTTCAGCCTATCTGATGAAATAGCCCCATAGAGCTATTTAAAATTAAAGCACTGCGAGATACATTCCTATGTTCTCTGCAATCTATTTCCATTTTTTTTTTCTTCTTCCCGTTGAATCATCTATTTTCATCATCCATCAGCTGGCATAAATAGTTTTGTCAATTTTTTCTCAGGATGTTGAAATTGATGAGGAGGTTGATGTTATAGTTTCAGAGTGGATGGGTTACATGCTTCTCTATGAGGTATTTGCAAATGGATGATGTTTCAGGGTGTTATGATATCTGCTCTTTCTTAGAATCAAAAGAGGAAGCTGTACCACTCCACTCTTATGTTCCCAATGTGTGGTTTTCTTACTTTTATTAAATTGTAGAGCATGCTCGGAAGTGTAATTACTGCAAGAGATCGATGGCTAAAACCTGGTGGCCTGATTCTTCCATCACATGCGACGGTATGTTTTCAAGTGTTTGATAATGCTCCTGAGACCTGAGGTTGTTTGAACTCTTTTGTTTATGATATCACTGTTTTCGTGTTGGGAGTTTCTGTAGATTATGTTTGTATTCAGTTACTTAATATAGTTTGTTTGCTCATAAGCTTGCTAATGTTTCAAAGGTGGATTTGAAAAATTATGTTTGCAGTTATATATGGCGCCTATCACACATCCTGATCGATACACAGAAAGCATTGATTTTTGGCGCAATGTGTATGGAATTGACAGTGGGTATTGCTTGCTTAATTGCTCGATACTCAAACTTCAAGGAAATCGTTTTGTCATGTGTGCTAAGTAAATTTGTTTGTGTTTGCTGGTTACAGTGTCTGCCATGTTGCCATTAGCTAAACAGTGTGCATTTGAAGAGCCATCAGTGGAGACAATAAATGGTGAGAATGTCTTGACATGGCCTCATGTGGTAAGTCTTACCTTCTAAAATTTTGTTAAAGCAAGCATGCTTGTGATTAGCACCCAGAATGATGTTCTACTAGTTGGTTTGTTTACTCATTGGCAATCTTAAGTTATTTTGCTTCGTTAATGATGTTGGATGACCTGGGCTTTCTTTTGTTGTTCTAATATTTTGACTCTCTGAGTTATTTTCAGATACGCCTTGGGGTAGTCAGTCTGAATCCTAGATACTTCTCTTTCTAAATTTGAGAGTCTGTTGTTTCTGGTTATAGGTGAAATATGTGGACTGCTATACACTTCAAATTTACGAGCTAGAATCTGTCACAACAGGGTTTCAGTTCAAGTCAATGATGAGAGGTATTCTACGACAGCAGCATCTGTACATGATTTTGTTTTTCTTTGGCTGCCTATCTGCATGTAGCCTCCAAGTAGTTTGATTGTCTGTTTTTTTCTTTCTTTGCAAATCTCAGCTCCGTTCCATGGGTTTGCTTTTTGGTTCGATGTCGAATTTAATGGGCCTGCAAACGTGAACGCAAATGCACAACTTTTGCTACCTGGATCACCAAATCCTCAGTCCTTGGACTGTGTTGTGAAGAAGAAGAGAACGAACCCAAATGACACGCTTATACTGTCTACTGCTCCCGAGGACCCTCCAACACATTGGCAGCAGGTATGTATTAAAAGTTGTCGTGGCAGGGTGCGATTGTTTAACTTTCTTATCTGAGGAATTGGTACTGACGCCGAGTGTTAAGACGAAACTTTTGCATGCCTTAATCGTGTGTTGGGGTTGCAGACTTTGATATACTTCTATGAGCCAATGGAGGTGGAGCAGGATCAAGTAATAGAAGGGTCATTGACATTGTCCCAAAGCAAAGAAAATCGTCGGTTCATGAATATTCACCTCGAGTACAGGTGAGAGATGAGATCACTGATTGAAAGCACGGGCGTGTGCTAGCATGTAGAATGAAGGATATTTCAACTCCGTAACCCTGTTCTTGTTATCCACCATCACTGACTAGTTATCTGGGGGTTTGTGTTTTTTGATGCAGCTCTGGTGGTCGGTCTTTCGTGAAGGAGTCAGTTATGAGATGAAAGGGTCAATGTATAAGCAAGCGAGAGAGAGAGAGAGAGAGAAGTGTACTGTCCAGCTGTCCTCGCCCTGCAGCAGCCGCGGTTTTGGCTGGTTAGTTTCTTGGGAAGGAGGCAATTGTATACTATAAGGCATGGGATAAAGGCAACGGGCAGCTTGCGTAGTTTGGCAGCCAGACGTAGGAAGTAGAAGTTTGTAGCAGAAAGACCCAAATCGTTCTCTCTTATTTTTATCCATCCTTTTCTTGACGACGTCTTCCTGGATTCTGTACTGGTAACGAGTGAATGTGGCAAGCAGGGTCTAGAGTGTACCATAATACTTGATTGTTGATTTGTCAGAGGGACAAAGAGGTAGGCAAAGGACTGATGAAACAATGATCTCTGGATGTAAAATGACTTGATGATGGTGGTGGCTTGTATCATTGATTCATTGCAGTTATTTAATCCTCCATAACTGGCTTTTCTCAGTTGTGATTTACTAATACATGTACATTCAGTCACCAGAGATTGTGGCAACGAAAGAACTCAATGTAGAGGGGAAGAACCAAGCAAAGAGCTGCCCCAATGGAGTTCTGCATTATTACAGTAAAGATAACATTTTTATAGGCAAACAATCATTCGTTTCACTGCAGGCAGCAGTTCTGTTTTGTGGGAAGGGAGGAAAGAGAGACCAGAGAGGCTCAAAACTGTGAATACATTCACAAGAAGCAGAAAAAGACTACTATATCTCCCATCTTATATACGAGTAATTTACCAGCAACAAGACACAGTGGCTAAAAATGCAAGAAAGAGAGCTAACATTTGCCTGCCTGAAGAGTGAAGAGTACTGCAACCAGCCGAATCAAATTGGTTTGGTTGGCAGCGGCGGGAAAGGAGCTTTCTTCTTCTGCTTACCTCAATCCAGGAAGCATGTGGTTGTCGAAGATTTCCTTCTGCTATCTGAAATTTTAACCAAACTCATTCCCTCGTCAATCAAGGTACTCGAACTCGTCGTCGCGGAGATGGGCGGAGAACTTGACGGGGGCGCTACGGCCTTCGACCTCCAGCAGGAACTCCACCTTGTAAGGTAGATTGGCGGAGATGGTCTTCTCCTTCCACAACCCTACGTACTGCTTCAGCACCCCTTCCTTCCCCGTCAGATCCACCTCCGGCACGCGGGGCACGTGGTACACCTTCAGCGGCGCCGTCACCCGCACCTTCGCTCCGATCCTATGCTCCGACGACGTCGCCGAATCGTTCGACGATCGGACCGCCACTTCGCAGCAGACCGGCTGCCTCCGCTGATGCTGCTTCCTCCACCTGGCGGCGGTTGCTAGCGCAGGAGACGAGGAACGAGGTAGAGCGAGCGAGGGAGGTAACAGAGTGGCGCTGGGGTGCGGAGAAGACAGAAGGCCGATGGCGGCGGCGGAGGTTGCACAAGAACAACTCATCTCCAATGCTCTCTTTCGCGCCTTGGGGACGACGACGATTCTGCTGCTTCTGAATGTCGGGAGTTTGGAAATGGCGAATTGAGGTTTTTCTCGGTGCTTGGATTGGGTGAGGCGGAAAAATTAGGGATTCGGCGGATGGACGCTGCTGCCGAAACTGAGTTCTGTTCAGGTGAGGAGTGTGTGGATGAGGGATTGGGTATTCCCAGCCATAGCTTTATCTCTCTGTCTTCACCTTCTTTTTTTCTTCAGGCTTCAAATCCCCCACACGGCCTGGGTTTTGGCGGATGATGATTGGTTCGTTCTTACATGTACTGATGAACCAGGACGGATGCAGTCGATTACGGGCTTGGACTCTACTTCCATCATACGAAAGTCCAGCCCATGTAGTGTAGCTCATTGTATCAGGCCCACGGAACAAAGGCCCGATTAGGGTGGTCAAAAGCAAACAAATATTGGGCTCATTTGGCAAGCACAAAATCTTGAGATTATTACAATACAGACACTGTTAGAATTTTTAAAGAAAAAACATATACAATGCACCATTACCTATTCATACATCGAGGACGAGAATGGTAACACCGCTGGAGAGTTAAAAAGGGTTCAATAACATACATCTGAATCAAAAATATCAGTAGTATGGCATCTACAAACATGTTTAAGCTTTCTCCACAAAAAAAAAAAAAAAACATGTTTAAGCTAAACTACCCAATCACAACCTAGCTAGCATACCCTGAAATGCCCTGCTTCCAACGTTGTTTCAGCGCGCTTCAGCACCTTCCAAATCTATGCACGAGTAATGGTACATTTCTCCAGGTTCATCATATAGGCCGCTAACAAGCAACCTTGTCAGTCTTTAAGCGCTCCTCTAACATTTCATGAAGTCAAATAAACAGAGAAAACTATGTACTTCAGAAATCAGGATGCAGAAGAAAAAAAACAGTAGCCCTGAAAGTAAACAAAGAACAGCCGGCGAGAACAGCACGGGAATATATTATTATGAACACATGGAGACTTAGACATCCCGGCTTCTGTGCATCAAATATTGGTACACCCAACCCAATCCAACAAACCCACCCACTCAAATCAATTTTACAGACAACAATCCGAACGCCAATAATGCAAACTCAACTGCCTCTCAGCTGCCTAAACCCTCCTCCCAGCCTAAGCCTCATTATTAATAGTCAACAATGTACCCTTCCCACCACCAACCCATCAACTTCAACTCAATTCCAATCCTTCACCCACCAAACATGCACAACCATAACTCTCTCTGTCTCTCGCGTGAGCAAAAAAAAGTGTCAACAACCCTAAAACACAGCAAAATGACACTTTCACGTATATATTAACTTTCCCGTCAACTCAGGGAGCCACGCCACCTCGCTCATCTGTTACACCAGCCACTTGCCCCACCCACTTCACCACCGGGAACCTTCACAACAACAACAGGACAGCCAGTTACACCATCCAAACAAACCCTCATCAAGACTTTTCATATGCCACCCGCCGACCAATGAGCCGGCACTGCTCCGGCAACAACGACGACATCACTTGTCCGTTCAATGCGAAAAGCTCTCCATCGATCCCGCATCCACTGTGACTCTTCTGCTTCCCGGCCTTTATCTTCACCGACTTCACCTGTCAGCATCATCCACCACCCCAACATTAGTCAGTCTAATCAAATTCTTACAACTATTCTCACGTTTAACTTCGAAAACCTGACGAGATCCCAGTGCCCTAGTAGTAACTAGTAAGTTCAACACCGTCTCATGCATGCATGCATGATTGCAAACACACACTCCCCACCAAACCGAAACAATTTTTCTCTCAACTCTTTCTAAAAGGACAGCATAAAAAAAAATTGCTTGGCTCGGCAATTCTCAAATAGCATAAGATGCACCGCGTACCTTTATGTATTCGACGTATGGCAGTGAAAGATGTCCGCCTCGACCCATTTGCAACAACGAGAAAAACCTCAACAGCCTCAGCCGCCCACTGCCATGAACCAATACCAAATCTAAGGTACTGTCATCGGGCTCTGCCTTAGGTGCTACCAACTGAGAACTCTGCACTGATCTGCAAGCATGATTGCACACTAGGATCCCAAGGAACTGTCCTTTCCTGAACTCCCACTTCTCTTCCAATCTAGGCACGATCATTTCCTTCCTCATTCCACCCTCTACATCATCGGCAGGCCCCGGCAACTCGATATGATTTTCCACGTCCCAATTTGCTTGCCCATCCCACTTTGGCTCAGCATCCCAAATTGGACCTGGATCAGACAACGTCGAAGATATGTCTTCTCGGTCGTTTGTGGCATTATTCCCCCAAGAGCACCTAGAGCTATCTTGTGTGGAGATTGTTCCAGCCCACCCTTTGTCTGTTCTTGACTTTGACCGAGTCCTTGGCCAGTTGGGCGTTGTAGAGAGTGGCATTTGAGGATGAATCACTTCTGGTTCTGTTGTGACATTACTTCTCCCAGATGACAGACGTTTAGTTTTGGGATCCAGGCCACGCACGTATTCCGATGGTTCGGTGCTAGCATGAGTACTGCTGCAGGTGGTATCTAAGTCTCCAGAAACCCGACTTGGAGTCATTATTGAGTCAATGCTCGATAAACTAGAGGCTCTAGGCATGCCACCGTCCGTGTTTGACCTCCTCATAACATCTGTATACAGATCGGCCATGTCCACTACTTCTCTATCACCAAGGCGATTTCCTTGATCTTCTATTGTGGATGCTGGAAGATATTCTACTTCATAGTTGTACTTTGGCAAACACAAAAACTTCAAAAACCCAGCAACAAAATAGCGCAATGGACCAAAGCGTTTCTGATATTTCTCAGAGAGTTCCAACACTGCAACAAACCAAGATACGTCATCAGCCAAAAACAATTTAAGACTTTAGTCACTATTTTCACCGAACTACACAATCAACCCACATGAGTGTTACTACACCATATCTATTTGAGATGGCAGAACCTCCTAGTAGAAGGAAACACATGCTGAGGCAAATCCAGACCAGCACTTACGCATAAAGAACATTCTCAATTGCACCATCATAATGCAAGACTCATAGTTCAACTCAATGAGTAAAATCTAATCATTTTCTGGCTGAAGATAAGCACTTGTTCTTTTCAGGATTTGATTACAGACAAGCTTCTGTATATAAGGGCTTCTTCACACATAAAAAGACTTTTCCATGGTCATGTAATTCTCGGACACAATATTCACGGAACACACGATTGGCCACATTCTACCAGAGTGCTCCGATGCAGAAATTACTCATAAAACAGCTTTGTCCGAGAAGAACGATGGTACTTGGTCAACTTACCGTCACTAACAAAACCATAATATGAGACAGTCATCCCGAAGTGCATAATACCGGTCTGAAGCCATTCCACAGCAAAAACATCCGTGGCAGTTAGACCTCCCTGAACAGAAACATATGCATAGTAAGTAAAAAATCAAATGGAAGTGACAATAAATATAGGCTCCTTAACTAACAATTAAGCAGAAAAAAAAAACTTCAATGCCATTCGAGGTATTCAAATTTTATTCACCTCACAGATGGTCCATGAACTAAGAAACTTTATTACAGCATTGATATTTGCTGACAACTAGACTCCAGAATATCTACCACTTTTACTATAAACTTACCTTGATGATAGCCATGGCAGCAGAAATAGGATCACGTACTCCAAGAACAGTCCAGACAAGCGAATTATCAGAACCAGCAGGTATAATACCAATCGGAATGGAGATTCCTTCTTTCTGATTATCTCTACAGAGCAAACCATTCAGGACCTGACAAATTGCATTGATTAACTTGTTAATCATCGAGAAAAGAAGCATTCACAATATCCTGCTACTACTTAATACTAACTCAATGATACAGGTGGCATGAGATACATGTATGCACTGACACAGCATGCATTCAACTTATACTCATTCAATGTGCATCATCATCACTTTGCATCTAGTAAAGATGCAGCTCAAATCCCATCCCGTATAGCTGTGAGAAAGAACTCTGACAGTATATTTATCCAAAACAACAAAAAGTCTGATAGTACAGCTGCGGGCATAACTGTACAATGTTTGACATGCAGTGTCCGGAAAAAAGAAGGTAAAGAATGGATGGCTTAGTTGGAAATATTTCCACAACAACATTTCTTCCTAACAAACTAATTACTAAAATGTGGCCAGGTGCAAAATGTGAGCTAAAGCAAAAGACCAGGGAATCCAACTGAGAGTAGAAACCTCACCTCGTTGATAATTCCATCACCACCGACACATATAATCCCTGGAGCAAGTGGAAAAGTTCAAATGTAACAGGCCATGGTGAAAAATCATCATATATGATACTCATTGGAACCATCAAAAAGGGAAGAATCAAGAACACAAAGTTCATCGAGAAACATACCATCAGGACAAGTGCTGATGTCAACGGTAGATGCAAGACTTTTAGCATGACCAGCTGATGTAGTTTTGACTACCTCCAACTGAAACCCTGCAAGCTGTAACAGCTCACACTTTATATTATTGATTTGATAGACGTGAAAACAATGCTCAGTCATTTCTAACTTCACATGAACAACAGTGAAAAGAACCATCAGATGCTTTGGGGAAAGACGAAAAGGGGGAGAAAACGTTCCCTACTGCGTGCAAAGAGCTAAATGTGTTTTGTCGCCAGGAAGATGTTCCCGAGTGGTCTCTTTCAGTTTTTCAACTCAGAACATAGGCAAGGTATGGATCTCAAGCCAGTTCATTAAAACCAAATGTTGGATAGGTAATATTAACAGCATAATGAGCAAAGCTGATGCAGCATACACCAACTCTAGAAAAACTATCGTCAGAACATCAGTGGCAGGAGAGCTCCCTGAATTCCTAGACGCTGACTATTCTGTACAGTTCAAGCGCAGTGTATCTCACATATAATGAACGCATATGATGTTCCATGATCCTTGAGTTGCCATAGACATTCAAATACGTGAAGAAATGGTGAATATTCTAGTTAAGAAAGAGGTGTAGAAGACACACCTTAAATATAGGTTCCACAATGCCATGGAAAACTTTGGTCGAACGGCCAGAGCCAGAACGTGGATTCAGGATGACCAGCATTTTAGGTGGATTCTTACACTTAAATAGCAACTCCGGAGGAGTGTCAATGGGAAGTAACTCCGAAGAAGCTTGCTTCTTGGAAGAGGCCAAAGGGTGAGGCAAGCAATTCACATAGCATTGCAGATCTGCAAATCCACCAACCCACTGTACTGCATCTTTCACGGTTGTGGCTACGAAACGATAGTCTTTGCGAATTCTTTTGGGTTTGATGAAACAAGACAGACCACAAGAGCCCTTCTTTATGGGATATGAATGGACAGTAAAATACCTGAGACCAGCATTATATGTCACCTACAAAACCCAGAAGACATAATTGTTTATCATATGATCAAGTAGGCTGAAGCAGATTGTTCAAGACGTCCATGGACGAATGAAATGGGAATTTATGAGAAAAATTTACCGAGATGACATCGTCAAGATGCAATATAGTGGAGCCGCAGATTAAAGCCTTGCTGGTAAGCTTAGCGTCCAGTGGTTCCTGTTTAGGAACATCGGCAGGAGCTAGATTAGCAGGATTTCCATTGGGTGTATCAGGGCTCACCGAGGTCTTCCTCTTGTCCCAAACGAGCTTGCCGGAGAAAACAACATCCCCCAACAAATCAGACTTCTCATCTCCTACGGCGGGTATTCCTCCACCGATGTCGATTCTAACTTCATCCCGGCTAGGGTTTTCAAAAGGTTGATCGCTGGTGAGCTCAATCCGTTTGGAGGAAGATGACTTGACCCTTTTGCTGCGCTTTTCGGGGAAAACGATGGGGGAAGAGTGCTGGGCCCCGCCAGCAGCTAACTGAGAGCAGAACCCCAGCCTCCTGAGGGACTGTTGATGGTGCTGGTTAGACGTCGGGTTGCTTACGGCTGAAGCGGCGGCATTACCCTTGGCCACAATATGCATTTCCGAGCGAGCTGTCGTGAGCGTGGCCCCAGAGAAATTAGGAGAAACAGGCAGCAATACGGGAGGAGGAAATCCAGGGTAAGAATTGCTAGGTTTGGAGAAGGGTGAGATGGAAACGGACTGGAAAGAGAAAGAGAGAGTGGTGGTGGTGGGGGGGGGAATGATCGGAGAATCAATCAGATCAACCCCGGCGGCGAATTGGAATTGGGGAATTGAAATCGTTAAGTCGGAATTCAGTCTAGGGGAGAGCAATGCTTTCGTCACAGGTTGATCTCAGTAGATGGAAAAGGAAGACAGAGAGGGAGAAGGGGGAGGATCGGAGAGACGGGATGGAACGATGGAAATGAAGCAGCTCGGCTCACGATCTGGAGGGTTTCGATTTCTTCCGGCAACGGCGGAGGAGGTGATGGCTGGCGGTTGCAAGCGAAGTCAATCGAGTTTCGGATTGCTGGTTTGGTAAAAGAGTATTCTCTTCTTCTTCTTCTTCTTCTATTCAGCAGTTGTTGAAAAGGGACGGTGGGAAGAGAGAGAGAGAGAGAGAGAGGACTGAGGAAGGAGGGAGGGAGGGAGGGAAGGAGAGAGAGAGCCTGGTTGGAAATGGAATGGATTGAGAGCGGCGGGCGGGCTATGTTGAAGCTGTTCCGGCCCGGTTACCGTAACATAAAAACAAAGATAACTTAAAATGAAAATTCAATAATATTAGTAATTACCGCGTTATCCGTTAAATTATGCAAATAATTATTATTTTTAAATAATAGAATGGTTTATCCAATAGAGATCAGATCAACATTCAACCAAGGTGATGTTTGAATTTCAATTGAAAATATGGATATATACTTCACTAAGCTAATTTTTGTTAACAAAGAATGTAGTCATGTATACAAATTAAAAGGGTGAATTTTCTTCTCTACTCTGTAATACTAGAAGAATCATATATGAACAATTATCATTTGCCTGGTAAGGTGAAGAGTATCAAAATGTGTTTGGATGTTGGCATTTTTCTGTCGAAAAAGTAATATCATCGCAGTTTAAAAAAATTGTACGATCAAATTACATCTTCAGATATGTTTACTCCATATGATGTATGGTCGTGTGAGTCAGTAAGAGTCATCTCCATCGATTGTTTTAGCAATCCTCAAAATGGTTCGTTTTGCGTTAATACTAATTACTAAAATTAATAAATTGTCGTATGTGCTTAGTAGTGAGGTTTGATTTTAAAACATGATTGAAGATTGTGCATGCTACTGCTCAACTTGGATGGGGTAGGGATCTATTACAATTTACAGTAAGTGAGCTCAAACCTCAAAGTAAATATGTGAGGATCTCAAGCAAATGAAGGTGGGAGGAGGAAGATAGTGGAGGAATGGAGAATCATAATATGACGATTGAAACAAAGTGCACCATAATATCCACGTCTTCTTCTTTCCTCCCAACATAGGGATGGAAAAATATCCACCGTCATGGATATCTGTTCGAGTCAGACCTAATTGGATAGGGTAAAATTTGAATTTGAAGAACGTTAATGGGTATATGAGTAAAACCAGTATTCGAATATTGCCGGTAATGAGTGGACTTGATTTTTTCACTATCTATGTATTTTGTTTGTACACGGTCATTATTTTTTCTACATATGTAATATTTTCATGAAATTGTATTGTTCTTAACTAATTGTCTTTTGAATATTGATTTATTGTTATACTTTTACAAGTATGCAATGTGAGTGTAAGTATGAATACCCAAAACCGATAATGTATGAGTATGATTTTGATTCTCAAATCACTTTAATTAGAATAATAAATATGAATACCCAAAACCGATCATGTATGACAGTATGAGTATGATGAAATATGAATACAAGGTTAAACCCAAATCACTTTAATTAGAATAATAAATATACACTATCCACTCCACTCTTTACCACAACGTCTTTATAGAATACAGGATTTCAAACTTGTCTGTTAACAAGGTACGTAGCCAGATTGTCTCATAGCAAAAACGGTCATCTATGCCTCTATCTCCATAGACTTAATTGTTGAAAAAGTATTGTAAGAACGCTCATTTTGCCACCTTAGTCTAGTTCAGTGACTTGTTTTCTGTTCATCAATGATCAACCCATCCAAAAGGGAAAAATGACTTCATACCTAACTATGTCACCATCTCCATTAACTAATATTTGTTCCACTCTTCCACCTTAAGGCAACTCCATCTATAGAACCTTTTTTCTCTTACTGCTCTCTAATTTTCCATCAAATGATTTCCCCACACCTTTAATTTCTAGAAAAGGAATGCAAGGACAGATAGATCCATTCATATTTTTATGCCATGCATGTATATCACCCTTAATGCTTGTACTTAAAAGGAGATAGATGCATTATTTATGTCATAATCCCTTTGCTTAACGCTTTATTAATCATGAACACCTTTGCTTATGTTTTATTTCAAACGTGCAATCAGACTACATTATTACGATTTACGACCTAATAATCCCACAATCTCTCTTAAGACTCATAGCCCGCGACATTTAATAGTAACGAGTGAACAACCACACACAACAATACGATATCTGTTCGACGACGTTTGAGGTCGTCGTCATTCAACCGACGGGCTTCAAGATGTAGAGCTTGCAAGAGCGAGGTGGCATGGTGGCCGAGATATTCCCGGCGACGGCTCTCCCCAACGTCTTATGCTCCCAAACGTCCCTCACTTCCACCACCGAATTCGGCGGGATCCCGACGTCGTCCCAGTACGCCGTCACCGTGTCGTCGTCGCCGGTATCCGCTCGATTGAGCAGCATCACGACGAACCGATACCCGGATATTGGGCCGGCCCATATCTCCCTACTGCCCATCATCCTCACCTTCTTGGCCTGGACCCCGAGCGGATCCTGGTTGATCCTGATCACCTCCTCGTTCCCCACTATATGGGCCACGGCCCGCGTAGCGGTGGCGTTGGCGACGTCGAAGCCCAATAAGAGCGGCGACTTGGAGATGGCCCACAGGCTGAAGTGGACGACGTACTCGTTCTCCGTCATCCCGCCGTTGCCGACTTCCAGCATGTCCGGGTCGTTCCATCCACCTGGCCGGGCCAGGTGGGCGTACACCTCGTTCTCGTCCGCCTTCGATATCATACTGCATTGTATTACGTATATACGTACAGTATCCGTATAATTCAGTACAATTGTACAAATATACCTACTAATGTACGTATACGCATTAATTACGTACTAAGCGTACCTTTCCCACGTGTCGGAGATGTCGTTGGTTGTTCTCCAGCTGTTCCCGACGTTGAACCCCCATTCAGCTGGATGCAAGTCTCCCCTGGCCGGACACGTGCGAATTGAGTTGGTAAATTAAATTGAACTACAGTAATTAATCAAAGTGATTAGTGTTGGAGGATTGAGTATTAATTACCATTCACAGAGGGAGATGTAGATGGGGCGTCCAGTCTTCATAAGAGCGCGAGTCATCACTGGGTATCTAATCTCTCACAATTAATTAACAAAGCAATGAATTATTTGTTTGATTAGTCCTTCATTGCGCGACTAATTAAACGAAAAATGAAGGAGGAGGAAGAGATAGAGATGTCACCTAACGGTTGGTCTGGAGCCATCGTTGAAGCAGTTATCGTACTTCAAATAATCAATTCCCTGTATAGATTAGATCTTATATTAAGTAGGGAGATTTAAAGATTAATTATAACATTCAGTTCCCATAAATCAAAATGGCCAATCATCATACCACTTCTTATACATAATATATATTATTAGAGCAATTGTACTAATTTGATGAACGTTACGCAGTGTAGGTACGTACCCAGGAAGCGAAAGTTTGAGCGTCTTGTTTCTCATAACCCAGCGAACCAGGTTGAGTTTTACTACAAGTGTAAAACCTGCACAATTCAACACACAATATATGTACACACAAATTAATTATATACGTAATTCGGCATTAAAGAAAATATATGTGCATATGTACCCAGCATCTGAGTAGATTCCTAGTTTAAGACCCTTGCTATGGACATAATCTGCAACTGCTTTGATCCCGGATGGAAAGGTTGATTTCTTTGGCCTTAGATTACCCTGAAATAATTAAAGACAGAATCGAATTAAATTACTTCTCTTTTTCAACCATATTCATCTAAAAAATAGCAGCCTGTACACGTTTAATCACAATAAAATGTAATTCATAGTTACTGTGGTAAGTAATTTTGACCTTGCAATCTCGTGTCTTTTCAGCCCAGCAGTCATCTGCCACGCACAAGATTTCGAACGATTAGTTTAGAAGAAGCTCGCAAGGCAAGGCGCCGGTATTGTTTGACTAAACTACACTAATTACAGTATTACACGCAGCCAGCCCAGCTGTGTCCATAGACAGGACATAACAAAAGAGAAGAGAAGAAGGCACCAGATAAGTATTTACTATTTCGTAATCACTATTCATACAATAAAATTAGTAATTAAGAATTTTTAATCAGATTAATTAGAATATAGTAGCATACCAATGTTGACATAAACGTATCCAAGCCTAGCGAGTCCACTCGAGACCAAGCCATCCGCTGCATTTAGATCCAAAATCCACATCCAAATCCAGTATCAATTAAAATAATCCATTTTAGCATAATTGCAGAGTTAAAATTATACATTATCCTGTTAGGAGCAGAGATAATTAACTAACTAATTACCAGTGGCTTTGATCATGTTCTCGTCGATATCGCAGTGAAAATGGTTCCAGCTGTTCCATCTACGTGCATAATGATAACAACATCAATTAATATAATAACTAATTTATTATTACGTCGTACAAACAAAACAAATTATTAATAATATTATCCTAAGAAACGCAGCTTCCAGATAGGACGGGCCGGGCCGGCATGCCAAAGCCCAAAAAAGGAAGTAAAAAACATAATAATAATAATAGCCAGAGAAAAGGGGAAAATGAAGAAAAAGGAAAGAGCACAAACAACTGTGAAACGGAAGGGGATAAGGTTTGAATCGTTTGATTGAAAGAGACAAGAGGGAAGCAATAATTGATGATTGAAAGGAAAGGAGATCTGGAAATGACCGGCCCATGCGACGTCCGGCGCCGGCCGCGTTTGAGAAATGAACAAGTTTAATTCGTTGAGAGTAGCTGGCAGATCTGGAGTTGTGAAAGTAGTAAAAGTAATTAGAGTGAGTGATCGGCAAAGTACATACCCCATGGGAGGAGTCATGCCGAGGCCATTGGCAATCAGGCTGCGTCGATCGGCGGTGGCGGAGGCGGATTTCGACGACGACGCTAATAGAGCTGCTACCAGTAGTAGGCAGTAACTGCGGGGGAAAGTCGGACAAGTGCTCATAGTCTGGACTCTGGAGTAGTATTCTTACTTACCGAGTTAAAGAAAAGAAGGTTTTTATTGTCGTTTCTCTGACTATACTCTTCAGAACCGGCAATATAAATAAACGGACACAGAGAGCGCTCGCAGGAGTGGACTGTATTGTGTTAGTAAGTAGTATATAGTTTTAACTAGACTAAGGCAGAATTTATATTTACTGCCTGATAGAAGGATCCAGGAGACAATATTCTTTTCTATTGATATCTTTTGTGATTATCCCATTTTTCTCCTTTAACTGTAATTTGTACTTGTGTAGCTAAAGGTAGTCAATGAATCAGATTTATGGATTAGTGAATTAATAGATCAATCGGAGGACTGGATTCTGAATCTAAGTGACATCGAAACATCGAAAAATATGTACATTTTAAAAGTTCACGACACTAAAACGTTGCAATAAAAGAATTTAGGTGTCAAATGTAATTACTCAATGATATTTTACATTTACAAGTTCAAATTTAGATACTAAATACAAAAAAAAAAAATCTAAAGAATAAAGGTGCGAAAGTTTAATTTACCAAATATTCTTACAATCCATGAATCCCCATTCTAATTGGATTTGATGAAGGGTGTTTCAGGTGCGGTGGTGATGGCTAAGGGGATGTTGTTCGAAGCAAGGGATTGTGGATTTGGCACTTGCGGGGTCATTGCCTCTATGGTCAACGATTTCCTGGTGTGTGAGTTCGGAAATGCTATAGGCCGGGATCGAGGGAGATGCTAAGGTTATCATTGGCAAACTGCATGCTGGTATCAATTGGACTACTTTGTTGGTGTCATCTTTGAGGAGGTTCGTTGGATACTTGATCAATGGCGAGATTTGGAGATCATGGTTGCAGGTAGACATAAAAATAGGGTGGCCAATGTAGTGGCTGAGAATGACCTCTCTTTGGTTTCCTGTAGGTTGTGATTGGTCTGCTTTTTCGTGTTTAGCTCTCGGTTTAGACGAGTATTGTATAAAATTGTGGTTCTTGTTAGTTATTAATACAAGTATTTTTTTCGTAAAAAAATGAATTTGAATGAAATGAATTGGATTTAAGTGGATATAATTAATTGGATATTCTTGTTGGATGAATTTGATTGAATTGGTGGATTCGATACAAAATTGTAAGCTCAACTTATAGATCTATACGATAGAAAAGAACGATAGAAAGACACACAATTCTTTTCTATTATATTTTTGATAATTTGATTTCACGTTTGCATTATATTTTCGATATTCATGCAAAATACATATATATTTTTTCTAAACTTGCTCGGGATACTTGCTAGTGATGGAAATTTATGACTTGACCCGCCCGACACAACCTGTCGCGAACTATTTGGGGCGGATATTACTCAACGCGTACGTGGGGGCCGAGCATGAGTATTGCTTCTGACCTGCCCGCCCTTTCCTGCTATATTCTCGAGCCTCGACCCGTTCTATCATAATTTGCATCGCTATCTACATATATTTCCCCTCTATTGACTTTTATAAAATCATATTTCATCACAAACAAATTTTCAGACTCAATCTTTTAACTACTTATACTCAATTATTCATTCTATTATATTATCATTAATTTTTAAAGTATTTTCTTCCTGTTGTTCACATAAAAACGTGGGTTAATTGCACCGGATACCACACAAGTATTGGTTTCGTTGCATGCTAACCACTTAAGTTTTTTTCAGTTGCAACTAAACCATATAAGTCTACTTTCGGTTGCACCGTAATATTTTCCAAACTTAAACTTAACGATCAGTATCAAATTGTAAATTTTCGCACCAATTTACATAATTCTATTTTCCCTCACGCTGTGATCTATCTTCATTTCGGTATTACTAGCACTCTCTTTAATTATCTTACACACTCCTTTATTGTTTTCTTCAAATTTACAATTTTTTTTTGTTCTAATTGAATTAAACTTTGGCTTCCTTCAAAATAAAGTAAATTTTTTAAGCTAATGCAATCCTGATTCTATTTATGTTTTGCATAATTGGCACCTCAACATAGACTTTTCTTTCAGATGAAAATTTTTAGGTGCCCCTCGTATAAATTATTTAAACTCATATCAGATAAAAACTAAAGAAGCATATTGAGATTAAGCTTGAAAGTTGAAACTAGTGAGTGAAGAAAAATTAAGAAACAGGTCTTAAACAGTTAAATCGAGCGACAAAAAGAGTAAAGTAATGAGGGAATTTCAGGTGAAGTTTTATCATAACTTTGTTACTAGTATTCTGGTAAAGAAAGACTTTCAAAGCAAAACTCTGCTTTTTTACCGAATCGAAGCCCCCAATCTCCATCTCTATAAAATAGTTTTACATGAGGATCGCCGGTCACAGAGCAAGAGAAGATTTTTAAAAGGTTATTGTGATCGTGTTTATTTCATCCTCAATTTTTATAAAATGAAATATTTATTGTATGGAGAGTAAGAAAGAGAAAGAAATATGGTATGGTGCAAATTATAGTGAAAAACTTCAATTTGATATCCACCATTAAATTTAAGGACGGAAAATATAACGATGCAATCGAAAGTTGACTTATATATTTTAGTTGCAACTAAAAAGACTTACGGGTCGTTTGGATGCAGTATTTTGATGAGGTAATTTGGTCAAAATAACTCAGAATGAAGTATTTCAATCAAAATAACTCGTTTGGCAAAAATAAAGTAGAATGTGGTATTTTGTCCATGAGTCAATTGAAATAACTCATTGTGAGTTATTTGAAATATCTACCCACCCCCTAGTTATTTCAAATACCTCATCTCCCAACTTCTTTTTCCACTTCATCCCTTCTTTAATTTGTGAAATACCACAATATTTGAATGTTTTATCCAAACAAGGCAATTACACTAATTACCATATTTCAAAATGAAATACCACATGAAATGCTACATAGCAAAATAATACATCATTTGGATTCGAAATACCATAGAACTAAAATGATGCATCCAAACAACCCACTGTTTAGTATGCGGTGCAATTAACAGATAAGAATGGTTGGTTCCGCCCGCGTGAGTATTAATCAATTTTATTCGCGCTTAATGGAGTACGTACCAAACGGCCGAAAAAATCAAAGACAAACGACTGTAACTTCTCGACTTCCGAACAATCTTCAGTACACAGTAGTTCTCCCCTATTCTCATATGGCCGTTCATCGGGAAACAAAAATGGAGTCCCTGCCGCCAAATCCTATGCGGGCGAAGGTAGATCAGCCACAGCCGCGGCCCATCCTTCCCCCAGAACTCATCGCCGAAATCTTCACTTGGTTACCCGTCGATTCACTGCTCCGATTCAGGTGTGTCTGCAAATCGTTCAAAACCCTAATTTCCAGTACCGATTTTGTCAAATCACATATGAGAAGCAGGAAAGCTCTGTCCAATACCAGACCCAACCGCGCCGAACGTCTCTTCAGGCGATCAATGAGCTTTTTTATGAGGCGGGAGCGCGATATAGATTGCCGTGTGCGTTCGTGCTCGCTTTACGCTGTGTACAATAACCCCCAAATTGATCTTCCGGAGCTTGGGTCTTTGCTGGATCAAGATTACGACTTTCATGATAGGATTATTGGATCATGCGATGGGTTACTATGCTCTGTAATCTACCCAGATCACGATGTGGTCGTATGGAACCCATCTACCAGGGTTTCCAGATCATTGCCCAACTATGAACCTGGCTTTGACCATTGGAGAAGCAGCTGTTACACGGTTTTTGGATTTGGCTATGATTTCCAGCTTGATGATTACAAGGTGGTGGCAGTGCTTGCCTATCGAGATGATAAGCAAGGTAATGACATTGAGTATCAAACTTCAGTTTATGTCTTTTCTTTAAGAACTCGAGCTTGGAGGAAGATGGGGGGTTTTCACTACGGAGTTCCTTTAATGGGGGATGCAAAGTTTGCTGCTGGCAGTCTTTACTATAAAATGTCAATGTCTCCATTTGGTGCCCTTGTCTCACTTGATCTAGCAACAGAGACATATGACAAGGTGGTGCTACCTGATCTGGGCAAGGATACTACCCACTGGGAATTGGAGACATTAATCGACCGCCTTAGCGTCAGTTGTTTCAATAACGACGGTTTTTGCACGGTATGGGTGATGAAAGAGCTTGGATGGACCAAGTTGTTCCGAGTTGGTGGGTTCCGTGGCGAGTTCTGCTATCCACTGTACATATCAGACATTGGTGAGGTTCTTTGGGAGACGTATGGAAGTTTGATCATTTACAATTACAAGGATAAGAGCTGCAGGTTACTTACATCCGAAGTCTTGAAAAATCAAGACCGTGATACTACGGTATACATGGAGACTTTGGTTTCGCCCATGATGATGAATTAGCAGAGTGAGGTAGGTTCACAACCGTACTTGGATCATGCGCTTGATCCGTCATCCGATAGGCTGCATTGTTGACTTATTGTTCTTGTTTGCCTTGCCATCCAGCTGATCATCTGTTGCAATCAGCCTGCAGAAAGGAATAGGAATTGTTTGACTGCTCTGTAATTAGAGTTGCATTTGCGGAAATATGAAATTACTCCATCTATTGTCTTGACTAAAGATAGGGCAACCGACTTCTTTCTGCTCCATGTTAACCTCGTTTAACTTGAACCTTGTGGCTTGTTGCAGGTACCATTAGCTATATGGAAACATTGTGCTATCATGGTTACGGCGAGGAGCAAAGTAGTAGTACGTTTCAGTTAGATGTGTGTGTATGATTCACCATTATAAAAAAAAAAATGATTATATAATGCAATCCTTGGATCAATGCTCAACTCGTGCTGCTGCTGCAAGGCAACCTTTTTTTTTTTTTTTTTTCCCATGTTCTTGTACTGGTAACCTCTTTTTCTTCATCAAGCATGTAAATCCATGGATTCACAACTATGGGTGAACATAAGATCAACCGTAAGTTCGTTTTAAACTAGTAATGTCTTACAGGTAAAATTGTAAATTGTGCAAGTGTTTCCCTATAGGAATGTAACTAGGGGTGGGATTTGGTACGCCGGTAAACGGTTTACCGTTTTACCGAACCGTTTACCCGTTTGTATCGGCAAACCGTTTACCGGCGGTATCGGCGGCCGAGCGGCGAATTGGGTGGGTCGGTATACCGAAACCGGTATCGGTAAATACCGACGGTAATTCGGTAATACCGAATACCGAACCCCAAAATGAGCGGCGATCATCGAGCCTCTTCCCCCACCTTCGCCAGCGCAGACGGAAGGCAGTTCTGAATTCTAATGATGACGATTGAGGGAGACATGCGTTTTATCCACTGTTACACTCCTTGCTTCCACTTCTATGGACTGGAACTGTAAATTCAGTTCCAAAGAAGAACAATCTGCTGCTGCTCCCGCTTCGGGCTTCATCGGAACTCAACTCTCTCCGGTCAGCTGCTTCTCTCGTTATCCGCTTTTCCATTGCTCCAACCTGAATTTCCTTTCTCGTCTTCCTATCTATCTTGCTTCCCACTCTCACTTGGTCGAGGGGAAAAACGAATTACCCCCGGAGTTGCATTCAATCGGTTACAGGGAAAACGAGTGAACACTTCCAAATTGTCTGGTTTAGTTTTTCTTTTATCTTGGGATATTAATAAGAATTCCTAAGGGCGGAAATGAGTAGGTCACTCTGGGGGTTGAATTCAGGTTACGTCCTGATAAAACGTATCAATGGGATTTGCAGGTCAGAGGTGTCGCTCTGTGTTGGAAGTCACCTCATTCCACATCCCAACAAGGTAGACAGTGGTAGTAAATTTTGTTCCATTAAGTTCGACATTGGCCGATTCTCTTCTTGTGCCCTCATACGAGCTCTTTTCTTCTCCACTAACAGAATTTCGGTTCGGTAAATGGTCGGTAAACCGGACCGAAAAACCGCCCCACGTCGCCCTTTGCGGTAATTCGGTAAACCGGTTTGTAACCGTTTACCGATAATTCGGTAATCGGTAAACCGGTTACAAACCGGTATCGGTAAACGGTAAACAGTTTGGCCAACGTCTGTATACCGAAACCGGTAAATTCGGTAAACGGTTTACCGTTTACCGAACGATTCCCACCCCTAAATGTAACATTGTGAGATGTTAAATATCTTAATCTGCGATTTGAACAATACTGAGTATGAGAGACTTGCAATTCAGTAAATGCTGGTGATATGTTACGCCATGCACTTTTGTCAACTCCTCCATATCTCCGGTGTTGCTATCAAAGTTTCAAGTACTGCCATTTCCCGTAAATTTGTTGCATGATATGTTATTGTACAATCTATTCCTGTTGAAATTGTGGTATTGTATCATATTATCGTTACTCGATTTGTCTTTAAAATGCGACGTACAAATACGTATCTAAGGTTGTCCATTTTTTGTGACGTATTAATCAGACTTCCATCATCATTTGTAATGTTTCAGTTAACTTGGCATGAAAGTTCTACATACATGTGATTTCACATTCTAATATTGGACTTCAAACAACACTAGGGCTATTTCTACAGATAATGTCGCCTTAACAAAACCAAACTCTAGTGTTAAGTTGATCATTACTGCAACTCTTCGACAGAAACAAATACCTTGCAAATTAAGAGCCATGTTACATAACTGAGCTTCAAGAAGTGCTTTTTACTGTCTACAGACCTGCCCTCGATAACAGAAAGGACTAAAACCATTGTCAGGCGGCACTGGCTGCACAAAATACATGAAATAACCGAAACTGAGTCGACAAGAAAACTGTTCTTCCATTGTTGACATCATTATTTCGTCAAGCTCCATCTCAAACCTGCTATTACTTACTTGACCATGCATATCTTGATCACAGAAGCCGACCCTATCCGATGTAGCGCCACCACAGCATCTCCAACCTTGCACAGACCCTTCTCCACCGCCTTCTTCAGAGCAGCAACCAATATCTCCTCCGTCGACTCGGCATCCGTGGCCCTCGCAGACCCTTCCGCAAGTATCGGGATCAACCCTCTGTATATCAGACTGTGCCTCGCCGGCGACTCATCGCTGCAATCCCAGTCAAATGAATCCGTGGTCAAAACCGGCACCACCACTGACAGAATAGGCACTGCCGGCCTGTACTTGGCCACCAGCGTTGCTGTCGTCCCGCCCCGGGTCAGCACCACGATCAGCTTTGCTCTAGCCTTGTTCGCAGTACGGACAGCGGAAGACGCCAGGCTCTCCAGTGGGCTCATCGGAAGCGGGGTCGACCTCATGATCTCCTTGAACACGGCACCATAGTCCAGTGACGACTCTGCCTCTATGCAGATTCTCCGCATGGTCTTCACAGCCAGCTCAGGGTACGCACCAGCGGCGCTCTCCCCACTGAGCATTACGCAATCGGTGCCGTCGAGGACTGCATTGGCGACATCGGTGGCTTCTGCACGAGTCGGCCTAGGAGACTTGATCATCGACTCGAGCATTTGGGTGGCAGTGACCACGGGTTTCCCCACGAGGTTGCACTTGTAGATCATCATCTTCTGAGCAAGGAAGATCTTCTCCACGGGGATCTCCATTCCGAGATCGCCACGAGCAACCATGAAAGCATCGGTTTCGCGCAGGATGTCATCGAAGTTGATAACACCCTCCTGATTCTCAACCTACAGAAAAAGAAACGAACTTGATTGATGACTACACAAACCCCAGCAGCAAGATTACATGCATACTGAGTATACGAGATTGAGAAATGGCACCTTTGACATCAACTTGATGTGCTTGGCATGGGGGCCAAGGACCTTGCGAACATTGACAAGGTCGGATCCCTTACGGACGAAAGAGAGAGCAATCATATCAATGGCGTTCGGAACACCCCATTGAAGAATATCCTCCTTGTCCTTGTCAGTGAGCGTCGGGAGATCGACAACAACACCAGGGAGATTGACATTCTTCCTCTCCCCGAGCATGGCAGTATTCTGGCAGCGGCATCTCACTGTGCCAGCCTTGGGATCACACGACAGAACAGAGAGACTAATAGTGCCATCGGAACACAGGATGGTGTTTCCCGGTTTGACATCCATCGGCAGCTTCTTATAGCTCATGGAAATCGTCTCTGGATCTCCCTTGATGGTGTAGTCAGTAGTGATAGTGACTTCTTGGCCCTCCTGAAGTTGGATCGGGTTCCCATCTTTCAAGAAGCCGGTCCGAATCTCTGGTCCCTGGAGGGCGAATTGAGAAGCAGATGTCAGGATTCGTAAACCGCAATGTTAGGGTTTCACTAAGCTGATTCAAAATTGGTAAAAGAGGAAAGGGAGAGAGCAGCGACCTTGGTGTCGAGCATGACAGCGCAAAGGATGCTGGTATTGTGCATGGCGATGCGGAGATTGTCCAGGGTCTCCTGGTGGTACTCGTGAGAGCCGTGGGAGAAATTGAAGCGGGCGACGTTCATCCCCGCCCTGAGAAGCTTCTCGATCATGGGGACAGATCTGGAAGCAGGCCCCAGAGTGCAGACGATTTTGGTCCTAGGGACGCGGCTCTCGTCGCCATCCTCCCCTCGAAGGAGGCCATCGATGTCAATGTTGGCCATGGAAAGCTAATCGACGCAACCGCAAATGAATCAAAATAACAAACAATTATAGCAACGAAAAGGGAAAAGCGTAAGGTCTAAATTCCGGATGCGCAGGAAATGAAATTGGAAATCAGAAATGGCGGTGGATGTGATCTGTAGATTGGGATCGCGGATCGATCTGTTGACGGTGGTGGGAGGTAAGGTTCAACAATCAGAAGACAAGAGCGGAACAGCAAAATGCAAACAGAGAGGGAGAGAGAGAGAGAGAGAGGAGGGGATTACTTGCACTCAGCGCCTCAGTGACTGAGTTGGCGGTAGGGGAAGTCGGAGAAGTAGCAGCAACGGCGACGGCGGCGGCTTTTCCTCCGGGAAAGAGCAACCTGCTAGATGGGCAGCGATTCGAGCGAACGAGAAGGCGGTGCTCCGACAACTCTATTGTTCTTTTTTGCTGTCCTAGTACTATATTTACGGGGCCCGGGTTTTTTCTGCCTTTGAGTCTGTGTGGTCAAGACTCAACGGCGCACGTTATATATTTGTCAGCCCATAGTATGCTACCAAACCCCACGCCCCCAGTTTTCACCATGATCCTTCCTGCGGGTAGGAAAGCCTCGTGGAGGTAGATGTTAATCTCGTGACTAGGGTTGTTAATGAGTCGAGTTATTCGTGAGCGGCTCGGTATTGAATTCGATAAAATCTCGTTAGATTAAAAAAAAGTTCGGCTCGTTATTAACGAGCCGAGCTTGAGCTCTACCTTGTTCGGCTCGTGTAGCTCGTGAACTAGCTCGATTAGATGACTCGTTTAATACAACTCATGAATTGTCTCGTTTTGAGCTTATGAGATGTCCCAACATTGTGACTAGAGAGCTAACTCAACTACAACTTATGAGAAAATCAATCTATATTTTATGAGTTGGTTTGTTAATGATGCATATAATTATTAAATTGTATATATCACCTCATATGGTGTTTAATACATTGAGTATATGTAAGCAAATACGTCTCATATATGACATAACACTAGGTAATCACTTGTATCACATATGACATATAAATATTATGGTATTTATATTATAGATTATCTTAGAGTTGAGCTCGAGCCGAATGTTCGATCTTAACGATGTGTTAAGATTCAATAAATGAGCTGACTAGTGTTCGACTCGAGTCGGCTCGTTAATAACTGAGTCGGGCTCGAGCTCGACTCGTTTATAAATGAACCGAACATGAACAAGACAAAGCTCGGCTCGGCTCATTAACCGCCCTAGTCGTGACATCGTGTTAAACCTGTGGGTGGAAGACTTGCTTCTTTTTGTCATCGTGGCGTGGGCCTTCCCATGGGCCGACAGCCCATCCCGATTTTGTTGCAGAATGTGGCATGGAGAAGTGATTGCATGAGCCATGACTGCTACTTCCATGTCTCATGTCATGGCATGCGTGCAACATCCCTTTCAAAAGGATGCATTCTCTAAGGAGGCGCCATTTCTCTCCTCAACCACCATCTCCAATATCAGTATAGCCTCAAAAACTCGTACCAAAATACAAACACCTAACAAAAAATCTCGACACAACCGGAACATCAGCCCGTGTTATGGGCATCTTACAATCAGCTCTTCAATGGAAAACCTCTAAGGTCGACATTTGATATCATAACAACTTAATCCAATTTCCCACTAAGCTGATTTTGATTCCTCATCGGGAGATCCATCTGAATCGGAACCACCATCCACCATCCTTTCTAGTGAATCCATCTCGCCGGCTTCTGAGAAGGTGTGCACCCGTAGTTGATCAGCATCTTCACTGCAGAACCATGAAACAAAAAATAATGGGGAATGAAAAATGGCGGGACCGAAAAAGTGGTTGAATCTGAATGGCAAAGAAAATAGGAACATGTAAATAGATCCTACTGCACACTCCTATCTTATCCTACAAATGTCGTAAAGCACAATCAAACGAAGTAGAGGACTGCAGACACGTACTCTGTAACCCCAAATATCTCCTTCACCACCAGCGAGCTGTCCCTTGAACATAGCTCTGGTAACTGGTACACCAAAGAAGGAAACTAATCAATTAAATATAGAACAAGTGCTAATCACAGAAAGAAAGGAATCATACCCAGATGGCCAGACAGCCACTTATTCAAACTAAAATGATCACTACTAGTTTTGTCCTATAGCCTTCATTCTTCGCAATTTTTGGTTTTTAGTCAACACTGAGATAAATGGTTGCTTGCGGGAGAGGCAATAGGAAGCAGTGAATCTTGAAATCAATACAGCTGACTAGTCTACGAGCAAACCAGCATTGGTAAAGGGAAAGCAAAATAACATCTAGTTATCCACAAACAACTAAGAAATGCAAATTATTGAACTGAAATTATAACAAAGTGGTAGAACGTGACCAATCTGGTCAAACACTGACCTCTGATAAATAAAAGACCTTCCCGAATAGGGCCTGAACAGCAAGCTTTCTCTTAAATCCCTTTTCAGTATATCCTGACACATCCATGACAACAGGGCCTGAAATTTGCCAATACAATGTGAAAATTGGATAAGTACACAATCAATACCACATCATCTCTTCTCTTAACTGAAATTTGGTAGTAAATCGAGGATGAAAAGTAACTGCATGCATCATTCAACGGAAAAAAAAAAAGGTAACTGCATGTCTGCATGTTTCTCTTCTAATCGTGCCAATGACCACATCACTATATAAAATATCAAATAGCAGTCTATATGTATCATTGAATGCTGTACATTTAAACAGCACAACAGAACAGTTCATTTTTAAATGAAACCTCGATGGATAGTGGCCTGGAGACTATATCAACAAAAAATCCCAAGGATGCACCTAGCACCAAAAGGCCATGCTAAAAGTAAGATTTGAATGGTAGTTCCACGGTGTAGAGAAAGATTACCCAATTAAATGATGCAAATATTCTGTGGCTATACTCCACCTAACAGCATTGTGATAATTATTGACACATGACAAACTTTGAGGTAGAATTATCAGCCAGATTATTAGTGAACATAGAATGTTGCTTTACTTGATTTCGAGCTTTGTGTCAATTATTGGCAAATAAGGCAAGTGTAATAGAGTGAACTTCTCAAACAAAAAGTTATCAGCAACTAGAACTTGTCTTTGTGATGCACCAACTAGATTGAAGTAACAGTTGATGCAACTATAGAAGCATATAAGCTGGTGTGACTAATTCAAAAGAAAGACGAAAACTTAAGCCAATAAAACATCCACTGACCATCTGCAGGATATTCGAGCAGCACATTTCGTTTATAACAGCAAGCTTGACAGTCTTTTATTTAATAAGAATAAGCTACACATTTTCGTCCTGGTATTTACTGGGTGTTGACCACTGATGGTGCGCAAGACTGGATATACAACTGAAGACTGCTACTGTACTGTACCATGTTTATATGTAAAGCCTATAAGGTACCAAGGAAGACACTCACCATTTCACGGGGTAACTGATGCAATGGTGACTATAGTAAAACTAAGATATTGCTTAACTAGTTAGCACTTAGCATATGGAAGTGTCACCAAAGTTTAAAACACCTTATACCTTTGTCACGTACAATCAGCCGAGAGATCTCATTCAGAATTGAAGCCATTTGGGGGTCACTCAACTGCGAAGCTACCCTGAGCCGGATCAAGTCGGCAACCAGTTCTGGATTGAATGGTTTCTCGTTCAGTGCATATCGGATATACTTGCGCAGAATGTCCTCCATAGTGAAACCTGTCTGGACATGAAACAGGAGTCAGCAGCGAAATTGAAATGCTGTGCGGAGAAAGCTTAACTACAAATAGATAACAAGGTTGCCCCTTGCGTTTTCACCTTCTTCATCAGCCCTTCCAAAGCTGAAGGCTGCAATTCATCTCCCCCACTCTGAAGCAACTCGTCAATGGATCTACACAGGGTAGCGTTTTTATTGACCTGGGATAGAGATTCAAGTGAATATTAGGATTGAGGTTATGGCAAACACAATTTTAGCAGATAAAAATTGAATTCATCAAGACTAAAGGTAAAATGACGGCATAACAAACAACCAAAGAATTTAGAGAGGAAGAGACGAACCAGTCGCCGGCGCTTGGTTTTGGGAGAAGACAATTTCCTGACGGTCTTAACAAAGGCAATAACGAATGTAACGCCGGCGTAAGCCAAAGGGAGGGCAAGGATCCATGGAAGTTTGCTGTGACCGACTCTCGGCCCGGGAATTGCCTGAGTGACGGACCCTGTGAACTCGACTAGGTCCAACGCCTTCTCTTGAATCCAAGGCAAGTCCTCCTCCACCTCTATCACTTCCTCTTCCTCATCCGCTTTCTTGTTGTCCTTCTGAAGACTGCTCTTCGAACCAGCTGCCGCCACTGCCAAGGCAATCCTCCTCCTGGGACGAGGCAGAAACGGTGAAGCCGGAAATGAGACGGCAGAAGGGAGAGGGCAGCATGATTTCGGTTTCCCTAGCCGAGACGAAGCAGGAAAGGCAGCAGATGAAGAAGCAGAACAAGCAGAGGAAGCAACAGTTGGGATGGAAGCCATCGATTTCGTCTCACGAGAATTGAAATTGCAAGAAGTCTAGGAAGAAAGATAGCAACAGTTCTGCCGTCGCTGAGTTCTCGCTCTACCAGGGGAAAGAAGACCGAAAGATCAATGAGTTGCATCTTCGAGCTCTCAAAGTCAAATGACTATTGGGCTTTTTTTCAGCCGAGACAGCACCGAAAACAATTGGATCAAAAGCCCACTATTCTTTTGCTGTTTAGAATGAAATACTAGCAGGCTGCAGACTGTAGTAGAAGAGAACACTTTCATCTTTACGATGATAAATTTCATTAGGCACTTTTTAGCCCGAGCGATAACAATGAAGCAATCAGAGTACACTTTCATATCCCTACCTAGCCCTCTATGATAACGGTAAACAATCAAAACACCGTATTACATTCTTGCTTGTGGAGTTCAGGTTATGCATTCAAACGAACGCAAAGAATTCCTGCAACAACTCTCTCCATTCAGCACTACCTGGATGCTGCTTCGTCTGCAGGAAGCAGCAGCGGGAGCGACGAGATACAGATTTCTGTTAGCCTTCTTTCTGGTGGTCTCAGTGTAAAAACCATGTGAGTGGGTCACCAAGAAATGTCTTCATTTTAGCACGAATTTACAAGAAAACCCAGACGCCATTCCTTCCTCCACGAGCTCGAGTTTTAGCTTTCCTCCAACCCGTGTCAGTTACGAAACTTCTTGTAGAGCTAAATTCAGCTCCTGTGCAGACTTCCCTACCGAACCTCCTCGTCTATACAACCAAACAACAGAGACTTATTTATGATTAAAATTACTTGTAAGATGATACTCCACGTTTACCATCATCCAAATACGTACCTTGCAAGGGAAGGCAAGCAGCGCTTAACCTTTTCCAGCTCAACGAAACAAAGATTGCAACGCTCCATTCTGCAAGTGAGTCCCAAATTCCAAACTCGATGTTCAGAAAAATATATATCATTACTATGTGAACTGCAAGGCAAATTTAAGCTAGCTAATGATACCTTCTCTCCGCTTCAATGTCTACACCGATAGTGTTTGAAGCTGATATAGTTGAGTAGATCACAGTACCAAATGTCCGGACGAGCTTTACCAGCAACTCCATCGAGATGCTCAAATGCCTAAACTTGGGAGGAAAAATCACTCTCAGTTAAGATGCAGGCACAATGGACGACTTAACACAGAGGAAACAAGACACAGCACACCACTCTTGCAAGACGAGTTTTTTAGAAAATATCGCTTGTAGGTTGTTTATGCAAACTCCTAGGTCACTCGCACTTATTCTACTACCAACTCACTGCCACTTACCAGGAACAACAGCTATCAGAGGGAATCTCAAATTATATGAAAGTATAATTTTTTGAGGATGATATCAAATATAAACCTTTATCCATTTATGGGTCTTCTCCACTTTTGCATACACACTCATTTTTTATTATTGATTAGCCATGAAAGGACGGCAATTTCTTAATATCACCAATCAGATACCTGTCCATTTTGCTCTCGAGAAGAGATGTTAGAACAGGCAGAAGATACGTGCAAACATCTAAGGTAACAACGTCAATTTTCTCAGCAATAATGCTGGTTACATCAGCAACAACCTGCAATGTAATCCAAGCAGAGACATTAAAGAAGAGTAATTATTAAGCAAACAAACGGACATTGCCGGCGAGGAAAGAAAAAAGCAACTCACAGCATGATCAGCCATCTTCTCCATCACACTAATGGCCCCCTTGACATCATTTCGCTCCCAATATCTATATACAGCCTGAAATTAAACACACTTGAGTCACAAATCATCAACAGCAACTAGCTAGACGAAAAGCAATCAGTTAACCAATTATTATCAACTAATTTGTTTGTCACATTGTAACTAAGAGATCAGTAGCACAAGATTACTAATACAGGTTCCGCTCCATGTCAGCACTGTCCCTTGTCCCCAACCAAAGTCTGGTTAATAAAATGATGTTATTTAGAATGAAATACTGCATATGCTACAAAAGTTGAACTTCGAGGAGTCTAAAAGAGAATAAAGAGCAGAAAACTGGATGCTCCATAAGGAATTCTACTTCACAGTCACAGTTAATATTTGACACAAAAAGAAGAAAAGAATGTAAATGAGCACCGGGTGAAGGAAAGCCTCTTAATGTAGTGCATGCAAAGCATTATCTATCCACTTCATAGACTAAGCTACGTCTGTCCCACTACTTGACCGACTCCAGATTTCACTCCTAACTAGTAAGCCCCTCTTATGAAAAGACAATACATCAAATGGATGATTGCAGTTTACACGTCTATCTACCTCTTCAATATTCCAAGGGGTTCGCCTAAAGGTAATGCGAATGAAAGACATCCAATTCATCCAAGATACAAACCTTCAGGTCAACATTTACCTATCTAAAAGATAACAAATATACCTACCAGGGATCAACTCGAAAAACTTCCCAGCCATTCAAACTGCTGCTAGTTATCTAGTGTCGCTTTTCAGCTCATACTATATCAATTCCTATTTATTCAGTACCTTTAATCTCACACAAAAACTGCAATGTATATTTAGAATCCAAGGGTACCTGCAATTTGGCCAATCGTGATTGCATAGAGCTCACAAATTGGTCATGCGGTTCCATTACATCGGCTATATAATCCTCATCAGTGCCCAAAATCGTCTTGGCTTCAGGAGACGGGGTGTGCTCTCTCTGTAAAATTTGAAATTGTGAGAAATGCAAAATGGACAAAATTAAGAAATTGGACATGTTAGTAAGGCAGAGCTACAAATTCCAACCAATATAAGATCCTCAATAAGATAGGCTTTACCTATATTTTTATTTGGGTTGGGGGTAGCATATGTTCGGGTCCTATTGTTTCTAAACGACAGATAATCCCACAAGTGTATAACCCAATTTCATGTTTTAAACCCATGGTGTACACTTCTCCCAGGTAGAGATAAGACATAGTATTAACTTAGTCAACTTGTGGCCACATTCAATTAATAAGAACAGCCGACTGAAGTGGTGTCATTTCCAATAAACAAATACTGCATTCTAAAGAAACACTCATGTGGCTAGTAGCAACAGTGCCAAATAAAGCTGAAAGAAGCAAGGGGGTAACCATACTCTATTAAGAGGGAGCACAACCCTGGACGCTCTCCCAGGTAATACATCAGGTGTAGCCCCCTGATAGGCTGTTCTTCCATTTTTCTCCATATTAAAAGCAAGTGAGCGCATTCTTCCTACAGATTTCACAAGCATAGAGTATAAAGACCTTGATTTTTCAGAAATATCAACTGTCGTCTACTCGTGAAGATGGAATATACCTCCTTTTTGGCCTTCAAACGAGGGTGCATCTCTAAATAATTTATGCCCACGATTCTCATCTGCAAAAGGCCAAAGTGTTCAGTTCGGAAAGCCAACAGAAGATTGAATTATGTTTCAGGTGGGGTCAGGAATCAGTCATCATGTCATACATGCTAGATCAGGAGGGGAACCTGCATGCTATTACCATACATATACGAATACTTAAATCAAACAACAACAAATTATCCAAACTGGTACTTACAAATTTCCACAGGGTAGGTCGAAGGTTGATCTGTCATGAAATTTGATTCTGGTCCTCTGGATGCAATCAACCTGTCCTCCTTCAAACTCCTTTCAGTAGCCAGTACTCCATGAATTGAGCCCTTCACTGCAGGAAAACTTGTCCTGTCCACAACATTGCTTCCTGTAGGCGCATGCTGGACAGAGATAGTCTGCTGCTCCATGTCATCATTACTACTAGGGAACCTTCGGAAATCATTAGTCTTTGATTGCAAAGGAAACTGCATTGATCTGCCACTGATACTAGTTTCTTTTCTCAAATCAGAGTTACGTTCCAACCGTGCACTAGTTCTAGGCACAATCACAGGTATAACATCTGTCTTACTAAAGACTGGACCACTCATTGCTGGATTGGCCTTTGAATAATTCTTCTTAGCGACTCCAGTACTTGGAACTGTTATGGGATTGGCCAATGCTTTTGCGCCAGAGTTTACGCTGACCTTTTGAGGGGTACCAGGCACACTTCCTGTGGCTTCAACCAGAAGCAGGCAAAAAGTCAGGAAAATGTGTACTTCATTAAACGAACAAGAATAGAATCGGAACGAATTACACATGTTTCAGGTACAAAGTCACAGAGAGATGGTCTATTTGAATAAACAACACTTCGGAAAAAAGCACATCCCAAAAAAAGGAATAAGTACTTATAGGTGGCAGATTTACAACAACAAACTTTCTACTGACCACTGATATGTATAGAAACACAAAAGAGAGGTTTCAGTTCATTAAATCATATTTCTTTGATGTGTGCTTATCTTGAACAACTTGTTCAGTCCCTCGCCAAATAATGACATTCTTAAGAACCAAAAAATATTAAATGAAATCAGAGCATCTTATCAATACATAATCACAAAATAAACCATGAAAAAGAATATTCGAAAGTAACATACATGCTATAGTCTTTGACTCTTTGGGTAAATCCTTGGTGGTATCAGAATTGTGAGAGACTGACAGTCTCCCTAACGACTTGGTATCATTTACCAAAGAGTCTGCCCCTTGTGAAACTGATACCCTCCCCAAACTTGCTTTTGCAGTGTTTTCAGTTAGTATTGATTGATTTCCCATTCCACTTGCTTTAGATTCCACATGACTATTGAACCTCTGAGAATTGCCAAGTGCAGATGTCTCTGTCCGCTATCAAGACAGACAACAGTAAGTGGTACAATAGACAGAAGTCCAAGTTGAAAACAATCGAGATCCAGAGAATATCTAAGGTTTTCCATACCGAGATGTCGGCGACCCATACTCCCACACAACTCTGATTATAAGAACAGCCAAGGAGTTTCCCATCACTATTAACATGCAGATCTGACAATCTGGACCATCCCACGTCAATGGCATCATGACATCTTATCGGTTCCCAAGAGAAAGCCTGCATAAGAATAAGTGGAAGCTGATGGTGAAGGAGCATTAACCCTATTATAATCAACCCGAACTGACAAGCCGCAAAATAACATACCTTCAGACTTTCATGATAACCACAGAGGACGGTCCGCCCATCAGGATTGAAGGTCAAACAACGTACTCCACTCGCCTTAATAAAACATGAGGTTAGAAAGGAGTTTGTAAGAAGGCTATGCATGACCTATTTTAATAATAACAGCATTGCTTAGAGATCAAATTACCTCAGGACCAGCAGAACCAATCAGTTCAAAAGTTTCAAGGTCAAAGAACTTCACAGTTCTATCGGCAGATCCTAGACAAGGGAAGAAAATAAAAGGTTAAGAAATAAACATGAAACCTCAATAGCAACTGTCACTAATATTGATTCCAATCTGCAAAGCGCATATCAACAATCAACTGTAAGACGAGCTCAGAGAAACCTATAATTGATTGTTTCCCTAGAAGAAATAATGAGATCATTACAAACAGAAATTAAGGCATGGGAATTACCGGGGAAAAAATTAAGGCATGGGAACTTCAGAGGTGAGCCTTCATTGAACTCTCAAAATAAAATGAAGACTGACAAGGCAATGAAATAAAACTAACCTGTTGCTAAAAGGAACTCATTGGGATGGAAATCAATGCATTGAATCTGCCCATCATGACACTTGAACTCGTGCAATAGCTTCCCGGCAGTCAGATCCCACAGCTGTTTAAATAACATGAATGGCCAAGTACTCAAATTAAGAACCTAGAACCAATCTTGAAAGATATGTTGCTTTATTTAGCTACAGACAACAGTAGACGCATAGAGTATTCAGCCTCTAAATGGCGCTATACAGACTTTAATGTGTTCATATTCTAGACAGTTACATATCAAAATCAAGAAGCAGGTGCCAGTTCACCTACACAACACTGAAATAGATACAAGAACTCGCAGTTGCAAAAACACGAATATTTCCACAGAACAGCAATCTCGAAATCCAATGTTGACATGATCAGCCCACACTACCGCAGGCGAACAGTAAAATTACATATCAAGGATATGAAACAAAGATCGAATATGTAAGATCTGTCGTAGCTGAACCATCACATGCAAAAGCTATTTTCTGGTGGAAAGGCCAAATGTAGAAGAAAATGAAATAGATATCGAACTTGCCTAAGCATGAGATTGAACAAGGGAAAGTAAAGTAATAACAACCTTCACAGTGTTGTCCTGTCCACCAGATACTACCCAACGACCGTCTGGAGTGCATCTAACTGCATTGACCCCTCTAGTGTGCCCCTTGTAAGTGTGGATAGAACCACCTTTCTTCCTGATATCCCATATCTTAACGTTCGTATCTGAAGAACCAGATACGAAGAACTCTCCGAAAGGGTGAAAGTCCACGGATATGCAGTTGGACATATGGCCCCTGAGGGTACGGACAACTGGGAGCAAAACCAAACGACGAAAAAAGATATGTCAGTTAACAAGCTTAGATGGAGGGGCATTCATGTCCAAGCCGAGATGAGGATGTATCCTCATAAATTTCATGGAACAAAAACATACTCTTTGCCTCCTCTAAATCCCATAGTTTGATTGTACCACTTGCAGATCCCGCCGCCACTAAGACTTCCGAAGAATCGAAATTGACTGAATCGATTCCACTATTATGTCCCGACAGACTCTGTGCATTGATCATTCAAAAACATCAAGTTGACCGGACCAACAGATAAGAAGCAGCAGGGCAGTGTTCGAATAGAAATGCAGTAAGAATGTCGAATTCAAGGAAGCAGCTAGTTGCGAAGAGCTCACCAATATTGCATTGGGTTTGCCAATAGCCCACAAATTAACAATGTGATCTTCACCTCCAGTAACTAGAATCCTAGACGATTTCCTCCCAATCTTGAGACAATTCACAGCAGAAGAATGTGCCACAAATTCCTCTTTCAAGGAAGTAAAAGCAGTGGTCAAGGATATGAAATTGGAAGTAACTTAAAAGGAAATGAAGTAATGCTGAAGAGATCAGCGAAGCATTTACAGCAATTCGAAAGCAAGAGAAGCCATAAGGATACGGAGCTTGTAGGCGCGTTTGGTAGTCATGGTCGCGCCGATGAAGAATCAACGAAGACCAAAACAGGTTTAAATTAATAGAGCAAACTTAGAAATGGAGTAGCGGCAGCAGGCTGCTTTTCCTCTTCCTCTTGGCTCTTGCCCTTGTCATTTATCACTCAGAACGCATTGCCACTCCGCGTGGCCAGAATCAACCACGACTACACCAGCAATAAGCAAACGAGCAATCAAACGATCCCAAACTAACCAGATCTCGAGAATCCCAAGACGTCTCTGCTACTGCCGCCACCGCCGCCGTCCCGCCGCCGTTAATCTTATATCACTACAAATATGTTGATTTGCGTGTGAGATCAAAAGTAAAGCTACAGCATACAAGACATTGATAGGATAAAGACTTAGGAGTTAGGACTGAAAAAGACCTAGGGGGAGATGGTGGAAGAGGAAGGAAAGCTTTCAGAGCAGGTGAGAGGTTGCTATTAATGGAGCTGGCTGGCTGGCTGGTCGGGTTTGCCTACCGCCTTGTCCCTTAATCCTTCCTTCCCTTCCTTCTGCCAACTGCTTTCGTCGTTAATCGTTACGAAGCCTTGCCTTGCCTTGCCTGCCTTCTCCTGCTGCTGCTTCTCTCTCACTCAACAAAAGCGTATTTACCGAAAGAAGAAGAGAGGAAAAGAAAAGATAAAAGGTAAATTAATCATGAGATGGGGATGAGGGCCTTCACACTTCAATTTTTGAAATTAAATTGACTGGTGCGGTGGCGGTAGGAGAGAGGCATTCGGGAATTTGAGAGTAAACGGTTGGCGAAGGTAATATGATAGGCGAAATGTGGGGAAAGTACAGAAGCAGAAGGGCCAGGCCCGGTGGATAGAAACGTTGGGCTGGTCCATTTTAGACTTCGGCTTCCTTCCATCATGTTAGTCGTTCATACTTTTGGGCTCGGCCCGGTCCAAACTACAATTCAATACAATTAGAAGAGCTGTATGGCCCGCCGGCCGCCAGCCCGGTCCTAACTACGGTGAATTACAAGCTCGAAAAGTCAGAAATCAAGTCATTACAATTGAAAACCCTCATATACAACCATATCCTCCCAACTGTTTGCCTTCTTTGGAGTATCTGAAAGCTTCTGAATATAGTTGTTTTCAACTCCTGCCCACTATATTTGTTGTTGTTGCGGCATCGAGTAGCTAAATTAGTATGATATTATTGATTTTAGAGTTAAATTTTCACGGATTTATATTAGGTTTATATTGGATTTTTTTGTAAGAGGACTCGTATTAATTGGGTTTGGTGGACACTTATAGACAATGGTCATTTCTCTTGTATTTCCGATGTGATACTTAGATTGTACCATAACAATCCTCTCATCAAGACATATATCGAATCGTGAGGTCACAAAATGAGGGTCCACCAGACTGACGTCCACTACCGTGGACCGAAACTGAACCAGACTCTGGTCCCACTTGCTCCAAACTAGGGATGACAAAAATATCCGTAACCGTGGATATCCACCCGAACCCGGCCTAATCGGGTAGGGTAAAACCCGAACCCGAAGGACATTTAGTGGGTACGGGTAAAACCCGAACCCGAATATTGCGGGTAATGGGTGGGCATGGGTTTCTCAGTATCCAACCCGAACCCGCCCGATTATACACATACATATGTATTTTGTCTAGAAATAGTCATTATTTTTCTCTAACATATTTTATATTTATCATATAAATATAATATTTTCATGAAATTGTGTTGTTTTAATTAATTTTCTTCATTCTAGTGAATTATTGTCATACTTTTCCTCTTGCGTAATGTGAGAATACGTGTGAATGTTAACATATTAGTTGGAGTTATGAAGAGAAATCATTACCCATGGATAACCGTGGATACCCGAAACTCGAACGGGTATGGGCATGGTTTTAATTTTCTACCCGTTTTATATGTGGGTATGAGTATGGGTAGAGGTGGCAATTTCAATCCAATCCACCAATCCAATCCATCAATCCATTAAAAATATCCACCTAATCCAATCCATTTAAATCCAATCCATTTTATCCAAATCCAATTGGATTGGTGGATTCATGGATTGGATCCATGGATCATTGGTAAATTACGGTTTAGTACCTATAATTTTTATTTTTTACATTTTGGTACTTAAAATTTAATTTTTTATGTGAAAAATATCATTGGAAAATTATGTTTTGGTACCTAAAATTTTTCATTATGACATTTTAGTACCTAAACTTTTTACATTTTACATATTGGTCCTTGGTTGAGGATGTCATTTGGATTCATGGATAATCCACCAATCCACTTGATCCAATCCATGAATCCACCAATCCATTTGATCCATGGATCCACCAATCCAATCCACCAATCCAATCCATTTGCCACCTCTAAGTATGGGTAAAACCCGAACTACTTTGGGTAGGGTAACGGATATGCACTATCCGTCCCCGACCCGACCCATTGCCATCCCTACTCCAAACCGAATAGCTATATTAGTACGATATTGTCCACTTTGATCCAAGCCCGTACAAATTTACCTTTGGATATCCACCCCTAAATGTCTCTTGCTGATTGGGACACTTATATACGAGTATCATTTCCCTTGTATTTTCTACGTGGTTTGTACCATAGCACGGTTCATGCTAAATGTCAATGTTGTTGTTCGTCTTTCCCTGGGTTGTGTCTTTGGACTAGTGCTAAGGATCAGACGGTGGAGTGAAGTTAGTTGTCAACCTCCAACCTCCAGTGGTGGCTGGTCAGCTTGTTCGTGAATTGGATTCTAAATTTCTTATATGATGGACGATCATGTTCTTCGAAATTGCCTTCATATGGTATCATCTATAAGTCAAGGATTATAGTGTAGTGTAGTCCATACAATTTTTTTACTGAGCTACCTATGAAGTTGCACGTAAAGCATTGTCTCTATCTTGTATAGTGTTATAGTGTTTTTGGGTGATACTTTCAATTGTTATATCTTATAAGAAGAAGAAGAAGAAAAACTAGGGGTGGCAATTCGGTTCTTTCGGTTATAACCGGTCATCGGTTAACCGAAATAAACACCCTCTTACCGAAAATCGACCGAAATAGGCTTCGGTTTCTTGGTTACCTTGGTTATCGGTTAACCGAACCACTTTTAAGACCAAAAACCATTTTGACCAGATTTCGATAACCGACCGAAATTCGGTTACTTCGGTTACTGGTTAGTGGATAACAGGCCGGTTATCGGTTTAACCGGTCGGTTAACCGGTAACCGAACTGCCACCTCTAAGAAAAACTAGCTAATTAAAAACAATTAAGAGATGGAAATGAAGGAGAAAAGGCAACTTTTCCAGCAGATTGATTGTAATAATTGCACAATTATTGTGAAGTGCGTTCCCTCCTTTTTTTCTAAACTCCAAATTCCCACCTAACTCCAACTTAACTAGTGATCGGAAAAAAGAACAAAACTCCAAGCTGATCAACTAATGCATTCGGGAGAACGATTCTGGATAGTGACCATATATGCATGATATATCCATCAAAGTGCCTTTGTGCTAATTTTATAGCTTATCATCAGTTTTTGGTTGGCCTCTTGTCGTTTCTCCTAAGAGCATTACCGCGCAATAACATTGGACATTGTCACATTCTGCACCAGTAGCACTCCCTAATCAATCAGTCCAATAATACCATTATCCCAACATGGATTGTCGAACGTCTATCTTAATATATCGTACACATCAATCCAATACTAAGCCACACACTTAAGCTCGTGCGTGTGATTCAGTTACTGAAATAATAGTAATTCCTACTTGCATTATTAGTCTGGTTTAGTTGAGGCTGCTTTCCCATGACAATTGGTACATGGGGGGATATAAGTATGGTCGTCGGGTTTCCCCGAATGTCGGGACTCGTCGATGAAAAGTCGAGCTCTCAGTAAGGGTTTCACTACACGATTGCAGAAATGGAGCTTTTTTTTTTGCTTTAGGTTATACCTTTCACTAAGCATTTCGGGTATTGGGTAAATTACAAAGCAGAGTTTAAACAAATCTAGTTGTGCAATCCAGTTTCAGACCGTGATAATGGTGGTCCAAACCGTGAGTGTTGTTCAGACCGTGAAAGATGCATTGTACGCTTCTGTAAACGATTCGTGGCCGGAAGTTGAGAAGTCACGATCGTGGCTTCATGCCCAAATAGAAAGTATATCTTGTAATTAAAAAAAAAATGAAGTTAACAAGGCCACCCTCTCCCACTAGTGATTATAAATACTCGTATCTACTTAGTGGAGAATTATATAGTTTCTTCACTGAGCACGCACGCTAAATATATAAATCTGATTGGCGGAAACCAGGCCTTCTTCCCTGCAGATGGCTTTAAGAGTATGCCAATAAAGAATTTAAGTTGATATAGACCAACATATAGGTAGGATTTTGTTACGTATAAGATCTTTGATTTTCAGATTTGGGATAACTTGGTCAATTTTTTTATTATGTAAAAGCTCTTTTTAGAGGCGAAATCAACTCAAAATAGTTATTAAAATACTAAAAAATAACAAAACAGATGAACGTGAAGAGGGTTTCGATTTTCTTTGTTTATTAATCATTAACCAAACAGGCAAACACATATTTATAGAGTGTATCTATTTCCTTCTCTCCTAGGATTAGAGATGGCAATGAGCCCGTTTGGGATGGGTTTTGTCAAACTCAAACTCATGGGTATATCCATAAAAAACCCTGGGGTAAAACCCAATCGATTTGAAAAACTCAAATTTAACCCAATTCGCTAGGTATTTGCGGGTTCATGGATACCCATGGGGCATGGGCTCTATATATGCACAATAAATTTCTGTCAAAATAAAAGTCTAACGTCACTCTCTCATACAAAATATTCATACAAAAAACACCTATCTAGAGCACAAGCAAACCACAAATTATTCAAGATTAAACATAAACAACATAATTAATTGAAAGCTTCTTCCTACTTGTCAACTAAACTTCTTCACTCTCTATTCCATAATATCAACTTCATTCTACACAATTAGTAATAACAAATTAAACGGGAACAAGTTGGATATCGCTAAACCCGAACCCAACCCAACCCACAAAATAGTAAAAGGGTTTCAATCCAAACCCGACCCGTAATCCACCAACTCTGCCTCTTTTTTCTACTCGAATTCCCTTTCTGTCATTACAAGAAACATTAATTGATTATTAAAACAAGAACTAACACAATTCATAATCTGACTAAAACACTGATAATGAATAGTTATGACAAAACGTTCTTAAATTGTACAAAATACGTAATTATCATAAAGATATTAAATAATATGCAATCACAATACTTCATATTGCCACGATCGGCTCGATCTCATCTCATATTAAATGTATTAACATTGTGTAAGTCTAAGTAGGTGACAATATATTCCAAATGAATTCTCTGCGCAAGGTTGAATTTTGGACATTTCCAATCTTAAATATAATTATTCAAGCCAAAGTGGTTGTCTGTGAGCTCAACTATGCGATTGCTAATTTGCTATGACAATCCTTTCCGTTGTAACTTTATGTGATAGATTTTGGCGCATACAAATACAATGTTGGTGTTTGGCTTTGAGCTAATAGCATGGATTTGCCCTTCGAATGTCGAGTCATTAGTATAAAGTTTAGACTAACCTCGAGCTAGATGATTAGGGTGATAATGTCTGTGCAGTGACGGAGGTAGGGCGAAGTAAGGAGTGATTATAGCTCTCTCAACTTTTAATAATAGATAAGATTACATGTAAAATTCGTGATAATTTTTTAAAATATTGTAATTCATACTTCATAAGGTATTTACTCTTCCTTCCCAATATCGTAATTCAAATAAGCCGTTTTTGTCAGATGGCTAACTCCACCATGTGATAATGGTGGGTTCTAAATTCTAATATTAGGAGTAAACCAGCCGGTCGAATTCGGGATTAGGGTGGAGTGGGAGGTAAAAGTAAAAGCGGACTAATTAAGTGTACAAGTTTACCTCATCATCATTGTTCTTTCCAGAAGGATTGTTGATTGATTAATTTCACACGTACATGTAAATGATTTAATAATGTCCCACTGGTTAGCTCACATTGGGTTGGGGTGGAATCAGCAAGTGGTTTGGGTTGATAACCCTCCACTATCCATGAGTTGTATGATTGAAACTGATAAGGGTCATGGGCCCTAATTTTCCTAATGTTATAAACCAGATTTCCAGTAAAAAAAAAATAATAATAATAATGTCCCACTGTGTTATTCGCTCTTATAATGTCCTACGGTACAGGTCTTATGGTGAGTGGTGGAGATAGGAATCGAAACTACTGTCCTCTTTTTATGATATAAATATATCATGTTTATTTAATAAATATTTATTTAATAAATATACTTAAAATTAATAATATTCAAATAATTCATTCATAGATAAAAATAATCTACTAATACTATTATTTTTTTCATAAACAACCATGACAAGATTCCATATTGTGGAAGAAAATAAAAAACAATTGTCGTCTACAGTCTACACTATTAGGTAAGTCTCTTTTAATGTATACTACTCAACGATCATTAATAATTGATCGACAATTCGACTTTAAAACTTGTTCTCAATATAACTGCAAATGCTCTTTATACCCTTGCAGTTACAATTGGTAGAATCAAAACCAGTGGAATTGTTGTTGTCACTCACCGGACAATTTCAGGGTTGTTGGGAAAATAGCGAACAGGCATACGGAGAAAAGATATCCAATTAGGTCTTCATTGCAATCAAAATTTCATTTATAGTATAAATTAATTGTATGTCAATTATGAACAAGTAATGAGTTGTGCGGTAATGATGAAAAAATACTTTCATGCCAAGTACCAACAATAAGTAGTGTATTCCACCATCAATATAAATATATATAAGGTATTTTTTTCCCTCCTAAATTTACACTTGTCCCGAGACAAAGACCTAATAGCCCTGCTTCCGCCTATGCTTATGTTCAATAGTCATGTGTATAAGTATAACAAAATGTAGACAGACTAACAATATCAATTAAGCGGTTGAGGGAAAACAAACTCGTTTATCATTCAATTCGTTGTTTAATGAATACGTTCGCGAACAATTACTAAAAAAACTTTGTTTAGGTTAGGTGTTATTCCATTACATACAAAATTAAATATATATATATATATATCAAGAATTTGGTTTAATGATACTATCTCCAACGGACCTTCTAAACCTACCTCTTGACTCTTTAGTCTTGAGAAATGAGAACTCCTCTCGTCTCATGTACGAAAGATGCTTGACCGAAACCAACCCGGCCGGCCCAACCCCATTTCCTCCACTATCTATATATAGTCAAACACACGAACACAAACCCCGAGATATATCGGTGATCCAGTTGGTTTATTCGTGTTACCCATTCACACTGCTTCCCTCTCCTCTCCACCACCCTTCCTTTCCCTCCCTCTCTTTTTAAAAGCACAACCCGACCAAAAAGCCAACCTCGATTCAATTGAAATTGAAACCATGCTGCCTTCTTCCACCACCTCCCAATCCCCTCTCCTACTAATATCCGCACTATTATTCCCTCTCTTACTCCACACTCTACCCGCCACCACCGCCTCCTCCTCCTCCTCCTACCCCGACTTCCAACTCTTCCACCTCCGCTCCCAAACCACCCTCCACCACCGTCATGCTCCTCCGACCAATACCACCACCACCAGCCGCAGGCTGGTGCTCGACCTCCTCCACCGCGACCAGCTAACCGCATCCAACTCCACCACTACCACCAACAATAATACAACACATCATCCACAACACCATCACCGCGAGCTCTTCCACGCCCGCATTCGTCGCGACGTCCACCGCGTCGCGTCCCTCCTCCGCCGCCTCGACCCCGAGAACCTCCGTCCCCTGGAGTTCGGGACGGAGGTGGTCTCGGGGATGGAGCAAGGGAGCGGGGAGTATTTTGTCCGCATCGGCGTGGGGTCCCCACCCACGAGTCAGTACATGGTCGTTGACTCGGGCAGCGACATCGTGTGGGTCCAGTGCAAGCCCTGTTCCCAATGCTACCCGCAGTCCGACCCGCTCTTCGACCCGACCTTCTCCGCTTCCTTCTCCGGCGTCTCCTGCTCCTCCGCCGCTTGCGACCGCCTCGCCGCCGAGACCTCCTCCACCTCCAACTCCGCCGCCTCCGCCTCCTGCCGCGACTCCGACCGATGCCGCTACCAGGTCTCGTACGGCGACGGGTCGTACACCAAGGGCACATTGGCGCTCGAGACGCTGACCTTCCACGACTCCGCCGTCGTCCACGACGTCGCCATCGGGTGCGGCCACAGCAACAAAGGAATGTTCGTCGGCGCCGCCGGTTTGCTCGGGTTGGGCGGCGGCTCGATGTCGTTCGTCGGCCAGCTGGGAGGGCAGGCCGGGGGTGCCTTCAGCTACTGCCTCGTCAGCAGGCGTTCCGGATCCGGTTCGGGATCCGGAAAGCTCGAGTTCGGGCGGGGAGCGATGCCGGTGGGAGCCACGTGGATCCCACTGGTCCGAAACCCGCGGGCCCCGAGCTTCTACTACGTGGGCCTGTCGGGGTTGGGAGTGGGCGGGGTCCGGCTGCCCGTGCCCGAGGACCTGTTCCGCCTCACCGAGCTGGGTGACGGCGGGGTGGTGATGGACACGGGCACGGCCGTCACCAGGCTGCCCGGGCCCGCCTACGCGGCGCTGCGCGACGCGTTCCTCGCGCAGACCGGGGACCTGCCGAGGACGGGTTCGGGAGTGTCGATATTCGACACGTGTTACAATCTGAACGGGTTTGTTTCCGTGAGGGTGCCGACGGTGTCGTTTTACTTCTCCGAGGGTCCCGTACTGACCCTTCCCGCCAACAATTTCTTGATCCCGGTCGACGACGGCGGGACTTTCTGCCTGGCGTTCGCGGCGTCGGCTTCCCGGCTTTCCATAATTGGTAACGTGCAGCAGCAAGGGATCCAGATCTCGTTCGACGGCGCGAACGGCTTCGCCGGCTTTGGTCCCAACGTTTGCTAATATAATTTTATTAATATTATAGAAAAAGTGAAAGCAATATATAAATATTATTAATTTATGGTTAATAATAGTGTCGCCGGCCGGATGCAGACAAGTAAGGAATTCTTTCGGAAATGATTCTGTAAGTGTGTATTACTCCTCCAGTGTGCGCTGGACTTTTTGGGTTCGTTTTGTATTGGTCAGCGTGTTATTTTATTAATCCTTTTGTCCTCTCCTTTTTTGGGTAGTTAATTATGTTTGTTTAGGAATGTTTATATATATATTAATATGTATAAGTGGTACGTGCGAAAAAGTATGCATGTAATAAAGCAGCGCACATTGGTGTCAAATTTTGTACATATGTGTGTATTTTTGTGTTATGATAAGAAGTAGTTGGGTTAGGGTATCTTAATTTGTCATATTTAATTCCTTTTCTATTGAAAATTTATAGTGGAGGAAATTAAGAGGAGTGGAACAGGAATCTTAGGTTGCGGGAAGAGAAAGGGTAGAAGAGAATGCGGGGGAGGAAAGGAACTAAAAAAGGAGGGAGTGGGGGCTTCAAAGTCCATGATATGTTTGGATGATAATTACATACAGTGAAAATATATGATTAGAAGGAAGGGTGGCGAAAGCAAGTGGTCAAACATAAAACAAAGAGGGGAATTAAGGGGCGGATCGATAGTAAGGTCAAAAAGCTAGAGAGTAGAGAGGGAAAGGTAAAAAAAAAAAGATATCAAATCGATTTGATGAGTGATGAGAGATCAAATCCCCCTTTTTTTTCACCTCAAGGCCCGTAAGAGGAAAAAGAGGGTGGGAAAAAGGAAGAAAGGAAAAGTGTGTGTTTGGGGATAGATAGACAAATTTAAAGGTGGAGGAAGAATGGTGAGGGCCTTGCGTGATTATGATGCTGGGAGTAGAGCTCGTTGTCATCAACTAGTTGTGAGTCGTGACCAAGTCGTTACTCAGCTTCTAATATGAATACTGGTCGTCCATGACAGCAGAATGCAAGTTTCAATCTCATGAGTTTGATTTTTTTTATGTCGTGTAAGAAAGTGATTAAAATCATACATGAGTATTTATTAATAATTCGAGTTATTGAAACCAAAACGACGGTTTACATTGGAATACGTGAGGACTTGAACATGTTACCTCACTAACCAACTACGATACCATGATTAACCAACTGTTTTGACACTCGAGTAGTGGTCAAAATCAAGGATTATGAAACCATACCGGAATTTAACCGAAAAGTCAATGATATAATATTTTATACAAAATCATGATTTCACCATTTCATACCGCCATATTGTTTTCTGGTTCCATACTTGGTATTTTCACTCCAACTACCCAGCGCAGTTTCTAAAACATAGATTGTTTCTAAAACAGATGTACTATTTATCTTTGTTCACATTCCAAGAAAGAAAATATAACCTCCTGAACCCTAACCCCAAGCAATAATAAGAATGGGAAATAGCAGCAGCAGCCAGCAAGTGGTAATTGAGGGGGTTACTGATGATTACAAATGGCAGCTGGGCCGGGCCCATGAAGGTGGGCCTCACCATTCTCATGCATCCCAACAGAAAAGAAGAGCCCTTTTTATCCCCTTTTCTGCTTTCTTTGTTGGGTTACTTTCGAGCCCCTGACAAAGACTGGGTCATCAAGGTGGTGTACTAGCATAGCAGTAGTGCCATCAACCATGCTGCTCACCACTTCCATCTGGTTGGTTCATTTCCCTTTCAAATTATCACTTGTTCTATCCCTTCCCAACAAAGCCACCTGACCACCCCCCCACAGAAAGAAGCCTTCGACAGTTTTCAGCTTTTATCCTTTCACTACTTTCAGATAATAAACAAAACGAGGATCTCAGAACAACCTCAATGCATTACTCGCTAATAAAACAGTACTTCTAGGAAAAGGATTTGGTCTGGATGACCACATTGCGATCGTTAATCACCAATCAACCACCGAATACGCAATGAATCGCTTTAAGATGTCGTAATCCCAATGCCCCTGCCGAGATTGTTTGTTATGTACTGCTTGTCAGTACTGGTACTGTTCGTGGTGGAGTAAGGGCTTAGGATTAGGGGTAAGGGCATGCCTTAAGGCAGCTCGTGACCCAGGGTAGGCGCATTAGACTGAAGTCGTTTTTGTTTTGGCATTTGTAGCCGAACCACAGCTCTAAATCCGATACTAAGAGTTTGCTTCCTTAATGGCGTAATGTAAAAGATAGCAGAGAGTAGTCAGTGTCAGTAGCTCCTCTTTTCCCGAGTGCGGGAGTAAGAGCAGAGGAAAGTAAGCCCGCCCCCATTACTTAGAAAAAGTGAGCCAACGGTTCAGGTACAAGAAACTATCATTACCACCTGGACAATTAGACATCCAACCCGTAATCGCAACGACCCAATTGTAAGAGCGGAGCTTTACCAACTGAGCTATATCCCCCTAGCCAAGTGGAACATGCATGAAGGAGTCAGATGCTTCTTCTATTCTTTTCTTTGGCCCAGCTGGGCCATCCTGGACTTGAACCAGAGACCTCGCCCGTGAAGCTGCCTGACCGTAGTATGAGGTAGGATCTATATCCCTTGTTCCGTTTGAAAGACTACGCTCTGGGACTGATGACTTGACTCTTTCTGAAAGGCTGCAGCCTGCAGTTGCTCCCGTAGTCAATTGGAGCCCACGATAAAGCCAACCGTTGTCCATTCTACCCATGCCACAGGTTTTCTCGTGCATGCAAGAAAGAAATTCAATTAGCCTCGCTTTCTCCCTACTCATTCTGCGCCCTACCCGAGGCCCCTAACCCCGTACAGACAACAGACGCCCGCAATTGTGGACGGATGACACTCGCATCCATCAACAGTACAAATCAATGAATTATAAGGGAAACTCCCCAGCCTTGCTGCTTTTCCCCTTTTCCTTTTGAAGGATTGTACCCTACATAAAATGAAAATGACACAGAACAAACATACCGTGGAACAGTAGAGCATGATCCGATTTTCAAGCCCTTAATCACCGAAGCTAACTTGCATTCGGTTCGTCTCGGGGGGGGCAAACATTCTATCCGCTTCGGTTCGTCTCGGGGGGGCAAACATTCTATCCGCGAAACCCAGATGAAACATGGAACGCGTGCAGCTTGACGCTCAAGCAGTCGTTGTACCAGCAACTTACTACCATATCATCATTTACTGTGCTACCCTATAGAGCTACAACTACCCTTCTTGATATACACTAGGCGCACATGATTAGCAATATGTACAATGTCCTCACCGCAAGGGCTCTGCTGCCCAGTCTGCACTTTGATGAGACCAAAAATTGCCTGTCCAGCTCTGCAATGCCATAATATGGTTCTAATGAAAAAAGCCTGGACCGACTGACTTCACTAAATAGCAGCTATTGACTTCCTCTCTGTGCATTCTTTTCGAGTTACTATTACGAAAACATAGAGACTCCTCCGGTAACCTAGTTTCATCAGCGGACAGCATCCCGGTCCATAAATAGAAACCTCAGATCTTCCACGGTAAGCTTTGTAGCTGTTCCCCCACCTTGGTCCTCCCCAAAGGCAGACGAAACCATTTTCCGCTTCTCATCCTGCAGATATTTGGCCAAACAAATATAAGACGAAATCATGTTCATATTAACCATTTTATGCTAAAACTGGTACTAAAGCTAGAATAACAAGAGGAAAGACGGCAACTTGACATCAGATACTACTAGCATTGATTAGAACCTGCAAAGCTAGAATCTTATCCTCCACTGTGTCTTCAATGGTAAGCCGGGTCACAGTAACCGGCCGAGTTTGTCCAATTCTATGTGCTCTGTCAATTGCCTGATCTTCAGTGCTGGGGTTCCACCAAAGGTCCAGAAGGATAACGTGACATGCAGCAACCATATTTAAACCCAGATTCCCTGCCTTAAGCGACATTAGCATCACTGTTACCTGAAAACAGCAAATTTCATAGACTCAATAATGGGCAAGAGTTGAACTTATACAAACAGATAGGTCATCATCTCAAGCGGGATACTTCTTCAAGGACAAAGTCCATAAACTAACCTCAGGATCAGTATTGAAATCTTTAACAGCACGGTCTCTCACATTTAAATTCATTGTCCCATCAAGCCTCCTATACTGTAAGCAGCTCTGATTGAGTGCCATCTCGACCAAGTCCAACATGCCGGTCCATTGTGAAAAAATTATTGTCTTTATAGGTCCTTTGGGAACCGAGCTCACAACTGAGCAATCCACATCATCTGGTCCATCCATCCCAGTATGTGACTTAAGAATGGCAAGAACAGCTTTGATTTTTGAAGAGCTATAATCATTCTCAGTGATCTGATTACTGAGCTTAGGACGAGCACCAGCATCTTTATTATTATATATGCTTCTCAGAGTAGCGTCTGAGAAGACAATATCAGAACCAAGCTGCTCTTTGCAGTTAAGACCAGGACAGGTGTTATCATCCCCAGTCAGGTAATTAGATACACACTCATAGCAGAAAACATGACCACACATTGTAATAACAGCGTCCTCCGGTGGATCCTGTACATGAATAATTTATAGATCAATTGAAGGAACAGCATTTCCCATGGTAGTGTCAGCACACAGAACCTGAGTGATATAGATGTCAGAAACATAAAGAAAAATCCAGACAAGGATTCAGAAGTGAGCAGAACATAGCGCACGAGTGAGAAGAGCCAAATATGAAGGAAAGTTGTGTGCAGAATACGAAAAAAGGATGGAACAATCAAGATGAATGAAAAAGAAACATCACAGAGCAATGACTTTAAACACCAAATTAAGAGAAGCTCAGATAATACTCACATTGCAGACACGGCAAATGGCCATGTCAGAAGTCACTATGGCCAATAGATCACGCACCATGTCTTTTGGAAGTCTCTTTGCCATCTCCACGGAAACTTTCTGTACAGAGGCAGAATTGAAACCTTTGACAAGAAGCGGGTGGTCACAAGCCTGTCGAAGGCGTAAAAGCATCAACAGAATATTTGCATAGTTTTGACTAACAGTGCCGGCAGCAGCATAAGCCTGCACAGAAAGATCAAAGTTACAAAATTGCAAAGGAAATTGTTACAAACATATATATTCTAAGATTCACAGAGGTTATATTAGGAATCCCACAAGGGACACGATCTACGTAAATATTAAGTTTACTCAGGGTTCATCGCAAATTAAGCGACAAATGAAGTGGAAAATTGGCCCAATATCTGATGCAGGATTGTACATTAGATGGAATATCCTTTATTTACAATATAGACTGAAAAATAAGAAACATGATAACTAAAGAAAACAAGAAATAGCAAGTTCGTTAGAGAATGAATGAAAAAGTAGATGTAGCATGAGGCAAACCACTTTCTAGACCTGGCAGAATTAAAATTCGCAGCTCTGCAGTTGACGGTACATGAAATAATAGCAAAAGATAAAAAGGAAATTTCAAAAAACAATCAAACTCCCCATTTCTGGTAAATGGCCAACCAGCACCACTTGGAAAACCAAATAGAGTAAAGAAACCGGAAAGCAATTAAGAAATGACATTAAAAAGAAAAAGAAAAACAAAATATTATAAAGCACAGGTTCGTTTTTACATTGTTTCAAAGCACAAATCCAATTGACCTCATATTAATTCAAAGAAGTGTTCAAGGTGTCCCTAAGGTAACACACTTGCTACCAGCCAACAGATGCAACCTGAGAAATGAACAACTGACTATGTATGTCCGGCTAAGAGATAAAATAAGGTAGAAAAGAACCTTGAACTTAGAACGAGAATCAGTTTCTAGCCGGTCGTAGAAAGCTCGCTCCTCATCTGAGAACTTCACCTTCTTCAAACCGATTGATTTTGGAGGCAATTTGATGATAGGCTCCCCATTTATCAATGTCCCTGGAATAAAATACTAAGTCAGCTACAAGTTCAACTTTGCCATGGAAATATGGATACCATAAACGGATGGGCTAACAAAAAAAGCTACTCAACAAGTAAGAAAAAAGCACCTTTAGTACGTCTCAGCATTACAGCTGCTAAAACAGCTCGCAATTTCTTGTAACCTTGAATTGAATTTCTTGATAATGGGAGCTTTATGGCACTGTAAAACGACTTATACACTGAGTAGGGTTCATATCTGAGAAACCTGAAATAGCTGTACAAATCATCAATCACATTCTGTATAGGTGTCCCTGATAGGCACCATCTCCTTTTGGCACGAAGGCTGCAGCAAGCTCTGGCAACTTGAGTTCGATGATTTTTTATTGTTTGAGCTTCATCAAGAATCACCCTACACCAATTCACCCTTGCAAGTGGACCGCAATCGTAATCGAAAGGGGAACTATCCGCTCCCTTCCTGCCCTTCTTTTTCTTCTTGTTAGCACCAAGCTGCTTTTTCCTCTTCTTATCAACTGAAAATTCGGAAGATACACCACTTCTCTCTGCAGTTTTATTATCAAGCTCATCCTCATTCACCATAGGTTGTTTGGGAACTTCATTAGTTACTATGGCATATGTTGTCATTACAACATCATACTTTGCCAATACTGCAGGATCCCTTGTTCTAGTGCCTCCATGATATATCAAGACAGTGAGTTTAGACTCATCTGCAACTTTTTCATCCAACTCCCTCGCCCACTGGCGGAGAACACTCGCTGGGCAGACAACCAATGTACCAGCTGCTAGTCTCTGTCTGTTAAGGGGCTTTGAAGAAGTACCGACTTGTTCTGTTGTTTTTATACTGTTACTTTCAACAGTCTGCTTGCCTTTATCAGAAACGTGATTGCTGCCATCATCATCCTCGTCCAAATTCAATGCTTCAGTCTTTTTAGTACTTTGATCTTCTGACTTAGATTTCAATTCAAGAGCCTTCTGCATTTGTATAAGGGCAATCATTGATATGGTTTTCCCGAGACCCTGGAGAATGTAGTAGAACAAAAGTAAGTCGAAAATGCAGAACAAATCAAACTACTAGACAAAGCCCAAGTTAAATATCTGTAGACATTCAAGGAGACCACCTGATCATCAGCTAAAATTCCACCTAAACAATGTAAACTTCTTGTCTCCCTCTGAAGCATCCATGCCAATGCAATTTTCTGTTAAATGGGAGGGCCTGGTGTTAGTTAAACATTCAATCTAACCCTTTAAGCACACTTTATTATTGTCAAATGGGAGGACCTGGTGTCTCAGAAGAGGCACAGACAATAAGCCTTCAGGCAAGTTGGCCTCATATTTTGGTTGATTAAGACCCTGAAAATAAATAAAAAACACAAGCCCCGTTAAATCAGAATTCTTTAAAGAGCATAGGCATTTTTTTTTAATTCTCAGAGATAGATCTGGTAAGAAAACAACCAGCCACTTGGGCATTTGTAATGAATCTGACAAATGATTACACCAGCATGCTTTTCAATCTCTGTCAGCTTTAAATTTGAAAAACAGTGTTGCTCCACAGGTTAACCTATATCTCTGAAAGTTCTAAGGGAGTCAAATGTACATAAGAACATGCTTTTGAATTCATTTGCAAGATAGCATTCTTGGCAAGGAACAAAGGATAGTTTAGTGAAAAGCAATCCACCGGTATAGTCCTTTCTACATTCTCCAGTCTTAATTTTTCTAAACTTAACTAATAATGAGAGGAAACGTGCATTATATAACACACAAACTAGTGCCTACTATGTGTCGCAACGAAATGGAAAAGGGACACTCTCACACAATATTCTAAGAACCATTACAAAATGGCGTGATATATAATAAATTTATTCTTTTTGAAATGACACCATAACAGTAAACTTCAAGACATACCTGCAATGCTGCTTGATAAATCAGTCTCTCATCACACACAGGTTCATCGCCTGCCATAGAATGGTATGCATAATCGTTTGAACTGGCCGATGGTCCAGGCATATGGGACTTCCCATGCGTCCATGACTGAGGTAAAACCCTTGTTCCATTCTTTTCATACATTACAACATCTTCATCATTGGCCTGGATGGAACGATCCCGCGTGGAATCCAGGTTGTTACCAAAACCTGATCCTGAGGGATTGTACATATTTCGATGTGGACGATGGGTCTGGCTGCTACCTGCACCATCAGTTAACCTGTTCATTTTGTTACTAGGCCCAGCTCCATCTAGAGACGTAGGAAGGGTCCGCCTCAAAGCTTGTTGGGACGAAAGCTTCTCGTACTCTGCACCAGAAACATTAGCAATCCTTGAGTTGACAGCTCTCGCGTGACCTGAACTGTCATTGCCATTATAATCTGGATGGAGGGCAATCTGGTTTGAAGTTCTTGTATCATCTCCATAACTGCTGATCCGAAGTTTATTTAGGTTTGATGACCCACCATTAGAAGCATATGAACTTGACGGAGCATTGTGATTCCTACTGATAGAACCTGCAAGTTCAATTAATCCACATTTAAGAGTATGTCATTACCAACTAGGTGAAGGATCCAATGTCATTGAAGGAAAGAACGCAATAAACATCAGCGAACTGTCTCCATCACCAATGATATTGGTCTAGGACTAGCATAAAAGAAGAGGCCATGACTACAGAAGGCAAGCAGATGACAATTATTCAACAAATGAAGGGAAGAAAAAGGGAAAACTCAAGGATGAGTAGATAACAGCAGGCAAGCACAGAAAATTCAGGCGCCATACCTGCACGACTTGAGCTTGTCGCCCATTGCGGAAGAGTACGGGTATTAGTAGGCCCCTCTATCAGTGATCCACCACCGTAGTTATCATCCTCATCCAACTCAAAGTCACTGTCGGAACTAATATCTATATGATCCCCCATTCCAGTCAAGTACTGAGAATTCCTTGCTTCAACCAGATGACGGTTCCTTACCTCATGAAATTTAATGGACGGATTCCCAAAATGTCACAGTCCCTGCCAATCAAAAGAATTCAAAATCTCAAAACACAAAATGTCACAGTCATATGCCTCACTGAGTGCTTGTTATCTCTTGGTAATATGTTACAGATCCAATGAGCTAGAGTGGAAAAACATCTCCAGGTTGAACCAAAAACCCCATGATCTGCCATCCCAAATGCTTCAACAACTAGTTTGAAAGTTATGATTAAGTAGCCTAGAACCAGAATCATCAAGCGGAACGCCCACAAAAAAGGTAAAGGAGAGGAGAAAGAACCAGCTTCATATCTTAAAGAACACCGTATGCAATCTAAGCTACGAAAATGGTAAACAATAGTAGGAAGCAAGTCACTCACTCTACGACACAAGCAACTAGAGCCATGACGAAGTCTCAAAGAGGTGGTGATAATGGCAGTTAAGAAACAAACAGTAATCCAGCACCATATCAGAAGACCATTCACCGTAACAAATTTTACCCTAATTTCTTCAAAAAACAAAAAAAAAAAATCAAGAGAACTCAATTATGAGACACTTAGGGAAGAATGAAACAGGAGAACTGTAAATATTTCTAAAAAGCTACACAAACCAGGGAACAGACCAACCAGGCAAATGATGAGGAAGCATCACGGAGTACAATTGATTGATTGAAACCCCTAAATAAACCGAACGGAGAGACAGAAAGGGGAGACGAAATCAACCATGCAAAGGACTCGAGAAGAAGAGAGAAGACCCTCGCTTTGAAAAACCAAATTGCCTGCGAAGTGCGAACTACCGAACCAAACGTCCAACGCCACGACAGTGGGTGACAAGAAAAAAGCGTGGGCGCGATGAAAGATCGAAGCATCGGTTGATGCAATGAGGAGAGAATTAAGCAGAAGAAGCATTGTCAGTTTGGCACACGGCAGAGAGGGCAGCGATTCTCAAGTGTTAATTCCAGTGAAATTCAGAGATGACGAAGAAATCAGGGCAGTGATTGCATCTATGGATTCGCGGGGGTGGAAGCTGGAAGAGGCGAAAAGGCAAGGGAGAGTACCTGACCAGCACCATTGGAGTTCGAAACTCTTGCAACTGCTGGAGTGGACCTGGAGAGAAGTTAGGGTTTAAAAACAGTGAACAGAAGCAACACGACTGCAAAGAACCGGGGGAAAGGGAGGGAGCCGACTGGAGTAAGAGATTGAGAGAACGCACGCAAGCAAAACGCTTCCCCGCCCCGAACCGTACGAAGAAGGACGGCTAGACGGGCAAATGGGCAATCGGAGGGACGGGGAAACGACGGCGTCGAGGTCTTGAACGTAAAATGGCAAATGTCATTCCAAATCATACATATGTGCGTCAATGGCATAAACAACACTTACATTTTGGGATTGTTAACAAATTGCTTTGTTTACATTTTACCGTGATAATCATATACCTTTTATCATCTAACGATTCAGTTCTTCCGTCAACCACCTAATCTATAATCTCCCCGACCCCCTTTTTATTTTTGTTTTTCTTTCTTTTCTCATAGTGCGGAAAGTATAACAACAAGGACGAAAAGGTAATCCAACAAAACACAATATAAATTAAATTAAAAATAAAAACTCAATCTTTCCTCGTCGAATCCCATCAAAATCTTAGTTTGTCTTCTTCGTTTCATCCATCAACGACTCCGTCGGGTAGATGTGCGACTCCCAATAATAGATGCAACAGCTGGGAGCCAGGAGAGCATCTCTGACGACCTGCTTTTTGATAAAACTCAGTTTCAATTTAACAAGTCATTCATGTTCAAATGCTCTCAAATATTTACAGAATATATAATCCATGCAAATTTTCAAAATTACGAATTGGAGTTAGGGTTTCTCTATATAATCTTATCTATTGAAAGTTAGCACGGATCTCAAGCTGTGGAACTAAGAATCTTTTCGATCTCTCAATAATTTTCAATGGACTATATTTCTTGAGTTTTAGATTTTTTTGGGTAAATAATATGATTTGTTGAAACATGTCAATTTTTTATAAATACTATGACAATCATGTCGCCGCTGGTTAACAATATTTCCACTCTTCCATTCTTTTAACTTCAAATTCATGCATTCGTGAAAAGAACATCGTACCCACTAAAAAATACACAGTTTAGACTAATATTATATATAAATTGCTGCCATTTTATTAATTCAGTATCCTGTTCTAAGTTATGTGGACAAAACTGTTGAATTTGACTTTGTTCAAGGAGTTACATTTTTTGAAATGCCTACCAAGAAGCTATCCCAAGATAATGACAGAATGAGAAGACCTCCACCCCTTCAAATCGTATGAGTGAAGTTGAAGTTTAACATCAAGCTCATCAATTATAATATATCGGACCCCATATGTGAATACAAAGTTTTCAAGATCAGTAACGATGAAGAAGAGTAATCTCAAACAATGACCCGAACGAGGTAAATTCAACTTCTTGAAATAGTGTGCTACAATTGCAAATATTTTTACCATTTGAATTTTTTTAGGGTTTATGGATTTTATCACGTAGAAGACCTCCACCCCTTCAAATCCTATGAGTGAAGTTTGAAGTTTAACATCAAGCTCATCAATTATAATATATCGGACCCCATATATGAATACAAAGTTTTCAAGATCAGTAGCGGTGAAGAAGAGTAATCTCAAACAATGACCCGGACGAGGTAAATTCAACTTGTTGAAATAGTGTTCTACAATTGCAAATATTTTCACCATTTGAATTTTTTCTAAGGGTTTAATGGATTTTATCACGTAGATAATGATAATCTGAAAAATGGACGAGATTGTTGATGATGTATTTAAATTTGAATGATGGGGAGTTATAGAGAATCTCTTATAATGTTCTTGGTTGAGACGAGATAAGTTATATTGCGTAAAAATTACGTTTCATACGAACTTTCAATTTTTCAATAGTTGGATAGTTTGGACTCTTTTTTGGCACCAATTAATGCGCCATGACATCAAACAATTGTTATTTTTGTTATGCCATTAATGAAATGCATTCGGGGCCAACCCCATATCCAGTTTTCCTTAGAAAAATTTCTCTTATTTTGTATCGTTCAATAAATATAATTTCATTTGTCAAAAAAAAAAAAAAATTTCAAAATTACTATTTTTATCAATTTATATATTTTTTATTCTTATATTTGATACAAAGACATTTCTGATATATAGATATATTTTTTGTGGAAAATATTTGTTATCACGAGCTCAATCTCACAAAAAAAAAATGAAAGTTAAAAGTGGAACATTGGGCCTAATCATTTTCCTTTTAATAAAAAACCCAGTTTTGTGACCCTGAAAAGCCCAATTAGTGCTCACTCAGTTACCCAATTACGTAGGACACAAGGGGTTGACTTGGTCAATGTCGGTTCGGTGAGATGAAGCGTAGAAGTTAAGCATCGTATCCACGGACTTAGGGTCGGCAAATATAACCGACTCCATTGCTGTATATATATGTAAGCAGAGTCTCATTAAGTAATCTCTCATCCTACGCGTCTGAAATTGCTATATACATTTTCCGAAATGAGATATTGCCGCAAAAGGGGCGTCGGCGCATTGCTTCCTCTGAATCGTTTTCAGTGGCACAGTAGAGAGTAGTGGTGCCTCTCTAACTCTGAGATCGTGTCTCCGCTCGATCGGTGTTGGTATTTTGTGGCGGGCGTCCCATGGTAGGTTTCCGTGGTGTTGATCGGTGATGGAATTACTCTTCTTCTTACTGCTCTTTGTCTTTGCTCTTCAACGCATATGCTTATTCAGATTTTGCGGAGAACCGTTCTGTCGCTTTATGTAAAAATTTCTTTCATATCGTTTGAAACCAATTGCGTGGGTCAAAGGATTCAGTCTGAGATGTATTTGCTTCGTGAGCCCTAATTTTGTCAGTTTTAAGATACACGAGTTGTGGTTCTATCTTTTTTCTTCTGATACAGAAATTGTGGGTGATCCATCCAGGGAAATCTGCAAAGTTGACAGGAACGCGGCTAATCGGTGCTGCGATTTGTATACGTGGGTTGTTGGTTGGTTTCTTTAACAGTAACAAAGTCGGCGGTAAGGGTTTCTCATTCGATCAACCCAATTAGGGTTGGGGCGGCCATGATTGTACGCTCATTGAGGGGTACAAGTACAACCTTCTGAGTTCTTGGGAGATACATTTACGTCGAGAGGGTTGGTAGGCATGCCAAATGTTTCCCGGTTATGAGTCTGGTGGTCCAACGTTTCGTCCCCTGTTGGAGAAAAATGTTATCTGGTATGATTCCCAATGCCCCTCCTCTGTTGCATATAATTTTAATCCGGATGGAAAATCTCCGAATTGTGCCTTGATTTGCTCATGGACGTGCTTGCCGCAATAACATATGAATAGTTATCCTTTGCTGCATCTTGTAGTATGGAGATCCACAAATGGTTATATTACCATGTTGTTTTTAGTTGAAGTGACCTTTTAGATACTATATAGTTGCCCTTATGCTCTATTATATAAAGTGATAAGTACTAATGGAGTCGTAGAGGGGAACTTTGGAATGATTATTTGAAAGAAAGTAAGTCTGTGAATTGATGGCCATGTTTGAGAAAGAAAGTTGGTTTGCAAGTGTCTCGTTGTCCCTATAGTTGAAAATGTCTTGAAACATTCCAGTTGCCCTTCTGCTCTACGTGCCCTTACTAGAGTCCTAGATGGGAACTTTGTAATGATTAATACTGAGTGAGAAAATACATGGATTGGTGGCCATGTCTAAGTAAGAAAGATGTCTGTCCGAAAGTCCAGTTAATCATTCCAATTGCCCATCTGCTCTATCTTGAAGGAAACTTTGAAGTCAGTGATATCAACGGAGATGCACATGGATTGGTGACCACGTTGCTGCTCTAGAGTGTGTCCCTTTTGGTGTTATTTTGAGATTATGACTATATTTTGTTGACTATGGAAGCCCCAAGTACAATCAGTAGCCCCTCTAGTCCGTCTCAAATTTGATCTTGAAAATATTTTGCATTGGAAATTAAAACATGAAGTCTTTGAGCAAGTTACTTGATTTAAGTATCTCTTCTTGCTCTCATCTCACAGAAATCCAAGTCCTTGGTGAGCTGGGATTATTGCAAATGCTTTTCATTCAGGGTTCAAATAGTTTAAGCCGTCGCTTTGGCTTTGAAACTCTCTTGTCTCTACCAATTTAGATATGCCACTGCCCTCACGCTTAATACCAATCCATGGCCTTGATAGTGAATGACCATTAGAAGCTCTGGTACCCAAACTTACTGATGCTTTTCATCAGTGAAATACAGGTCTGGTGCTACAGATCTTCTGTTGGATTCCTGAATCTCACCCAGTTGGTACTTACCGCGGACGAGATTGGTAATACTGACACGGAAGTACGGCTGGATGGCCTCGAGTCTGTAGAAGAGCTGGTTACACTGCACTTTTACGACTTGTCCCCAATAAGGAGATGGCATCCTTACTTCGAACCAGTGTGTACTTCAGTGAGAAGCACTTATATACATGTATAAAGTTGAGCAATACTGGTCTGTTTTCTTGGAACTTTTTCTGTGTACTTCAAACCCAGAAGGGACACTGAAAAAGCTTGTTCTCTTGAGTTATGCTTTTGATTTCATCCTTTCTAGATCGTCAATGAATTGCTGTTTTGCCGCAAAATTTTGCCGACCATTTTAGCGTTGTCTTGTTAACCAGGGATGGGATTCACTTGTCAACAGAAAGAAGAAAAGTAGGTGGTGATGGAAATACTAAAGCTGCTGAGATAAGCAAAAGAATAAAGTCCTCCTCGATTCTAGGAGAATTTTCCTTCTGATACTGTTTCAGTGGGAAAAGGATTCTGGGAGATCCAATGGCAGAGAGGCCGACTTAAATATTAAGTGCAGAAAATGGTACAGACTCCCAATGCAGCGGAAGATTTTTACCCTTTTTTCCGGTCCTGCAAATGGATCATTAGAGTTCATCCGTCTGAAATGCATTTGTTGCTTTGTGGATATGAACTTAGAAAGAAAAAGAACTCAGTGGTATGCTTTATTGCTGCAGAGAACATGATGAACTGGTTTGGTAACTCCTTGTGTTACAGATGTATCCTGGAATAGCGTTGGTCAGTTGTTGTAACTTGTAAGAGAAGAAATCTCGCTGGAAGTGGGCAAAATGTTTATGGAATTTCTGATGTAGACATGCGTGACCTTTGTTAGATGCACATGATGAAACGCCGAGGTAGATACGCGAATTAAGTGTATATTGATGACTGCCTTCTTGTCTGGACTCTTCTCTATGACGTTCTCTATATTACTCGGGCATCAACTAGTGCTGTGGCAGAGGGGGAATACTGCACCAGTGGAATCATGAAAGTGATTTAGAAATTCCAAAAGGTACATAGAGTACGTGCCTTCATATACAATAGTCAATTCATCTGCTGAGCCTTCTTTTAACCAATTCTTACTCCACGTCAAGCAATCAACGTGCTGTTCTTTAAATGTAGTTTCAAGGGGAGAGCAAGCATATTTGCAATCTGAATGGCCTTATTTTGGCCAAGATTGGCTATGCATTAGCTGTATGGTTTAAAGTTCACTCGACCGGGTGATGCTTGTATTATGCTGCAAGCCAATGAAGTTCCTTTCTCGTTGCTCACTAGTTTGGTTTCTCTTTATAATTATTGCACGCATTGGTTGGCTTTTTGGTTTTGTCAGGCATCTTACTTGTTGGCAATACAAAATCAAGCCTACGGTCTTCTCAATCATGCTGAGGTAGGCTAGGGCTTCATGATTGATTTCATATTGGAACTTGTTGAACTCTATTCTTAAAACTTCTTCTGAGAACAATAAGTTGCGGAAACCTGAAGTGCAAATATTCGGCTGATTGTCTGTGAATGCTAGATGGTTCATAAGTTCTTGACTATTGGTAGCTTCCTGGCTCTTAAATTCACTTCAATGTGCACATAAGCAACTAACCATCATGGATTTACAAATCCCAAACAAATATGTGGGATTTACAAACAATGGACTTGTGTTAAATCCATAAACTTGGGATTTGGGTACCGAATCCATGTCCCAAAACCAACAAGCAAACGACTCCTAAGTGTGTAGGCAGTCTGCAGAGACCTGTCTATAACGTTGTCTACCATCATTGGCTACTGATCATTTCCATGGCGAGATTGGAGTTGAGCAAGGCTGCTTTTTAAGTGTCATGACAGTAGTGTTTGGTGACTCTTTGGAAACTTCAGAGCGGTTGGATGGATGTTGTGTTACAGGAGAATTTGATTTTTGTATGTAGTAGCAGAGCATTCAACCATGAAGACTTGTGTTCCAGGTGAAGGCATTTGCTCTGATTCATCTTCGTCCGAGCCTCTTTGTTGGTGGTTTTTCCGCATTCAATGCAGAAGTTCATGACTGGATTGTACTGAAGGCCCAAAGAGGCTGACGATCTGGGCCCAAAATATGGACGTCTTGGTCGGCCGCTTGTGGAAGTGTAGGCTGGGCTCAACCTTGGGCTACTTTAGAAAATTCTGACGGGCTGGACCCTTACTTTCCCCAAACCCAAAGTGCGCGATCGCCCTTTTCCTGGAGAAAGTGAAACGAGTAAACGACAGTGTCTTTCCCTCCAAACGAACCAATTGGCGCGCAACGGAAGCGCCAAAGCTGCAAAAAAGGAAAAATTAGGGTTGTTTTCAATTTCCCGGTTTCTCTTCTGTTTACCGCCAGAAGAAATTCGACTTAAAGCCCCGGTAGTGACGATGGCTCGTCCATTTCCTCAATTGGCAGGCAGAGGTTTCTTACTCAAGGAAGAAACGCACAAACCCTAATCCTGAAAAACCATCCCATCCGCTCTCTTCTCGTTTTCGCTCGTCGATTACCTTGAATCAGGTCGGAATGGCGGGAGGTGGCAGCATTAAGTCGAACCCAACGAAAGCAAGGAAGAGGGTGGAGGCCGACAATGGTGCTTCTGCTGCTTCCATGGTTCGCGCCAGGGACGGCAGCGCATTTACTAGATGGTAAACCAGTTTCTTGACCCAAGAGTGTGCTTTTTGTTCTTACTCCGTTAAATATTTATCGCTAATTCATGGACGGACTGGTTGGGCATATGTGGTGTTCGTGGAAATACCTCAGCGAAGAGTGCAAGAAGGACGTGGCTGTGGCGCTCATCGGTATGCATAGTTGCAGCCTTGACGCCAAAATCAAGATGAACTTAGGTCGGTTTTCTAAGCTCTAGTACGCACGTCCATTCTTTTTCACCCCTTTTTTTTGTCGTCTTCATCGCCTGGCACAATCAGTACTAACCTTAGTCCCCATTTGCTGATGTGTAGAGGCTCAAGTCGTTGAAAACGCCGCTGATGTTAAGACTACGAAGAAGAAGGCAGCCGAAAGGTAATTTGTTTTAGCTAGTCAGCTATCTGTTTGTGAGAGTCTCTTTTAGGTTGTTTAAAGAGTTGGGTATGGAACAGAAACACTGGGGAAGTGGAAGATCCGAAGGCAAAGAGAGCCAAGAAAGAGAAACGGGCTGCCAAAGATCCAAATAAGCCCAAACGCCCTCCTACTGCCTTTTTCATCTTCATGTCAGTAGTGCTTTAATCCACTCCCTTCTAGTCTCAGTTTGGCTCTTGTTTCTCAGAATTACCTTATTGATTACGTTTGCGTTTCACCAGTGGTGACTTCAGGAAAGAATACAAGGAAGCAAATCCTGACTCTAAGGATGTTAAGAAGGTTGATTGAAAATCTTATGCTTCCTATTCTCGTACTCGGGTTATGGGGGTTTTTTTTTTTGTCGGTACCTGATGTGCCTTTTCATTTTCTTTGCATCCTTAATGTCTAGATCGCCAAGGAAGCTGGCCAGAAGTGGAAATCCATGACCGATGAAGTAAGTCTAATTTTCCTGTCCTCTATCCAGAAGTGTACAAGTGATAATACCCAAGAGTATAATTGTGCACATTGTTGCTCACGTTCTCTCCTAACTCGTCTTAGGAGAAGAAACCTTACTTGGATAAGGCTGCTCAGCTTAAGGCTGAACATGGAAAGACCTCTGGTGATAGCATTGATGCTGAAAATGGAGCTGCAGCAGATAAGGAGGGTGAAGATGTGAGTATTGTTTCTTCAAAAGACTCGTTGAACCACATTTGTACAAGGTTGTTTCAAATTCTCTGACATTGTCTCAACATGAATGTGATATCTGATTATCCAGGATGATGAAGAGGATACAAAGGAGGAGGAAGAGGACCCAAATAAGGAAGATGCTGCAAAGGATGGGGTAGAAGATGAATCTGGTTCAGAGTAGTATCTACTACAGAATTCCAAATGCTTAAGCGCTTCTTATGTAAATGTTCTCTATGTCACTCGGCTAATGGAGTTTAGTTGGGTGGTTGGCTTGTGGGTCCTTTCTCTAATGTAGCTAGTTTGTTAGTGTTAAATGCTGGTTAGTGTGATCCATATCTTGAAGAAGCAGGTTTTGTCATCATCATTAGTTTATCATGCGAGTGCAATGCTGGTTACTGTGATTCATATCTTGAAGAAGCAGGTTTTGGTATCATCTTTAGTTTATCATGTGTGCTGAATTGGGTATAAGTTGCTGTTGGTTTTTGTTCTACCTCAACCAATCGGAATGTGGGTTTTGCTTGTACCAATTATGGCAATGGTGGTTAGTATATGGTTCTCCCTAAAAATCTCGTGCAAGAATGTTGTTCCATCACAGCAAAAGAATACTGCTTTATATCTCGCAGGTAAAAGAGAAGCTACTACAATCTATAGCAATGGGGTAACTAAGGTTGGTTTGCCTCCATTAAATCAGCTGTTTCAAGCTAACAGTAATATGTTTACTTTCTCATCTAGTCAGCACGATCGCTGGCCGATATCTTCATTCCCTCACCCGGCACGGCGGCAGAGGTTTACCGCAGAGGCAGAGGTTGTGAGCATAAGCGCTCGCCGGAAAGATGTTGTAAGGCCTCCCTTGTGGAATCTCTCCGCAGAGTCTGTTGGCCCTAAAGTTGGCATGTCTCAGCCGCTTCACTCCCAGCAAGCTACTCGGGATTTTGCCGGCCAACAAGTTGACGGACACGTCAATCCACTGAAGATCGATGAGCTTCCCCAAGCTCGACGGAATTGTTCCGGATACTCTGTTCCTCGCTACATCCAGTCTCTTCAGTCCGGTCAGATTCGTGATTGAATCCGGTATGGGCCCCGAGATCCGATTCCTCGACACGTCCAGAACTTCCAGAAAGCTTATTCTGCTGCTGTTGTTGAGTATTGCAGAGAGTGAGCCGGTGATGCGGTTAGACCCGAGTTGAACGGAAGAGATCCCCGGCGGCAATGTAATCTCCTTGAGGTCGAATGTAAGCTGGTTGCCGGAGAGATCGAGGCTCTGCAAGCTGGAGGCGTTGGTCAGGAAGCCGGAGATTCCCAATTCGAATGAGTTATGGGAGAGATCAAGAGACATGAGAGAGTTCGGTCGACTGAACACCGGAAGTCTTCCCTTCAGTCCACAGCCAGCTAGTCGGACGTCGGAGAGCTGCCTGTCCTTAATCCAGTTAGGCACCGTCCCTAAACTGAGGTTGTTGAAGGACAGATCTATCGACACCAACGAGGGCAGCCCTGCCATGCCCGGCAATTGGCCGGAGAATCCGTTGCTGGACAGATTAAGGTACCAAAGCTTCTGCAGAGTTGAAATGGAAGGTGGAATTCCTCCGGAAAGCCGGTTGGAGCTCAGGGAGAGACGAGCAAGCGATTTCAGTCCGGCCATGCTGGCAGGAAGCTTCCCGGAGAGCTGGTTATGGTCTAGTGAGAGATCCTGTAGATTCTGCAGAGTGAACAGAGACGGCGGGAGCTGGCCTGTGAAGCGGTTGTACGAGAGGTCGAGGAAGGTGAGGTTTCGGAATGCGGTAGGGATTTGGCCGGAAATTAAGTTGTGGCTGAGATCGATAGACTGCAGAATTGGACGGCGGGACGATTTTGGGACAAGAACGGCGCCGGTGAGGGAGTTTCGAGCTAACCCGAGTAGCTGGAGGTTAGGGAGATCCCAAATGGACGGAGGAATCGAACCACTGAGGCGGTTTCCGGCAAGGGAGACGGATGCCAGACGAGTCAGCCGGCCTAACCCCGGAGGGATAGCGCCGGCGAGCGAAGAGTCCTCGATGATCAACTGACTCAGCCTGGTGAGGTTGGAGATTGCTGGAGGGATCGGACCTGCAATGTGCTTCGTCCCGGTGATGACAAGAACCTCCAGCGACGTCAGTCCGCCGAGAGAAGGCGACAGAGTTCCCTCCATGTAGCCGTCCGGCGGCGCCTGTATGAGCAGAGAAGTCACCCTTCCGGTGGTCGGATCGCACTGCACGCCTTCCCATTCCGTGCAATGGTCAGTGGTTGCTACCCAGGTGGAGAGGATTCCCGTCGTGTCTTTCGAGATTCCGGATTTGAACCCGAGGAGAGCTCCCTTGTCTGACCCTGCATCAGCATTGTTCAGAACGAGGTGGCTGCATAGCAGCAGCAGGGACAAGAGGTTGGTCGTCAGGAACTGCTGCATGATCTGTCTGGATACAACCTGAAACAGAGAAAGCTACAACCGATCATGGTGTTCCATTTTGGACGGGGTTGCTTAACGTAGAGATGAAGGTGTGATGATGGGGAATGGAGAGAAAGGAAGAAAGACTGTACCTTTATGGTTTCTGCTTTTGAGCTTGGTTGCTTTAGTGCTGGATCTCTGTCAGGGGAATGTAGTGGATGTTGCACATGGTGGGAGAGGAAGAAGGAATTCCAAGCTGCGGGGAGGGTTTTTATTTGCGCAGAAGAGTGGAAGGGGAATGAATGTTGGGAGCCTGTGAAGGAGGAAGGGGATTCACGGGGATTGGTAAGACGTTGGGAGCGCACTTTTGATTCAAAATGAAAGAAGCAATAGAAGAAAAGTGCAGTTCCTGCCGGGTTAAATAGTTGAACTGTAAATAGTCAAAGTCGATCGTTGAGGCAAAAGTATAGGGAGGGTGAAGGTGAAGCTAGAAAACAAGAGGATAAATCTAAACAATAACGGTATGAAGTGTTTTGTAAACAGAAAAATAGAGAAAAACAACGAAAGAAAGTGATAGCAAGGAGGATCCCCCACCCATACCCACCCTCCATGTGACTTTCAATCTCTCCTCCAATGTATCAATCATGTGTTTGAATAAGATTGTCAAACAATAATCCGTTTCTACAGGGGGTTTTATATCGAATTTTCTCCGATTTTATCGTGTTTCTGAACGATTTTTTCTTGAACAAACTAAAATACACTGTGCATGATGCGAGATTAGTTAGCAATTATGGTTGTGTTGACGAGTGGTATGTGGGGACAAATCATAGTTTTCTTTGGGAATCATTTATATGGGAATCATTTATAGCTGTAAATGGAGAATTAAGTGTGATAGACAGTGAAATCCATACACACATCGAAGGTATAATTTCTTATGTCTATTTTTGGCCAGCTTTCGGTGAGAGATAAAGACCATTTTGAATGCATATACAGAAGTTTTTTTGACAGTGTTAATTTTGAGGGAGCAGAAGAAAGAGGGGACAGGTAGGAAAAGAAAAGGACACCGAGAAACTTAACCATAAGGTCGGCAGGTCGCAGTGATTTGCGCTTGAGTCGAGTGGACCATTTTATCCTTTGCCGTGTTTGAAATGATTGCGCTCTTCAGCAAAGCTTAAAATGGACCCCAATTTGCTGTGATCCCATAAGTGTCGTGTCGTGCCAAATTGTTCAGTTACGGCGGCGCCATGTTCTGCCCGTCCCCTCTCCCTCCCGCATTTTGATTTTTCCTCTACACTTGAAAAGTTAATCCTCTTTATCGATCCTTTTTATCTTACCTTAATATGAAGGCACAAGCTCATATCATTGAATTGAATTGTTTTTTTTTTACTATCTTAGCTGGCTGTCACACTACATCGATCTCGAATCAGGTACATATGTTAAAACATATTTGAGTGTAATAACAGATAAGATATGTAGGAATGATAATGGGTTGACTCATTAAATAATTTGACTCAACTGTCATGACCAATCTTGATATTGGGTCCAAGCCAAACGGTGTCATATACACTTTTAATGAGTTTGGATTAAATTTGAACTCAATCGAATTTGGATCAACCAATTTGAATCCAGATGATCGTACGCACAAAAAAGGCACCATAGACCATCCCACTAACTGTCTGCCTTCAATCTAATCACATTTAATTTTGGTGTTTCCATCTTTTGGTTTGTTCCTAACAAAAAAAATTGCACTAAAATAGAATATCTATTTTCTCTTAGGTACCCAACACTACCCAAAAGTAAAATTACTCAAAATTTGATATCCAAATGGTCCATGAAACCGTATCGGATACCGTATCGGGAAAGTCAGCGGCAGGGTATTTTATGGTAAAACCGTGGTTTAACCGTAGTTCAACCGTTATACCGGTAAATACCGCCTATCGGTTTAGCCTCCAATACTGGTATTTCGTGGTTTAACCGCCGGTACGGTACAGTTTCATGGACACTGAATTTCCAAACATCGAGTATTTTTTGTTATCATAGTTACATGGCCATTATATACAAAACAAAAATTAAGTAGAATTTTACACATGCCCATGTAACAAATTTGTATTTTGAATGAGACGATATAGCATGTTTGAGGCTTTCTTTCTCTAAGAAAAAGAAGAATAATTCTTTCTATTCCTTCTCAGCAATTACGACAAACATATCTTTCACCGACCACCTCCGTCTCTCCGCCTTAGCCGGCGGATTGATAACAGCTCTTTCCGCGTTACATAAACGGTATCCGATCACGATTTCTTTCCTCTGCCGAGCTCTCAACATTATCTCATAGAAGCTCAGCTCTTCTCCTTCACGCAGGTAAAGATCAGCTTCTCTTATCTGCAACTCGTTTCCCTGTCAACAACACCTCAATACCAAAAATGTTACGACGGATTCGTTAAAGTACGAGTTAATTATGTACTAGATCTTCACTGGTTATGTGTACACGACCAGACTCGTATTCCTTACTAGCTTGGATCTCACTACTCTGAACCATAAGTCAACAATCATGATGAGACTTGTTATATAAGTTTTACTTATATATTTCTTGATGAAACTAGACTTGATGTGGAAGTCATCTATTATACTTAGTAAGGACATAGAGAATTTCTTACCTCCTCCGCGAATAGCTCTTCGAGCACATGATTGATCTGACGATCCTCGGCAACCATTGCCAGCGCCATGCTGACAAGCTCGTTCGACAAAACGTAGTCACTGATCTTCGACATGGATAGTAGGTTTTTGGTCCTTGGGTCCAGAATCTCACTGATTATAACTGATTTATCAGAGGCCTGTTGCATCTCCCCTATCCAAGATCCCTGTGAGAAGCTCCCTCTCTGAACTGAGGTCACCATTGCTTCTCTGTAAGGGAGCCGCTTCGCCTGCCAAGAATCAAGACACCAGGGGGGCTTGAGTATGCAATCCCGAGAGCAGCAAGTTTCACCAATGAATAAACTATTTGTCGATGGTTAATTAAGGTTTTGAAACGTACCTGAATATCACGAATCAGCAGTAACGTTGCTAGAGATCTAGAATCAGCTTGAATAGCTGAATCCTCGACTGACTCATCGGCCAAAATTAAAATCTGTCACATAAGAAGACAGAGAGGAAATGTTTCAACTAAGATCATGAGCATAGATATGGACAAGTACATGAACAGACACGTGAAAAAGCCCTCTCTACTAGATTCAAGCTACTTAACTTACCGAATCAAAGGATTCTAGGGGAAGGCTTTCCAAGTGACGCCTGATGACTGCATTGCCTTCTCGGTTGACCAATGATATATTTACCAACCTGCTGAGGTCAAGACCACCATCGATAAGCTTCTTCTCCCTCTCATTTTCAGGAACATCATTGAACATCCAGAGCTCAGAACACGGTGCAAGAAACGCATCCAACACCTATATAAGCATTGGTTAATAATATACATCTCCGGTCGCAAAGGAAGAAAGGAAATAATCTAAAAATCCATCAGACATAAACATCCAGGCCTAGAATATCATTATAACCAAAAGTGGGACTTCAGTAACAGCACGAGACATCCTGAAACATTCTACCACCACTTTGTTGGCACAGAGAGGTTCATCAGAATGATTGCAGAATTGCCTTAGCATTTACCATTATAATATCTTCCATATCTCTTCTCCAACCACAAAGTAGTATCCTTTCTGCAGACTTTGGTACAACGAAGTCTTTGGGCAGACTTCCCCTCCACACCTGCAGCATTCAGGTGAAGAGAAGAAAGAATTAGGGGCTACAAAGAAAGAACTTACCACAATCATATCATCAATGTCCCTCCTCCATCCACAAAGTAGAATCGTCTGTGGCTTTCTTGTTGATCGATCAACGTTTACAAATGATGCTTCTTTGACCTGAATGATGAAATTTGTTATGGTGTAAGTTTTATAATTAGTGTTTGCCAATTTTCTCTAATGCTACTTCTTTGACCTGCATCAATGATTTGTACTCATTTTAGTTTTATCACTCACATTGTCCCAAACCATGTCCTAAAGGAAGTACAGCCTGGCAAATCCTAAATTAACAAGTAGATTATGCGCATGCCTGTCAAGATTTCTTGTAAGACTCAAAACAGTTAAGGTGAGTTGACATTCAACATAACCCAGTCAGGTGAAACATTTTCACTTTGGACAAGAAACTGAGCCAAATAACACCATGAACTCCAGAGCAATCTAGTCATCATTTTTCTTTATGTAATCCAATCTGTTATGCTTACTTGTGAATTCAGTCACCATATTCTCCTCCGACCCTTTTAAACCTAACTTTGCCATGTCAAACAACTTGGTCTCTTCCAAATCAAAGACATCTTCATAAATAACATATCTTTATAGCTTCAGTTTACCCTTCTTCTTTATTTGCTACCGTTCTTTCAGGTGAAATTAGAGTTGAAGTGCAAGTTTAGTTTGGTGAGTAATGCAAAGATCAGATTCCATGCAAAAATCATAAAGGCCATGCATTGGAGAAAATGAGCTTCCGAAGGAAAGACGACCCTTCAACTGAAAGAGGAAGATGAAAGCACCGTAGGTAATGCTGCTGGAGCATAACTATCATCATCTTCTGCTATAACAAGCACTTCGTCGCCTTCTTGCAGAGCATATGAATCATCAGGATTCAATACAATCTTACCACCACATGAAGCAACCTTGACCCCACAAGGTATAGCATCCGGAAAGCTGATCAAGACATCCTCAAATTGCATGCCATCTAACTGCGGCCATTTTTGGATGTAAAATTCACAATTTTCAAAGCCAAGGATGTCTTCCCAAATCTGGTACAGACCATCAGTAAAAATTCAGCAAGAAAACCACGTAGGAAACCTTATCTAATCCAACATAAAAGAGCAATAGCAATTATTGTTCTAAGACTTTAACCTGTGCCAGTCCTGGTTGCCGAGCACATTGAATCATGAGACGGCCAATTACATCATGAGCGACAACAGTCTCCACAAGTTCCCCACCAACAAGTTTCACAAGGACCTCATTATCAAGATCACTTAATTCCACCACAATATGGCCCTTCAGCCCTTCTTTCACTCCTGTTAGACTCAAGACTGTTCTCAATGCACGAGCATCACTCTGTACCAGACCATGAAATAAGCTGATGATTAAATATGGCCAAAAAGGAATAATGAAATCTCATCCATCTCTGATTTGAACTAGACCTGGTCAGCATTTCCATCCTCAGCAAGTACAATAATGGCACGGGCTTTGGAAACAGATACCTGGAAGCTTCAAAGATGTTAGATACCAACGGAAAACCACTCCCTAGGTTGTGACAGAATAGCCACCATAGAACCATTCACTTTAAATATATTTCAATATGAAATTAACTCTTGATTCGCCGAGTGTAACGATTTCATTAGTCTTATATTCATAGCACAACCAAAGATCTGAAACAAGCAGCTACATTTTCAGCTGCTTCATAGATAAACTTGCAGGAGAGTTCAACCATGTCACTGAAGCTGAAGAGTTGAGTCCACAAACCTTTTTGAGGTCAGCCAAAATCAAGGGGCTCCCACTTCTGCATATAACGGAGGTCCCTTTGAAGTCAAACTCCATTTTCCCAATGTCCAATTCCATCTCTTCTTTGTCTCGTTCAGCCATTACTACCACAGTCCCCCCACCTAAACTCTCATTCGCAATTGCAAGCTGATTCAGCAGTGAACCCTAGTTCCAGCAAACAACAAGTGAGAGCATTACTCGGGTCCCGGATACAAAATAAAGCTGAGGGAAACAGGCCTCTTACCAACTTATCACTCCATCCAAGAATAAGGGTGTGGTTCTGCTCAACTACTTCACTTCTTCCCTTCCTCAACGAATCGAACTTCTCAGAGATGGCATCCGACACAAGTCCAAGCATCATTGCAAATACAAGCATGCCCCCAAAGCTAATAGAAACAGAAACAAGCCTCGGCCCAATACCTTCAGAGTCGGCATGGTTGCCCGAGTCAGCGACATAGGTCCACGACAACCATAGACAATCAGCTAAGCCATCGCTGGTAACACCGAAGAGCGCCAATCCTCCAAGAATGATTAGCAGCAATGTGGCAACAATCAGTGCCAGTGGCTTAGAATAAGGATGCACTGATAAAAAGACATCCACTCTATAAGCAAGCTGCTTGCTCAAAGAAACTTCTTCTGAAGCAGCATCTGAACTTCTCGATTTTGAGACGAGATCAATGTACTTGAAAACGAGAAGCGGGATTGATAACAAGGCAAGTGAGGCAATCAGAGACAAATGTTTCAAGCCTTGGCCGGCGTAAAGATCAACCGCCGCCGTTTCCAGTAACCGGAAATCGATTGAGGAAGACATATTGCAGGCCAGTAACCCAATGTTAAGTCTTGCAATTTCATCCTGTGAAGCGTATGGCCAAATTATCAGATTATGCAATTTCAGGACCATCTGCTCAGTTGACTTTGAAGAAACGAACAGTTACCTGCAAGTCAACGACCTGGTTCCGCAATGAGAGATTCTTGTGGAGCAGAGAAGCGAGAGCTGCTATCAGAAACTGCAAAACAATTAAACAAACAATCAATAGGCATATCCTTCCTCTTAAAGGAGAATCTATCTACGGAGAAAGAGAGAGGCGCACCGACGCAGAAATGGCGAAGTGCCATCGGATTAGAGCTAGGCGGAGAAGCTCAAAGTAAGTGCCGTGTTGAAGAAGATGTTTCTTCTTGGGGGCGGGGCGGTCAGCGTTAGAGTCAACCGGCGGTGGCGGCTGCGGAAGAGGAACAGGAAGGGCCTGCTGCTGCTCCGGCTTGGGGGAGAGATGGTGAGGGAAGTAGACAACGCGGCGGCGGCGGGTTGCATAAGGAGGCGGAGGAGGAGTGGAACTGGGAGATGTCCTGTTTGGGATTGTGGAGAACCGCCGGCTGCGAGCGCGAGGGAATTCCGGCGGCGATTGATGGTGGTGGACAAAATTGGAAGGAGAAGGAAAGAACCAGTCCCTAGTACTGCTACTGCTACTGATGGCGGCAGAGAAAGAGGGAGGAGGAGGCGACGGCGGAGTAAGGCGGCCGTCGGCCTCAACTGGCATTATGGGAGTTCTATCTATTCAGCCGGGCTGGTGAAATTTGGTCTGATCGGCATCCTCGTCGGCGACGGTGGAGCTCGTTAATCAGTCCCAATCGGTATCAAAGCTTTGATTAAACATTGATTAGACCTGTTCTCTCTGCTCCAGCTGAATAAGCTTTGAAGGTTAGAACCGATTTGTTTATGGGGATGGAAGATTCTTGCATGCTGCAGGGAAACGACCAACCAACTCCGGCCCCATCATTGAGACGAGAGGTCCACTTTCTTTCTTGTTTACCCCTGGAACCAAAAGGTCAAGGCTTTTTTAAGAGAGAAATAAAAGAGTTTCCACTTCCTCCCTCCATTCTTTTCTTACATACTTTTCCTTCCAGAAAAAAAAAAGGGTCCATTTTTTAGTTTTAATCTTAAAAGGGAGTTGAAATCAAGAATATGACATGGCATACACTCAAAGACCAAGAAGAAGGGGGAAGGAACCTTATCATTTCAAGACAATGTGTTCATATCGTGAAAGACTATGAATTTTACTGCAAAAAACCGAGCAAATCATAACCTGTGGAATGGTTATCGTTCTTAGTAAAATCCGTTTAAAACACTACAAAGCCAGGCTAAATTGACCTTCTGGGCTGTAAAAGTATAAACACCACGTACATGTTTTAATAGAGACCATGTTATTGTTTAATAGAAAAAGGATAAAACGTTTCCTTGGTTACTACCCTGAAATCTAATCAACTCGATCTGTTCTGTCTCAGCGAAACAAGGCATAAATGGCTAAATAGTTAGTTCCACAAACTGGTGCTGGGCGGATTGGTGCTGTTTACATGTAGCCTGAACCTGGACCCAAAAAACAGTCTGGGAAGTCTGGAACGATGCACTGACAATTAATTGAAACAAACTGATACAAAAAGAAGGAACAAACATTCTGCAACAAGGGAGGAGACACAAATGAGGTACATATCGGGGAGAAGAACAAACTGATAAATCACTGACATCTAATTCTTCAACTGCAGACCCTTTGGAAACCCTAAATGTACCTTCTCATAATCAGTAGGCTAGAAGTGGATGACAAATTTCCACCCCCTAGCAAATCAAAGGTGGTACCTGTACTGCTAAACATGTAACCGACCGACAGACCGAGCTTTGGCGCTATGCTTCTCCACATGATGAAGGCCCTCTTCTCAGCCTTTTCAGTCACGTTATAATACTCCATGAAATTTTACAAGTATGCGTGCAGCAGTTGGGGCATCGGAGCGATCATAAGAAATACGGAACACCTGTCCTTGGCCCTCTCATCTGATTATTCTCCTCCGTTTCAGTGAAAAACTTCACTTCTCTCTCCTACAGAGACCCAGACACAAATAAAATTTCTTGGCTAGTTCTAAGGACCAAATAAAGGTTTCACTATGGATACAAAAAATAAAATAACCAGTAGCCGGATTCAAGGTTCACTCACCATATTCTCATTGAAGCTCAAGATGGAAGCCACATTCCCACATCTGTAACAATAGTTTGGCGCAGACCACACCTGCAAAATAGTGAAGCATATGATTTTCATGACTCTATACAACTAACCTAAACAACGAGGATAAGAAAATTTCAAATCCTTACAGTTACTAAGCCTTTATCTTGAAACATGTATTTGAGGCCTTCTTGTACCAATTGGTGTGCCCGACAAACGAGGTCAAGATTGTTAATGTGGTTAAACTACAAACAGAGGGGTAGGACATCGTTAGATTTGGTCGTACAAAACACCAGTTAGATTAAGATAAGATTACGCAGTACCTCAGAAGTAACCCTTGACCCAAAAAGCCAACCTGCTCCTCTGGGGCTAACCGCCCATGTTTCAATGTCTTCAGGATCACTCCACATAAGATCACAGAAAGGTCCTTCATGTGGAATTTCACAATTCCGTTCAATTACTCTTATCTGTCAGGCAACAAGGGAAGACAATATCAGTAAACCACAAGCTCCCACCAGGCCGCTGCAAGCAAAAATCTTAAGGAAACAACGAGCTAGGCATATTTCCATTAGTGAAAGCTGCACCAGGCAGATCTTAGAACATGAAAGTTCAACACTCATCCATACCAGATTCATTAATAGAATAGTTTCTAAAGGCCTGCATGAGATGCTAGATTCATTGCCTCTGCCATGGGCAGGCAAGGAGCAGTCAGAAAGGTGGTCTCTTTTAACTTAGGAAAGCTGTCTTACTCTTATCACATATCAAGTACTATGTCTCTATGGCAAGTTCATTTCTTTTTGCAAGGAAGATCCATTTATATAACATCCCAAGACTAAAGTAGAAACCTTACAGGTAAAAACACATCCTATATTATATGCCAATTAGGGAAAAGGTTTATCATTCATACCTCCCTTTCTATTGTTGATATTTGCTTGAGATGAAAAAAGGAAGCTTAGCAATCCATTGGTACATAGTCAATGATTCTAATGTGAGTTCTGCCTAGGGTTCTTTAGGCATGCATCTTGCACTACGTGCCAAGGATCCCTATCCTTCCGTTCTAGTACTATGATCTCTAACCATTCAGAAATTAAAATAAAGAATCCCAGAGCCTGAAGTTATGATAAGCAGCAGACAAACAAATCTTACATAGTATGTTCATATCTAAAATAGTTTTGGAGATTTTTCAAGCATTCTGCCACAACTCAATATAAGGGTGCATAGAACCAAGAATCACCATGCTGAGGCACAATCCTACATAAAAAAATAAAAGAACACGAGTTCCAAATACAACACCCAAATATTTGGATGTTGAGATTTTACAAGTTTTTAGCTTTGACAACAGATAGAACCAAGAGATCTACCTGATCAATTGTTCGGACATCAGGAGAAAGACCACCATGGACACACAGCACCTGCACGATGAAACCCGGAGGCATACACATTTCACGATTAAGAGAACATCAACTACAGGAAAGTATCATAAGTCACATTTTATATCTAAGAAGAAAAGAGACAAGGGGATGAGTCTCACAGTGCCATCAATAATAGCTGAGAGTGTAAGATAATCAAAAACATCTGTACAATAGCGCCAGGCATTGGCATTCCCATACTTCCTCTGGCACTCATCGTAAAACCCATAAACCTAGAGGAAAAAAAAACAAAAGCAAAAACAAGAAAAAGAAAAAGAATTACAGATCAAAGATTCGCCAAAAAAGGGAAAGATAGATCTGGTAGTCGAACCCCAGAATAACAAATTTGAAGATTGAATCATTGTGGACTTTCCAGATTACGGGAAAGAATAAGCAGATTATTAATGCAGGCCACCCTGGAAGAGCAAAAGAAGTTGAAATGGAAAGGAGCCCCGTTGCAAGACTTGTTGGACAGCTCGAACTAGGCCTTATTTTCTATACATGTATCTGGTCTTGGCAAAGGTGGGTCGGGGTTTGTTTTAACAGTCACTAGCTACTACCGTATTTATCCCATAGACACTATCTGGTCTAGGCAAAGATAGATTAGAGATTCGGTGGGGACAATCTCTATATGCGGTGAGAAGGTAGGAAGTGCAATAACCTTAACTTTCCAAACCCATACTTAAAAGACCTACATAGCATGGACAGCAAACCAAAAGCAAATCAACAAAGAGAACAATGGTAATAGATAATGCTGTCTTTGTGCCTTTAATAAGACTTCTATTGATTCCTCCACATATTTGGTTGACGAGAGAACACTTCTGAGCACGGTTTCTATTCTAATTTATGCTCCCAAAATGTCTGTTGATGAACAAAAATAACTCAAAAGGAAGTGACAGATACGAATTCAAGACCATACCTGAGTTAGTTGTCTGCTCTCGTGATTTCCACGCAGAAGTGTAATATTAGCTGGGTACCTATACACAGAGGGAAGATTATTGAACTGATGAGTCATACCAGGTGCTCATATAAGATCACAAGCAACATTGATATAAAGAGGAGCAATGGTTGCACATTATGTTACTTCATGTCAAACTTCACACAGAGAGTTTGAGATAGAAGGTTGATAATCACTTGCAATAAACAAGAAAGGAAATAATAACTGAAGAGGACCAGCCATTAACAATCCTTGCATGTTAAGGAATAATGGTTTATATGTTATGTCCTTACATCCTCCTTCACTAGAAAGGGAGGACAGACCAATTCTTTGAGATTTTATTAGGAAAAAAGTATCCAAGGCATCTTTGTGACAAATCCATCTAAACTACAAAACCTGCATAACCATTTGGACCCTTTGAGATTTCAACTCACGAAACACCATCAATGAAGCAGTAAATGCACCATCTATAATTGATGAACTTGCTGTCTTCTAGAAATTACACCGAGATAAAACAAGGAGTGTTTAAACAGGATGGTCTTTCCAACCTACAACCAGCTCAATCTCAGATAACGAAGAGTCTACATTCCCATGGGCTTCTGTAACTTCTGGTCTTTTCCGTCTAAGAACATGAAGCATGAACAGTTTTTGCTTTACCAAGTCAGGAACATCTGGAAGGGACCCTAGCTACCAGATGGCTGTTTACACTTCTCGTTCTTTCCCCTCTTAAGAACAATGAACCAAAAACATGCCAGGGGAAAATAAAACAGGGACAAGAGAACTTCTGCCATAGAGCGATAAGAATAAGCATACCTTGCTTTAAGAAGCAAAAGAATGGTGAAAACTTCAAGACTATTATAACCTCGGTCCACAAAGTCTCCCTGCCAAAAGAATCAGCAGCGTTCAACTCCAAGAAGATGACACAATACAACTCGGAACTGACTTTTTGGGGTTGGTGGCGGGGGGGAGTAATAATGTAAAATTATTAAATTACCATAAATATATAATTTGTCTCTGGAACATGACCTCCAGTCTGGAAAAGTTTCATAAGATCATGAAACTGACCATGAATATCACCACAGACAGTCACAGGACTGTTGACGGGCTGGACATTGGATTCCTCAATCAGAATTTCTTTTACCTGGGTAGTTCGCAACCAAGTGAACAAATGTTTAATCAATCAACTTTAGCTTCACGATGGGGAAGAAAACTTCATATTGCAAAAGATGTACACATTAACAGGAACCAGTTCAAATCTGGGATAACAAGGAAATCCAGCTTGCCGAACCCCTGAAGTGTCTAAATAGTTAAGCTGAATAACATTGAGAATTAGGTTCAGGTGTCACAAATCCTTCGGATTCACTAGACAAATTCATTGGAAAGCAAGCAAAAGATAGGGAGGCAAAGGTCCAGGCTTGGTTAGACCGGTGAACTGGATACGACCAACAAGCAAGTTCGTAATAAAGATAAATCGAAATTCCTAAGTAAAACTGGAGCGAATCAAACCATTAGGAAGAACAAGGGAATAAAGAAGAGCATAATCCACAGTGTGGCGAAAAAAGAAATGAGTTTCAGTAATGGAAACACAGCGCGATGCAAGATTAGGCTTAGGGTTTCTTTTCCAAGGACCAATAGAGAGCGACGTAGACTGTGCGTTCTATAGCAGAGTCCTCCGAGCTGGGGAAGGGGAGCTGTGAGACAATGTGAATCGAAAGAAGAAAACACCAAAGAGGGGAAAAACCCTAGTTCTCATCCCGCCTGACAAATCATGGGTAAAGTTACTCTGCTAACAATTGAAGAAGATGCATAGCGAAATGATAGAAAGAAACACAAGAAAATGACGTAGGAAGAGAACAGCCATGGATTACATATTCGCAGAGAAGTTGGAGCTCGTCTTCCAGAAGATGCTGCCCTTCCTTCACCTTCGAAATCCACTGATCCAAATCCATCTTCTTGGCCGCTCGCTCGCTCACCCGTTTCCTCGCTAGCAATCAATACGCTGAATTGAGATTACTCTTTCCTGTCCGGCCTCCCTAGGCTTCCAACTTTCTAGGTTAAACCCAGCACCCAAACAAGAAGAACAACGACGCAGATTCTTCTTCAAATTTTGGCAAAGCAAACTCGTGGAGTTGACGAGGAGAAAGAAACCAATATTTGCTGTTTTTCGTACTTATATTTTCCGCTGGTCGAATATTATTGTTTTTAACCACATAAATTCTCACAAATAAAACAATAATTAGCTATATGATGGTGTGTCTATAAATAATCTTAGTTACTAAATTCAATTACCCCCTAAACACATATATACTTTTATGTGAATTTTATGGAACTCCAAAAGTGCTGATCAATTATCTACTGTCAAATAAAAAAAAAAACATAAATAACAATATGATAGATCGATTACAATAAATATTCACACGGAATCATCCAAATTATTTATTGAGAAAAAAGTTTATGATTTCATACGGAGTTAAGTTGCCCTTGAGATACATGGCAATTCAATTTGAGTATCAAGAGATTAGATGATGCTTCATTTAGGTGTACCATGTACATAAATGCTTGACCAATATCTAACACATTAGCAATTTAGGATATTTGCACGTGCAAGGTGTTGTGAACAGTGTGCCTAAGTTGAAAGATATACCGTATGGAGGGTCCTTGGTAATTACTCAGACATGTTTATATTTCTTTGGCTAAATAGCACGATTGGTTACTGGATTTATCATTTTATTTTGTGTGTCACTATAAAATTTTAACTGCATTAGTGGTCACTAACTTTAAACCCTCATTACATCATTGATCACTCACCGTGCATCTCAGTTAGCTTTACCATACATGACGGTCAACCTTCGTAGCTAACCGTTAAATGATAACATGACAAATATATATTACTTTAATTAATCATCAAACTCACTTATTCCTCTCTCATCACTTAGCACAAACTTAAAAAATTAACCAAAAAAAAAAGTGAAAAACCCAACCTCCTCCTCTCCCCGACATCGCCTCCCACAGTCCCATCCAGCGCACACAACCTCTCTTTCAAGATGTAAGGCGCTCGTCTCGTCTTTACCTCTTTCGTCGACTAGCATTGTTTTTTCGTTGATGGTGGAGGCATTGATTTCTTGTCAGTTCGTGGAGATGGCTGATAGGTAGTGTTTCATTAGAATGTATCTTAGCTAGCTCATAAGTCAATAACAAGGCAAGTATTATTCATCAAATAATAGTTGTTCCTCTCTATGATTGTATAGATTTTAAGGCGGCCCAGCAGGTCGCAAACTAGGTTGTTTATAGAGTGAAATGTAAAACTCTGTTATTGTCTTCCTTATGATTAGTTTTCTTTTATTTTGTATGATGACTTTAATAAAATGTGGCATTGTAAGGGTCCCTTGGTAGAGGTTTTATTTGGTTGAACTTGTTTCTAACTATATTGTCATTACTTGAAGAAGAAAAAACACTTGGTGGCTACATTTTCAACTCAAAGACAAATATATCATTGTTCTACAGTTGGTTACACATCTCGCACTCAGTATTTTAAAAATTAAACTTCTGTAGGATCCTCATCAATTAGCTTCTCTATTTCAAATTGACATAAAATGAAAATACTTAAGAGTCGTTCATTTCTTCTTTTTATCATCAACTTTAACAACCTGGACTGGAGCTGCCGGGATTCTAATCCACCATTCTCGTAACCTCCTCGCCCATCTATCACTACTTTCTTTCCTGTAAGGCATTTCCCTGGTAAAAGTCTCCAGGAACACAAGCAACATGAGATGCCTTATAGGTATAATCATCAACATGATAGCTACTAAAATCAGCATCATAGCAAGTTTCTCTGTCGCCTGTCATGCCATCAAAATAAGTAAAGCGTTAACCAAACATTGAAACTAATTGATGTGGATCACACAAGATTAGATTATGTAGGTAGAAGAAGTTATGCAATTACCTGTGGGAGAATAGAGAAGAGAAGAGCTCTTATCTTTAGAAGAATGACATTGCCATCTTGGACCAATGTTTCAACTTGTGCAATGGCCTCCTGTAATGTCAGCAATTGTTCCACGGCGTTTTTGTTGGCTGGAGCAGTAACCCTAAAGGGCTCTAAGGACTTCTTCTTATTGAAGTGTCTTCGCCAAAATATGGACAGTGCACCATAGATCAAGATGGAAGAAGCCAAATATCTTGTCCAACCTCTGTGATAACCATATTAACTTCATTTCACTTTTTGTTTGCAAAAGAACAGTATTGTTTGATTCAATTATAGTTAGTAAAAATATACGAAGTAAATACGATGTTTGTGTCACAACTCACATGCTACAAACAAGACATTTTTCGAATTTTATTATTTACCAAATTCTGTATGGATTGATCTTAAATGAAGATGGATATAGTAATGCCACATAAGTGAGTAACAAACTCGTATTGTCAGTTATAAAGAAACGTGTAGTGATCGAGGTTACCTTAAAATAGTAAAGCAACCCAGAACTAGAAACAGTATCGACTTAAAAGGATAACGCCATGAGGCCAAAACTTTCATACGATTTACTATCTTAGTAACTGGAAACAGCAGATCCTACAATGAATGAAACACCAAATGATTTAATATCAGTTTCATGACTTTTTTTTTCTTGACTCTATCAACATGAACTTTTATCAAAGATTGTTGGTATGACAAGAAAGTAAAATATCCTTTACTAACCTTCATCACAGCAATATTCGTGTCAATGCCCTCCACCTTGACCTTGTCTACAGTTGCTTGGGCAGCTTCAGCTTTTCCAATAGCCTGCATTGATTGTTTCACCACTACTTCTAAAGGGTTTATCTCCCCAACGATCAGGTCTCCTACAACTGCCTTTACTCCCTCAAGATATGATTCTCCCTTACTTAAGGTGAACCCAAGTCGACTAAGTGCTAACAATGCAGACGGTGATGAAGCAGATCTTTTGGTAGGTGACAACTTCGAACATTCATCAGAATTCAACGATGTGTTATGAAGTGTTAAACGACTCAATATAGTCTGCAAAATCTTATCTCCTTTGGGAAGACTTTCAGCTAGGCTGAACACCAAGAGGCTCTTGTACTGTGATGCGAAGAAGGAGAAAGCTTCACGTATTGCATGATATCTTAGGATGCCTAGAGAAGCCCTAGCAAGAATATCCAACTCTTGAACTTCTTTGAGGTTACTTCTTCTGATAAATCTGTGTGCATGTAAGATCTCCAGGCAGACATCTAGCCAGTAGTCTCGTCGGGAGTTCCCTTTGAATTCAGGGAATTCGAAATACACAGGATCTGAGCTGCATGCATTGAAAATGAGAGATATGTCATAAACCCGTTGGTTTCAATAACTCGAGTTGCTAAGACAATATTATTATGGATCATATACCACTCTTACACGCCCCCTCTCAAACGAAAGTAAACTCAATAAGTTGAAGGTTCCACAGACCCACCATACATTGTGTTTTAATCAAATGTTAATATTGGGCGAACATGACTCTTAAGGTCAGGTGACATTCATTATGAGTATGGACAAAAAGGAAATGACTTTGCATGTGCAAGCCGTGACATTCATCTTAATTTGGGTTTTTAATTTATTTTTTATTTGTGAACAATGGTGATTGGTTAGTCTCAACTCTAGCTATTGCAAGAAGTATCTATGTATATGTCCTTTTATTGTTAAGAAATTGTATCTTCTTCTCCAAAGTGAAAAAAACATTAATAAGAGAAAACGAAAGCTCCTTATGGAGCTTTTCATTAAGTAGTCTCGTCCTTACAACGGATAAACCATGTAATCACATGTGTCCTTTTTATTTTCTGCTTATATTCATTTTATCAAGGTAGAACTATTAGTTAAGGTGCATTGCAGAAATAAAGATAGAAAAGAGAGCTTTGTGCTATATCTGAGATAACATACTTGGCTATTGATTTGTACATGACGGCTTTATCGAAAACACGAGCACCAAGTGGACCAGTTAAATCAGGTTTTATGACCTGCTTCATGTCTGTGGCTAGATCATATCTCGTAGCCTTTTCATATAAAGCAACACCCAATGATTCGAAGTAGATAGCATAGTTAGTGAGTATCAATCGCCCTGTTGATGAAGACCAGAAGCAGAACACGAAAGTTATAACAAGTTAACAACTTATATAAGAAAAAGTAATTGGCTAATGGGGTCATAGAGATGAATGGTATCATCAAATACCTGGCCATGCTGAGATTCCAATGTGTTGCAGAACGGGTTGAGTTGGAATTGTACCATCAGCATCAAGGATAATCTCTCCATCGTCAAGCTCAACATTATTTGTTGAAGGCTTTGGTATGAGTTTTGTAGCTTTAATGGTCCTGTGGAAAAGAAGGGTTTTCTGTTACAACACAAGACCAGTAGCTAGCTTAGCTATGTCTCACTATGGAACGAACTTCACCATATAATTTCATATGAACAACTAAAGCTAGATAACTTAATCAATTTTGAGGTCATACTTGTCTAGGGTGTGAAGATATTTATCATATATGAGGAAGTGTAATTTTAGGCCCGAAGTAGAGCTCGTGAGAGCATCAAACAGATTGTGGACTGTTATTATATCGGCAATAGCAACACAAGCTGGAGCTATACGAGCAAAAGCTTCTCGACCAACTGTCTTGGCGTCATCAACCTGTCACACAAATCAATTAGAATGTTACTCGAGTGTTACATATTGTATGTAAATATTGCAAACGTCTGCTGCAACTTGGTACATAGGGGGTTTAGTAGAAGATATACTAAAAGCAAGAGGAAATTAAGATTGAAAATTACTTGAATGGCCATATTTGTAGAGCTTGAAGAAAACAGTGATGGGCTATCCTCATCTTCTTCTTGACTCCCAGCAGAAGGTGAAGTTTCATGCTATTATAGGGATTCAAGCAACATAAAAGGAGGAAAACAAACAGTATACACCATTCATTTAGATACTATTCGGTGTGATGGAAATGTAGCACAAATTTTCATAAGGTTTGTGGCATAATTACCTTTTCTTCTAGGTGGAACTCGATACAAGGAGTCTCCCAAGCAAGCATCATGTCGTATGTTAAGCGACGAAATTCCTTGTCAGTCAAGAAATCAGGTTGGGTAGTAAAGACATCAATTGTTTGGTAGGAGACAAATTCAACGAAGTTCCTAGCGTAGGTGAAAAGTTGCTTGACACTCTCAGGGAGTTCAATGTCAAAACGATGTTGCAACTCATGAGTTGAAATACCAAGAACCCTACAAACCATACATGCGTGGATCAATATAACAAACACGAAAACAATAAAAGGGTATTTCATGAATTAGATACCAATGTAACTAGTGAAATGTATGATATGGTAAAATTTAACATTTCAAATAAATACAGGTAGTTCACAACAACAAACAATAAAATCTAACTTTCCTTGAATGTGCATAGGATGTGCTTGGTCATGTATGCATATGTTTGCACACATGTGAACCAGATCCAAACAAATGCGTGCAACAATACATATAAAAAGGGATATATTCTTTTATTTTCTCCTTTTTGCACGATAAAAAGTGAAATATAATGAAGATTTTAGGTTTTCAAGTTTCGAATACTTTACTTGGAACAACGAGCAACGACTGAATTCGCGAAAGGAGAGAGTTGGGGAATGATTTTGGGGGATTCAGGTTTCGAATCCTCATCGACGGCAAGAGCGAAAGAGCCTGATTGCTTTCTTTGAAAAAGAGATTTGAAGGAATTTTGTTGCGATTTCACAAAATTTTCAAGTTTTTTTACATTCATTAATCCATCCATGTTTCTCGAATTTGTGTCTTCAATTGAATAGAGTTAGATGAAAACTCATTAAGAGAAGTGGAATTGTTTGAGTGGAGAGATTAATTTTTTTTTTTATAAAGAGTGGAGAGATTATTTTTATGAATAATTTCACGAAATCGACCACAAAAGTAATTAATTTATGATTTTATTGCTTTGTCTTAGTAGTCGAGTAATCTATGTAGTCCTCACAAATTATGACCCGAATTGTTGAATCAACGCTAACCCATCCGGAAAATTAAAATCGAGAGGAACTTTTTATAACCTAACACTGAACGACCCAAATCCAAGTAATCCACACTTTTTGGTTAGGTTTGGTGGGTAGCACTAGCACGCTGACCCGCTCCAGATCCTATACACATCCGAAATAATAAAATCATGCATAATATATTAATATGGTCTCATTCTTCCATTGATTAAAAAGTTCACAAGGATTTGAAAGAAAGTTGTTGACCCTAGGAATGGACAGCTATCATGTGCATGCTGCTTGTAGTATTATTAAGTTTATTAATTATTACTCTTTTTATGCAATTTGTATTTTCGTAAAAATGCAAGGATCTTAAAATGTGTCAATTGACATATGCTATTAAACTACTCTTATGAATATTTGAAAATTTGTATGATATTTCAAACGTGTTTGTTCTTATTTATGAGGACACTCCGTAACCATCAATGATCCGAAACTTTTGAATTGGATCAATATATGATCTAACACCAACCAACTCTACATGCCTCACTCTTGTGAACTTTTTGTGGTGATTGCCAAACCTTGGTGTGCCGCCTACGGGAGAAGGATGTATCGCGCATCAGGTGGTGTGGTTCTGGAGGGAATTCGATTGGCGGTGTCTACTTTTCACTTTTCTCGTGTATTTTTACCCTCGCAGATTCAATAGAACAACCCATTACTCCCTAACAATGCTCTTTCATCGACAATTCGACTATTTATCGACCGCCGCGTTTGGTTACTTGTAGTTCTCTGACTTTTATCTCTACTATTATCTAGGACAAAAAAATTAATAGGGATAATGGAGGTACTACCCTCTTTTGTTAAAAAAGGGCGATATAGTGAAATCACTCAAAATAGGGTAAAATAATTCGAATATCACTTAAGTTTTAGAATTGAGACAATCATACCATTTAATTTAGAATAGGATGTCGGGTACCACTAAATTCTCATAAAAAATGCATCATCCCATTTTCCCTCCAACCTTTTTTTTGTTGTAATTTGAATCAAATTTTGGTCCTCAACTTTGTAAAAGTAATTTTATTCAAAAATATTAATGGGAAACCAAAACAGTCTTACTAAAACTTGGCTTAATTTACCCACATTTTACGAAGCAGGTGAAATTCGTGTAAGATCTTGTGGTTAATATTTTTTAAGAGGGTTAAATTTTAAATGTCATGTGTTTGTGCCACGTACCCTCCACGCCTCAGACGGTTCCCCCACCTCTTTAGACCCCTCTGCGTCTTCCCTGCGCGTCCGTGACCTGCACACTACGGCGCCCGACGAACCCCTTGGCTGGGGTTCGTTAGCACTCCGACGCCCAAGTCAGAACGAACTTTCTAGTGAGAGAAGTGAGATGTAAGTTTAGAGAGAAGTTGGAACCTGAGTAAATGAGCTCTACCCACTTCACTATTTATACTCGGGGTAGGGCCGACCAGTGCCCCCCAAATCCGCCCCACGTCATCACCTCATTAAATGCACTGTACCATCCTTTCCTCAGGCGCCCTGCCATTCTGACACCCATCTTGGCCCCGAAGGCGCATGGCCCCACCTCCTGTCCCCTCCGTACGTCCCTGGCCGTTACTTCCCTTTTGTCGTCCAGCGCCCCGTTTCGGGCCCGGTTCCGCCACTTGGGCCATGGCCTTTAGCCCTTTTCTCGGCCCAGGCCCACACTCCGGGCCCAAGCCTGCTTCCTGGTTCCTTGCTTGGGCCGCTCACTATATGTCCCCCAACATCATGCACTAAATTCAATATTGTTCCAACCATCGCATCGAATGAACTCATTGCTTAGTGATTGATAGGCATGGAAGGTTTTAGCTTGTTGTTAGCTGGTGATTTAATTTGCGCATTAGATTGCCTCTTGATTATATTCTTGGCTTGGTGTATAGCATTATGCTATACACCAAGAAGCTACAACTGGCAATCCACACACAATCAATGTTCTCCACGGCCACGATCAACAAACTGTCCATCAAGTTATTTCCGAAACCATAGCACATGCCATAACTAGGGCTGTTAATCGGTCTCCGGTTTTTCGGTTACCACCGAAACAGAACCGAAACCGTCGGTTTACTGACCAACCGAAAACCGTCGGTTGCTTGCGGTTGTCGGTTGCGGTTGGCTAACATCAGCCGTTGGGCAATTCGAGCGGTTAGCGGTTAAAACTGAAACCGTGCAAAGTAACCGCAAAAAACCGACCACACTTACCTGTCCTCAATACAGCGTCGTTTGGCTTTGGCCTCTCCTCCTTGACCTAAATGGCGAAATCGGTGAAGGCCTCTCCTCCCTGACCTAAATTTCGTTCCCCAGTCTCCTCACCCGCCGCTCGTCCTCCCCATTTCGTTCCTCAGTAATCCCTAGTCCCTACCCTCGCCGCCGCCCGCCAGTCGCCTCGTCCGGTCGTCCCCGTCGAGCTCGTCGGCCGTCGCAGCGGCAGCGCCGTCCTCACTCCTCCCGCTCCCAACCTTCGCGTCGTCTGCCCTGTTCTCCCGCCGAACAGAAGTCGTCCAACAGAAGTCGTCGTCGCCGACGCTGCCGTCTTCTGCCCCGGAATCCCGCCGTCGTCTGCCCTGTTCTCCCGCCGTCTTCTGCCCTGTTCAATCACCGATTCACCATCACCAATGTAAGTCTCCAACAGCCCCAAGAACATTAGTAGGGATTTCGAAAAGGGCAGCAGCAGGTTTTTAGAAAAAATGCAGCAGGTGTGTGTGCTGTGTGCAGAAAAAATGCAACAGGTCTGCAGGTGTGTGTGCTATGTGCAGGGTTCTGGATCGGTTTTGTTGGTCGGTTTCTGACCGAAACCGAAAACCGGCCGACTCTGGCGGTTTCGACTAACCGCCCAATCAAACCGAGACCGACGGTTTCGGTTGCCGGTTAACCGAGGATGGCGTCGGTGTCGGCTTCGGTTGAGGAAAACGAGCGTGTTTCGGTTTCGGCTAACCGACGGTGCGGTTCGGTTAAACCGAAACCGCACCCACTAACAGCCCTAGCCATAACAAGCTAGTAATTTCACAAATAAGCTCACTGAACCTCACCACATACAACATTTCATTTTCTTTTCTTTATTTTTTGTTTCAATTTCTAGATTTTTCCTTATTAATATCTGCAGCCAAATATTATTATATAACTTTCACTTCATCATTATTTTCGTTCTTGGATTATTGCAAACTTAACTTACCAAAGGCCAGAAACTATCACATTTTGGGTTCACCAGGCGCCGGGATGATACTGCCTGCGGCGAGGAATTTCACGTCTACCTGACGAGGCCCAAATTGGAGACGCCCCAAGCGGTGTTGGGCCAGAACTTCTCTTTAGCCTTCATCAGCAGAATCCTGGCCCAAGCAACCCAACCTTCCCAAGACATCCGCTTATCCCACGCGCTCCCCCACTCCAAAATCAGCTTCAGCCCAATCGCCGCTTCCCTCTCCGCCTCCTCGAACCTTCCTCCACTCAGATAAACCTGCGCCAGCACCACGCGCGGCTCCCCTACCACACCATTTTTCTCCACGCTCCTCACCAGCAACTCCTCCGCCTCCTTCAACTCCGACCCCGATCCATTGCATTTGCCGGCGATCGCCTCCCAGTACAGCTCCCGCGCCTCCATCTGCTCCTTCGTCCCCACTACCTTCGTACATCTCTCCAGCACCGGCGGCACCACCAGCTCCACCTCCGCCGTCGCATCATCCGAAACCCTAATTCCCATCTCCTTCTCGACAATCTCCTCCTCCCTCACAATCAACGAGTAAACAGCGCCCATCCTCGAGACCGAGTTGATCCACAGCCCAGGCCTGCCGTCTCCAGGCCACAGAGCTAGGTAATTGTCCCCGGAGAACTCCAACCTCCCGTCGGAGTTTTCGAACATCGCATCCTGAAATCCGTACAATTGATCGCTGAAATCGGCCATCGTCATCAACAAAAACACCGCCAAAACTCTTCTCGACAACCAAATCCTCTCTCCGGTCTTGATGTGCTTTACCTTCACCCCTTCTCTGGGCAAAATTGAGTTCAATTTCACCCTCCACGCCTCCCCTGCATCGAATTCCCCCTTCTCCTTGGCCTTCCGCAGGGAAATCTCCGATTGGGAAAGATGTTCGCGGAGCTCGGTTTCGTCGCGGTACTTGAACAGGAGGTCGTCGTGGATCAGGGAGTGCCGGGGGACGACGCAGAACAGGTGAATCAGGCTCTCTGCGTCGTCGCCGACGTGCGCCCTGACGACGTCGCGGCCGGTGGAAGGGTCGAAGATGGCGAGGTTGACGTAGGCGTTGGAATAGGCGGAGTGGAAGAGGCCGCAGAGGCAGACGGCGTCTGGAGCCCCCCACAGCTTGAGGATGCGGTAGGTGTGGAGGAGGTGGTCGAGGAAGCTGCCGTGCTTGTGCCAGCACTCCCCTGCGCCGACGGAGCGCAGGACGGCGAGGAGCCGGGGCAGGTTCTCGTCCACCGATTCGAGCTCGCCGCGGAGGAATGGCCGAGCGGAGGCTAGAATCGACTGCAGGTGTTCATCGGCGCCGGGTGGAGGAGGGGCGGCGACGGTGGTGGTAATCGAATCATCATTTGTAGTGTTGTTTGGAGGCGGCGGCGGTGGCATCTTTTCACGACGGAGGAGCAGAGGGAGTTGACGATCAGAGTGGAGATCACGGTGGCGGTGGAAAAGAAAGGCGCAACAAGGAAAGAGTGTGTACCTGATCAAAAGATGAGACGGGAGAAACAAAAGCACGGCAGAAACAAAAGAGACTGAGCGGCGGGGGATTCCGTTCTCCATTTGAGTTCGGGACACCAGAAACAAAAGAGTACCGACCGAGTAAGTGATGACGAAAAGACGAGAGAAAAGAAAAGGCGGTTATTCTTTTGCTTCATTTTTTTTAGTATTCGTTTTGGAATTTAATTATTGTTTTCTCGAAATGAGCTTAATATTTTGTGTAGTAAAAGGGAGAGATCGAGGCCGACGCCCTAAGAGGAGGAGGATTGTGATTCTGGAGTTTTCATTGCTTATACATATACTCATTCTTAATTTAATGTCATGGGAAGATTGAAAATCAAATAGTTGTTTATTTTCTTTCTTTGTTGCATCTTTTGATGCCAAAAGCAAGAATATAGATGTGTGTTTCCACGTTCTTAGAGATTTGGCAAAATAAGATGTGATTGAACTTATTTGTGGAACATGAGAACAAGTGGCTGATGTGATGATCAAAGCTCTCAAGCTTGATACCTTTGAGCTAATGAGAACTAAGTTGGGAGTAGTTGAAGTCACGAAGGAAGATTCTGCATAGAAGTGACCGAAGGAGAGGTGAGTTGAAGCCCGATTACATGCTTTACTTAAGGGGAGGATTTGTCAGCATAAGTTCGAATCAAATATTGATCGTCGACAGTAATGGAGAAAAGACGTAGAACAATGTAAGTTTGAAATAAAGTGAAACTGTGTTGTGTCAGTATTTTTTCCAGTTTAGTCCTTTGATTCAGTTTTATGTTGATTGATTCATATGGAAGAGTTTGCAAGTTAGTTGGAAACTTGAGAGTCCAAGTAACACCTTGTTAGCTGGAATCAAGGGATAGAGAGTTGGTACGTTTGGAAGAAGTCAAATTTGATGAATAATGTTGTTGCACTTAATTTTCTTGTGATTTGCTCGATAAAACTTTCGCCATTGCCTCAATTAAACTCTCACATTTGTTACTGTTTTGTAGAAACGACCAAATCTGTCTTACCATTATTACTTTGAAAGCCCTTTTTGATAATTTCCTGGGCCGGATTACATTGAACTCGGATAAATTTTTGTTTGATGACTGCCCAAGCCCAAATAGGCAGATATCCAAACCAGAGCCCAAAATTGAAATTCAGAGGAAAATGGAAGGTTGGAAAACTAAACAAGCAAAATCAGATAGAAACCTCGGGAAAACCACGGGAGGACAGCCAGGAACAGGAAAGAAGGCCGAGAGCATCAGGAAGCTGGGAAACCCCGATTGGATCGCTGCATCAGCTGTCTTTCAAGTCCCAACTCGCAACCCACCCCGTTTGCTTCATCATCCACTTCCTTACTTCTGTATAGAGAGGAAGCCATCAACATAAAAAGATCTACTGATCGAGCTCTGCCTTCTCCGATTGACACCTCTGGTATCGTCTCCTTCTTTGATTTCCATGGATTAATATTGAAATCGGTAGTGGTTGATGGGTTTTCCCTGGTGAAAGAAGGAACGATTTGTCCGTCACCTACGCCTTCCTAAATCATACCTGCTCATCGTTTCTAACTGAAAAATTGAAGCTTTTTTTGTATATTATTCTTTTCTACCTGCTTCCTGCTTCTAGTCTTTAAATTCTTTCATAGTGTTGATTCCTCAGATGGGTGATTGCATTTACTTTTGCTTGACCTTCAAGTTTCTTCATTTCCTTCTGCTTACTGGGTATGTTCTCTTAGGCTGTGTTCCCGTGTCATTAGAACTTGGTTGACCTTATACCCGTTGGTGGGGCGATGCTTTCTAAATTATCTTTCTTTCAGTTATGGCTTGCAAACTATGCTTATCGAATCCCTTACTGATGGGAATTTTATCAGTTCATAGGAATCCATCCACATTGAGATCATGGATGATGCGGCCTAAATGGAAGCTGGTACCGAAGGTTTGCACATCTTATCTATCTTTGCTGGTGATTGAGAAACAAAGCACAAATGACAAGGCCTAAAATCTCCCACCGTCCAAGCATATGCTTCAGACCTATACTACCCTCTGATTTGACGATTTTAGAGCAACTGCACACTGAAGTATTTCCTATAAGGTGAGTAGCTTCACCCTTAAGTTCCACTCTTACCTTTTTACCTCTGTTCTTCAAACCGAACTTCGTGCTAATCAGAATGTTTTGTCTTTCTTTAGGTATGAGCCCGAGTTTTTCCAACATGTTGTCAGTGGAAATGATATTGTGTCATGGGCAGCCATTGACCGCGGGCGGCCCAATGGTAATGGTGATGAACTAATAGGATTTGTTACTGCAAGGATAGTGTTGGCCAAAGAAAGTGAGGTGGGTCTTCTACCTCCTTGAGGCTTTGAGGGTGTGTCTTTTGTGTCAGCGTAATTGATGGATGCACTGATTTATTACTGTTTTCTTTTCGCCATGTATTTGTTTATCATGCAATAGAAGAAAGGGCCGCTAGAGTCGAACAAGCTGTAAATGATAACTCAGTGTAACTGTACATGTCCTACTCTTACACTTACTTGGGGGATGAAAATTGTCTTGATAAGTAATTTGTTATTATTCTGGTGTTGGATATCAAAAGATGTTTTGGTTTCTTGGAATGCCTTTCACTTTTCTTACTTCAAAAGGTGTTATGACCTGGATTTTTCCATGGACCAAATCAGTTCACTTGAACTACAACCCTAATCTATATTTTTGTATACATAAATAAATAAATAAAACATTGTTAGGGATACAGAACTCCACCGAAGGTTTGTTTCCTTCATTTACTTGTTTCTCTTGAAGTGCGAAATTGTCTTTCATTGCTTAACTGTTTTGACTTTTTGAGCTTGGAATTCAGAAATTTCATGCACCTTGCAGATCGGAGATTTACTTAGATATGACCCCTCTAGACCTGATCAAACATTACTCTATATTTTGACGCTTGGAGTAGTGGATACCTACAGGAATCTTGGCGTAGGTAGGAACTATCTTTCTTTCTCTCTATATATGTACCGCATATGTCCTGAAATAAAGGCCAGGCAGCAGGATATGCGGTGTGGGGGTGTGCAGTGTATCTATCTGCTTTTCTTTTCTCTAAATATGAAATGTGCTGATGCATTCTGTCTTGCATATGATCCACTTCATTTTAATTATGTTGCAGCATCTTCTCTTATCCGTGAGGTCATTCGATATGCTTCAAGTGTTCGAACATGCCGTGCAGTTTACTTGCACGTTATTTCGTACAACATTGCTGCAATCCAGTTGTATAAAAAAATGTCATTCAGGTGTATACGAAGGTTGCAAGGCTTTTATTTCATCAACGGCCAACACTATGATTCTTACTTGTTCGTTTACTACGTGAACGGTGGTCGTTCTCCATGCTCACCATTGTAAGTAGAAAGAATATTTCTTTTTCGTCCCTTAGATATGTGGTTGTACGTTGTGGGCTAACAAAAGTTAAATTTTTGTTATGCACATTCCTACTTGATCCCCTCTTTGCTGCTGAATGACTGCTTCTTTTCTCAATCTGGGTCTTTTCATGTTAGAAAGAGTGAAGGATAAGAAAGGGACAAGATTTCCTCTTAAGTACGTTTGGTGGCTGTCCAGAACAAATGTGATCACTGCAATTTTGCTTCCCCGTTCATTGTGTTAACTGGTTATGCTTGTGAAACCTAGTATCTTTACCAAGTAATGTAAGATACTCCTTCTCATAGATATTATTGATTATGATTGTTGTCGTGTCGGCTAGGTAATGATGGTGGGCAGTTGTGAAAATGATGCTCTCGCCGAGGGTACTTATGGAACGCAATACGCAAACTCTCTGCTAAATAGTTATTATAGACAGTGGTCCTCTCTATAACTCCTTGTACTGGAAGTTAAACTAAACACAGGCGATCTGTTGTTTGTTTGAGCTGTGGTGGGTCTAAGCTTCTCCTTTTACAAGTGTGTGATCCTATGTCAGATGGCTGGGCTACTATTGTCTTGTTTGATTTAGCCTGTAATGTTTGCATGGTAGGTGAAACTGTTGTTGTCGATACCATAAACGCATATTTGATGTTGCTGTGGTTTAACTGGTCACCTAGATGATCTTTCTGTTGCCAACCTCTATTGTATACGTTAGGCCTTAGATAACATTTTCTTTTCCACCGTCTTTTCTCCAAGTGTAACCATTAGAGGCAGGGGGGCTGATTTGAACATTTCCTGCTGCAGAGAGCTTGCTGCGGCCGTATTGGCGTACATGAGGAGTGGTCTGAAGTCCATGGCATCCCGGCTAAGGAAGAAAGACGACGACTTGGTGAAATGGCCCAAATGCAAGGAAGCACATTCACTTGTATCAACGCAAAGTAAGAAAAATCTGACTGCAGAATGTGGCGGATATGAATGTGTATAATAAGCTATTGCTTTGAGCTTTTGCTTTGTAGTATTGTGATATGTATACAGAACCGGGGGCTGAACATAAATTGCTTGCATGAGCGCAAGCTATATATGCATTATCGTAGAAAGGTTAGGGTTTTTACTAATTTAATCAGACCTGTGAGAGACTAAGGGGTCGTTTGCTTCAAGGATTTGGTACATGGATTTGGTACCAAAAAACCAACTATTAAGGATTTAGGTACAATCCGTTGTTTGCTTGCACCTTTTTTGGAGACCAAATCCGTGGGGCCCACAGATTTTAAGGGTCCAAATCCGTGGACCCCACGGACTTATAAATCCCACATGTTGATGTGGGATTTGGAATATGGCATAAATCCTTGATGACATTTTACCCATATACCCTCATGCAATTTTAATATTCCAAGGTTGCCCTCAAATTTAACTATTATACATTATAATTAACAATAAATGAATAATATAAACGTTCAATTTATGTGCAAACATGAGTTAGATTTTTTATATCATTTCTTGTTTTCTAGTTTTCTTTGACCTTTTCATGGAACGTGTAATTCTTTGTTCTCCCGATTCTAATATATGTTGTTATATGTTACTTTTGAAAAGGAGGACAAAGAATTGGTAATTGATTATGTTACGTTAAAAGTTAAAACGGAATTTTCTCGTTTATTATTATTGTCCATGTGGCAACATTATGCTTATTAATATGTATTGTCCTTGTTTTGTCTACATATCATAAACATGTCAAACATATAGAAAATGATAGTAAGGTAATTATGAAGTTTTGTCCTTGTTTTGTGTACATATCATAAACATGTCAAACATATAAAAAAGGGGCAGTAATGTAATTTTTGACTTCAAATAGTAAATCCCACACCTTTAAATCCATGATAAAAACATCCCAACAAATAAAGGATTGTTACAAATCCATGATGTCTCAAATCCTTGATAAATCCTTGGGTTTTTAAATTACAAAACCCTTGTTTATAAATCCATGAAGCAAACGACCCCTAAATACTAATTACGTTTCTTCAAATAAATTTTCTGCTTTGTGACATGGCTCCATTCCACTTTCACCCGCTTGGCCGTCGACTAGGCATTGTGCAGGGGTGGGCATACGGTTAAAACTGAACTGACCGAATATAAACCGGATCGAAACCGAATTAATGTTATTCAGTTCGAAATTGGTAAGGGAAAATGACATATTTCGAAAACTAGGGTCCTTTCAACCAAATCGAATTTCCGAATTTCGAACCGAATAATCGAATTATTATAATTGCAAGCTCCAAATGGTGGATTTTTATGTTTTTACTTATTATGAGACTTAATTATTCAAATCATGTTAGTGTTTTATGACTTATATGTTGAAATATTTGATTTTATCATTGATGATGCATATAATTGCATATTTATTGTTTACATTAAGGGTGAAAAATAATTTAAAAGAGAAAAGATACAAGCTAACCTCACAAGTTCGGTTTTGTAAAAAAAATCGAACGAAACTGAATTATACTTCGATTTCAACCGACTGAACCAAATTATAATTCGGTTCGAATTCGGTTTGAGGTTTGATGAAATTCAGGAACACGGTATGCATTATTTCGATTTGGTTTGAACCAAACTGACCGAATGCCAACCCCTACCGTCGACGCTCTCTTGCAAACCTATCTTCGGTTGGTGAGGTGCACGTCGGCACTGGAACTGGATGTCATGAAAAGAAGCATTTTCCCCCACTATTATAAGAACAACCGGATCGCAGTCGAACCAGTAGAATTACCAAACCAGTTATAATAACAGTTTGATTCATTTGATTTGACAATTCGTGTTCGGGATCATAATCCGAGTCATATCCTCAATTTGGCGTCAGTTAACCCTCAATCCCTTCTTAGGTTGCATGTGTCCATATAACATGGTGAGATCCTCTGTCTATATAACATTGCGGCCTTGTCATTTCGACCACTCGATAATTGAGGATAAACGGATAAAGAACCATATAAACAAGAAAAACACAAAACAAATACCACATAAATATATTTGGGGAAGAAAGGAATGAACATCAACGAAGCTCAAGAGACAAGAGACAACCTCATTGTCCTCGATCCTGAGATCAGCTAGTTGTCCTTCTCAGCCTAGGGGATCCCGTCGAACCCCCTCACCACCGCCTGGCCCTATTGAACGAATTGTGCACTATGACGGATCCTTGGTTTCTGAGTCTCAGTTGGCGGCTTGTGGGATTACCATTGCTGATGCCCACGGTCAGGTGATTGACGGCAAGGCTGAGAGATTCTATTTTTCCTACCCGATTCAGGCAGAAGCATTTGCTATTATGGGTGTTGTGGTGTTGGCGGCCCAAGAGGCCTGTCCGACGTGTATCAAAAGCGACTGCCAACGTTTGATTGTGGCTCTTAATCAGGACCCCTGTGATTGGCCTTGGCAATGTCGTGTGACCCTGGCCCGGATTGTGTCTCTTCTTTAGGGGGCTCCTTGGATCAAGTTGTCCTTCGTTCCTCGGCAATTTAATTCTCTTGCGGATTGCGTCGCTAGGAATGCTCGACTTGATCTCTTACCACAGGATTGGATTGTCATCGCAAATTTGATTTCGCCCCTATTGTAAACGTTTGTTTCTGCTGGTCTGGTTAGGTATAATAGAAGATGTTTCATTGTAAAAAAAAAAAAAAAAAAAACAGAAGCGCACAGATACCCGAGTAAGCGCCAATTATGTGGGCCGCTTATTGGTCCAAGCAAGGTCAATAATGAGGCATGCTGGCCCAGCGCCAGGTCCAATGTTACCTGTTATTAAACTATTAATCATGGACGGAAAAGCAGGTAACTTGATCACTTTGTTAGGTTAACAAAGCAAGACTAATTAATAACGGATCGCTTTGGGAAATAGCAATAAACAATAATTAACACGGAATTTGCAGTTAGGGTTAAAAAGGATGGGACACTTTAAAAAAGAAGGGCAAAAGAAGAAACGTACATAGATGGACATATATTCTATAGTACCTCTGCTCTGTACTTCCCTCAGCTGTGGTGATAACGGCATCTCTCTCAAATCAAATCACACGGAATCAGGAAAGGACTCTTCCCCTACTTTCAGTTCAGTCCCTTAAATATCCTAAAATCTAAAAACAAAATACAAAAAAGGAAAACAGAAAAATAGACATCCGATCCTCATTCATTTCCCGCCGGCCACCGCATCCATTCATTCCTTCCAGATTTCGGCCTCCAAAGTCGAAATAAATGAACTGCCTGAGCTCCGATCTTAAAAGCCAAGCACCAGGGAAGGATCGCGGCCGCCGTGGATTGCTGGCTACTGCCTCACTAGCTCGTCGAAGGGTATGGAACAGCGGCTTCATTTGTAAGCTCTCTCGTGCCTCTTTCAGAATTCAGGCGTGCGGAACTGGGAAGTGTTTGCTTTTGTGCTGTTGAACTTCAATAGTTTACAATGCTTCAAATAAATAGTTGGATGACCAAGTAGACAGACAGCTAATAAAGGATTACAATGTTAGGTTTCCTTGCAGAATGAAACAGTTTGGATAAGCAGCTGCGCTCACTTGCTGCCCCGTGACTGTTTTGATCTACTGCTGTCGAGCAAAGCTAATCTCCGTCGAAAGGAATCTAGCTATATCCTCCCGCTTTCTTCAACCAGCTGGATATTGAATTCAACCTGCAGACTCTGTTAGTTACCTAGTGTATTTACATACTGGCAAACCGCCCGCCAGTTATCTCTGTAACTAGAGTAGCATCGTTCGTACGTGCAGCCTCAGTTTCGTCATCAACAACAAACAAACGCAATCACCCAACTAGCCAATCTTCATCTGTTTAGGTCAAATCAGGGAACCAACATCCACAACCACAAGACTTTGGTGTCACAAAGTCACAAATCAGTGGGCTGTAAATAGGGTGATTCTGATGGCGGCTTATCGTCTTAGAATTAGGCTCTTCCAATCAGGCTATCAACTGTGGATGATTCTTCTTGACGGCTGTCACTCTACCTTAATCCCAAAGCCCTTCGCTAGCTGTAAGTTTCATCCCATTTAAAACAAGGAGTTATCAGGCCCACGAAATCACAATTTGCTTCCATCATATTCAGCCATAGATCTTGTAAAAAAATATATATATATATTCTACCATAGATGAATGTGAAACCTATCATCAATAGGAAGCATTTTGTTTACCTCTCCTACGAAAACCCGATCGGATTCCCCACCATTGAAAATCAAGTACGGCTCCCGTTTCTAGCTCATCTCAGAGAATCAACTGCACAATAAAGAGATCTGCAACTCTATTACATGATGTCCGGTTCTTAACCTTGGGGTAAGATTACACAAAGCAACAATATAAACAGGAAACAAGTTTAAGAAAAGGTGAAACTTGACAAAGGAAAATCGGTAGCAACTAGCTTGAACGTAGAGGTCGTCATATTCTTTCACTTAGTTTGATCAACTTGTTTGATAAAGCCCTGTGTAAAAACTAAAAAGCATCAACAAGAGATGTAGTAGGTAGTAGGAGAAGTCTATACATAGTTTACGAATCAATTGCTACGCTGGGTCTCAGAACTGTAGAACAGAATGTCCCAGATCCACAAGCATCAGAAATTAACCTTTCTTGCCTAAAGGCTATGGACTCATTGATTCATATAAAGAATCCAAGCTATATTTGATAAACCAAGGACCACACTAATCCCACTCCAGATTTCATCCTCGGATATACCAGTACCTCTGCTGCTTTAGCCTAGCTTCAACCCCCTATATATTAAGAATACAGACGTCACCGGAGAACCAAGAGAAGTCTACTTTCGATCATCCAATTACTATGTATATCATCTACTTGGTATCGCTACTGGCCCTCCAAATGGTACAGCAGATGTAAGACCTCGTACTTACTTGTTCGTGGACCAGTACCCTTGCCTCTTGGTAAACAAATTCAGCAACACATGAACCCGTAATAGGGTTACCTAGCTAGAGAGAGGATAGAAAATACTTGTGCATAAAAAGCATTGTAAGGTACAAATGTACAGCGATCCCTAGTAGGGGTGTATGGCAATTATGTAAACTGGACCATATGTTGCTTTTTTTAATTATCAAAATAATTTGTCCTTTTATCCTGTTTGTATTTTCTCATGCACTAGTACTGTGTGGCTTGGTTCAGTAAAAACAATTAATGTAGATGCTGACTAATTTGTATGCCTTATCGATGCTGATCTAGTTTTCTCTCCAAACAACCTAAAACTAGTGAATCAATGGAGGTGAAATTGGGAATTTATTCAACCAACAACCAACCAATCACAAAACTATAATTAACATGCCTAAGAGTTGTCATTTGAACTAAATTTCGAAGACGAAACATACACAGGGAACTTACTAAGGAAATATAGACCTGCTAGCACTTCCATTTGGTGCTACTAATTAGCCAGCTAGCTAAGACCACCGGTCAAGTAATGGATACACAATCTGATCTGTGCTCATCACCAATTTGGCCTGCACTAACCAGAAGAGCTTTGATCAGTCTGATATGTCTCGGATCAGGCATTTACCGATTCGCTTAGATTCACTTCAAACATTTTAACAAGTGAGTTTTAGTAAAATTGATCAGTTACTAATAAGCGAAGAGACATTCAGTAACCAATTAACTTTGTAATTAATACATCATCTCATCAACAATATAATTGGTCCAACTGCAACACTGGTGTAAAAAAGGTTAGACGACCTTACTCGATAATCTCCGTGCCAACCCCTATAGGCCCTAGGCTTCTGTTTAATGCCCTAGTACTATATGCTGAAAGCAAATCTTCAGCTCAATGCTAACTATATATCAAAATAGCAACAGGCAAAGTAATTTTTCCAAATCTTTCGAATCCTATCATCCCTCAACGGCTTTTCTAATACATTGTTATCGATTTTAGGAAGCATCTAGTACAAAGAACACATTTATTTATATATAATAAAGACATATCCAAATCTGGAAATTATCAATTACCAATCCTAGGAACTAGGATCTAGCTGGCGATGGAATTGATTTAAGAAACTTTTGTGTTTGCAGAAAGCATAAATATGTGCATGGAAGTCAAAAACAAGCAAATGATGAATCCATTGTCAGAAGAAAAACGACATACCCCTCCAAGTGGAGCCAGGCTCATTACTGCCATGTCCCGAGGACCTGCAGGAAGATGAAGCTCATACTATAGAAAAGCTTGTAAGGTAATGAAAGAGTGCACACGAAAACTTCCTAAACAGTCTGAGAAAAAAAAATGTAAATAATTAACTCCATAAAATAATGGGAAGAAGATTTGCAAACCTGAACAAGATTAAGGGATTCTTTCTTTCTTTCATTCTTCTCAAAAGCACGACATATATGAACTTGGACCAGATCCGAGCCATAGATAACAGTATTAGCTAGATCGACAATAAGAAAAACAATGGAAAAAAAAGTTAAAAGGATAAGCAACTGTTAGCACGAAAGGAGAGATTTAAACTGAGTTTTTATGTGTAATAGTAAAACCACCCACTAGATGGTCTAGATATAGGTGGTGGCATTAACCGAGCAGTATAGTCGCATGCGCATGAACACAAATTCAAAGACGACTTGACTGACTGATCACTGCCCCAAAATGCAAAAGCTTTAACGGGGTGAAAACACACACAGAACTGGGAAGGAAGGAAGGACCATACTAGTTTAGCTAGAGAAAGAAAACCAATCCATCACAACCATTAATAAGAAAGCTAGGTTTACGTGAATGGTCCCATGTTGGTTGGGTACAGTGAATTTGCTCCCCTCCGCCCGCTAATCTGCACAGTAATAATAATCTAGCCCTTGTTCCCTACAAATAAACACCATCAAAAGCATCGCCGGGCACAGTAAAAACCCATAGATTTATATTTATTAGTTAATACTTAGTTTTATAATAACCCACAACCAACCAGGTGTAAGCAAGCAAGCACCAAAAACGCGACAATTAGAGCTGAAAGTACAAGAGATTCAGAGAGAGAGAGAGAGAGAGTGGGATCTGCAGAAGGAGGAAAAGAGGGGAGGGGAGGACGGAAATGGAATGTGACAGATAGAGCAGTGAGCACGCAAAAGCAATGGTACAGACTCTTGGTAACAAAATCCCTCTGTGTGCTCACTCTCTTCTGTCAAATTTTCTCTTTCTCCACCCTCCGCCCAGAAACCTAATTAAACGCCCACCTGCAGGAAGAACAAATCCATCCATGGCAGTGAATGATTTGAAGGAACGAACCCTTTTCTTCTCACTTACAGTACTCTCCAGGCGGGATGGGATGAGCAGCAGTCGAAGGAAAGGGATCCAGATCTGGGAGCTAGGGTTTTCGAGGAAGAAAGCTCACAATATATGCAAGTAGGAAAACTCCAAAAGAGAATTCGGCCGAAAGTAGATAAAGGGGGGAAAAAAAGGAAGGAGAGCAAGAAGATGAGAGGATAGCGAATGGGATGGGAAGGGAGAACCCAGCCGAGCCCAGCCTTTATTCTTTCTTCGTAGCGTAATAAAAGTCTCTCTCTTTCTATGGTGCTGCTGGCTGCACACTCATTTAAGTGAAGCAATTATTTCTGCTTTCCGTTACGCCAATTTTTTTTTAATTATTATTGTTTTACGTTGTGGGATAGGGAGGAATTGGGATTTTTCTCTCTCTCTCTCTGGCATGCAAAGGGTACAGGTGTCAGTCACGTGTCCCAAGTGTCCTCTCTTCTCTTTTCTGATTGGACCAATCTCAAATTCACTACTCGAATAGGTAAAAACAAGAAAAGAATTGTTTCAGTTCCAAAAAATCCCATTATGCCAAATTGTTCTTTTTCCCATTTTTGGGTTCATCCAGATCACACCCAACCCAACAGGATAAATTTGGCCAAATTTATTTGGCTACTTGTAATTGTACCATACAAAGATCGACCCCAGAGTGCCTATATCATATAGGAACGTAACGTTGGTGGAATATGATATCATTAGGGTCACACACCTCGAAAGAATACGAATCAAAAGACGAACATTGAGCTCCTCTAATTTACACATCCGCGTCCATAATCATGAGAAATTTTACAATGCTATATAGTATATGTGTTATAGGTTTTTGCCTTGATGGTACAACTTAAAATTGTACATTTATGTTATGGTACAACTTTAGATTGTACCTATACTTTTTGTACAAATTCTTTTATGGTACAACTTGAACTTGTACATTTATGTGATGGTACAACTTCAAGTTGTAAAGTTGTACCATAACATAATGGTACAAATTGCTTTATGGTACAACCTAAACTTATACATTTAATTTTATGGTACAAACTTTGAGTTGTACATTAAAGCACCAATACTATATAGCATAGTAGAAGGGCTCCATAATCATATGTCACAAGGCTTTTACCAGTTTACATGATGAGACATGCACTTGTTATTGTGTTGTGTACCTTTGCGACAATGTACGCTCAATTTTCATGAATTTTATGCCAATTTGAAAAACATTAAAAAAATCGCAAAATCATGTGAAGTTCAGATTATAAGTTTAATAGCTCAGTGAAGCTCGTCATATATAGGCTAATAGTAAACCGTTTATGTCATTGTTGTGTTACCAAAGGGACTGGTCCGTTGAAGAAAAAAAGGTAAATTATTCTATTTAGTGCTATGATAATACTCGTTAAGGTGCTGATTACAAATTTCACTAGTTGCGACCTGACCAATGAAATGGTAATTTCTTCGTATTCTTGATGTTACAATCATAGCTATGGACAAAAGATTAGAGTCTAAGAAATTTATATGTTCAAAATTTAAAAAATCAATCATTATAACCAATACTGTTTGTGCCACGTAACCCGAAGCCCCCCAATGACCGATGTGTCTTCCTTCTTAGAACACGCTCCGACCTCGCGCCTCGTTCCTGCACACGAAGGCGCCCACCGAACCCCTTGCTTAGGGCTTGTTAGCACTCAGACGGTCAAGTTAGAACAGTCTTTCTAGAGAGAGAAGTGAAGTGTAGTTTTTAGAGAGAAGTTCCAACCTGAGTAAATGAGCTCCACAAACTTCACTATTCATACCCAGGGTAGGGTCGACCACTCCCCCCCCCCCCCCCCCCCCCCCCCCGAATCCGGCCTACATCATCACCACATTAAATGCATTGTACCTTACCGCTGCCATGCGCCCCGACATTCTGACACCGGTTCTCGACACCGAGGCGCATGGCCCCACGTCCTGATCCCTCAGTACGTTCCCGGCCGTTGCCACTTTTGTCGTTATGCGCCTTACGTCACTCTCGGTCCCACCACATAGGTTACAATCCCAGGCCCCTTTTGGGTCGGGCCTTCCCCTTGTCATTCTCGCACTTCTGGCCCACTTCAACCCTCTGGGCTCCTACCTTGGGCTTCCTGTATGCCCCCAACAAATACGCTTTTCGTAACAAATCATGTTTTGTTAGCATATCTCGAGGGTTCATTATTTGTTAACATCTGTCTATATCGTTGGCTAATCTACCCAATAAATAAAAGCCAAAAGAGAAAACTTGAAGCCCCATTTCAAATTTCTTGCATCCAGAGTGAAAGTAGTAAGGACATTTTGGTCTTCACAATTACTTTTTTTTATTCATTAAAAAGACACTTACTAGGATTCGAACCATGACCACTTTAAAGAAAAGTAAAGATCATAACCAATCACACTAAGTACATTTGTTGTATCTTTTTAAATTAAAAACATATAATCGCAGAGAGGAAAAAACCATCCCCCATTTCAAATTCCCTGCTCCATGAGCGTTTGTAAGAAGGGTAGAATAGGGAGTGCCAATTTTTTTCTTTTTCCACTGTGGAACGGGTCAACTTACCGTACATATGCGGATTTAAACGAGTCCAGGAGTGTCAATTTTTTTCTTTAAGTCCTTTTATTTCTTCGTGGTGGTAAAATATATATGAAAAGGCAAAAACAATAGTCATTTTTATTGCTAAAAAGAAAAAAAATAACAATAAACTAATGCATGGATTCTAATGGGCTAACCGCTAATCATAACATAAAAGAGTTGAGTGGTCCTGACCTACACGGGATTTGCCCATCAAGTAAAACAAATGAACATCATGGGTTTGTCATTCTAAAACAAACTATTTTCTCTAACATAATATATATTATGCTATTATTTTATATCTTAGTGGCTAAAATATAATGTATTTTAAAATTATTCAATGGTTCAACCTCGACCAACCCAATAAGTCCAATTTTATCATTTCAAATATATATATTATGTAATTATTTGATATCATAATGATTAAATTATAGTGTATATTTTAGGGAATCGTTTGGTATTTGTTAGTAAAAAACTAAACAGAAAGATCTATTTGGTTATTTTTAACATTAAAACGATCCTAAATATTTTCAGTTTCTTTTCAAAATTCTATAGTTTTATTCCCGAATCAGTGATGTGCAAATGGCGAATTGCAGTCATCTCTTTTCTTTCATTATTTTTTATTTTCAAATAGAAAGTTTAAAAGTAAAGAATAATTAGAGTTTGGCATGGGTCGGTCAAACAGGCTTAATTTCAAGTTTTGGCCCGTTTTGATCAAGTCTAATTTATGATCACATGGTTCCCTGATACCCGATAAAAATCTCAATCCAAACCAGTTTGGCAGGTGAGTCCGTGTTTACCACCATTTTCTAGGGATACAGGAACGATGATTCCTATCCCAAATCGTGTTGTTCATTCTTGATTTCTTTAGATTTTATCATGGCTTGGCAAAAAACCGGAAAGCACAATGATGACAAGATGAAAGTTTTATAAAGCAAATTAATCGGCCAATGGGCCGAGTAAAAGGTAGGAACGATTGTGAGATGCCAATTTCCCGAAAACCGGCGGGATAGGCGATTTTTTATTCGATTTTCTGGAATTCGGTTTCTATAAAACTTATCTACCTCATCATATTACCAGAAACAATATTGTTTCACAAGATAACGAATACTTGATTTTGGTTCATAAGGCTGATTTTTAATTCGTTCCAAAAAAAATTATACAATAATATACACCCTATTACATTATCAAATTTCATACCTCAGCTTTTTTCTACAAAATGATCGGGTCCCAGTATCTTATTAATAATAATAATGAAATTACTCATGCAAATGCTACAAGGGGAAGCGCGAGGAACAAGTGTTTGGTGTCTTATCCATCCTTGAGGCGTGGACTGTCGTGTTGGAAATTGGATTTCTGATGATGCAGTTCTGGTTTTGCTTAATTTAAAAAAGGGATACACAGCGCATCACGTTCCTGACTTTTTCCTCGCAAAGATAATGTAAAGTAATAAAGAAAACTTTTATAAAACAAAAAAGTAATAAAGAAAAAATATATAAACATTACACGTTACTATTGGATTTGGCATTTCATCTGGAATGGGCCAAGGCTTTTTCCAAGTGGGCCAGAACTGTACCAGCAGGCTGAGTTAACCTTCTACTCACTGGTTCTCTGCAACTCATCGCCTTAAGCCCAACAGAAAGATGAAAACAGAGCTCAAGTTTTTGAAATTGAATGCATGGAAACCAACTTGTTATCTGAATCTAGAATGATCTATTAATTTACTAGCGTGGGCTCCGGCCGGAATAACGTGAGGTATGAAATTTGATAATATAATGAGGTGTATAGCTTATTATTGTATAGTTTTTTTGGTAAACACGTGATAAAAATAGTGAATTTTAGTAGGAAAAAGACATGAATGATGCAACGAATCAAAAATCAGCCTTATGAACCAAAATCAAGTACCTGTTACCTAGTGAAACTATATTGTTTCTGGTAATACGATGAGTTGGAGTAAGTTTTATATAAACCGAATTCCAGAAAATCAATTAAAAAATCGCCTATCCTGCCGGTTTTCGAGAAATGAGCATCTCACAATCGTTGCTAGTTTTTACTCGGCCCGTTGGCCGATTAATTTACTTTATAAAACTTTCATCTTGTCATCATTGTGCTTTCTGGTTTTCTGCCAAGCCATGATAAAAACATATTTAGGTACAATTGTTGTGAGATGATTCCATAACTTGCCTTCTTAAACCAACTTAATCCAAAATATCCAGATACTTAAAATGGTCACATAATACCGCATTCACATTAAGTAACCACCAGAAACATGATAATAACATCCAAATCACTCATACACAAACAAATCACCCTCCGCATCCTACAATATCATGCGGAGTATATTCCAAACTCCTCACATCCATGCTTATTAATGCTCCCAACGCCCTCGTGCATCTACATAGTAATTTACTTTAATCAATTCAAAGTTCCAAATAGAAACAATGCGCCCCAAAAGATGGTTCCAGGAGCTGCACATTTCTGCAATATTTGAGAGCACATGAAATAAGAATAGAATTACAGAGAAGGAAATTGGGTTTTGGATGCGAGAGGCGGAGCTGAAGAAGCCGAACCATGGCGGTGAACAAGAATTGAGGCCGAGAAGGATGCTGATGAGGAGCCAGAGAAGGGTTGATAGGAGAAGCAGATCAGCAGCAGAGCAGGGGATTGAGAAAGAGAAGGACGGGGTTGGTGACTGTTCTTGGTGGAGGGATAGTAGTAGATAAAATTAGGGGGGGGGGGGGGGGGGGGGGGGGAGGCATCTGTTGCTCCCCTGCAACAACAAATTAGAGCGATCTATGGTTCTAAACAGCATAAAGTTACCACACCAATCCATACAAGTTTTTGACAAAAGGAGGCAATGTCATTTGCGGCGAAATGATTCTGTGAGAAACAAGGTTTCTCACGAGATCAGGGATTGGAAAATTAGCTAGATCAATTAGGGATTGATTGGAGGCATCTGTTGCTCCCCTGCAACAACAAATTAGAGCGATCTATGGTTCTAAAGAGCATAAAGTTACCACACCAATCCATACAAGTTTTTGACAAAAGGAGGCAATGTCATTTGCGGTGAAATGATTCTGTGAGAAACAAGGTTTCTCACGAGACTAGGGATTGGAAAATTAGCTAGATCAATTAGGGATTGATTGGAGGCATCTGTTGCTCCCCTGCAACAACAAATTAGAGCGATCTATGGTTCTAAACAGCATAAAGTTACCACACCAATCCATACAAGTTTTTGACAAAAGGAGGCAATGTCATTTGCGGTGAAATGATTCTGTGAGAAACAAGGTTTCTCACGAGACTAGGGATTGGAAAATTAGCTAGATCAATTAGGGATTGATTGGAGGCATCTGTTGCTCCCCTGCAACAACAAATTAGAGCGATCTATGGTTCTAAACAGCATAAAGTTACCACACCAATCCATACAAGTTTTTGACAAAAGGAGGCAATGTCATTTGCGGTGAAATGATTCTGTGAGAAACAAGGTTTCTCACTAGACTAGGGATTGGAAAATTAGCTAGATCAATTAGGGATTGATCTAACTAGGGATTAGAATTGATGATTTTAGAACAAGAAGAGAGGGAAAAGGAGGTGCTGCTGCCGCAGCTTTAGAGAAGAAGAGAGAGGAAGGGGTCGGCGCTAGAGAGAGGGAAAAGAGTGGGATTAGGATTTAGGTTTTAAGTTCTGTGATTGCTTAATGAAAAATAAGACCACTACTACAGATTATATAGCATGTCTAATTCCTATCTGCTACCCAAATAATAAAACGTAACAATAGGCTCCCTGTTTATTCCCCAATTACCCAAATAATCCCCCAATCATTCAAACCGACACTAATACGAAATACCCAAAAACTGCAAATAATCATGTTTCCCACATCCCCGCTTCCTTCGAAAAACAACCTTGTCCCCAAGGTTGTTCCTCTAGCTCCCTAGGCCTCTCCCTCGCCATTTCCGCCGTCCTCGAGCTCATCTTCCCAGCGTCCGACTAACATCATCAAATCCGGCTTCGGGCATTGATGCCCGATGGTGAACCGGCCATCACAGGCCATCACAGTTGAAGCACTTGCCTTCCCGCCTTTTCTGCTCAATCTCCGCCGGAGACAGTCGCACGAACCCCTTCGGTATGGCCCGCGGTCCCAGCCTGGCCACCGGAGCCGAACCTCCACTACTCACGTTAGCCCCAGTCGAGCCTCCTCCTAGCGCCCCTCCGGTTCCGCCACTGCTCCCGCTACTTCCTCCTCCTCCGCCTGGCTTTGAGAAGCGGCCAATGGTGCTCCTCCAGCTAGCCAGTTCTTCCTCCTTATGACCTGCAAGACGGAAAGCAGTTTTCAAGGAATCGGGCTCGAACATCCTGACGGCCGCTGCTATCTCAGGCTTGAGACCAGCCATGCACAGCCCCACCAAGGTGTCCTCCGAGACACCTTTGCACTGGTTCCCCAACTTGAAGAACTCTGCACGGTATTCAGCCACCGTGCCGGTCTGCTTCAGCTTTGCCAACTGCTCAGGAGCCCACCCGTCCGACTTTCCAAACTGATAGCGAAGCTCCTCCTGAAACATAGGCCAAGTAATCAAAGTCGCTGTAGCTGCGTAGGATCTCTCCATCCACTCCCACCACTGGAGCGCGTCTCCCTCCAGGTAGAACGAGGCTAGATAAGCCTTCCTCTCTTCCGGAATGGGGTGGTTCTTAAACCACCTCTCAACTGCATACAACCAAAGGCCTGCATCCTCTTGCCCATTGAATTTTGGAAACTCAATGGTCGGAGGCTTAGCTCGAAAAACCACGCCATCCATACCTTCATAATTCATACAGTGGGACCCATACCTGTCATTTCCTGGAGTCCTCCATGGCTGCCCAGCTGGAGCGTACTACATCTGGCTTGGATTTCCGTGCCCATAATCACCCGGGTAGCCCCCTGGGTGGTTTGGGTACCCTCCTGGTGCGTGAGGCATCTCGTACGGACCTTCCCCGCCTATTGGACCCCTGCTGTCCGCCCTCCTGAGCGGCTGAGAAGTAGGGCTTGGTCGATGTCCGGTCCGACCCACCTCCGGTCGACCCATCCCGGTCCGACCCAGTCCGGTTCGGCTCAGCTCGGTCCGATCTGCGTCGGCCCGCCTGATCCCGGCTCGACCGATATCTGCTCTGCCCACTCCTGCCCAGTCCGCCGCGGTCCGCCCCATGGGAGCCGACCCGCCCTGGCCCATCTGGTCTCCGGCCCTCATCGGCCCACCCGGCCTCCTCAGGTCCCCCTCCGGTTCTGCCCACTGGGCCTGCTGTTCCGCCAGGCTCAGTTGGTCATACTCGGGCCCATCTTCCAGATCCAACCATCCCAGCCCGTTATGGACCTTCGTGTAGTGGCCCAACGGTCTCGGCCCATTACCCATAGGCGGCCCGTCTGTGTCATACCCGGCCATCTTAGCCTTTCCCTTTCGGGTCGCAATCTCCTGGGTCGTAGGCGTCGGTAACAGACCCGAGCCCAACCCTACTGCCGTTCGGTCCACTCGTCCAGGCCCGGTACCTGCCGGCCTGTTCCCTTCCGCCGTCGCTAACGGCGCGCCAGCCTGAACCGCCGCCGCCCTGGCCGCGCCCTCCCCTCCGCCGACCTTTGCAAGTGCCGCGTCCCCCCGCGCCGCCGGCGTCGCCGCTGCCGAGGTCCCGCCGGCCAACGCCGCGATCGCCGCCACGGCCGAAGCCCCCGCGTCGCCGCCTCCTTCGCTCCCCGCCTCGGCCGGAGTTGGCTCTCCCCCTAGTCCGTCCCCCTTTGCCTGCAGCGAAGCAATCGCCCGCATCAAGCCCTCCAGCCTCTGTCGCAGATCATCAGCATCTGCCTTCGCGTCAGCCTGCACCCTTGCCAGGCCTTCTTCAAGCCGAGCCAGCGCATCAGAGTGCTCGTGCACCACCAGTTTCACCGCCTCCAGCTCGGTGACGTCCTCCATCACCACTCCGTCAAGATCAACATCGCCCGCCTCGGTGTTCCTCCCGGCTGCCTGAGCTGCCTTCTCTGTTGCCTTCATGGATTTCGTCGACACCATTGTTGTTTGCCCTGGTTCAAGAGCTCAAGAACTCACTCTCGAACCTTGCTCTGATACCAGATGTGAGAAACAAGGTTTCTCACGAGACTAGGGATTGGGAAATTAGCTAGATCAATTAGGGATTGATCTAACTAGGGATTAGAATTGATGATTTTAGAACAAGAAGAGAGGGAAAAGGAGGTGCTGCTGCCGCAGCTTTAGAGAAGAAGAGAGAGGAAGGGGTCGGCGCTAGAGAGAGGGAAAAGAGTGGGATTAGGATTTAGGTTTTAAGTTCTGTGATTGCTTAATGAAAAATAAGACCACTACTACAGATTATATAGCCTGTCTAATTCCTATATGCTACCCAAATAATAAAACGTAACAATAGGCTCCCTGTTTATTCCCCAATTACCCAAATAATCCCCCAATCATTAAAACCGACACTAATACGAAATACCCAAAAACTGCAAATAATCATGTTTCCCACAGATTCCAGTAGTCCAAAGTGCAGATGAAAAAGCTATTCAGAGCATGGGAAACATCTAATTTAATTTAACAGATTCACACTAGATATTTAAGACGACACCACAAAAAGCAAAGAAGCCCCCCATGTTCAGCCAGCGAAACTGGAAATCAGCTACAAGCCCAATCCTCCACAAGTAGCCCTGGAAATTTTGGAGCCCTGCAATCACATTGCCCTGAGACCGGCGTGCCAAAATCTCCCAACTAGTCAAAACAAGAGATGAGCTCAGCACCTTGCAAAGGCACTAAAAGGAAAAACAGCACAAAAGACGGTAGAGAATTCAAACACACAAGCATATTTATGCACAGGTCACCAGGGTGACAGTTTGTTTCTTCTCCTTTTCCCAGTCCCACGAGAAACCACACAAAAATGAACACAGGCCGTGACATTAGTTCCATCAATGGAGGATGACGGGTAGGTAATAGATAGGAGAATCCTCACTCTTAAAACACTCGAGGACAAGCCAAGTCTAGGAAAGTTAAACAACCATAATATCCACATGGAAACAAACAGAGTGTCAAGTACTAAGAAGGAAGAAAGGATAGCAACTGGTACTTGGAACAAAAAAACTTACCACTATAGAGAGAATCCGATGCAAAGATTTCACATGGCTGAGCAATCCAGCAGCTCCTTCACCAAACACCCGTCTCTGCCCATCCACAAAATTATAGGAATCTTGTGTTAATGAGTAGTTGAACAATGGATGAAATGAGAACTCATATACAAGGGAAAGAAATTACAGACCTATATAGCTGGTGCGGGTAAAGACAGTGATTTTAGAGGAACCAAAATCATGTGCAAAAACACCGAAATCCTCCACCGCGCCTAAGATTTCACAACCACCATTATCATCAACCAATTTAAACTTGTAAACCTTGAACTGGTTCTTCATTTTGAACGGATCAAGTCCCCACCAGAGAAAGAGACAGTAGACATCACCATCTCCAAAAGGAACCACCATTGCGTCCCCATATAGACAATCAGCTGGTAGGCGCGACGCTAACTCAGAAAGAGCACACGATTTCCTAGTCTTGTGTTCCTGCTGCAGCAGATCAGCATAACTTGCCGAAGCATTTGACATGAACTTAACAAGGATGACATCAAAGGGGCGATGATGACCATGCCTTTCCACCATAAACAACCGACCATTGTGAACAAGATTCGAACAGTACGCCTCAGGAAACCGAACCCATGGGTAGATCATCAGCAACAGGTTGGGTATCATAGGTGTTTCGTAATAATCATCATCACACTCAGTAATGATGCGACGCCACTTTAGCTCTTCCATGTCAAGAGCAAACACACGTTCGCCAACATGATTGTGCATATAAACAATCAATTCCCTCCCTACAACTATATGACCCATGTAACCTGGAAGCAAAGAGCAAGATGGGATCAAACGGGGATCCCACATCTCCAATGGCAGATCAACGACTTGCGTGGAGAGATCCTTGAGGTTCAAAACCTCACAAGGAGCAGAGAGGTCGGGGTGCGGACCTCTGAACGACAAGGGGTGATAAGCGCTCGACAATATGAAAATCTTGTCATCCTTGTAAGGAACGTGGATCGGCCTGACCTTGGGTCCCTTCAGACGGTCTGCGTATTGCTTGAACTCGAGGGGTTGCTTTTGGATGTCGGGGTCCGTTCCCAGATCGCAGACGTACAGATCTCGCGGGTATTTCCAGTACGGGAAGCCATCGTCATCAGTATCGTCAATACCATTAGGAGAGGTATTAAAGTCATTACCACCAAAAGCATATAATTTCGAATCTACGAGTGCGAGACCCATCTGCGCGATTATCCCGCGGAAATCGCAGCTGGGGGCGACGGTAACGGTGGCGGTGCGGATTCCCGCCGGGTCGGTGTCGTTGTGATCATAGGCCGCCGTCTTGTTTTTTCGGCCCATCAGAAAGATGGTCACCTTATTTAAGGAACCAGAAACAATTCCACTATCCCACCACCTCCGCCGGGGCTTCTTCCGCTCCGGCGACGCTACCGCCGAGTCCGAGTCTGAGGCATGCTCCATTGAACCGTACCGAGGATTCAACCACAAAATACCAGTATTGTAGGCTAAATCGATAGATGGTATTTAACTGTACTAACGGTTGAACTAGGGTTAAACCACAATTTTGTCACGAGGATATTGTTAGCGGCCACGCTACCGCCTCCGAGTCCGATTCCGAGTCATCAACAACTAGGGTAAATTCGTCTGCGTGAAGTAAAAGGATTTGGGAAGGTATTCACGACGTGCAGGCTGAATTCTTCGCTCTTGGATGGCCCAAATAACGATCGGGAATGGGCCAAGCCTACTTTCAAGTGGGCTTGAATGGTACCAGCAGGCTGAATTAACCTTCTACTCACTGGTTCTCTGCAACTTGTCGCCAACGGAAGAGACGAAGACAGAGCCAAGACAGGAGTTGAATGCACAGAAACCAACTTTGTTATCTGAAACTAAAATAATCTATTGATTAAGAAGAAAATGGAAGAAGATCAGCTTCTATTCAACAATGGCTAGCCCGACGCTCTCTTCTTCTACTGTACTATGTCCCCCTTAAATAACCATTGATTAATTAGATAATAAAATAGAGCGATTAAGGACCCACCTAACAGTACCAACTATCCCTAACCCTTACCCTTACCTTTTTTTTTTGGGGGAAACCTAACCCTTAGTCCCTTACCCACCTGTGCTTCTGATATCTCAACAATACCAACGACAGCTAAAACTCCACGCTACAAAATGCTCCCTTTCTTAAGCTCACTCCATAAAAATTCCATATGCACGGAGAGGAAAGAACCCAAGCATCTGGCTTTCCTGCTGCTAATGCTCTCTACATGAACGCCAACTCTCAGACCCGAATTTCGGAACGACATCCATCCATCCATCTTCATCAAGTTTAGCCTCCCCTTGGCCGCTTCTTCCCGCTCTTTGCCTCACTGGCCTGTCCCTTTGATAACGGTTTATCCTCGATAGTCTCCTCCTCTCCTTTCATCGACTCGTCACCAGAGCTGTCTTCCACCTCAGTGTCTTTTGCCTTGGCCGAACCAGTTTTGGGCTTCCCTGTACCATTAGCTTTGGACTTCGCGCCACCCTTGATGCCTTTACCCTTGGCAATGGAGGAAGCTATCTTCGGGCTCTCAGCCTTGGAGGATGATCTCCCGCCGGGAGTCTTCTTGGTTGATTGTTTGGATTTCGGCAACTTGGCTGAAGAGCTAGCGCCACCATCGTCTTTCGACTTTGTACTAGCAGTGGCTTTAGAAGCCGCAACAGAGTCGTCGGTGGTCTTGGATTTCCCTGGAGTTTTGGAAGATGGAACATCACCTGATTTACCTCCACTCTTAAGGGTAGGCTCCTTGGTTTTGGCACCGCTAACGTCCTCTGTTTTCTTGGAAGCCTTGGAATCTTCCGCATCAGTTTCATTGACTTCCTTCGGTTTCCGACCTGGTTTCCCACCAGCTGCTACACTCTTGGATTTGCTAGAAGCCCCGCCACCCCTATAACCAATCAAATCCAGTAGTGAAAGAAATGAGCACAAGTAGCACCATCAGAGGTGCAATGTGGAAAAATAAAAATTCATGTCACACCTTTTAGGGGAAGCATCCATCTGTTCCTTTTTAGCCGACTGCTCAGTCTTTGCCTTCTTCTTTACCGGTCTGTAAAGGGAGGACTCGGGTTATAACTTAGCAATGACTGAGACCAATGGAATTGCAGTAGAAAAGAAAGAACTCGTGAGTTCAGTAGGGGAAACTTATGCGCGGACACATACATCTCAGATGAAGCATCGGGACTTGAAGGTTTGGCTGCTTCTCCCTGTCAGCGAAACTAGGTCAACAAAAAAAATCTAGATTGTGCAGTAAAAAAAACAAGATGACAATTCTTTTACCTCATCCTCCAAATCAGATGCACCAGATTCACTGTTAATGAACTTAAACTTCTGTCTTTTCATATTTAAAATTTCTTCATCGCCATCATCATAAACAACCTACAGAGCACAAAGATAGACGGAAATTATAGGAAGGAAATTCATTAAAACGAAAGGGAAAGAATCGTTCTATGTAACAAGTATGACTTACCACATGTTTCTTTTTGGTAGCATCGTACGATTGAACAGTGCCCATATAAAACCTGCAGAAACATCGATGAACAGAAGAGATATGAACTTGAAGTTTTAACTAAATAAATTTTTGGCTTTATTTACCAGTAACTCAATTTCAGAAAATGACCAAGTTGGAATCAACGTGTCAAAAAAACTAAGTAGATAGAAGAGGCATTTGGGTTTGACAACCACCAGTAGTTGGGGCATTTTACTAAACATCCTCAGCTATTTCAGGGATTGACAATGCATAAGAAACGAAAGAAGATTTTTCTGGGACAACCATATAACCCAGAGATACTAAGACAGCCAGCCATGAGTAGAAAAGACCTGAAGATGAACCTATATTGGAAATATACTATAGAGTAGGTGCACTAAAGAGTCTGCAATATCGAGAGGAGCATAGACAAGAAAACCAGACAGAAAAGACAGACACCAATGCCAATATTTAACAGGGACTGCAGAAATCAGGAGATTTACTATTAAACTAGAATAGCCCGGCATTTCCATTTACACCTATATAGTAACATGACACCGAAGCATCTAATTAAACTTTCTAAAGGCAAAAGCAGGAAACTTACTTACGGTCTTGTGGCCAGTATACTTGTACCCTTGAACCGACGATTTCGTCTCCATAACCTTTAGCATCAGATGCCTATAAGAACAATCGCAACATAAGCACATTGTTTGTTCAATTCAAAAACTAATAGTATATGGGAAACAGGTGACCCAGTGAAAATAACAACTTGGATAAGGAAAAAAGAAAGGAAGCCAACATGACAGAAGATAATACAATATGACCCAGACAGTACTTCAAAGCTACTTGTGCTAACAACATGAATCGAGTATCAACTCCATGGTAAAGGTTTCATCTATATGAGAAAACCGGATTTGACCAATTGAATTATGTGAGAACTGATTTATATGTTCGTATACTACATAAGTATTACCCACTAAGAAGGAACCCCTGCATGACAGATGTGATTCAGAACCGCGAGCCTTCATGCTTTAATCAGAAAAGCTGAAGATAGCAGCTCAAAGAACAAATAGTGAAAATTTTGGAAGCACAAAGAGTAAACAACAAATATAAGACAACAACAAGGGCATAAGAGGTTAAGACAAACAGTTATGCACCAATGCAATCTTCACTCCAAACAACATACCACTTCTTTTTCTGAGGACTTCCCTACATCACGTTTCCTTTTGCTACTTGTCTTGGGAGTCTCTTCAATTGGATGTTCTTCTTTCCCTTGTTTTCTTGCAGACTTCAGGGATGAAATATTTTCCTGCACAAATAAAAGAACAGGATAAAAAGATATAAATTCACCAGAACTGTTAACTCAAAAGTAAGGAGGAAGATAATGTACATTGTCATCATCTTTGGGTAAAGTTTTCGCAACATTTTTCCCCGAGACAGCTTTTCCGCGCATGCGTCGGTTCTTATCTTCAGACTGCTTTAACGAAGATCCTTCTGCAGTCTTACTTCCTTCATCTGCCTTAGATGACTGCTTCAGTAGTTTGGCGTCTAACTCACTTCCACCACTTTCTTTCTTGGATGTCTCAGTTCTCTTTACCGATTTTTCATTGTTTGAGGTTCCAGAAGGTGCCTTTCTACCAGAGCGTTTGGTGGTCTTCACTTCTGAGTCGCTTGTCCCTTCTGATGCCCTTTTTTGGACATCATCAGTAGATTGCACCAGCTCCTTTACTGAACCCTCTTTCTTCTTCAAACGAGCAACCTTTTTTGCAAGAGTTTCATCAACAGGGCTTTCACTCGCCGATGGAGAAGCAGCCAAGGACTCGCCATCCACAGCTTTAGGGGACAAAGGCTGCATATCATTTTTTAGCTTACTTTCAGAAGCCCCAGCAGCATCGCCTGACACAGATTGATCTGCATGAGGTGAATTTGGAGCATCTATGCCGTGACTTTTGCCTTCAGGAAGCTTCTCAACTTCTTTATCATCAGCAGAATGTTTACCCTCAGAACGGCCGATCAACTTTGCAGATGAGTTAGCTTTTCTCGCCCTCTTTCTGTTACTCTGCTCTGGCCTGCTTTCTTTTTTAGCAACCTTCTCGGTCACAGAATCATTAACCTCAACATTTTCGCTTTTTGTATCCTCAGTGGCTTTATCCTCCTCAGGGGCTTTCAAGGAATCTGATTCAGCCAAGGACTCAGCTACCCTTGTCTTTGCCACGCCATTGCTTACAACTGACTTTGAGGACTTCTTGCCTGCTGAAGCGGGTACTTCAGAAGGACCAACTCCTGCTGTCAAATCTTTATTTGCCTGAAAAGAAGGAAGGACTTATATCACACACATAAAAGAGAACTTAAAATAAGAGAGGGGGGAAAGAGAAGGAAATGACATACTTCGGCAGCCTCATCGACCAACGCCCCATCTGACTTGCTTCCTTCTACCTGTAGTAGCAAATTTGTCCAGTTAGAAACATGCAGATCATCCAGAGACATGAACAACAGACAAAAGTTACTCAGAAAGATGTCTGACAGTATTAACATCCCAAACAAATCTCTTAAAAAGGGAAACTGAAATACTGAGAATTTCATGAAAATTGACAGAATGATAGAATGATAGTTACATGTTGGGTGAACAGCCTCATTAGCCTCTGATATTCAGTTACAAAGAAAAGCCAACTTAATAGAAGATAAAATCCAATGATACAACATAACAACCTTCCACACAGCAACCTTACTACCCAAGTTTGCTGAGCTAGATATTGTCCTACAAACTAAGGTTAGAACACATGAAAAAGACTACCAAAATTCCAAAAGGAATCATCGTAATGAAGAATGCAATACAAAAGTTCAAAAAGTCATCTAGACTGTACTGTGACTGCCATTTTAGTGTCAGCAGCAAAAGAGCCAGAGGTGATACACCAGCAAAAATGACCATTGGCTTCTAGTTCCAAGAGAGGAACGGGCACTTACTTTATTATTATCTGCTGGTTCACTATCGTCGAGACGAACATCTTGGCATATCGAAACAACAACATCACTGTAGTCATCCAAAGAAGTCTGTAAAGCTTTCACAGCAGCTGACAAGCCCTGCTTGACCTGTGTAGTACATTTTGCAAGAACACTCTCTACCAGCTTGCGAGCAACGGGCAGGACTTCCTGGCATATAAAACAAAGTTAATTATAGTAGAGATACTAATATTAACAACGGAATTTCCAAAAAATTATGGCAAACTAAAGCAACAATAGAAACCATGATAGACCTCGTTTCCCTTTTTGACGCTAGCTAAAAGGGGCAAAAACAGTTTCGGGGGGCAATCTTCACTCTCTTCTAAGACGAGTTGCATAATGGTCTCCATGGAAGAAATAACATTTTCAGGATGGTGATCCCTGCAAGAATAGTGAAGCATCATTGACATAGTGCTTTTGTCTATTCACAATTACTGTTACATGGAAAATCTAATTACAAAACAAGACATGCATGAAAAACTTCATAAGATAAAAAAAAACGTATCAACAACTTGAATCAAGCATTTCAACAAACCACCCTCAAGAGCAGCTTCCAGCATATCTTGCCAATGACACACACCAGGCAACAAAACATAGACGTCTATTGGATATAGGTCATTACCTTACAGACTTGAGGAACTTCTGGAACATGTCTAATATCAGTGCATCCAAGTCAAGATCCAACATCACCACACACGACCGGACCTTAGCAACAGTTTCAAGTATCGATGTTCTCTTGACATATGATCGGCTACTCTTGTCATCCAGGTCTTCAAATGAAGATACTATCAGCTGAAAGACATCCTGCATACATACGAAACCAAATGAAAAGAATAAGACAGAAATGCATATCAATTAAACTGAGATAAGTTATTAAACTGCCAGGATTCCACGTGTTGAAAGCACTAGCAACCTTCATCTGGTCATCATCATAAGGAGCTTCTGGTGCTGTTATTCTTGTTATTTCACTGATGCAAGAAGCCACAGCAACTTTAACATCCACATCTGAATGCCTAAAGAGCTGGTCTGTGATCAACGCAGTTTGTGATGGAACCAGTGCACTTTGCATTGATTTCGTAGGTGATTGCTCCACCTTTACAAGATAACTCTCGACTTGCTGCAAGAATCAATGAAAACATTATGGAAAGATTCAAAAAAGAAAAACAAGATTCTTAAACAGGAACAAGACACAATTATAGCAACGTAGTATTTGCTGCAAGAATCAATGAAAACGTTATGGAAAAGTTTAAAACAAGAGAAACAAGATTCTTAAACAGGTTCAAGACACAATTATAGCAATGTAGTGCAAGATTAACGGTGTATCTAGACTTAATAATATATATATATATATATATATATATTCTTAACAAACTAAGGTATATCCAAAACATCGGGAAGCTAGAGGATTCAGATCAAATCTTGATATTACCAGCCTACTTCTTTCCCGTTATTTCAGGTGCAAGTAACTAAGTCGACAACAGTAGTTTCACTTTCACAAAACGAGGCTTTACCGACAGTGTTGTGATATAATGCAGATTTAGGCCTAAAAAATGTGAGTCAGGGCCACCCATCATCCAAAACAAAATGATAAGATGCAAATTTCAGGGACATCCTCCCCACCAATGAAGCAAAATCCAAGTAAAAGGTTCTGTCTTCGCAAGGATTCGCATTTTCTTATGGTAGGTCTATCGCGTGAATTGTGATCATGTATGATTGTGTCGTATGAACAGATCAGCTTATTCAGTAGTCAACTTAAATTTTATCAAAATTTAGAAGATAATGTATATGTGTAGTCAAGCCACCTCAGTTGTCAAGTAAGATATGAAATGAAGAAAACCACACTAGGCCTACATAGCCTCATCAACTAATTCGCAAATGCTATTCTAGGCTCGAATTAAAAAGAAAAGAACATCACCAAACCTAAACCACCCTGCTACCTGTTGCGTACATAGAAAGAGAGCAGTCAAATATCCTACCAAAAGAAAGAAAACATGGGAAGCATGTCCTGAGAATGAGTTCAGAAAGTACCAAAACAAAAGCCAACCGTTACCATATCACCAACTTGACAGCAAAATTGTGAATACAATATCACCACGTGTATATGCGTCACAAACTATAACTACCGTTATACAACTATAAATACAACATCTAATGATAACACCAAATATTCACCAATGAAATCTCACCCTTTGTTAAATGAACATACATGGCCCCATCTATAGACATTTTTGGAGCCTCCTTAAAGAAACCGTCTAATGTTTCACGTCTTACGTTAAATAGGGTTAGTGCAACTAATTGCTTGAATTACACATTTATAAAAAATACGCGAATTATACACGTGGTCGTTGTCAGGGTGATCGGGCACGCCATCCAACACGCGCAGAGAAGCATATAAAGCACCTATCATATTACCATATCTATGCAATCGCAACTTACATCTAATTAAAAGCCTATATAATCCCGTCCAGCAAACTCCGCAACCAATTAATTATTTTCTCTCTCAGACATCAACTTTTGCAGTAACAGAATAATGCATGTTATAATGAGGTTATCAAATGTAGGAGACCACTAACTAATCAACCCCTAATCATCACGAAGCACCAGAGCGAGGTGACTTCATACTTATTACTATAAGTCACAAACATAAAGAGCACTGTTAATGATATATCCTGCTAAGATGCTATGATTTTGACACCAATATGGGATTAACGTAAATGTAAACTACAAGATCATTCAATTATGGATGCCAAAAGCTTCATGCAAGAACAAAACGAAACAAATAAAGAGTGGAAAGACACAGAGACTGCCATAACACAAAATACACACGACTAAGAACAGGCAGAAAACACAATCTGAAAGTTCCATCCTCCCATTTCTATCTCCCATCAAGACCGGAAAACAGAACAGAAACAAATTTCACGCATTTTGAAAAGTTGGCTGGTTCAGAGCTTCCCCCCTTCCACTGACCATACAAGATGTGTAGGTATATAATGGCGCAGAGGGCAGAAATGGAGAACTCTCGTCAATTCAACACCCCAAAACTCAAAATCCTGTCATGCATGTATACCTAAATGAGCCCACCACGAATGCAGACAGTAAGCAAGCAGAAACAGAAACAAAAGGGGCACACATGGAAGCAAAACCTACCCTTTGGCGAGTCACGAGAAGATAAACACGAATCCCATTACCAAACAACACCTCAGAAAAAGCAATGAAGAAACAGAGAACAGAAGAAGATCGAAGAACAAAAAAAAATCGAATGTAGTCCGCCCGTACGTGATGTGAGAACAAAAACCTAGCAAATGTTTCTACCACACAAGGGAAACGAGAGCGAGAGGAAATGGGGGAAGGGAAAATACTTACGTCGAGAAGGGGAAGAAGCTCGTCAACGGAAGAAGGAGGGTTGAGCAGCTTGTTCCCCGCATCCTCGAGCTGTTGCTCGAGCTCCTTGTCGGCTGAAGCCATGACCAAACTCGGTAGTTTCAAAACTCTTTTCACGAAATCCCTAACAGATCCCCTCCCTGGAAAAAAAACAATCAGACACACACACTCGCCACTCGCAAATTCTCAGACCATCGAAACCCTAGGAATCCCACGGTGAATCCACCAGATGCAGAGCTCGGGGGGAGCAAGCAAAAGGGGAGCAGTGGAGATTTTCGAAGAACGAGCGAGAGAGTGTGTACAAATTTGTGATTGGTAATTTGTTCTAGGGTTTTCTCTTTTTCTTTTTTCCTTGAGACAGTGAGTGTTTCTTTTTTCCTCTTTTTTTTTACTGCTTTGGTTATTTGGATTCTGGTGGTAATGTTTTTTTTATAGGTCTTCTCTCCCCCCTGAAACGTCTGTTTGTTTTTTTCTTTACTTTCCCATGAACTCAGAAAAAGTAAATCATTTCAAACTTTTCTCTATTTTTTCATTTTCTTAATTTTCCTTTTTTTTTCTTCGCCTTGCGCTTTTTGGAGTGGAAGAATCCAGTCCAAGCAGAGGCGCCGGATTCTGCCGGGTTTACTGAACCGGAATTAAATCCTGGGTCTCAAGTCCGCCTTTCGGGTCTCGTGACTTTTATCTAGATGCCCCTTCTTTTTCCTTTGTCTTGCTGTTTGACCCCTAAAAATAATACTTTCGCTCTTTTACTCTCCTTTTTCTTCTTCATGCCGGGGGCACTAAGCTCCGAGATAAGGAAGAAAAAATCCAAGGCCTTGTTTGGCAACCATTCACTATTTCCATCTTTTCGTGTTTGCCTATAAAAGATGCAAATAACAAACATTCCATTGTCATTTCAAACAAATCCATGATAGTAAGTTGTCATATCATTAGAGTACTGAACTTCAATATTTTCATTTTTGGATAGTAATATTGATTTATTTTACTATAGAAACAAAATTAAAATTGGTTTATTAGATAGTTTTTCTTTAATTTTGCATTAGAATACTTCAACGGTAAGATTTTCTCCATAACTAATTATGTATTCTATATAGTAATATTTATCGTTCTTTTTATCTCATCTTCCTTGTGTAACAAATTTACCCACAAAACATCAGTTGAATTCTAGCATTGTAAATTTTTATGTATTGTGATATAATACTTCAGGGCCGTGTTTTATTATGTAAATGTATTAAAATGTAATGTTCGTTGTAGTTTATTTTAAAGATTAAACAAGGTATCACATCTTTAAATAGTGATGCTATATGATTAAGTACGATGTTTCCCATAAGTTGTACAAAATCCACTAGAGATTTTCCTACCAATTTTGGAACTAATTAACTATAAATGCTTGCAAAAAAAAATACCAAATAGTAATGAAAATAATACATTTACCTCGAAACACAAATTGATTCATCATAAGAAAAATTTATAAATGTCAATATTCGTTATTCTGTGATAATAGACATTAATATTTAATGATGGTACTTATTATCCGAGTTGATAATTTGCCCCCAAAATTTTTAGGGTTATCACTAACACATATTTTCCCCAAACTTCATAATAAATTATCCATTTTCTGCAAAAGTTCACCAAATTCTAAAAAAGTGCCAACAAACACACTATGATAGTCTTTCATACGGGGTGAGATGATATGATAACCCTCAAAGGGGTCGGGTTTTTGACACCTCAAACATCAGTCATCCATTTCATCCCGAATTTTAAGGTAAGTATTAATGAAGGGGTTTATTGTTGTTTTTTTTCCATAATTTTGTAAATGGGGCAAGTTCTCATATTAATTACACTTTTATGGGAATGTGTACATCACATTGGATGGGGAAAAACCGATTGAGCTCCCATATTCCCCTTCTTTCCTCTCGAAAAAATAGAAACTCGACCCTCTCCTCAGCATAACTCGACGACATCGGGCATTGCCGCCCTCCGACCCGCCTTCTGGGTTGCTCGTCACCGGGAGGCAAGAAGGATCCGAGATTCTGTGCGGCGGTTATGGACATGCCAAGAACGACGGCTCCTGTGGCGGCATCGAATAACGGAAAGGTGAAGATGGGATCGAACTCGCCTCCCGACCGTCAATTGGACAAATGTCTGCCGAGGGAGAACTCATCAGTGATAAAGAAGAACATGAAGGGCGACGGCGACTTGTTTCTTATTGCTTCCCTATCGTGAAGTGCAACCCTACAATGTCTAGCATACGACAGCATTGTCGTGAACATGTACCGCTCATCTGGTACAGGTATTATTGAATTGATTCATGTATCACTAAAGTAGTAAAGTGGTATATGTACCACTGACCTGATACAAGTACCGTGCAACTATTCAAGTCATACATTCCACACCAAATTGTGACCACCCCCTTGTAGCGTTAGGTATATTGTACTTGTACCATTAGCAAAATCGAAACTCATCCTAAATGTTCTCATTGCATGCAGTGTTTGATATACTATGGAGTGGTCCATTGAAATGATACATGTATCACTGAACTAAACCTCTTTTATACCTATTTTGATGGTGATTACTTTAATTGACATCCATGGGAAATAAAGCATTCCGAGAACTAGCTTTGACCCCGACCAATTGATGGGAATTTTTTTTTTAGTAATTAGGTTTGCGCCTCGCAACAATTTTTGTACACACATGAAATTTATGGTATTGTCATGATACAAAGCCATACAACATTGTTTTTTTATTTATGGAAAAACCATACAGCATTGTCATGAAATTTATGGTATTGTCATGATACAAAACCATACAGCATTGTTCTAGTTAAGTAACTCTGCATAATGAGAAACGTGTCATGTGAGTTTATGACAATACATGCGGAGTTGTGCGTGATGGCATAAAATTGAATGATATTGATATAGTTTAGTAACTCTGTCAAATAGGAGTGTGACTCGTGAATTTGTGATCGTGACCATATATTTGATTTTTTATTTTCAACATAAATAAAATATTTAGTGTAGATCACATAAAAGTTTTTTTGCGGGAAAATATATAAATTCGGATTTCATCCAACATAAATACGGATCGATTAATAATAGAAGGATAATTGAAAAAGAAAAGAGAGTGTGTGTTAGGTGTTATATTGTAATTGGATGACTTGAAAACTATAAAAGGTAAATAAAATTAAAATACTTTTTCGATTTTAACCATTATGACGGGGAAAAAGTCAATAATCTTTTTTATTAGTGGTAAGGATGCTAATGTGGATGCATGAATTTGGAAATTCGGAATGTAAATGGAGAAAAAATATTAAATTTTAAGATAGATAGATGTGCAAACATTAAGCAAGGTTGTCATATTATATTTTTTTATGGTTTTTTTTATGGTTGTCAGATTAGATGAAGCCATTGAGCAAGTGGTTTGAAGTTGAATAGTCGGATTAGTTTAAACTTATTTTAACATAATATGTGAGCAAACCTCTTCATGCGAAATAAATCACACATATATATGACATATTTTGAAACAATCTCACTTATCTACATTCATACATTACCAAATTATTTCTTTAAAAGAAATATATATTACAAAATTATCAATTTTCATCTTCAAACACAATCAAACTAACTGGTTTAACCTGGTTTTAACTTTTTTCGGGACCATCCAATTTAGGGATTGGATACGGTCACTTCCCCTTAGGGGTTGTGAGATTCACAACAAAGGGTAACTTGAGTATAACAAAAAACTAATTAATTAATTTTTTTGTATTAATTACATATTGGGAATTAAAAATCCATATCAAATACATGATTTTTTTAAAAACCCTACAATCAATAAACTTATACCTCTCTCTACTTTTTCCAGCAGCCTCTTCACTCCTACCACCAAACTTACTACGACAGACAAACTTTTTACCGGTGACAACCTTCAGTCAGACTCACTCCGGCCACCTGCAAAAAAAGTACAACTTCGTGAGTGCGCTAGTGGTAGTGATTTTTATCTAGCGTACAGTGGTACGGGTAAGCTACCAGTGGTACTGGTACGATACCAGTGAGTAGTGGTAGCGTACCACTACCAATGGTAGCGTACCAGTACCGCTACATATGATAGGTACCAGTACCACTGGTAGCGTACCACCACTAGCACTGGTAGTGTACCACTAGCACTGGTTGCGTGCCAATAGCACTGGTAGTGTACCACTAGAGACTAAGACAGAAAAAACAGATCTTAAATCTGAAAAAATCCCATATCCAAAAAAAAGGGGGGATGAGGGAAGGGGAAGGCAAAGGAGAGGTGGTTACCTCGTGGTGGCAGCGACGGTGGTGTGAAGACAGGTGGTGGTGGGAGGCAGAGGAAGAATGAAAGGGGGAGGCAAAGGCGACTTTGGTGATGGTGGTGGGAGGCGGTTGCAGCGGGAGGGCTGCGAATGGGAGAGGCTGTGATGGTGGTGGCGCCGACGGCAGGGGGTAGCGACGGAGGGCGGCGGGAGGGCTGGATGGTGGTGGCTCCGGCGGTAGGGGTAGATGTGATGATGAAGAAGGGAGAACTGTTGGTGGTGGCTGTAGATAGGGGGATCTGATTGGGATATTTAGAGAAAGGAAAAGATATGGAAATTAATAGTGATAGTAATCATATGTGGTTAGTTCTTTCCATTCCAAAAATATCCTTCGTGTAATCCTAACCATTGATTAAAAAAAAAGAGATAGGAAAGAGAATGTATCCAATTGCTACAAAGTGGGTTGTGAATCTGACAACCGCCTAAGGGGGTTGTGATAAGGGGGTTGTGACGGTATCTGATCCCTCCAATCTAAGCATATTTCAATAATTTAGAATTGAGATGACCTATTTTGTCGTACCAAATTGAATCGGTCGGTCGGATACTCGCTTGACAATCATATGTTAGGAATATCAAGTTTAATATTAATTAAATATTTTAATATTAAACTAAGGGTAAATGCCATAATTGGTCACTGAGATCAATGTAGTCAAAAGCGCGATTCTACCTATAAGCGAAAAATGGGTAAAATCACAAAGTGTAGAATCAAAACGTAAAAACGTAAGTTGTTTACGCATATCTATCTATAAAATATAATAAGACTTTTCCATTTTAGAGCCTCGCCAATTCAAATTTTCTCGCTTCTGAGAGCTCCACGTCAGCAAAGGCTTTCCGCCAATCACAACCGCTCCAAGGGGGAAAAAATAATAAGAAACCCCCAAACCGGCGATTCCCCTTCTTCCGAACATCCTTCCCATCATCGCATCCCGACCTGCAAATCTCCAACGCGTAAGTGTTGCCCATAGTTCTTCTCCGACAACTATCTATCTAAGACTCTAAGTGCTCTCCTTCCTCTTATAAAACCCTATTCCACCCGAAACTGCAGCTACTATCCGCCCTAATTTCGGAACTTGAAGCGATGGAGACTCACGTTCTCTTGCCATAGGTCATTCCTCATATTCCCTCAATTTTCCGGCCACTTTCCTCCTCTTGAAGTTGGAGACTTGGAGGAGATGTCGTTGCGGTTCAAGGTTCGTCCACTATTAAGTAGGATCGCCATGGAATAGATCTCGCAGCACCTTCCAGATTTAAGTTGCTCCGTCATTAGGGGTGGGCATTGGTGCGGTCAAACCGCTTCAAACCGCACCGAACCGCGATTGCGGTCGAGCCAAACCGCATCGTTAGTTATGCGGTCTAATACGCAGTCTGAAATTTTAGCGGCTCGCGGTTCGCGGTTGGATTAATCCGAAACCGCGCAGTTGCGGTTCCAAACCGCAAACCGCTACAGTAAATTCTCACTCGGAATAGGAAGGTCGCCTTCTACTATCTCCCCATCCTCTCGCTGCCCGTTCTCCCCTATCCTCTCTCAGTTAGATTCTTCATTGGATGTTATAGAGATTGGATTTGCGAGACTTTATAAACTAGCTTCCATAGATTTTTGGATTACTTTTTTGGGTAAGAAGAGATCCAAAAGTTAATGAATTGTTGACGTTTTCGGCTGGAGGTACCGAGTTGTGACAAGTGCATACAACAGGGGAGCACTTGGAGCGATGCTCGTGTACGACATCACAAAGCGGTCGACATTCGATCACGTAGCGAGATGGATGGAGGAGCTCTGAGCACACACCGACAGCTCCATCGTCATTATGCTGATCGGCAATGAGACCGATCTGGCCGTCGACCACCGTGCCGTCGTGATGGAGGATGCCATCGACTTCGCCGAGGAACATGGGGTCCTCTTCTCCGCGGCCTCCACCCTCAGCGGGGACACGTGGACAAGGCCTTCTATTGGTTTTCATTTCCATTTGCCAAGTTACAATTTCATTCCTTCTTCCAGTAGCAGTCAGTAGCAGAAGGGGTGCTCTGTTTCGGTGGCAAGAGAAACAGAGTGTTGATGCTCTCTATTAGCAATGGCAGTGGTAAATTTATTTAATCAATATATAATTCATAATGAATTGCGGTCAAACATGCGATGCGGTCCAAATCGCTCCAAACCGCTAACATATGCGATTTGGTTTGACCGCACTGATAATATTGCGGTCGAACATGCGGTGCGGTCAAATTAAATGCGGTGCGATGCGGTTTATATCAAAATGGTGCGGTGCGGTTCAAATCGCACCAATGCCCACCCATATCCGTCATAATCTTCATCTTTTCATTTCCCGCTCGGTTTCTCTTTGTTTTTGCATTCTGTTTAAAATTTGTTACGGATTCATAGTGATAGACTTTTCCGCGCCGGGTTCGGCATTCCAGTTGGTGAATTTTATCCTTCGGTGTCGCGATTGTATAGATCCTCTTCCGCCGGCGGCCGTATTGAATGATGATTTAGCAATTGACATATATGACGCCGACGAGTGATATGACTGTGACCTTAGGTTTTTGGTGGTGGTGACATTCAGTTCTGTAGGATAGAATTCTGATTTATGGTTTTGCAATTGATTAACTGTGGTAACGAATTACCTGCAGTGTTTGTGGCTCAATGTTGCAACGTTAATTGGGGTTATGAACTCATTCTTGGTGCTTTTGCGATGACACAGATTACTATGGTTTGATAAATATTGGGAATTAGGCTATTAGTCTATTCTGATTGCAGCTCGACAGTTGCAGCAAGGAATTTGATAAACAATGAATGTAAGTTCAAGTGGGCCGAGGAGCTTATCCTCCCCTGAACCTGTATGCTATTTTGTATGTTCTGGTATACCTACTGCCATTCTAATTGAGCATTTTCATAACTAGGTGAAGACGGATCTTCAACAACCGACTACCTTGCTCATGCTTTTTAATTTGTGGGACTTCATCATTGTTAGAACTACTCATGCAACTGCATTGTAGGAATTTGTTTGGGGACTTCATCATTTGTCATTTATTCTGTTGGTTTCCATTTGTTTGGGGATCCATCTTTTTCCCTGTTGTTTCTTTTCTTATTACTGGCCACGGAATCAATCACGGATACCTTTTCTAAGAAATGATGAGAAGTGGCTTTCCCATGCCTTTTTTTATATTTAGGCTTCTCCAAAAAATGCTTTTATTGGTGGATGACTTGGTTTTTCCTTCCTTTTTCTTAAAGTGATAATTGTGGAGGGTTCCTATAATATGTAAGTGACTAATATCATCATCACAGTTCTTTCTTTAGGATGATAGATAGATCAATTCATTCATATTACTTGAATTTCCTTCTCTAAAAAATACATTTTGGATTTCAAACATTCAAAGTGCTTATATTACGTGTGCTTTTATGAAGGAGGATTTGAGGTTCATAGTTCATTGTCTTCGATGAAAGTTGAAAGGTAGTAAGAGAGGTGAGAGTAGAGAGAGAGAGAGAAAAATAGGGAGTGTGATGGGCCAAAGCAAAAAGAAAAAAAATACTAGAGTTGAAAGACTATATAGGATGTTGGTTGGTTGATCGAGCATATTTTACTAGAACAGAATTATCTCTTCAGGAAAAAAAAAAGCACTTGCCCAAAAATCATTCATGCAAACATTACCCGCCCAACGAGCCGGGTACAAAGCTAGTTATAAAATAACGAAAAATGTGTTAAGTACGACATATACTATGTAAAATATGAGTGCACATAGTTAAGAGGTGCAGTTTTACACTTCTAGGTCCCCCATCTCCGGACTCCTCGTCGACATGTTCTGCACCACATTCATCGACGTTGCCGATGAATCCAGCCTCCCCAGCTACATCTTCTACACCTCTGACGCTCGATGCCTCAATCTCACCTTCCATCTCTAGAATCTACGAGACAACCACAATATGCAGTTACGTATTTCAACGACCCGAAAGCCAAATGGAACATTGAGGGCTTCAATAACTCGATTTCGGGCAAATTCTTGCCCCGTCCCGACTTGGCGTGTTATTCAGGGGTCTAAGCATAATGATTAGACTAGTAGGCAGTGGGTATGTCTATAGTTTATACAATTTGTAATTTTTAAAGACTAACAGAAGACTATCAAGGATTGGAATACTTCTCTCTAATTATCAATTTTTCCAACTTGGTACACAAATTAGCTATCGATTCTAAAGGCAAGACTTGGAGTCACTCTTCCACATAGTACAGAGAATGAAGGTTGAACATTGGCAGGAAAACCAAGAAGAGTGCTTTTTGGGGCTGCTAATTGGAATTACCCGGTCGAGTTTGAGAGCTAACTTTTGAAGCTCTGGTTCAAACAAGTCGAGGACACGAGAATCAAGCTGGACAACTGCAAGCTACGGAGACGACGCCGAAGTTGTGGTAACAGGCGGCGCCGGTGGTGGTGGCTAGCTGAGGCGGCGAGGAGAGAGCGGAAGCCATGCCAGACGATGGTCGCCGATGGAGGCATGCAGTAAGAGAGAAGCAATCGTCATTTGTGTCCCCGGTCAGAGGGCGCCGCGGCGACGGGAGGGAACTTGAAAAAGTCGTTGGTCTACAAGAAGAAGAGATTGAGCAATAAAAGAATTTTATTTTTTAATAACGAAAATAATAAGATGGAAATTTTGAAATATTTAATTTTATTAGTTTTTAGTTGCCAAATCATATATTTAACGGTCAACTTAAAGAATTGACTGTCACATAAGCAAAAGGTAACGGAGTTGGATTGAGAGAGACCAGATTTTACATTTTTTAGTAATTTTGGTGACCACAAATGAAATAAAATATTTTTAGTGATCGACCATTTTAGTAATCAAGCATTTAACCTAAACTAAAATGTGGCAATTTCTCATTGGACAGTGACATTGACTTAGAAGCAGGCTACAACTTTCCCAAAAAGTTTGCGTTAGACCTGAAGATTTCCAATTGTCACCTGATTTATTATTATATTTTTTTTCTGTGCATAGTAGACGCCGGTCAAGGGCTTGTTCTTTTTCTTTATTATTTCTGAGAAGAAAACGATTCACCTGTTATATAGAAGTCCATTGATTCTCTCGATTTCAATCCACACAACCATGGAAACGGAACACGGGAAAGCTGGCACCGTCGCCGCCGGAAGGGAAGAGACGGCGAAAGAGGAGGAGCTCACTCTGTACTTGCAGCTGAAAACTTGCATTTGGGGGATTAACGTATTCCAGTCCCCCGTTCGCCAGAGCCAGACAAACACAGACGACGTCGTAACGCCTAAAGTCGTCTGCGACGTCGACATCCACGACGGCGGCCGTTTCCCTCCAGACATGGCCGCTTTCCAACTAGACTCCAAAATCTATTTAGTCGGCGGCGGCGGCCCCAACTCCGGCGCTTACGTATACGAACTCTGTCCCCAAACGAGCCAACTCCAGATCCCGACCGCCATACCCCACAGGTTGAAATCCCCAAAAGTCAATCCAATCGCCGAAAACATCGCCGGCAAGATCCACGTCCTCGATCGCGACCTACAATCACCGCCGTCGTGCCACGAGGTTCTGGAATTCTCCGTCGATTCAAAAACCTGGAACTGGAATTCGCTGCCCCCGCCTCCTCTGCCCCCGAATTCCACCATTCCGCTCTACTTCGTTCTCGCCCACAAGCTTTTCGTCCAACGCGTCGGCGGCCACGAAGAATCCGCCGCCGCGTATTTCTTCTTCGACACAATCTCCAATTCGTGGATCCCCAATCGCGAACCTTTGGTCCGATCTCCTCCATCTCCATCCTCCGCCGCCACCGACGATTTCCAGCTCATGGGTGGAAGGACGCTGAGAAACTGCCCCGGATTCGACGCGATCAAGGGCAAAAACGGCAACCCCCTCCACGTATTCGTGGCGTATCAAGGGGATTTCGATGTGATTGGGGAGAACAAGTATGTGGGCGCGTTTCTCGTGGACGGCGGCGGAGGAGAAGGGCGCGTGGTGGCGTATCAGAGCCTGGAGACTGCGTTGTTTGGAGAGAGCAGTGATTCCGGCGGTGATTTCTACCCGGAGGAGTATCCCTACGGCGTCGTTGACCTGGGGGATGGGGTGATTTCCTCGGTGATAGCTGGATACCGCGACGATGAGCGCGACGTCGTTCTGGTGTGTGTTTTGAGATTGAGTAAGAAGCCGTCTTTTGAGTGGACTGGAAGGGCGAGTTGGGCTTTGGAGGAGGAGTTTCTGGATGTTGAGGTATTGGATCGGCGGGTGTATGGATTGGATGGACTGGAGGAATCTCTTCGATCTCCAGTTTGTAGTGCTTTCTTGCTTTGAGCCCAATGGGCTTGTCTAGCATGGCTAATAAAGAGCCTTTCTAGCGGGGCTCATTCTTTCTTTACGGAGCCCATTTATAGGCCCGTTTTTTAAATTTTTGAGTGTCGGTGTGGGAGACAAATTGATTGGGGCCCGCTTACGGATTAACGCAAAATCAGTGATTAAATGCGCCGGCGGGGGCCGTGACTGACTGCCGTCAATATGACGGTGGTGACGGTGATGTCGATTTCCCGTCCCCGCTTCCCCAACAACCTTTTATCAGCCGGCCGGCCCCACTACCCCATTCCCTCTGAACCGTAATATTTGGATTATTTACAAACTAGTGCCCTATGGAACAATATCATCCAAAAACAATCCCTGATTGTTATTCGGAAGATCGTATAACTCGATTTGTATGTTTATATTGCATAGAAATTGTTCATGATGAAATTGAAGACGTTAAAGAAATATTGTGAAGATGGTATTTAGCTCATTATCTTACTAAAGTATGCTTTTTAGAGCTGATGCTCAACTGGTCATTTGGAGAAATAAAATGGTTGCACAAAAATTGTAACCCACAACTAGCACATCTAATTCCGAAAGTTTTAATATATATTTTTTCTGTAACCCAAGGATAACATCGTACATTCCAATGGGTTCATGCTATAACCCCCACTACACACTTGGGGCTCATTGGTCATAGTGTGATTAGTTAACAAAATATATAAAAAAGGGGTAAAATGTTCGAGAGATGCAAATTTGAAGGAGTGAACTTGTTATCAATGGAACTGTAATGGAGATGGAGGGATATTAATTATTAGGCAAAATACACTTGTATAGGCATAACTTTCACACTTTTGACAAATATAGCCATTTTTATTCGAAAACCACAAATAGCCAACAAATCGGATGGTCATGAGACAAATTTAGCCATTTCCGTTAGAAACTTTAACGGTGTTAAAAGCTCCGTTAGTTAGGTTAACGTTAGGCTGATTAGGATGCCAAATCATCACCCACGTCAGCGACCAGTCATCATATTATTGCCACGTCATTTTCAGTTACAAAAATAATTAATTTTGAAATTAAAAAAAAATATTTTTTCTAACTTTCCCCCTTCCCTCTGCTGTGCATTATCTCTCAACCTTCCTCTGCCATCGTCATATCTCAAAAAAAAAACTCAATCCTAAAAACCCAGATCAAGAACCCTTCGTTGATTTCCCAAATCTGCCTTTTCCCATCTTCCTAATTTGTCTCGCTTGAATCCTCCCCCAACCATAACCAAAAGCCCCAAATCCAAACCCAGCCTTCCGTTCCCCAAAATCCCTCCATCCCTCCGACGCAATCTTCAATCTGTGTCCCCAAACAAGATCCCGGCGACGTTTAGTCGCAACAGAAGTGGCCGTCGACGCGACCGCCAGTAGATCCAGTCGCGGTCCAGCTCCTTGTCGTGTCCGCATCATCACCGTCGAGGATCGGTATATCCAGTCGTGCTCAGCCCAGTCAAACCTTAACTCCGGCGACCACGAAAGCTTAGCCATAATCGACCTCCAAGTCGTCGCGTCGACACAAACTCGGCCTCTAGTTTCGAGAAGAACAGGAGCTCCAGCCGACGGATCTGACTCGTCCCCGCCGTACGTGCTCAGCATGCTAGACCCAGATCAGGCGTCGCTTTGATTAGAGATTCAAACTCAAAAATACCCAAAATCTCCAGAGAACATACCTAACCCCCTCCGTCTCCGATTCAGATATGCCTCACCGATCCTACCGCACAGCCAGGCCCTGCAACTCCTTCGCCGCAGCCCTCTCGCCTTCAGCTCCTCGTACCGGCTCGCCTTCACCATTTCCCCCAATCGAACGAGCATGAAGCCGACGTTCATCCCCAGTTGCTCGAACCCTCTCAACTCGCTCTCCCACATCTTAAATCTCTGCCTCATCCGCGGAGCCAACCATGGACGAAGCTGCCATGATGGCGACGACGATTGAGGATGAAGAAGTGCTTGTGGTGGTGGTGGTATTTTAGGTGGCGATGGGTTACGGCGGCGGCTTGAGGTGCTTCTCCACCTCGAGGGGATCCAGCCGGCTAAGAGGGTGTCGATTGAAGCGTTGATTTCCAGGGATAGACAAAGGGCAAATAGATTTTAGGGATTTCATGTGGTTGTATTGGGGGATTTGTGTTAATTTGTTCTTTTTTGTTTAAATTTGTTTTCATTTTTTTTTTCATTTCCACGTCGGAAGGTGGGGTAACTCAGTGGCCAACTCAGCGCAAGCCGTTAGTACAGTCATAACGTCTACTAACATCGTTACCAAAATGGACGGAATTAGCTATTTGTGATTTTCGAATAGAAATGACTATATTTGTCAAAAGTGTGAAAGTTATGGCTATACAGGTGTATTTTGCTTAATTATTATTATAAGAATTGCTGCTGGCGTTGCTTTTCAACTGTCAGTTAGTGTTCGGCGCCATTCACGGATCTTCGGGTACCGCGCCCCTCCCATACCGTAAGTCCGTAACTAGAAGAAGATGGGGGACTGGGTCTGGGTAGTTGGTGTGCAAGCTGCGAAATCTGCCTGCCTGCAATGCATGCCATGAATGCAAAAAAATATACAGAGAAATACATAATACGATTCATTGATTTCTCTCATTAAAACCCAACTCATGTTCGTCTTCTCTCTTCATTTTTCTTTCTTTCTTTCATGTTGGTGTTACCTTCTGTTTTTCCTTTGGCTGATTACCTGGGTCGGTTAGCTTGACTACTCCTAAAGGGGTAGTGATTTTTGACACCCCCTTTATGATTGGCCAATTCTATTTCCAATCATTGGCAAGTATTAATTAAACTGGTTTTTTATTTTTTTTAATCTTGTAATTTGGGGTCTCTCACCACATTGGAAAAGAGAAAGAATCTGGGGAAAAACGAAATCACCCCCATTAATTACATAATTAATTTCTCTCACCGGTACATTAATTACACGTACCACTCCACTGGTACACGTGGACAGTGGAGTGGTACGTGTACCAGTGGAGTGGTACGTGTACCAGTGGAGTGGTATTTGTATCATTGAAGTGGTACTGCATTGTTGCTCCGTTATTGTTTATCATTGTTATGAAAAATATCATTGCACTGGTATTGTTCTCACTCTAACCTACCTTGTGGATTGCTCGCACCAGTGGAGTGGTACGTGTACCAGTGGAGTGGTACGTGTACCAGTGGAGTGGTACGTGTACCAGTGGAGTGGTACGTGTACCAGTGGAGTGGTACGTGTACCAGTGGAGTGGTACGTGTACCAGTGGAGTGGTACGTGTACCAGTAGAGTGGTACGTGTAATTAATGTACCAGTGAGAGAAATTAATTATGTAATTAATGGGGGTGATTTCGTTTTTCCCCATATTCTTTCTCTTTTCCAATGTGGTGAGAGACCCCAAATTACAAGATTAAAAAAAATAAAAAAACCAGTTTAATTAATACTTGCCAATGATTGGAAATAAAATTGGCCAATCATAAAGGGGGTGTCAAAAATCACTACCCCTTTAGGGGTTAGCATAGTATCCTACCCCTTATTTCTCCTTTACGGAGCCAAGATGGGTAATTGATTTGATGTTTGCCATCCGGTGCCCACGTTGCATGTGAATGTGATCCCTGCTTTTCTTTTCTCTGTCTTGTTTTTTTTAGCGACGGGGAGCTGGGGACAATCATCATTCATTTATTAATCTTGTATACCAAAGTAAAATATTTGATAATGTTTGGCTTAAGAAATAGAATGGTATGTTTGGATAAAAATTGACTTTAGTAAGAATTAGAAGTGAATTTATATCAAATTTTTTTTTGTTCAACTTTGTATATGGTATAATTCCTACAATTATAATATAAAAAAAATTGAACCAGACTTGTTACTGTTTTTGTTGGACTCCACCAATTTCGTCTCCATAAATCTAATTTCAATAACTTTGGATAGAATTTCCAATTCTCAATATTTAAACTTTAAAGGCTAAATAATATTTTTTTACGCATTTCCATTCTAAACACAAAAAAGTAAGAACTTTCTCACGGTAGTTCCACATAACACATGTATATCATGAAGTCAATTTCATGATAAGTTGTGTAGTTTTGTTAGCGCAAAATTTGATAATTCTAGTCACTCAAATAAGGTGCCAATCGTTCAGTCTTACATCTTGATTTACAGAAACTAAAATACAAGTCTGGTTCATTTTCCTGCACAAATAAATTCGGGATTCCCACCACTAATATATTCTCTTTCGATAATTTTTTTATAGGAACTGGTGTCCTTGCATGAATTTCTTTTTTAACTTTAAGTTAGAAATGTCAATGATGACACGTTTAGAATATCGAAAAAAAATCAATGTTTTATGTTCCTTTTTTATTTTCCAAATCGTAAGTTAATTTGGATTATTTTATGATAACAAATAAAATAATATTTTTGCTTCGTACAATTGCAATCGTTATATATACTGTTTTTCAAATGCATCCACCTAACCAAAATTTAGTCGAAAACTAGTGGAATCACTCCAACGGAAATCCAATAAAAAGCTCATCGATTTACATCAATCTTTGAATATTGCCCACGGACTAGGCCTTTTCAATTTTAATTCCACCTAACCAAAATTTAGTCGAAAACTAATGGAATCACTCCGACGGAAATCCAATAAAAAGCTCATCGATTTACATCAATCTTTGAATATTGCCCACGGACTGGGCCTTTTCAATTTTAATTCTTAGTCCAAACATCTTATGTCATGATCGAACTTTGATACACAAACCGTGCTTAATCAGCCGGGCCCAAAAATCATGTCCTTTCACCTCCGCCTGCGTGCGACCCTTTCAATTGTAGTCACGAAAATAGGAACACCAAACATTGTCGTACCATCCCTCTCTCTCTTTCTCTCTGCACTCAATTCTCCATAAATAAATGCAATTGCTTCTTCTGGGTCATTATACCCCTAACGATCTGACTCAATCATCCGTCCCAACCCAAAACCCTACTAAAAATTGCCAAATTTGAATGCAGACCTAAGCTCAGAACTCATCACTTTGATTTGCATCCATCGATGATTTCAGCACGCAGTAATAATTGCAATTGGTAGACACCTCCATCAACCTGCCATGGCATCATCCTTTGGTGTTTGCCATCATGACCATTTAATACGCACACCAACACGTTGCTGGAGTTACCTGCTCTGCTCCCCATAGAATTAAAACCTAGAAATGGTACATAAGTTTAGCACTACATTTCATTAGCAGCTGAATTCGGTTACAGTACTACTGCACTAGTGAGGCTATCGGGTCACTAGCTCCGTCCCACGTTCCCTGTCAACGACTGACAGGGAACGCATAGCGACGACCCAACAACGTCAGCAGCACTGTAGCACAATTGCTTCCAGGTAACCACCGGCAAACCAATAGGCTGGATCAATCGGTTATAATAATGGACCGCTGTACTGTGAGTGAAGAAATCACTTCCATAGCTGTCCCCCTCAGTAAACTAGTCCATAAACTAAGAAGAATTATTCAACCCTTCCAACAAAATCGGGGTTTAGATCAGATCCATGGAAAATTGTTTAAGGAGGGAGGCAGAATATTTACAGGGTGGACAAAACAGTAAAGAACAGGCTGCACGACAAAGAACATGGAGGGAGTAGGGGGAGACCAGAACCATTACAGCGAGCAAACATAAAAGAAAGGACCATACCGTACCACTAATATGGCTACTGCTAACCACTAACATGTAGATATTACTATATAGTCACCTAAAATAAAAATAAAAAAAGATATTAGAAATTTTCGTCACCTAAATTATGTGCATCGTCGTGGTGGTTTTGGTGGGGGTGAGAAGAAAATAGTGAGTGCTCTGCTCTGCGAAGCAATTCTGGAAAGCAAGCTCATGTGCCATTTCCTCCCCACGCTCCTTCTCTCACTCCTCTTTTAGTAGAGCCTCCACGGATCTGTCTATAGTGATCTGTAAGTGAATAAACAAAAGGGAGAGAAGAAGAATGCATAAATGGATCAGCAAACCAAGGTCACTGCTACCGCACATGTAATGCATCATCTCATAAGTCATAAGCATCCCCGATATTATGGTGTGCCGATTAAATAAAAAAGAGAAGAGGAAGTGAGGGCATTGTCATTTGCCCACAAACACGATCTAGTTTCGGGGGAGTAGCCAAAAAAGCAGAGTGAAAAAAGGGACGGGGAAAGCAGGTAGATGTAATTGTTGTAGGTCCAAGCAACAAAGGGGGAAAAAAAAGGCGACATAATTGGAAGGGCTTTATATTTTTATCTCCAGATGAGAAAGCTGGCGATGCATGGTCCCTGTTTCTTTACAATGCAAGGGTATTTTTCAGCTCGTTACCATTTTTTTTACCTTCCCTTTAGTAGGAATCAGAGAATGGGACAAAAGAGAGGCAGGCCAAAATGTACTATGTTGAAAATTGACATATTGGTTTATAGGGAATGCTCCAGATTTGGGTCCTTTGGTTCTAGCTGGTGTTCCTATGCATGTTTCATAGTGTTTACCAGATTCGGTCGAGAAAGAATCTTTACTAAAAAATGATTTCACTAATGGAAGATTAAAACTGGATTGGGTGCTAGTAATAAATGTAAGCGCAGCAGGGGGGGTGTAAGAAGAATACTAACTTCATGTTGCTACTGCGGCATCAAAAAGGTAAACTCTTGGAGGTTGAACTTGCTGTGAGTGCCTTGAAGTGCTCCGAGGGCGCGAAATCCTGAGGCAAATTGGCCCTCTTGGCAATCCTCCTCATGTTGTTCTGCAGACTCTGTTGCACCAATTGCTTCACCGCCTTCTTCTCCTCGCTCATCATGCCTTCCACCTCCAGCAAGCACTCGTTGGTATCGTTGTCGACCTGAGCAGAAGATGACGACGTGCCACATATAGGAGCAGAAACTGCCGGCCCCAGATTGCCTCCATAATGCTCGGAAACTTGCTTCCCTTTATCTATTCTGAGGCACTCGAGTATCCTCGAAGCCCTCTTCTGTGCCAAAGCGCTCCCCAGAAGGGTCAATTCAAGCAGGGAGAACACGACCCCAGCCTCAATCATTGCCTGTCGATCTCCATATGATTTATGAGCCATCACCATCAAAATGTAAGAGGCCTTCTCTTGGCAACCGGGCGAATCGGTCCAGTTCAACACGTCGACCAGAATCGGGAATGCATCCTTTGCGCTGCTGATTTCCTTTCTGCCTTCAGGGGTTGATACTACATTGCTCAAAATTGAAAGGATCCTTTCACTTACTTCCATGTCCCCCACTACATTGAGGAGATACTGGACCATATCCGTTTCTAGAATAAACGTGACATTCGATGGGTCGATCGACAGGTTGTAAAGAGCCCTGAGAGCATCTTGTTTTGCTTGAGGGCTGGTCTTGTGATCTGAATCCTTTAAAGTACCTAACAAGAATGGGATTGCACCTGAAGCACCGATGATCGGTTTGTTCGAGTCCAGTGCGCTCAATCCGAGGAAATTAGCTACTATTGCCTCGGATACTGATGGGTTTGGAGCGTTGGGAGATGATATAATCGTTAGCATCTTGTGGACAGCCCCTGCTTTGACAATGGCAGCTTTGTTCCTGCAAAAGAAAAGTTTGTCAAAACGATTCCACCCCCTTAAAGTCAGTTTCCAGCCAATCACCAGGAGGTTTAAGTAGAAAAGTAGCACTAAATACCAAAAGAAACGCCTATGCCGGTAATTCAAAGAAAACAATTAAATGCCAAAGAAACGCAAACCCCATAGATCCTTTTCAATCCAAGAAATACAGTCCTCTGCTGTTAATTATAACATGGAAAATGACCGGTGAACCAAAGGTCAGGATTCAAGAAATATACTGTAGCGGCAAATAAAGAAAGCAGAGAAACCAACAAATGCAAGAAAATGACCAGACGAGATGTCCTCGATCTGGAACTGTAACAGACGGGGATAAATCAAACAAACGTATAATTGAAGCGAACATTTATCCCAAATTATCATCGGAATCTTAATCCACTTGCAGAAAATGACTGCTGGTCTAGCGGAATCCATAACTTGCAGATTTGCTGTGCTTACGATCGATCAAGCACTCAATTGAAAAATGGCAGACATAAAATGCGCGAAAAGGAATAGAGGGATACTTACTCGTCGTTCCCGATGCCGAGATTGAGCAAGGAATAGAGGGAAGCGATCTGAGAATCGGCGTCTTCGAAATCGAGCATGCCGACTAGAGGAGGAATCGCACCTAACATAGCCAAAGTGACTCTAGCTCCAGAATCTTCTTTCGCTAGTAACCTCACCTGGCGAGCAGCTTCTTTCCTCTTCTCTTCTTCGTCTTCCAACTGCAATTCCTTCACCGCTCGCTTCAGCTCCTCCAACGCTTCGACTTTCTTCTTCGTCTCCGCCTCGCTCTCCACCTCCGCAATGCTCAAGAGATCTGACAGCCTCTCCGATTTCACACTCCTCACAGCTGATTTCCCGCACCTCTGTTCGCTACTAGCACTCGTTGCACCCTCGCTCGACGCCGCCAACGCCGGCGACGGCGCCAAGGCGGACTTCGCTGAGACGGCGGTGTCGGTGGAGGAAATGTCGTCGGCGACATCATCAAGATCGTGGTGACCGTATCGGGAGCTTCCTCCGCAGCTGACGGCGTCGAAGATTTTACGGCGAAATGAAGCGGCGGAGAAGGCAGTCCAGAGACGGAAATTACCAGCCCCCGAGGCGGCGGCGGAGGAAGTCGGGGAGTGATCCAGGACTAGAGATCCGACGTTGTGGTGGTGACACTTGGCCATTCTCGATGAAAGCCAAAACCCGCGAAGAAGCAGGGGAATCAGCGACGAACGGAGAAAGATGAGACTGGACAGTTTGGTGATTTTGTCCCGGAGGTCTGCGTCGAAGCTTTTTGCTGCCGGTGAAGGAGTGCTGAGGAAGAGAGAGGGAGAGAGTGGGGAGAAGCGGAAAGGGAAAGGAGTGTTGGGGAAGAGCAAAGTTTTTTTTTTTATTTCGTTATTATTTATATAAGGGGGCGCTTGTTCTTCTTCTTCTTCTTCAATCTTCATTCTTCAAGACGTAGTAGGTCAGTGACATTGAAAAGGACGAGGGCAGGCGATAGCATAAGATATAATTAATTACTAAAATAAGAGAACAGTGCTACTAATCAAGGGTCTGCTGTTTGGCTTGGTGCAGAGGATAGTACCATAAGAAATAGTGCTTCAAACGAGACATATATTAATGTGCAGCAGCTACCACCACCAATAATAATATCCTACAATGTGCTTATGAGATGAAGCTTAGCTAGGGTCTAGGGGTGCTAATTTCATTTGGGTTTGGGTAATCGAATCGAAATCCATGGAACTTGAAAATCGTAAATGTTAGCCTTTAAAAATTGATCCCAAAATCTTATCGATTTTGGTTAGAATAAACCGAAACAGAATCAAATCGTTTTAGGAAAACCAAACACAGTTTCTTTGAGGCCAATGGGTTTCGGGTTCTTATTGGTTTCTTGGGTTAAATCAAAACTGAAACAGCTAATATGCAGTCGGTTTGAAATCGCAAACCCGAAACCAAAAGTGTTCTTAACGAGTAAGTTTTGGTTTAAACCAAAAATCCAAACCCAAATCGACATGCTAGCATGAAGCAGAGTAGAATGATCTTCGTCTCTCCCTGACCAGCCGGTTTGAAACCCCAAACCCAAAACCAAAAGTATTCCTAACAAATCGATTTTAATTTAAACATATAAATCAAAACCGAACCGACAAGCTTGCATGAAGCGAAGTAGAATAACCTCCGTCTCTCCCTGACAAGGTCTATTATCTTGCCTTCGACTCTCCTTATATTGTTCAATTTTGGGCGTCTCGATTTCAAGACGAATCAATATAATGAGATTTAACGTAATGAGTCGTTTCCAAACGATCTCTAGGAGAGCATGTTCATTATTCATGCCCTTGTATTTAGAGGGCGACCTGAAAGTTGAAACCTTGCTTTGTGATGCTCCAATTGATACGAAAGCAAGAGAGTTTATGATTTCACTTGTTTGGCTTCTGTAACGATTCTCCTTTATCGAGTTCGATCAATTTGTAGTTTATTTTTTAGACAACGTTATCGTACAATTGTTTCCACAACCAGAAGATGAAGTGGGTCTTTTACACTTATGGCGATTATGATAATATACAAGATTCACTAGCAGGGAGAACATAACTAAACTAGTCATTGGCTACCAGGACTTCCATTTGCGGGCTGCTCTCCACTTTCCTTACAATCAGCTTCTTCTGCGGCGGGAGATCGGAAGAAGGATCCGAGTCGACAATGACAGCATCTTCCTCTTTGAAGTCCCCTCTCAATACCCCCATTGCAATTTCATTCTCGACCAGCTGCTGTATCACCCGCTTAACTGGTCTCGCCCCAAAGTTGGGATCGAATCCCAATGTCGCCAAGAGATCGACAGCTTCCTTCGTGTACTGAACTTCTATCTTCCTCTGCTTCAACCTATCTCTCACCCGGTTCAGCTACACATAACACATGAACAAATTCAACATGCTTCAGCTTAGCAACTCTTGTGTGAGACTATTGCATAAATGGATTCTATGGAGTATATATATTGTTTGTTTTAGACTTGGAAACTGAAACGAACAGGCACGGCAAGTATCGGGGTTTTACCTGTATCTCGACGATTTTACTGATCTCTGTGGAGTCTAGAGGTTGGAAGACGATATACTCATCGATCCTGTTCATAAACTCCGGACGGAAGGTCTGCCTCGCGAGCTCCACGACTTGCTGCTTCATGATATCGTAGATTACATCTTTGCCATCTCTTGTATTGCGAAGAGTGTCGAGTATTAAGTGAGAACCAAGGTTCGAAGTCATGATCACGACGCAGTTGGTGAAACTAACGGTCCTTCCTTGAGAATCTGTTATCCTTCCGTCATCCAACAACTGCAACAAGATGTTGAACACATCATGGTGAGCCTTCTCGATTTCGTCGAAGAGCACCACTGAATACGGCCTCCGACGAACAACTTCAGTAAGCTGGCCGCCCTCTTCATAACCGACATAACCAGGTGGCGCCCCGACCAATCGTGACACAGCATGCTTCTCCATGTACTCAGACATATCAATTCTCACGAGCGCATTCTCTGTGTTGAAGAGGTAGCCAGCAAGGGCTTTCGCAAGCTCGGTTTTGCCAACCCCAGTAGGTCCCATGAACATGAAGCTGGCAATGGGCCGATTTGGATCCGATAAACCGGCCCTAGATCGTCTTATTGCATCAGCTACTGATTTCACCGCCATGTCCTGACCGATCACCCTCTTGTGAAGTACCTCTTCTAGGCAGACCAACTTCTCTCTTTCGGATTGTTGGAGGTTTGATAGGGGTATTCCAGTCCATTTGCTTACAATCTCCGCAATATCAATATCGGTAACCTCTTCACGAAGCAGAGAGCTTCCGGACTTCCTGAAGTCGGCCAGGTTTTTCTCAGCTTCCTCGAGCTGGCGTTGAAGGGACATCAGTGTTCCGTACTTGAGTTCTGCAGCGCGATTTAGGTCATAGTCACGTTCGGCAGCTTCCATTTCCAGGTTGACCCTATCAATCTAATGGTATGTTGGACAAGTAAACAAAATATAAGCTACAAAGCAGTGCAAATTTGCTGATAAGCAACAGAAAAGGGAAAAGAAGACTAACCTCTTCTTTGACTGACCGAATTTTGTTCATGAGAGCTTTCTCACTGTCCCATTGTTCATTAAGTTCTTTCTGCTTTTGTTTCAGTGTTTTGAGATCATTCTCGAGCTTGTTTAGTCTTTCTTTGGATGCTTTATCAGTGTCGTTTTTCACAGATAGCTTCTCCATCTCCAGCTTCAGCACAGCTCGGTCCACCTCATCCAACTCTGTAGGCTTAGAAGTTATCTCCATTTTCAGCTTTGCAGCTGCCTCATCAACGAGGTCGATGGCTGTTCAGAAAGATAAAGTCAGAGAAGTAACAAAAACTTAGCTGCTTCATGTAATATTACACTCGAGCAGTTAATTATAATCAGTAAATAGAGCAACGATAATTTACTCCTAATAGTGTATTCCATTTACTCTGAAGCAGCATTATCCTATAACATTTACACTAATTGTACATCATGTTTGCATTGGCTAAGGATAAATAGTATATGGCAAGCAAGTGCAAGAAGTCTCTTTTTCCTCCTCGCTAACCTAAGGAGTTCTCTTTAGGTCCAGAGGCAACGACTTATAGGCTACCTAAATTACAGTTCTCCTATGGCATCACATAGCATTAGCGGTACGATTTGTAATACGTGGAGCCAAGATCTTGATCACGGGTTGAAACTACTGACCACTTTTTCAATATTCAGGTGAGGAAAAGTACTATACTCACCTTTGTCTGGCAGAAAACGCTCGGTAATATATCTGTCAGCTAGAACTGCAGCTGACACAAGTGCACTATCTGAAATCTTCACACCGTGGTGCAGCTCATAGCGCTCACGCAACCCACGTAGAATTGATATTGCATCTTCAACGGACGGCTGAAGACAAAATACCTGCTGAAATCTACGTTCCAGTGCAGGATCCTTCTCAATGTACTTCCTGTACTCATTCAATGTAGTTGCTCCTATACATCTGAGCTCACCTCGTCCGAGCATCGGCTTCAATAAGTTTCCAGCATCCATGGCTCCAGAGGTAGCGCCTATTTCAAGATCATTAAGAAATGGATCAGCTGTGGCATGCACTAACATCCTTATCATAATTTGGAACTGAAAGACACCTTTCAATAATTCCACTTGACTCCACTAATTTTCAGGGAGATGGTCTATGCAACAACTCCAACAGTCGAAATGAACAAGCAGAAGGGAACTAACTCACCAGCACCAACCACTGTATGGATCTCATCAATGAATAGAATGATCTGTCCATTTGACGAAGTAACTTCCTTCAGAACAGCTTTCAACCTTTCTTCAAAATCTCCTCTAAACTTGGCACCGGCTACCAGTGAACCCATATCCAATGATATTAGCTGCAGATCCCACATATAAATCAAAATACTCAGATCCATTTAAAAGGGGAATTCTAATTGAACAAATACAATTCTGTCCACAAAATTATAGATCTCTTGTTTTTCACATTGTACCATTCTTATGAAAATCACCATACTAACAATGAGGGGAGAAGCTAAAGCTACAGAGACAGAAAATAATCACTACAAGCATATACGTCAGTTTGCTCCAGCAAAAGATTGCAGATGTTTGAAGAATGAAGACAATAGAGTGTTACCTTCCTGTTCATTAGTGGTTCAGGCACATCGCCACGCACTATCCTTTGGGCCAGACTGAAAAAGAATATACAAAGTTTGTTCAGAGGTCAGAATTTGTACATAAAAATGAAAAATGGTACGGTAACAAGCAACCCATCTAAGACATGTAAAACTGGTTCTAGTAATATTATCGCAGTCAAACCAATGCGGCCTAAGACTTCACGAGAAGAGAAAAAAAAGATACATTCCTAAGTATTTATTCAAGACTGATCTAAAGAATTAAGAAGCCTTCTCTTAGCTTAACCTCGTGTTAGAAATGAGAATGATGATTAAACTGGGGTAAAAACTATACTGGCAGTAAAACTGCAGCAACTTGAATAACAAGTATAAAGCCAAAACTACATACATAAGCAGTTTGCACATGCAAATCAGTTCAGAAGGATGCATCCAAAGATAGCATGAACAATAAATCATTCAAAGCAATAGAAGTGAGATGTGCCAAATGCAACTCACGTTGATGTTCAACAGACGTTGAGACTGGAATTCCTAGGATAAGAACATACCCTTCAGCAATTGCAGTTTTTCCCACACCAGGTTCACCAATAATGACAGGATTGTTCTTTGTTCTCCTCGATAAAATCTGAATGCATCTCCGAATTTCATCATCTCGACCGATAACAGGATCAAGCTTCCCGCGCCTAGCAAGTTCAGTCAGATCATTCCCATACTTTTCCAGTGCCTCGTACTTCCCTTCAGGGTCTGTTAATAGCATAAGAACAACTTGTTGAATAGACAGAAGCTAACAAAACATTAGCAGCTCAAGTTTAAACAACAATTACACGAAGCTGGAAATTCTGGACTCCTGGGAAAGATTCCTTCTCGACTCGACCAGAAGACATTTATGAGTAACATTTGTTGGCAACTCAAGTCTGTCTTAATGACCCCCAAGAAATACCCAATTTTGCATATAAAAATGATAAGATTTCAGCTCTTACTTTGATCCGTTACTCTCTGATTCCCTCGAACAGCTTGAATGGCATCCTTCAAGTCCTTCTCACTGAGCTGAAGATTCCGGAACAATTGTTGCCCAAAACGTTTGTCCGAAGGAAACGATAAAACAAAATGCTCCACCGATACAAAGTCATCCCCCATATCTTTCTTGTTTTTCCGAGCAAGATCGAGCAGTGAAGCAAGATTCTGGCCCACTACAGGGCCACTTGTATCACCCATTACCTAAAACAAGAAAACTATGAGATTTAAAAATCACCACCTATATACTTGCACATGAATCTATCTACATAACACACAAGACACTTTAAGGGTTGAAGATTTTCATGGAATAGGATGCAGTCCAAACCTTTGGTTGATGAGCTATGAAGTCATTGGTAGCTTGCAGAACTGATGAGTTGTCAAGCCCAGCCTTGGTGAATATTCTCCTAGCTAACCCATCCCTTTGCTCCAATAGGGCTTTCATCAAATGCTCAGTTTCCACCACTTGTTGCTGGCTACTTCGCGCTGCATCGACAGCAGCGATAATTCCCTCCCATGCCATCTCGGTGAACTCAGTCTGATTTACCTGATCCCCATTCAGAAACACATGAAAAGATACATCAAAACATGCATGATAGAAAGAATACCGACAACATCTCAAAGTATGCCGATATTTACAATTCAAGAGATTGCAAATATGGGATACAATACAAATTACCGCCCAATCTAATGTATTCATACAACAAAAAGGACATACACAAGGATCAGTGATATTGCCGGATTTCTGACTCTAGAGGTTTTCGCCTGGTCTCTAGACTCTAGAGACATTAACTTACAGATAGATACAATGAACACCACCACCAAGTAGGGTAAAACAAATAAGAACTCGAACTGATCGCAACGAATCCATATCCATCAAAATTTCAGTACAACAGACCTGCGAAGAACTAGCTCCGGCGGAGAAGCGAGGAGGCGAAGAGTGAATACCGCGAGCGGACAAGTGCATGGAGGAGTGAAGCATGACGCCATTCTCGGGAAACAGCCGAGTCAGAAACAAGGCGGCGCTGGGATTACCGAGCAGACACGCAGCGGAGGAGACGGGGCGAATTCGGGAGAGGGGCGAGCGAGAGTAAGAAGAAGAGTGATAGTAGAGTCTGGGAGATGCTCTAATGGCTGCCAGAGCCGATTTGGTGAGTCTCCTGGAGGCGGCCATTCCGCTATTGATCAACAACGAGGAAGGAGAATGGGGACTTCAGTTCAGAATCGGATGTGTTGGTTCTGGTTTTTCATTAGGTACTGGGATTACAATTACAGGCGAGAAAAAAAGGTTTCTCGGGAAGCTTGAGGAAGAGGAAAGGAGAATGCTGTAGAACAATTGGGGAGATTCTTCCTTTTCCGGGCCCTTCTACATACGACGTCGTAGCGCGAACGAGAAAATTTTTAAAGAAAATAAATGCTTTCATTGAGAGTCGAACTCAAGACCTCCCACTTACTAAACGGGTGCTCTAACCAACTGAGCTATGAAAGCAATCAAAAAAAAATTTATCGGGTTAATTACATAGTTGGTCACTGAGATTACAAAAAGCGTTCATGTTTGGTCACTCTAAATATTTAAATCCATTTTTGTCACTAACTTTACAAAAACCGCTCATTTATGGTCACTCTCCGTTAGCTGTCGTCCAACGCCGTTAACGGCGTCCGTTAAGTGATGACGTGGCTGACAGATTTGCCTAATCATCACTTTTTAACCCCAAAATTGACTAACCCGACCCGCCACGTCATTTAAACACTCCATGTCAGCTAAACCTAACTAAACCTATAACCAAACCAGACCAGACCCGCTAACTAAAACAGAACTGACCCGACCCACCAAGTAATCTACCCACCTTTGACTAAAACCCTAATCGAAGACAAATCCATCCGCCTCCATCCCGCGCCGCCTTCCTCCCTTCCGTTTTTCTTCCTCTCCAACTCTGATCGCGAATTCGCCGGCGACGAAGGAGGAATGGAGTCCGCCACGCACTTGCCTTGACTCCTTTCTCAATACCCAGTTCAAACTCTCTTCCCATTTTCTTCTCCATCGCGCGCGCTTGACTTCCCCCTTTCTGAGCAGCCAACCCAAACCCTAAATCGAAGCTTCGATTCTCCTCCGCTCTCTGACAACGAGGCCATTTCGCTTTGTTTATTCGATTCTCCTCCCTCTTTCTGAGCAGTCAACAAAACCCTAAAGGTGAGTTTCTGCCTTTGCTTTGTTTATTCGAGCCCTGTCTGGAAAGACTGAAGAGGAGAAAAAAATAGGGGGCATAGGAAAGCATCGAGTGTGTGATATGGCTTTTGGGGGTTCACTTTTAGCTTTCTTGTATACTAAATTGCAGGCTGTTGTTGGTTTTCCAGGTCACCATTTCACCGAAGGAAGCATGGTGGGGCATGTGCAGGCTCCAAATGAAACTCAGCCTAACTATGATAAGTCTCCCGTCGTTTTCGCCCTTGTCATTATGGTAGATGGCTGGTTTTGATGGTAGATGGGTGGTCTGCGTTGTCCTTTTCCACAGTTGGCATTTACTAGAGATGAGGACATCACTTTGGGTAGAATTGGAATAGAAAAATTCAGGATTCTGTGAGAATGACAAAAAATGCAGCCTTAGGTTTGACTTATTCTGTCTTTTAATAGAAAATGGTGGGATAGGACAACCTACTTACCTGCTGCTCCATTACATGTTTTTGAGTGACCAGATGTGGACCTTTACATGTTTTTGTGTGACCAGACGTAGACCTTTACATGTTTTTGAGTGATCAAATGTGGACCGCTACATATCTTTAAGTGACCACATGTGGACCTTTACATATTTTTGAGTGACCAATCGTACAACTAACATAAACTTTCAAATACAAAACATGAAATTTGATTTTTCTAGGGTTACAGTCTACAATACAGAAACGATTACATCAGCAAGGTTGAGCAAATAGCTTCTTACATCCCCAATCCCATCCAGATGAAAGAAAAGACAAGAGCAATCACAATGAAGATGAACACTAGGCAACCATTAGCTTTGGACCCTTGCCCATTTTGCCTCTTCTCTAGTTCTCGAATCCGACAATGAAAGTTCAGCACCACAAACTTCACATGCTCGTCAACTACTGGGTCATGCCATCTGAAGAAATTACATGCCCCATCTGTCTACAGATCCATGCACAAAAACAGAGAGGGATGAAGGAGAGGTGGTCGAATGGTATACAAATCAAAGCAAAAAAGTCAGAAAATCTTACCCCATACTTGCTGCACCCGTAGAACCTGCTCCCTAGATTCGCCTCTGTCCAGCTCGTCTTGAGATCTGATGCCAATCCACAACGACAGAAAGGTGTCGCCATTAGCAGAGGAGAAGGGGATGAGAAGAAAACAGAGTGAGATGTGAAGGTTTGAAGGTTTTTGGAAGATGATAGGATTCTTGCGGTCAGAAAGCCACATAAATAAGATAGATGGGTTGGTGGGTTGGGTCGGGTCTGGTTCGGTTAGAGGTTTGGTTAGGTTTAGCTGACATGGAGGGTAAATGACGTGGCGGGTCGGGTCAGTAAATTTTGGGGTTAAAAAGTGCTGATTAGGCAAATCCGTCAGTCACGCCATCACTTAACGGACGCCGTTAACGGCGTTGGACGGCAGCTAACGGAGAGTGACCATAAATGAACGGTTTTTGTAAAGTTAGTGACCAAAAATGGATTTAAATACTTAGAGTGACCAAACATGAACTCTTTTTGTAATTTTAGTGACCAACCATGCAATTAACCCAAAATTTATCTTTTAATATTAATAATAATGTCAGCTTCACTAGCTCGAGACATCTATTGGATACTTATATTGCTAATAAGTTATTACTATTACTCGATTTTAATAGAACTAATAAATCAATAAATAATTTTCTAGCTAATCCGAACAATTATTTTAACGAGCTGGCTAAGTGTAAAAGATGGGTAAGCGTTGGGAATATATGAAATAGGTTATTTGGATGATTAAAATGTATCAGTGAAGCAGCCGAAGTTCAAAAGCGACGATACGTGGATTGATAAGAGATCACTTGGGATGTTGCCTGGCAACATTTATCTTTAATTTAGGGATTTTGTATAGTAATGAGAGTAGAGAGATCAAATGTGTTATTCAATGACTTCAACTAGCGTAGGTGAAAAGCTCGAAGAGTGCATTTGCATATTGATTCCAAGAAATCGTTTCGTATCTTGAGTCAAAAGATAACAGAGTACAACTATTTGAACCTTGCTCAGTGTAAATCTAAAGATGAAAGATTTTTAATGGTTTCTCGGCTTGACACGTGGTGTGATCAAATAGTGTATTTTCGGAACACATGTTTATAAATCACATATGCGAGTGTGAAGTAGAGCCGCTTTAAGAAGAATGAAAAAAGAAGGTCGGTTCTCTAAGCACTCGTGAAATCAAGTGGTGTTCATGACTAAAACGAACACAACCATGAGAACCAATGAACGGATACTAGTTTGTTCTGTGATATGTGTTGTCTTAGTATACAAGAAAAATCGACGGTTCAAAGATATCATATCTACCGATTGGTGAATATAGTAGATATATGTTCACTACGGAAGGTTCAAAGGGAAACCCACCTATCCCGATGCAACTAAATCTTAGTTGAGAGTCATACGATTTTTTCATAGTTTTTAAAACTTGCATTCTCCATTCACGTGGGGGATTGTTGGGATTTTGAATGGTGTGGATGGGTTTGAAAGGGGGGAAGGAGTCAAGAGAAGCTCTCGAAATACCATATTGGTTATATATGGGAAGGAGGCCTTGGATTCGGTCAATTGATTTGAATTAAATATTTTGTTAATTGGTCAAATTGGTTTGTGTAACCAACCAAACTAAATCGATTTTGAACCAAACCAATGTGGTGGTTGGAGTGAACCAACTGGTCTAAATACCATAGGCCGAACCGATGTAATAGTTCGTAATTTTAAAAGTAACCAATGTGTTGGTTTGGGTGTAACCACCAACCAGAAGGATCACATCCCTTCATTTTCTATAAATAACACCAACACCCTCTATTTTCATATGCGAGTTTTTCCAAAATGTTTTTTCGGCCAAAGAAAGAAAATGTGTTTTCTTCTTCATTAATTTTTTTTCCTCTCTACAAATGCATAAAAGAAAAATAGAGTTGTGTGACTTCTCACCGTTCGTTGCATCCGCTAATTTATGGGGTTTCAAGTATCGGTACGCAAGAAAGAAACCTACGGTCTATCATAAGAGGAATAGTTCCATAACCTTGGGTATCGTAAAAGGGAATTAAATTAATTAATGAGAATAGTGAATTATATTAGCTCAGATGATATTTATGCATGTTTTGACGAGTCTTCATTTCTTTTTCTTCACCTTTTGTCACTTTGATTTCTTTATATGACTTGTGTTGCAATAACCATGATATACATTACAAAATTACTTTATAAAATATATATTTTTTATAAAACTTTATAAAATATTCAAAATCACTTCTATCACATCCCATACATAATCTACTCTCTTAAATTGTTGCATCCCTTTGAATTTTCAAGAAGACACAAACAAAACAAAAAAACACGGAAAAAATTGTATCTATTTAGCCGTAAAAAATGTAAATTAATCACTTTCCATCCAAAGCCCACAAAATTAATGCTGGCCCCGATAACAGAAAGCCCATGTTCTCCTAGTGCTACAATTCCGTATCCATGACTGAAACTAGATAACGCAACAGAGTATAAAGAGGCGGTAAAAGAACAGTCGCTGATAGAGACATAGAGTGAACCGTCAATCTTCTTCTCTGTGAAAAAAAAAAAGGAGAGTAAAACCCTAAGCTTGGTCTCATGGCTTCCACCGCGATCCAGCGACAGCTTGAGGACGCTGGAAATAGGCTCGCTGAACCTCTTTCTTCGGTCGATGAACTTCTTCCCCTGCTCGATGCAAGTCTTCCCCTCTCTCTCTCTCTCTCTCGCTCACTCTATAATTAATCTATGTTTTTTCCCTAAGCACTGCGCGCTCTCTCAGTTGTGTTTTCATTGATCATCTTATGGTTCATCCCCCGAACGCTCGGTGCATGAAGCTTTAGGCTTTCAGAATTACTAAGAATGTCCTTAATTTTCAGTTCCTCTGTGTTTAGAACCAGTTAATTACACGTTTATTTCCTGTATTAATGTATTGTTGCAGCAAGTGGAGAGTTATCTGGCCAAGTTGGAGCAGTCACCAACAGATTCAACGCAAAGGGCACTGGCTCCAGCACAAAATGCACTGGTCACAGACCAGCTCTTGAGGCATCCAGATGCGGATGTCAGAGTGGCAGTGGCTGCATGCATCAGTGAAATTCTGAGGATAACTGCACCAACTGTTCCTTATGACGACGAGCAGATGGTAGATGTGCTGGAGCTGATAGTGTCTTCGTTCGATAACCTGGAGGACACAACGAATCGATCGTATTCCAAAACGGTTGTCATGCTCGAGAGCATGGCCAGAGTCAGGGCATGTGTGCTGATGCTGGACTTGCAATGCGATGCACTGATTACAGACATGTTCCACAAGTTCTTCAACACTGTCAGGTGATGTATACGATCCCTCGAATCGAAATAAATCTCGCGCGAATTCGAAGTTTATTCCCCTGAAGCAGTTTCGGTTTCTCTATTCTGAATCTGCTTCCTGTTTCTGCAGGGACTACCATCCAGAGAATGTCGTTTCTGCCATGGAGACCATTATGACGCTTGTCATCCAAGAAAGTGAGGATAATGTGCCGCTGGAGACCATTACAACCCTTTTGGATAGTGTCAATAAGGGGAATGAGGCAAGATGATTAATAATCAGGATTTCAAATTGTGGTGTTTTTAGATAATTATTGTTGGCCCCAATGTTAATCAGGATTTTTTGTTTGTTGTGTAAATATGTATGCGACCAGGAAGTGTCGGCTGTTGCTCGCAAGATGGCAAGGAGAGTTATTCAAGCCTGTTGTTCGACGGTGAGTGCTGCTTCGACATCACCGGCTTCTTCGCCGGCGGATGGTGGTATGGAAGACAATAATGGTGGTCCAGCAGTTGAAAAGGAGGCAAGCAGCAGTGGTAGTACTGGATCCTGGCTTGGAAGTAGATTCCAATGGCTTTTCAGGTGATGCATGTGTAGCGTAACATATGCTGGGTCTATATTATATATTAGTGCTGGTGAAACTAGAATGCAAATCTCGGAACAGTGATCTAGATGAAATTTCTTTCTACTTTTACATTAAGTGTTGCATGGATTCTTGGTAATAATGTGGTTCCTTTATTATATACGTGGATTCTTGGTGAAATACTGAAATGTGAATGGTGGTTTTGTAATTTATTAGTTACATTATGTTGTACTGCTATCTAGATGTTATTGTGGACGTGGCTTTGCTAATTGGGCTTTCATATCGTGACATAAGAAAACATGCAATTTTTTCATGTTTTGCTTCGATTTCCATCAAATGATGCTAATCACCACAAATAATATAAATAGATTCTCCTTCTCAACCCATCTCGTTACATTTTTCCTGGCTTATGCGCAGACTCGCCGCAGAGTAAAGAAGGGTCTGTTGGTCTTTTGCTTTTTTTTTCTTTGATAATTAGGGTCTGTTGGTCTTTTGCTTTTTTTTTCTTTGATAATTAACAGATGGGTTTCTTGGATATTTGTGAACTCAAAATCCAAAATAACTTACACTTCAAAATAGTGGCTCTATTTTTATATGTAGATAAAATTTTATGTAGATAAAATTTAGGGTTAATACCCTCGTTTGGCACGAAGTATAGCGTTAGTGACATTTCTGGCCCAAGTTTTCAAATAAGACATCTCTGGCCCACTTTTCAAATTATCGGACGAATTTGGCCTGTGGGACGGGTTGACTGTCAGATTTGATGGTCAACAATGTTCTCCGTTGCTTACTCAGCATTGGACTCTGACGTGGCTTCTCCATGTCATTTATTTTTATTTCCCCTTTTATATCCATTTCTAATTAAGTAAGTTAAAAAAAAAAAAACAAAACTAAAGGGAAAGGTGGAGACCACACACTACCCATCTCTTTCCATTCTCCCTTCTTCCCCTGATACCCCACCCCCTCGTATCCCCTTCCCCGATCTTCTCCGCCGCCTCCAATCCGACCCAAATCGCCGCCGCCAATCCGACCCAAATCTTTTTCTTCTTCTTCGTCTCCTTCCTCCTTCGTCTTCTTCCTCTTCGTCGCCAACCCATCGAGAGGAAGCAACAGATTCGAGAGCGCGTGCAATGAGACTGCTGCAACTAACCAGACCATCAAAGAAAAAAGAAGAGAAGAAATGGCAGCAGCTAGTGGGAGTATCTTTTCAAAGCTGCAAAAGACCAAAGAGCCTTCCTCCTCCACTCCAATGCCATTCATTTGAGAGAGGACAAATGGCAAAGACAAAAGGAATATCAATCACTTTGCCTTCATCATCAAACCCTTCTGCCAACGACTTCCATTAATTAATTTGCTTCTTGCACTTGATGACTTGTAAGAAGAAGACGAAGAAGAAGAAGAAGATTTGGGTCGGATTGGCGGCGGCGATTTGGGTCGGATTGGCGGCGGCGGAGAAGATCGGGGAAGGGGATACGAGGGGGTGGGGTATCGGGGGAAGAAGGGAGAATGGAAAGAGATGGGTAGTGTGTGGTCTCCACCTTTCCCTTTAGTTTTGTTGTTTTTTTTTTAACTTACTTAATTAGAAATGGATATAAAAGGGGAAATAAAAATAAATGACGTGGAGAAGCCACGTCAGAGTCCAATGCTGAGTAAGCAACGGAGAACATTGTTGACCGTCAAATCTGACAGTCAACCCGTCCCACAGGCCAAATTCGTCCGATAATTTGAAAAGTGGGCCAGAGATGTCTTATTTGAAAACTTGGGCCAGAAATGTCACTAACGCTATACTTCGTGCCAAACGAGGGTATTAACCCAAGATCAATTTACACGTAAAATGTATAATAAATTCTAAATTATGTGTCCATGGCTCTATGTCACATGTGATTTAGGAAGAGAGAGAATGGATCGAAAATGAAACGTGGAATTGAGGAAATATCCTTTACAAACTTAAAAATAATGTGCTTCGTACAATTTTTACTATTGTTTATGTCACTGCCATCATTATAAAGATTCAGGATCCACCTCCGAGTTGTGGACAAACCAATTCAGATTGACTTTGTTGTGATCAATCGACGGGGCAGTCAACTTTTCAAAATGTCGATTGAGAGAATATTTCAAGACACAATAGAATGAGAGAACCACCAACTGCTCATCACCTACAATTGAGAGAATGACATTAACGTTCAACACCAAACTCGCATATTACAACGTCTCTAACCTTACCCAACAAGTGAGTAAACCATTTCCTACAAAGAAAAAGGATAAGTAAGAGCATTAGTGAGAGGAAATGCATGAAACAAGGAAGGGATTATTGAAATGCTAGAGAAGAAGGAAAAGTCAATTGATATCGAAGATAAATGTGTCACTGATGGAGATGAATACATTATTACCGATGGCGATGACAATGTTGCTCATGGCGAAAGAAATGCATACAACCTAAAATGAAAACATGCAGTAATCTCTGACAATAAGGGGTAAATAGAAAGAGTTCATCGAAAAATTTAGGAGTCGGTTCCCTAGCATGGAGTCTGTAGTTCATTTTAGTAAAACAAAATTTAATCAATGAGTAAGTTACAATGTCGAAAAACACTACGATGTTGATCCTTTTGAATGATTGAAATATTTTAATAATTTGGATTCTTTTATGCTGCCAATTAATTTGGATTTTTGATAATTTGAAGATTGATTTTCTATACTATCAAAGACATGCGTATATCATATATAAATTGCTATTGCTATTTACTTTATTTGCAAATAATCCGGCCAACTGGCCGGGTTCGTGACTAGTATTTTCATATATGTGAGCAAATATGTCTGATATATGACATAAAGAGCAATTAAGTATCATATATGACATATAAATATTAGGGTATTCAATTCATAAATTATCTTAAAGTTGAGGTTGAGTTGAAATTTTGATCTTAATAATAAGCCAATATTCAATAAATGAGTCGGCTAGTGTTCAGCTCGACTCAGCTTGTTCATAAACGAGCCAAAAATCAAGTCGAATAGAATTTTGTCTTATTCAGATTCAGTTTATTTATAAACGAGCCGGACTCGATAAATGAACCAAACTCGAACAAGGCAAAATTCAATTCAATTCGGCTCTACTCGGTAGTCATTAACAACAGCCCTAGCGGCTAGCAGTAGGGATGACAATGGGTCGGGTTGGATCAGATTTTGCCAAACCCAAACACATGGGTTTATCCGTGCAAAAAAAAAGGGGGGGGGGGGGGAAACCCAATGGGTTTGAAAAACTAAAACCCAACCCAACCCGATGGGTATCCGTGGGTTCATGGGCACCCACGGGTTTTTATTGTAAAAAATTTATAATAACAAGTTCCTATAAAAATTAAAGTCAAATATCAATCTCTCAATACAAATTATCCGTATATAAACACCGTTCTAAAAAATTCAAGCAAATCCCAAATTAACTATACAAATTGTTCAACACCAATCTAGAAAACTTAAGAAAATTGAAGCAAATCACAAATTATCATAAATAACATGATTAATTGAAAACTTCTTTCTTTCAATTAAGTGTTTTTACTCTTCACTCGATAACATCAACTTCATTCTATACAATTAGAAATAAAAAATTAGACATGTCTCCACAAACATAAATAAGATTAGTTGTTTAGAATATTAAATATACCGAGAAAATTAATTATATGGGTGTGAGCGGGTACCCATGGGTCGGGTTTACCTAAACCCAAACCTAACCCAACTGGGTAAATAATAAAAGAGTTTAAATCCAAACCCGATCCAAAACTCGTCAACACGAATTTTACCCGCGTTAATCTAATTGAGTCGAGTGAGTAGGCGTGAGTTCGAGTTTTGTTGCCGTAGCCAGCAGCACCAAGCCACCAACCAAATGGAGAACTGAAACCGCGAAAGTGATAGAAACGCCGCCGTGTTATTGAAAGGTCAATCAGTGTAAACGCTCTCGTTTCCTTGACCTAGTCGTCGTTTAGTGCCCAAAACTGAAAATGAAGAGAGAGAAGAAAAGGAGTACTCTAATCTCCCTCTCTCTAATAATTCCGCCTTCCCTCCGTCCGCTCTCTCTCTTCTTTACTGTGGCCATTTTCGTGTCTTCGTTTTAAAAGAGAAGGCCAATCCCCATCCAGAGGAAAGGGCTCTAGCCTCTTCCCTGCTGCTGCTGGCTGGTTTCCTCCATCCCTTCCTTCTTCGCCGTACCCCCTTTCTCCGTTCGCTCTCCGTTGACCTCCAAACCCTAAAGATCTGTTCACTTCGGGCCTCAATTCCACCAATTCGAGGTTAGATCTCCCGTCTTCGGCCTCTCTCGTGTTTCCCCCAGATATAATTTCTAGGGTTTTTGTCCGCCCACCCGCTCCCAGTTCTGTAGCTGTGAGAGAGGGTTCTTCTTACTTTCTCTTGCCTGTAGTCCCCTGTGATTAATTCTTCTGTTTTTTTCCAGATCTGGTGAATCGAGGGCTCCTCCGTCGAGGTCAAAAAAGCTTTTGCATTTTTACCGCCCTCGCCGACGTTGGGCTGTTGAGAGCGACGTTCAGATTCTTCTTTTCTCGGGTGTGGTTCTGTTACTTGATGCTTGATCTTTTGTCAGATCTGGGCTCGATTGGATTGGTTGCTTTTTGTTCTCGACTTTAGTTCTGTGATTTGTTTTGGGGTGGGTTTGAGTTGAGTTCGGGATGTCTATCTTGGCGAAAGGCGAGTCGATTCATATTCGAGAGGTGTGGAATGACAATCTGGAGGAGGAGTTTGATTTGATTCGTGAGATTGTTGATCAGTACAGTTACGTTGCTATGGATACTGAGTTCCCAGGTGTGGTGCTACGGCCCGTGGGCACTTTCAAGAACATCAACGACTATAACTATCAGACTTTGAAGGATAATGTTGATATGTTGAAACTGATCCAGCTGGGTCTCACTTTCTCTGATGAGAAAGGGAGCTTGCCCACCTGTGGGACGGATCAGCCTTGTATTTGGCAGTTCAATTTCCGCGAGTTCAATGTTGGTGAGGACATCTATGCAAGCGACTCCATTGAGTTGCTGAGGCAATGCGGGATTGACTTCAAGAAGAACAATGAGAAGGGTATTGATGTGAGCCGGTTTGGCGAGCTTCTGATGTCTTCAGGGATTGTGTTGAATGAAGCTGTACATTGGGTTACTTTCCACAGTGGGTATGATTTCGGGTACTTGCTCAAGCTCTTGACTTGCAGGAGCCTGCCCGAGACACAAGCTGGATTCTTTGACCTGATCAATATGTACTTCCCCATGGTGTATGACATCAAGCACTTGATGAAGTTCTGTAACAGTCTTCATGGTGGCTTGAACAAGCTGGCCGAGTTGTTGGAGGTCGAGAGAATCGGTGTCTGCCATCAGGCTGGCTCTGATAGCTTGCTCACATCCTGCACTTTCAGGAAATTGAGGGACAACTTCTTCAATGGCTCAACAGAGAAGTATGCTGGCGTGTTGTATGGTCTTGGCGTTGAGAACGGCCAAAATACTAATTGAACAAATGAGAAATTGTGTGAAACAGTATTTGAAGAAAATATTTGTAGACTACCTCTGAGGTGTGTGTGACTTGGTTAATTCTCTTTTGTATACTTTTGGTAAAAGAGAGTGTTGTTTCTAGAGTGACTTTATTTGTAACCAAAACCTTGACCGGGTTTTGTAGCTTGGGCTTTCCTTTGTAAATTATTGCAGTCAGTTAGTGTTCTTCAACTTTCAATAAGAACATAGTAGTTCCTTGCAAGCTTAATTCTGGTGATGACTTTTGACTATGTAATCTATAGATGATATGCTAAGATGTTTGTATCATCAAGTACTGTTAACGGGGAGAACTGCAATTGTTTGAAGCTATAGAAATTTCATCTTTAAGTCATCTCTTTGGCATGATCTCCAACCGTCCTGTATGTATCTGTATGCTTGGCTGAAATGTAGAAATCCATGAATATAGGTAAACTTGCTCTGTTTGAAACCTTCTTTCTGGCTCGTGTATTGGCGATTACGGATTGAGACTCAGGTTATGCAGATGGGATCTGATTTGCAAGATTTGTAGAGTTGGTCCTCAGATCAGTGTAAGTGATGACTTGATCTAATTAAAAATGCAATGTGTAGAGCTTGCTACTGTGCTGGGTTTGTTCGTCGATGGCTGATACACGATGGTTTGTAAGAAGTTCATGCACCCTGCAAACCTTCTCAACTGCGCAAACCAACTCGTTTGCGAAGTTAGGCATATGTAGTGATTTGAAGTGTTGTACATTATGGGTGATAGGGAAGCTTACCGGCCCTCCTTTTGTGATTCAACGGCCGTGTTGAGATTTAATTTGCTGTAGCAAAATACCACACGAATCCCCTTAAGCACATGTATTGAAATTTGAACATGAAGGTTTGAGAGGGACACATGCCTGAATCCGGAATGACAATCCGTAATAGTTGAGCGAATTTTCAGTTAAAAAGAATTAAATACTATCGCTCAATAATGTTAAATATAAGTTACCTGGTATGATTTATAAATGACTATATGTCTATATAATATAGATATATGTACAAATGCACCTATATTGATTTTTTTTTTTGTTGGGAATAGCACCTATATTGATATTGATTGGCAATATCATAAATACAATATATATACATAAATCACAAGTATATTCCATCTATCTATTTTTTATATATCCGAGCTGTATTCCTATGCACTCCTTTTATCATTTTATTCATAATACTTCCATTTTTAATATAAGAAAAAATCTATCTATCTATCTATACATACATAATATTATGGCAATTCAAAATTAGTTTGTTGTCACATAAGCATTTGGAGAATTTACAAGGTGCCATGGTGTACACTTTTTTTTACAACCAAAAAAGTTAGTTAATGATCAATTAATGTAGCTATATCTATATTCTTTTAATATTTTCTTTTTATTTTAATGATCATTTATGTAGCTATATCTATCTTCTTTTAATATTTTCTTTTTATTTTAATGATTTTTTTCAATATATATGTATAGCAGCAGTATACGTATGTTTCGAGAGTGACATATATTGTAATCTTTTAACAAATATATTTGATTAAATCTGATCAATTAATTTTTATTAGAACTTAATATAGTGAAGTTTAGATAATCAACATTTAATAATCAATTGAATTTGAAAAACTAACTATATAATTTTATGTTTTGGTTATCAAACACTATCTTTTTTCTAATGTTTGTATCTATTAATGAAAACAAGTATTAAACAGCAAAATGCTTCAAAAGTTGTTTTTCATTTTGATAGAAACTTGACGAAGTCATAATATAGTACCTGATTGTACAAATGAAGGCGATAAAGAAAAACAACTTTTCTTCTCTCTTATAATGCATGCTTTCATACCTTATTTTCTCTTACATTTGTTCATATTTCCCTTTATTTTTCTTAATAGTTTACATATTTCGGTCAAACAAAGTTGTTAATTACACTTGAAAATACATTAAACTCTTTATATATATATATATATATATATATATATATATATATATTATGACATACTTTGAGTAAGAAAATGATATCTAGACCTTGAATTGACTGGAGTTTGGCATATGGTATTATTCTCAAACCCTTCAAGATTAAAATCTAGGTCTTAAATTTATAAATCTCATATCCTAAGACCAATTTAATTCTAAACAAAAATCAACGGTCATGCTTCATCAAAATATATGCAACACATTACATGCACAATCTTAGGGGTTAAGCTCTATGATTTAGATAACTAAGACATAGGGTTCACTCATCAAGGGTTAGGGTATAGTATCATGCTCACAAATCCGGTTAATTCGTGGTCCAGATAGCGTGTTCTTACGTAGAGTATAGTATCATGCTTAGATATTGACAATAGATGTGGCATTACACCAACAAAATGAAGATATTAGATTAAGTTTAAGCAAATGCATATTTGATAAGTTAGAAAATTATACACCAATGGACCATGTTAAGATTAGAACCCTCGACAGTGTGTGAGTATCTTGGACCGAGATTCTAAACCAACATCTAAACAACGATCATTAGTTGAGGGTGAGTCTAAATTAAACTTCAGGAATTAACAATTGGTACATATTGTATAAGATATTAAATTGAGTGTCTTGATCGACAAATATGATCTTACAATAAGACTAAAACTTCCAATTGGGATGACCAAATTTACCTAATATTGAAGTACCTTTATAAAAACATTCTAACTAAATTGTCGTCATCTGAGCAACATCATTGGTTGAGAGTTTGTCCAAACTCGAGATTCATTGAATGACATATATTGTATAAGATAAATTTTTTTGAGTATCGTTGTTTTAATTTATAGACGCACCACATACTCACGCATTTGAGTATCGTGATATATCTTTGTGACATGATTTATGATCAGAGAATTGAAATATCATAAGTGAACGTGCTAAGCATTGGGAATTTTTAATTTACAGATGCACCGCATACTCACACATGAATGCAAATGTAAAAAATGTAGAAGATCCAAAATAGTTTAAACATATAGATAAATTGATTAGTTGATTAATATAAATGATAAAATGAAACTCACCGGCCAACGGGCCGGGTAAAAAGCTAGTATTACTTCTATTATTCATTTTGTCATTGATGGAAAGGCCAATGGAATGGACGAATGGTTATTATTATTTACAAATTTACTCAATGGCAACTCGCATTTACATAGAAGGCTTAAAAGTTAATTAAGTTGCCAAAATTTACATAGTGATTACTGATTAGTGACTAAGCATCAGAGCCATTTTACAATTTTGCCATCCAATTTTTAATGGTGATAAATATAAGTGTATCACTATAATTTGTCTAACCATATGACCCATTGAATCTAAAGAACAACTACATGGTCCTTTCTAAGTTGTATTGAAGCATGTTCCTACCATACGAAAATTTAATTCAAAAAAAGAGTTGGGTGGATATATGTGGTATGAAATTTGTCCTTCAACTTACGAGTGGTTGCCCAGTTCTCAGGTACTTGTTTTTTTCACTGGTGATGTTTACGAGTGACAAGATTGTGATGCATTTGTGGGCGCCCGCAACCAAATGAACATCGACAAAAGGTGATAATAACATGGCGTTTGACAGGAATGCATAATGGTGGAGGTAGCATCGGCGATCTTCATGGAGACCTTGATGTCGGCTTTGATATCGACGACTTGCGATTAAAAAGTAACAACATTAATACATTATGGCCATTGATATTTCTGCCCATCTTGGTTGAAGTTCTTTGCATCTTTCATGTGGCCATCCAAATAAGATCGATCTGACGATCAATTCTCTTGCTATGGAATTTCCACATACACAAGTAAACTGAAATACCTCCACAATTAACAAACTGTGAAGTAGAGTTTCGTGCCATTCATTAGCGAGCCAATGATTGCTAAGCAACCAATTTTATGAGTGAAACATTGTATTAAAAAATGTATTGATTTTATTACGTAATCGATCACGATGCAAGCTTGTAATTTTAGTAATGGCCGGGGAGAGAATACAACTTATTTATGTTGATCAATGTCTAATTTCAACAAGGACAATAAAGAAAATATTCATTTTTTTATCCATTCGTGAACAAACTATTTGAAGAGTGAAAATTCCTTGGTACAATGACTTTCCAGTTTCCACACACATTCAATTTACTATTTGCAGCCTCGAAATATTCGACATCTACTCTTCTCTCAGCGTTCAACTCCACTTTTGAAACAAAAGTATTACCTACGAAAGAAGAAGTGAAATATGTTGGATACCTAAAAAACTAAATTGTGTTGTACAAATATAATAGATAGAATCATGCAACGAAAAAAACAAAAATAATCACCACATACAAGTAGGACTCATTTAGAGGAGTATTTTCATCAACATCAAACTAGAAATATATAAAAAGTTGGAGCATGGAAATGATTTTTACTCAGTTATGTTAACTTTCCCATAACACGTAATAATTGGATTTTTCACGAAAATGTCATGGATGTCCGATATTACCCTCCCGAAAACATGAGCTGCCCTTCATAAGGTAAAGTGCATTTTCGTAATCGAACTACTGAATTTTGGTAATATTAGATTTTCTGCCATAAATACCAACCGCCATATATATACAAAAGAAACCTGTCCTTCATTTTTATTTTTCATCCGGTTTTACAACTTTTCTGTCTGCTTCCTCTCAGTGATCCAGCCCAAGTCCGAGGAAAAGAAAAAGAACTATCAGAAGAGAGAAAATAGGACCTTCGATTTCGGGTCACGGGGATCCATAATCCACATTCAGGCAGATCCGGAAAATCTATTCCGGTTCGCTGCGGTAAATTTCCGTCTTCTCTTCTCTTTTGCTTCTCGCTTCTTGTCTTTCCTCCAGTCCATTTTGTCAATTGGCCGAGACCAAAAATTGTCGCTGTACACTTCTGTACTCTCTCTCCCGCTCTCTGCGCGCCGTACTTGCGGGGAAGCTCCGTTGCGGAAGCGTGCATTTCAGGTCTCCTTGTCCTTTTGCATTCCCTCCTTGTTTTACCTTTTCCCGCGAAGAATTCCTTTCATGGAGTTTATGAGTCGTTGCACCAGTCCTGTCTCTCTCTCTCGCTCGGCTTTTCTGTTTTTCCCTTGCGGGAGCTTGCTCGCTTTCGGCAGACTTGATTGTTTCTTATCTTCAGCGTCTCTAATTTGTTTCGTGCAGATGAGACAATCGCAATTCAGTTGAATTGGCATCATGGTGATGGCGTTTCTTCTTAGGCTACTGTTGTTTTAGCTTTTGTTTTTTGCCTGAACATTTCCCGCCTCGCCGTGGTCTTGGGAATTTGTTTTTTTTTTTTTTGCTGCTGCTGGAGTTTCGTTTTCCTATATAGGGCAGCAAAAAGAGAAGATTGTAACCCTAAGCGTTAGTTTTGTTCTTTTTCTTGTTCTGTTTGGATGATGAATGCGCATCGAATGTAATCATGGTAAGTGGTTGTTTGACTGAGTTAGTCCAATGGTAGAAGAAGGCAATCTCAGTGGACTGGTAGGCACATTTTCTAGGGCATACGGTGGGGCAAGAACTCATGATACTGTAAGCAAGGGCTTTTGGCTAATCATTAATTATGCTATCTAAAATAAAACTGTAAAATGAGGATGAACTTGGACTACGCTCAATGCTCAACAGTATTTAAATTCATCGATCATCGTCTAGTCTTTAAAAGAACGTGGTTTGGACTGCGTTCAACGTGCAGTACTATTTAAATTCATCGATCATTGTATAGTCTATAAAAGAATGTAGGATTGGACTGGCTCTCGATGCACATTATTATTTAAATTCATCGATCACCTTTTAGTCTTTAAAATGTTTGTCTGTCCTTTGTTGGCTCATAGTAGTTATTTCCCATTACATTCTTGCGGGAACTTTCGGTGGCTTCTGCATGTTAGGGGCGCTTTATTTGGATTCTCTATGTCTTGCAGAATATGAGTAGCTTGGTTGAGAGGCTTAGAGCCCGATCTGAGCGGAGGC